TGAACACATACTCATGAGGTGTGTAAGGTTGCATCTTTTAAAGTAACTCTCAGAAACCTTCAAACAAAATCCCTGCAGAAAAAAAAAAACTTGGTGAAGGTTCCTTCAATATTCCTCTGCAGTCGAGTATCGATGATTGAGGAGACTATGTGTTAGAAAAGACCTTCTACTATCCCCAGTCCTCACTGCATTATCTTCAAGGGTTACTGGTGTTTACATGACAAGCCGATACAAATCTCTGGGTTTCTTTGATCATATCTCTCTGCCCAAAGGAAAGCAGAGCTAAATCTGGATGATATTTGTTAATCTGGGTTTGTCAAGAAAAGTATTCATCTGCTAGGTAGTATGAAGGTCCTCTCTACCCTTTAGGCAACCAACAGTGGTTACTCATCTGTCTGAGGGTGCCGTAAGATGAGCTGAATTTGCTTCTCTACAACACTGAATCAAACTGCCCTGATTTACAATCTTCCATCAAAACAAGAAGAGAAACCGTGAATCCTGACATGCACATACATCTACATCAGAAAGCCAGTGTGATAGGGAGTTTCTACAGTGATGTCAGAGGATGAATTATTCATAAAAACAATCTAACAATTTCTAAGTGAATGCAACCTGCTTACCAAGCTAACTACATTGCACACATCAGAGCTAAACCCAGCCTGAATTTTCATTAACAAAAGCGTAACAACAGGGTCAACCCCTCGACATACGACAAAGAAAATGAAAACCATGAAGGGGGCACTTCAAATACTTCTGATTGATTCAGTGACATTTTCAGTTGGATTTAATTAGAGCCTGAACCTTTTTGAACTCCTAGCGTGTGCTTGCATCTGTGTATGTATAATAGTGTGAGAGCGAGTGAAAGAAAGTGTTTTAATTACCTTTAATTAGAGCGAAGAGAGGGGCTATGAACTGGAGCACAGAGAAATAACTGCCATGAGAGGAGACCTCCCACCATCACCACAACGCTGCACAGAGCCGAGACCCACATCTCTCTTAGCAACCAGCGATTCACCACACCAAATAAACGTAAAGGTGTACATAAGTGAGGAAAACATGCAATAACGCCTGTATTTGTTGTTCAAAACAATGACTTAGGTTCTGCTATTATTCACCACAAATACAGTTACATATAGGCAACAGTAAGTAAGTCAAGGAGTTTGCTTGCTAATTACAACTAAGACAACTCAAATTCTTTATTCACTAAAGTATTATATTTAGATGTTCTGGTGTATCACACAGAGTCTTTCGTTCTTCAGCTTAGTATTTTCAAAAATAAATCTCTGTATTGAATATCTACTGCAGTGCTCCTACATTAAGAGGTCTGCTCATCCACAGCTACCATAAAAAGAACAAGTCAGCAAACAACATCTGTCTAACATTGAAAATCCTCAGATATTGCAAGCACTAACAGAGACTCCACGTCTAGGCAATATCAATTGTCAGTAAGAAATGAGACAAAGCTGCAAACTGAGTCTCAGTTAGTTTTTTAGCTCTAATGTAAAAAAAAAATAACATCTGTACCGCTCTTACTGTTGCATTTGATCAAGGTTATTTTAAGCTGTAGAAGATGTCCTGTTTCTGGCTAATAACTGCACTAACAGCTCAGAACTGGAGCTGAAGCCATGGGATTTCCCAACCTATTAACCGTTACTATTTATAGCCATCTGGTCTACTGTGGACCAGAGACATTTCAGCACAGAAAGCTGTGTGTGATGACAGAAAAAGGTACTTTTTTTGGTCCTTTTTTCACCAAAAAATTCTCTGTGTCTGAAAAAGAAAGTGAGCTTGGTGTGCGGCTAGTGTTTGTCATGTACAGGATGTTAACATGACGTTGTTTCCTGTTGAGAGCAGTTGCAGCTCTCATTGCTGTCTGTCAAAGATGGTCTACATTCACTGTCCATCAGTCACCAACTTTGAAACAGCAAGTTTATACTTTGACTTTAGGTAAGTCAGTAAAAATACAAGTGTTCAAATCTTTGCAAGAGAAGAAACAAAACAATCCTAATCAACCATTTAGATGAAAGGGAACAAACATAGCTGGCTCTTGCTACTGTTCCACAAAACTAAAGTAAATAATCCATGACAACAAGGCCAAGCATTCATTCATAAATAAAATGATATAAAATATTCATAAATTTGCTGCACTTGACATTAAATAACCTATGATTTTCAAGAGAAAAACTTACAGATGAATATTAATGTTAAACTAGAATTTATTTTAGGCATATTATTAACAAAACTTTATTTGGCTGATAATTTAAAATGTAATGCTACTGATAAGATGGTTGAGGATTACATTATTAAAAAGGTCCAGTCGGTTTTTCTCAACCAATAATCTTTTAATGATTAGCAGTGTAGCAAGCCATGGGGAAATACTTCTCTCCCTCCTTCAAAAAGATAAGAATATATGAGTGCTGAATAAATCTAAGTCATACTTGTGTGCGCATCTGCAGTCTAGATATGAATAAGCATGTCAACAGTTTTTCTTTCAAGTGCTTCAAATGCAAACAGAGGAAAATTACCAAACGCCTTTTTGCAGTGAGTATGGTGTTTGATGGGTGTCAACATTTATTCTAATAGCTTAGAAAAATGCATAAATAGAGAATTAATTACCCTGAATTATAGTCTCTCTATACTACAGTTTCTGATCTTGGAAGACAGCCATGAAGAGCAAAGAAATCAAACAGCATGAGGCTAAAAAACACAAGTATTTAATCCACTAGTTTATGCCTCTGAGTGATGATCATGCAACTAATTTCAACTAAATCAAAGAAAGAAAAAATAGGCCTACCCATATATGTTAAGTGCAAAAAGCAACATAAATGAAGTGTTCACCTTTTTATTGTGATTAAATTCTGTCTGACCTGAACACAAGCTCAACTATTGCCAGTCAGGAATGAGACACAGTATTTAGTTTATCTGTGGACTTGGGCATTTATATGTAGGTGCACAGTGCTTGGATAAATAATTGACTGAGATAGAAGCAGCCAGCAAAACAGTAAGAGCACTGGGGTTTTTTTTTTTCTTGATGTCAATTGTAATAATGCACCAAATAAATTAACATAAATAGCTTTCACATTTGCCATTCATTGCTTTGGACATACAAATCAAAGCAATTGAACAAAAGCTGTTGCTAGGTAGAAAATATAAAGCTGAACCAAGCAGCACTCAGGAGTTTCTGCACATTATGTAAGCCAAAATAACTATGAGGTAGCATAAGGTGGGGATCAGGCACGTACAAAGGTCGCTGTGAGGAGGTTTGAATCATAAAAAAAGAAGGAACAGTGGAACAATAGACCTCTGAGGAAGCTGACTCATAGCAAACAAGACTTGAATCTTCTTCATATTTTCCCAGAAACACATGCTCTCTGATGTGGCAGCCAATGTAGGGCTAAATGTGTCATACACAAACACATAAAGGGCTGTCTTAGTGCAGACACACTGACATACATAGATTGTGTGAATAGATATATAGTGGGATGTTCTCTTCTTATACTGTGTGTACCAGATGTTAATGCCTAATTGAAGACTAAACCAACAATATATTGAGCCTATTAACAAACAACCACCAAGCCACAGACTTGTAGTGTTTTGTTTTTTTTTTACTACCACCAACTGGGCAATGTTGTTCACAAAACAATTTCCTGTCAAGGTCCATTTAGTGGTTAATCTGCAGCTTCTAATTATACATAAACATAATCATTAGCAGATCAAATTTGAAGAGTCAAGGTAACAGAATTAAATGTTAGGCCAAAGCTAGTGTATGGTTCTTATAAAAAGCCTTTTAGTCATATCTATCGAAATTCTTTCAATGTCCGTACAGAAACGCCCCCATGATCTGATGTAGAGTTTCAGGTGGCAGGTGGTAATGGGGAAACCCAAGCATGGCAGAGGCCATCGTCATTCTCTCCACACACTGGATAATCACAGTCTATTACTGCATTACCTGTCATTACAGAAAAGATTAAAGAGGGCAAATATCCCTGTAAAATAAGCTGCAGATGTAATGTCAAATTAGACAGGACTAAGTTACTGTGCAGCTGTACTGAGAGCTAAGAGAAGCCTTCCTTCTTTACCCTGTTATGTATTAAGAATATAATCATGAGGTGAGCTGAAAGGAGGATGAAAAAACAGCACCAATGTAAATAAGATGTTGTCAGCTAACAGTAAGACCTTCCTAAATACATACCATCCAGTTGCATGAATCACTTGCCGTTCCTTCCCACAAGTGGACAAAAAGTCCCACAAAGTCCTTCCCACAAGTTCCTTCATTGTGGGAAGGAATGGCTAGTGATTCACGCAACTGGATGGCCCAGCCAGGCTAGCAGGCATAGGCCAAAGAGTACACTGACCACTTTGGCCTATAGGGGTCTAGGCTTTTCTTCATGGTGTACAAATCAAAAGTATAAGAGAACAGCTAAAGTTAAATGTTCACGTTAGTACAATCTAGTAACATAAAAAGGAGAACACATTACAGGTGGTGTAATGTACTAATGGGAAGACCATCAGTACACTCATTTGGAAGTTAAAGTGTGCGCCTGATATGTTTGCATTCAATAGGTCAAAACAAGGTGTTCTGATGGGTCAACTTGCTTGGACTGATGCCCTTTCTTGGTTAAGCAGAATAATTAAATCTTTTTTATGGTGTGGTCTGTAAGAAAATGATTATGACATCGTTAGTTAATGATTTATTGCAAACTTAGGGAGGATTAATAGCTACAGGGGCACAAATACGCCACACCCGCCTACAGCGCTAACAGCTCGTGAGGCGGGCAGTGATTGGACAGCCGTCACAGTAGCAATGCAATGACGTATTCATTCCTTGCTCTCATTGGAGGAAACCCCGTGGCCCCAACCGCTGCAGTGTTTCGGTCAGTCAAACTACCCACATAGGCCCGCCTCTTTCCCCCGCTGACACATATCTACTGGTTACCACAGTGAAATCCGCCTGCCAATCAAAAAACACTCCAGTTTATGATTGGAAGCTATACGACTCCATGGTAAGCAAGTTTCACTGTAATTTTCAGTCCCGTTACTCCTGCTCCTTGCCATTCCGACAAACCTTTCAAATCTGATCAATTTGTGGAGTAAATTTGAACGCTATCAGGTCAGTAAGAATTCGTGTGCTATTTGAGTTTCTGATTACACACGCACGCTGGTTAACCTTATACAGATAAAGCGGGGTGTGTGTGGTGTTTTCAATGAGATGAGTAAGGTGAGTTTTTTTATTGAAAGGAGTGGCAGATGTAGCTAACGGTGAGCTAGCGGTGCTGGCGCGGTGCTGAGCTGCTCCAGACAGCTTTGTGGCGGCTCGGTGCGGCTTGTGACGGGCTTTTCAGCTCAGACTTTTCCACACAGGCTATCGAATCAGGGTTTTTTGACGTTGTAAGGTATCTGACATTTTCGAGTAAATAGTCCTGATTGCGTATTTTATGATATGGTAAAATGTGTCAGGGGACGGGTTTCATCTTGCTGCTTTTTTTTAGAGATGTCGTATGATTATTTTCATGCTACGATGTTGAAGCAGTTTAATGATGTATTATTTTTTCCATTTTCTGTCCGCAGCTGTCCGCGTCGTTTTTTGGATCTAACGTCGCCCATCCTTTGCTCCACCACCTCCTCGGCTGCGCAGTCATTGACTGTCAAATCTCCCGGATTTCACATCTCTAAACCCCCTACAAAAGAAAAAAAACATGCAAAGTCCGGAAAGACTGGATCTTATTACCATGGCCAAGCTGGCGGAGCAGGCCGAGCGCTACGACGACATGGCAGAGTCCATGAAGGGAGTAACGGAGATGGGAGCCGAGCTGTCAAACGAGGAGAGGAACCTGCTGTCCGTCGCCTACAAAAACGTGGTCGGGGCGAGGCGGTCTGCGTGGAGGGTGATGTCCAGCATCGCAATGAAGACTGAGAGTAGCGAGAAGAAGCAGCAGACAGTCAAGGAGTTTCGTGAGAAGGTGGAGAAGGAGCTGCAAGAGATTTGCGAAAGCGTTTTGGTAAAGTGGCTGTTTTTTTTTTTACCATATTTTTACCTCAGTATAGTGTACCCTGCTCCTTCTCTTGTGCCATTAAGCATTGTCATGTTTAACCCTATATGAAAGGACTACCTACTAGTGCACCAAAGAAACACACACACACAAATAGCTCGGTGTCTGTCTACATGACACATCTAATCTCACAAAACCTAATGCAACAGTTTATCATTTCAGCACCAAAATGTGTGTCAAATAACATCTGTCCTGTTTCCTGTGAGCTCCTTTTGTTGTATAGATACAGCCTCTAAAAAAACCAAAGAGGACAAGGAAGCATTATGTAGTCCACCCACTGCTTTTGCCTTTTGGGAATCTGGATATAGAACAATGGGCTTCAAACCTTGCAATGGTGTGAACTGACAAAAAGGTCACAGTCACTACTACACTGCAAGGTGTGTCTGTATGAGTGGAGCGAGTGAACGACAGAGAGAGAGAGCAGAAAACATGAACAGGAAACAGAGGCCGTATACTTTGTGTTAGCAGTGTTATATGCTCTACTTCCACACAGTCCCATCTGTCAGACAGAAGCCTAATGTGGTTGGCCAAGTGCAAGAATTTATATGCATGAACTTTCAAGTCTCCCTAAGGTACAGATTGCATCAACACCCAAAAAGTGACACTCTACTCTCAAGCTACTGATTGAAACGCTGCCTACGAACAGTACTTTCCACATCTTTCAAGTCTTAGCTTCTCTTGAATACCACTATCCAATCCGATCAGATGTAGCAGCACAGATAGATTTTTCTGGATATCAGAGCTCGCCTCGCCCGATTGATTAGATGAATCTGTTTGGAAGCTTAGCTGTAAGATTGAGATAATTTCCCTTAATTGCTGTCATTAAAAAGGAAGAGGCTGACCACCATCTGGGTTCCTGAGATCATGCACTTGCACAGCTGTGACTCAGCTTTTAGTATCTTTGCTGGTGAGTGTTAATGGAGGGTGCTACAGTCCTCGTGCCTTAGCATGTCTGCAGAAATTGGGCAGGTTGGCTTTGTACCCACAAAAGCAGAGGTGCGGGGAGGCATTAGACAAGAGAGCTGCCTGCATGCCCCTCTGTCTTGACTTCCTGCACACTTAACTGTGAAACCAGACAGCCGAGAGCAGGTCTCAGTTGGAAGGCAGCAAAGGTTTGCGGATGTTTGGGTTGCAGACAGTCTCCACACAGGATGTCAGTCTGGGGCATTGTTGACAAGACAAGGTGCCAGCTGAGTAGATTGAGGTTATTCACCTTTTTTTTCTTTCCAGATCATGACACTGACTGTACTCAACGACTGAAGTATCAGGTCTGTGTTCTAGCTGGGTTTGAATTGGAGGCTTGTGTTGTGTGGGTTTACTATAAACACAAATATAAAACCTTATCAAAGGTCAATTAAAAAATAATTTGAAATGAAGAAGAACCACACAACAGCTTATTGCAGAATTCCCAATTGAATTCATAACAGGATTATTAGTTGCTGATACCAAAAGCACTCAGGCAGTCAGACATCAATCCAGAAACTTCTTTCTGAGCACTGATGGTATCAGGTTTTATCAGGGACATGCTTGGGATTAGGGCCACTCTTCTTTTGTATGTGTGGAGTGTACAGTTTAAGAGCACTCGAGACACTGGCCAGACCGATCCTAATGTCAGTAGATGATTGGGGAGTGGCTGCAGAGGTGGGCTTTAGCCAGATAAGCTTGGCCTGTCTTTTTTTATGCGTTTGAAATCAAGAGCTTCAGCGTCATTGTGAAATTTGATGTTTATAGGAAATTAAAAGACATTTCAAACATCATATTAACCTGAAGTCAAGGTGCCACCAGGGTTGAGTCCTGGCAACAAGGATTTTCATTTTGATTGAATGGTGTAGTTGCTGTCTTTATTTAGTTACTTTAACAATAATTTCCCTGATACAGATCAGCCAAGGATATTTTGATATTCATTACAAAATAAATATCTTGGCCTTGGTTACAATCTGTGTTATATACAATTAATAAATAAATAAAGATAATTATAGTTCACATTCCTAGTGGAAATGACATTTTTTTATTGCATCAACTGCTTTTATTTGAGATTTGATTTGGATACATTAGTTAGCTTATAATAAAAAACAGACAAATCATCAAACAATGAGCGTGGTCTAGACCTGCTCTTTTTCTTTGGAAAGCGTCTTGGGATCACGACTGTTGTGAATTGGCGCTATGTAAATAAAATTTGATTGATTGTTTGATTGATAATAATAACTAGCTTGTTAGCTTGTTGAAAATGAGCAGGCATTTGAAACTGGATTTAATTTACTTCAAAGACTAAACTGAGCTACATCTGGACTTGCAAGACCATACATGTAGTGTAGGTATTAAATGTTATGTGTAACACAGGCAGGACTTGTGTATTGCTCTAGACCTTTACAAAGCTGCTTATTTGTGAGTCAGTGTGTGAGGAATGGTGGCAAAAAGGAATTCTGACTTTGTTACACAGAGCTGACTGTAGGAGAGGGCTTATTGAGCTAGCATCCAATCTGGGACAGAGACAGCTGGGGACACACCAGGGGCCTGGCCTGGTTGTAGACAGTTTTGGACAAACTTTCGCTGAGACTGACAATGCCACTGGTTTAGCACCAGCTCTTGACTCTTAATGGAGCAGAAGTGCTCCACTTAATCATTAACCTGGACAGCTACCTTAAACAACGCAAGGGTGCTCTCTAGTGGTTCAAAGCTCGTGGGTAACTTCAAATGGATGGACCTCATGTGATGAGTTTAAAGGGTGATCCAAGCAGCCTGATTTATACTTGGAGGCCATGGCATCTTTGCCATTTTAAGACATCACTCAAATTTTGCGGTCTTATTGCCATGAAGAGTCATGCTGTTCATTATTTACATAGTGCACTGAATTGAATTGACATTTTCTCTCTTTACAGGGTCTGCTGGATAAACATTTAATTGGAAATGCTTCAAATCCTGAGAGCAAAGTCTTCTATCTTAAGATGAAAGGGGATTACTATAGATACCTTGCTGAAGTTGCCAGTGGAGAAGCAAAATCAAGTGAGTTCAAAGTTCTGTTTTGAGATTATGAGGTGAAGCATTTCTGCCTTTGTGTCAAATTCCCTGCACACTTTTTTTCATTCAGCTCGTATTTGCTTGTGTGTTTCGGGTTTCAAAGTTATGCCACAGTCAAACAGCTAAGTAGCTTTGACTCTCCGCCCCTTCACACTCCAGATAGGAATGTGTCAGATTTTGTCCCAGGGCTAGGAGCTGGAAATGATGTTAAGTAGAGCAATGCGTCATAGTCGTGTGGCCAAGGGGGCCCGTCTCATTGGAGGGTAAAACAGGAATGTGTGGCAGCTAATTGTTAGGGCATCCACTTTTCCCATATGGATAATGTAGTTAGAAAGAATATCAGCCCTACCTGCTCTTCACCAATTTAAAAAAATGACTGATATCACAATATGTTTTATGATATACCAAGATGTAGGATATAAAGTGTTATATATTGAAATCTCCTTTGAATCAGTGTAAATCTTCCATTTTATCCTTTGATGCTTGCAACAACAGATCATTTCACAAATGACTGATTGAGTGTTTTTCCCTGGATCCTGAGAAAAAAAATGTTTCTAGTGTCATTCCTACTTGTGAAAACATAATCCATGCATCATACATGGGTGTGAAAGAAAAAGAAAAAGGGTAGATGCCTATGTGTCAGTGTAAACTTACTGAGGGAGAGTAGTCTTTTTTTATTTTTGTAGGGCAGTCCCACTCTGAGGTAGGGAGATTATGAAAAGACTTAAGAGATTTTCTATTGTTTCATAACTGATGGGAGGTGACGATCAGATATGACTCTGATCTGTCTGTCTGTCTGTTTTTCAATGCAGCACAGTTACGAGACATTGCATGGATCTATGTGTTAATGACGTCAACCTATTTTTTTTTCCCTACTTTAATCAGTCAGAGGTCTTTTCTCAAAAAAAAATGACTGTCTAATGACAAAAGCTTTAGACAGTACCGTCTGCTGCGCTGTGCTGCTAGAGCAGCAGGTCTGTGCAAAAGAGCAGTCTTCAAAGTTCATCATCATTAAGGTTTTCTAAAATCAAATGAAGGTGCATGAATGCAGGAGGGTTTTCAGGATGGGCCAGAGAGAGTGTTGTCTGCAGTGAGAGGGGCATTGAGAGAAAGGGAGAGAGTTGAAACTCAAAGGGGAATTACATGCAGATGGGTTAAAAGGTTTGTTCTGATTGGTCAAAATGTTAATTTAAGTAGCTTTGGATACAACTTTGTTTAAATTTAGCTGGTCGTATCGGAAACTCTTCAGATGCTTTCAATTAATTCTAAATTCTACTGTTCACAGAGATCATTGAAGACTCACAGCAAGCATATGAGGAAGCACTGAAAATCAGTCAGAAGGAAATGGATCCCACACACCCCATCCGCCTGGGCTTGGCCCTCAACTTCTCTGTCTTCTACTACGAGATCCTCAACTCCCCAGAAAAAGCCTGTGAACTGGCTAAAAAGGTTGGTCATAAAAACTCTGCCATTCTTCCACTTTCACTCCCCCAATATCTTTTTTTTTTTTGTTTGTTTTTTGTTTTTTGGGTGCTAGGCAGTACAGCAAAGGCATGACCACAATGTTTTCTCCTAAACCACTCAATGAGTTTTTATCAGAATATTTAATTAAATATGCTGTTGATAAATCACAGCCTGAAGAAAGAACAGATGTTATTGCTTTAACTTTGGGATATTGTTTATCCACTGACATTAAATAATTCATGGCTGAATTTTTAATGAAAAACCAACAGAAGAATACCAATCAAAACATTTTCTAGTGAGACTGAAAAGGTGGAGCCAAGTCTTTGGCAAACTGAAGAGCCTGCGAGGACATCCACTTCCCTTACTGGCTGCTCATTAACGCTTTGCCGTAGAAAATTAGTCTATACTTTGACGAGCAAGTTTTAAACTACAGATCGACTGTTGCTTTGCTTATGGTCATTTGGTAATTTGTTTCTCAGCTCCAGTTGCTCTTCGTTTGCTTTAACATTTTCCATTTCGCTTACAGGCGTTTGATGACGCCATCGCTGAGCTCGACCAGCTAAATGAGGAGTCCTACAAAGACAGCACTCTAATCATGCAGCTCCTCAGAGACAACTTGACAGTGAGTTTCTTCCTCTCCCCCGATGGCACAAACATGACCTTAACAGAGAGATGAGATTTAATTATAAGAAGAAGGAGTTTTGAAAGGTCTGAGTAGAAGCTCAACAGCCTGAAAATTTTGGCAAGACAACAAGATTTTGTTTGTTGAATAACTCTACTGATTAAGTAATGAAAATAAATGTGGAGATATTGTAGGAGAAGTGTTTTGAAGTGATTAACATTCAGTGTGTTTACTATTAGAAAAGTCTATGTCATCCAGCTCTCACATGTCTTAAAATTCAAAAAACAGTTCATCTATTCCTCTGGATTTTAAAACAAGCATCTGTTTGTCTCCCAGTTATGGACATCGGACAATGCTACTGAGGAAGGCGAAATCGGAGGAGAAGGAGGAGAGGCCCCTGAGAATGAGAACTAAAACACACAAGCTCTCGACGTTGCGGGTCATCTCAGAAAACAAGAAAAGGAAAAGAAAAAAAAAACTTTTTACACATCCTTCATTCCTTATTGCTCCACTCAAACATTCTACCAATGAAACCCATTGCTGAAAAGAGTTGCGTGAGTAAATATAAAAAATATGATTTTCACACTGTAGATTTGGACAAGTGTTGAAAAGAGAAGCCTTCCATTCCTATGATTTGTGTTTTGTCCTGGCCTTCTCATTTGTGCAGTTTCAGCTGTAGAAAAGTGATAGCTAGCTTGACATGATCTTGGACTTTTGGCTTAACTATGAGGGAGAAAAGTTTCTGCTCAACTATCGAACAACTGGAAACTTAAAATCCCATCAATTGAGAGAGTTGTTGATATTTTTTCGATGAGAAATGTTAAATATAAGAAAAAAAATAGCTACCCCATCACCTTTTTAGTGTGTCTGTCTCTACACAGTTTTGTGGTACGGTTACAGCAGCTGAAGTTCAAATACAAACAGAAATTCATACTGCAGGGAAAGCTAGTGCACTTTACATGCTGGCAACAAAAACGACAAAACAGCCAATAGTGCCAATTGGTTCAGTCCTCACTCCCTGCCCTGGTTATGATGCCACACTTTCACTAAAGCATGCCTGTTTGGGGATGGGGGGAATGGTGGGATTTGTCTGACCAAATGCAGGGATCATCGTAATTGGGGAAAGATTCTGTCATGCATGTGTTATGAGATATTACACTGGAATGGGAACAAATGCTGTAACACACAAGTCCAAGTGTCAAGTTCATTCTTTTCAATGCAGGTTTGTACACGCCCCATAAAAGGGTGCTTTGTTAGTCTGTCCAGTGATTTTTCATTAGAGATTTGGGCCACTATTGTTTTACTCCTCATTCAACTGTAGTCCCTAAATGCCTTGTGGAACTGTTTGAATCCCTATGTATCAACTATGTTAACATGAATAAAACATTTTATAAACCAAGTCAAGGATGGTCTTTATTTTTATTTTATACTTGAATGTTTATTCTACTCTATGTTTCTACTCTTTTCAGGCCTTATATCTGACCCTACAGCCAAGTTGTTATATTGCTGATTTGAAGGATCTTATAGATTTTTTGCATTTTAACCATAAGGGGAAATGTGTCTGAATAATGTCAGACATCAATATTTGAAAGAAAGTCTGCGCTCAGGTTCTTTTTTCTTTGCTGCTAGTGGGTTACGATTGCCATTGGTAGAGGCAAACAAGTAATTTAGATTGGATTAGATTCAACTTTATTGTCATTAAACACAGTACAAGTACAGGAACAACAAAATGCAATTTAGCATCTAACCAGAAGTGCAAGGTAGTAAAGTGCAGGGTATGTACATATGGGCAGTGCAGGCATGAACTGAATATATGTATGTATGGTGTTGGTCACTGCAGGTATGAATAGGCTATACAACAAAAAAATAAAAATCTAATTATGCATATTATCTCTATATAAAGTATACTGATAAATGCAGGTGTGAAAAAGAGAAAATGCTATTAAACAGTGGGTGCATTGAAGAATACAAACAGTAAGATATTTAAGAGTATGAGTAGGAATATGTACAGCTATTAGATAAATAGTTGGATAAAATACAGATACAGCGCAGTGTAATTTAGCAGAAGTGCTTTGAAGCTGTCAGCCATGAAAATGTATTCTATGGTATACAACAGTTAACTTAAATATCGCTACATAGCGCAAAAATGTTTAACTTAAACTCCTTTGTATCAGCTATAATGACGAGATACTCGTCCCATGAGAGCTACACAAAATATGATCACAATATGAAATTGTAAGACAGGTTTAGTTATGATGACTTTGACTGTGTGCGTGTGTAGACTGAGTGATTATAGATATATAGGTGTATATAATTACACTTATATCTAGGTGTACACCTGGATAATTAGTTGGACTGGTCTAAGAATATAGACTTCATCTACAGAAAGGGGCAGAGCTGCCTCTTTTGCCTGAGAAGACTCCTATCAATAGAGATCTGTAGTGAGATGCTGCAGATGTTTTATCAGTCTGTGGTGGCAAGTGTTCTGCTCTACTTCATCAAACACAAAGATGCAAGATGTCTGAACTAACTGATGAAAAAGGCTGGCTCTGTGGTTGGACTCAAGCTGGACTCAAGCTGGACTCAGTGGAGGATGTGTCGGAGAGATCTACACAGAAGAAGGTGGAGACTCTTCTAAAGAACATGCCTCACCCACTTTATAACACCTTAATGGAGCAAAGGGCCAATGGTGGTGGACGGCTCCTCTCTCTTCAGTGCAGGATAGAGAGATTCAGAAGATCTTTTGTACCAACAGCCATTAGACTTTATAACCCTTGTGTAAATAGATGACTTTTAGAGACATGACAAATGAGATGACAGAAAATTGAATTAGGTTACTAAGTTATTCTTATTCTTATTTTGGTGTTGCCATACTTCTTATTTTATTTGAATATAGTGTTCGTTCACCTTTCTCAAAAAAGCTATGGTAAATACATTGAAAATTATCAAGGGCCTATTAGTTTGCTGGAATTTATTGCTTTTAAAGGCAAGATTTTACTCTAAATCCCTTGCGAAAAACAGCTATTTTACACGGATTCTTCCCCACACATAAACTACAATATTTACCTTTGTGTTTATCAAGGGTTATGACTTTTCCTTCATTTATTTATTCATTTGGATTTAATGTACAAAGATGTCAGGTAAATAAAATCATAGCATATGTAAGATTTAGAAAAATGAAAATAAATAAATGACAAACAAAATGTAGGGTAATCATTATTTGTGAAGAGGCTTTGGAACGAAGAATTCTTAGAGAAATAGTTTATTGAAGTTTATCCCAAATTCCAGAGGCGGATGTTTTCTTGTCGACCCACTTCCGGGTACGTCAGCTACCCTTACAGAAAAACCAGCTAACGGGAACAAACTTGTGACAATGACAGCGCTGGTATAGTTTACAGAGCTGCCTAAAGATGAGGTGCTTAATATTAGTTATCTTTACGGCTCCTTATTTAGTAAACGGTGCAGTCAAGCCAAGAGTTACATCGGGGGATAATCAGGAAGAAAACCCTGAGCTCGGTAAGAAACATTTAGCTAACCTCAGCTATCGTTAGCTTAATGTGTTTGTGTTTGCTGCCTGAAAAACGACTTCAAGAGTGATAACAGAGACATGATACCATTTACATTATTCTCTATGATTGTAAATATATGAATGCCATCATTAGTTGTCTCTATCCAAGTGCGTTTAGGTGTTTAGTTATAGTTAGCTGCTAAGAAACCAACATCTGAAGGACTGGGAAGCGGATTGGATTCTCCATGTTGTAGTTTTGAGTGTTTTCTTTTGTTGCTACATTTAAAAACGCATTTTATCCCTAAAAGCATGTGTTAGTATTACCTCTTTATGCCTTTTAGATGGTCTGAACTCCATCCTGTCAGACTATGAGGTGCTGCCATATTCAGGCCTCCAGTTGCACTCTGTGAGGAAGAGGGACGTCCACGCCCAGTCTCACCTGGAGCGGCTGGTGAGCTTCAGAGCCCTGCACAGGTAGAGCACAGCCTTCATTTATATAGATACAGGATACGGTATACAGGATACAGGATAATATACATTTTACTTATAAGAAGTTGTCTGGTTTTTGTTGACTTGATCAAAGAGGTGATGATTATTGTATTTGGTATTTTTATTATTGAAAATTCATCGGTTAGGAGTGGTGTACCGGACTAGGGGAGAGTGGGGTAAGATGATCCATTTTTCACATTTTGGATCACTACATCAAGGCAATCATAGTTTTGTCTCTAACTAGTGTATCTGCATATATTTCAAGATGCTGTGCATCCCTGCAAACTAACAGGATGAGAGTAAATATAACTGTCTTAATAATGTAGTCAATGCCAAAAAAGTGTTCTCCTATGGTCAACTTACCCCGTGTATGGGGCAAGATGACCATGGGAGCGGGGTAAGTTGAGCCGTATCCCTACTACCCCCTCACTCTCCACCCCAGCCCTCCCTCACCTTCTCTCTCCCTATATAACAGTCACTTCTTCACATTCATGTGTATTTTTATCTATTATACGCTATTCAACTGGTACAATAATTCTTTTTATTATTATTGCATATAACTGCTAAAGAGCTGATTTGTAGAAAGCCATTTTAACATGAGAATGTCTTAAAGTGATTCAGAACATTCCCAGCTGTATTTTTAAAAAGAAGAAGTAACACATTTCAACAATCTGAACTGAAACTCTGATCCTTTCATCAAACTCCTTTACTTTCTCAGGCTCAACTTACCCTAGAACTTCTATAATGACTTCAATAGTCCTCTAAGCTAAACTGGTGGACTTTTATGCTAAGTTTTTGACCTCATGTTGTAGCTCATAGATACCACAATTGATGTTTAAAACAACTTTCAAGTGACTTTTTTTAATCTGAACACAATTCTCATGAAAATGACAGACTAAATTCATTCTCAAGAGTGAAAAATGTTTTTTTGGAAATAAATGTCTAACCCCTTCACCCATGTCTTCTAACCTTCACAGGCTCCACAAATTGATGCCCATCTCCTAAATATTTGGTCACATGATCAATTTCTTTTACCATTTCCAAGTAACAGAGGGTGGCTCAGCTTACTCTTTGGCTCAACTTACCCCACTCTCCCCTATTTTACAATGAGGGGCTTTTCTTATATTTTATTAACTTAAGTAACAAATAAAGTGTAATGTAGTTATCAGACCTAAACATCCAATTTTAAGATGAGTTCTCCCTGTAGTTGTTGCTCTTTATAAACCATCATAAACAAAACACAACTCCTTATTGCTTTGAAATCATCAGTTGTAATTTTCTCTTTTTTTTTTCTTGCCTTCAGAAATTTTAAGCTCTACCTGACCACCAACACAAACCTTTTCACCGATAATTTCAAAGCTGTGTTTGTTGATAAAAATGGAGAGGAGGAGAACTACGATGTTCAACTACAAAACTATTTCACAGGACATGTTGTTGGTGAGTGTTTTGCTTTCAATATAATTTGTAAATGCAGTATTTTTCCTTATCCTGTCCATTGTAAGAGTTTTAGTTTGAATGGGCAAAACTTAGACTTTCTTTATTTGTCATTGCATAGAATAAAACACAGCAGTGATTCCTCTCTGCAAAGGAATGCCGTTGCTTGGCTTCCATATCACGGCATGATGGTGTTTAATTTTATATACAGAAAAAATAACAATAAAAACTAAGGGTAAAATAGCTGCATGGTGAGTAATATTGCACTTTCTGGAGGTAGGGTGATAGTGGAATAAAAAACAAATAAAGCGTGAAATTCAACATTTTTTTAAATTTCCATTTTCAGAAAAAAAATACTGCTTGATTCTTCAGATACTGGATTCAATCTGCACATGTCAATCTTTATTTTGTGGTTGCAGGAGAGGAGAACTCACGTGTTCAAGCACACATAGAAGGGGATGAGTTTTCTGCTCATATTCTTACTGATGAAGCAGAGTACAACATAGAGGTAAGGAGAATTTAGGAGAACCCACTGAAAGAGGGCAGTAATTCTTCTCTGTGTAATCTTCGCTCAGTCAGTGTGCTAAAGGCATTTATCTTGGGTTTAATGTGTCGACGCTGAGGAGGGTGTCACTTCTCTTTGATAAAAACAGGATTCCAGCTTTTCTAAAGTCACAAGGAAAACCAAGAAAATTGGATATATTTCTTAGATTTGTATTTTTAGTGTGGGAAGCCTTTTAGTATGTGGGCATCGCTTTCTTTGTATTTGTAAAAGCAAAGCTTGGGATGAAAAGTATTTATAATGAAACCGGCCCATACAGTGTGGGTTTATCTAATGTGGATTTAAAGACCCTAGAGGTTCTCAACTAGATGAAGGCATAATTGTAGATGCTGTTTCAATTTAAAATACTATCATATTGTAAGGCAAAGCAAAGATTATTTCCTTCAAATGCTTTATGATGATATCGTATACAAATATCAAGCTAATTTTTTTGCTGCCTCTCTTTCTGTGGCTCTCCAGCCTCTGTGGAGGTTCACAGATTCCCCGACTGATGGCAGGCTCCTGGTGTATCGCTCTGAGGACATCAAAAACCTGAGCCGCATCGCCTCTCCAAAAGTGTGCGGTTACGTGCATGCGGAGTCCAAAGACCTGCTGCCACAGACCGCCAGGGATGAGATGGAGATGGTGGATAAAGAAAACGGTAAGCCCTGCTGCCTGTTTCAAGTAAATCTGTGCCTTTTATAATTGTGCCTGTCTAGCGGAAATATGTGGGAGTGCAAAGTATAAAAGGAGTTTGAGACAACAAATCAGGTGCTGCTGAGGCTCTGCGCTCTTGTCTGCAGATGGTAAAGAGCAGATAAAGAGTAGGAGGATAACTGTTGAAGGTGGAGAGAAGGAAGGAGTAGGATGTAGTAGTGAGACAAAAGAGGTGGGTGTTAGATAGAACAGTCACTTTAATAAAAGCCCTTTTAACTGTAAAACCTTGCCCATGATATGCACATACACACCACTGACAAGTGGGTATTATATAACAACGGAAAGCCTTTTGAGTCTTTTGTGCTGCTGTGGAAATGTAAAGCATATAGCGGAGATGATGTGCCAGAGGAGGTATCTCCAACACCTCTCACTGGCTGCTGCTTGAAAGCACTCATTTGGGATATGAGTCGAGGTGAAGGTTCTTATGGAGGAGGTATTAAAATTCATGGAGGCTCTGCCGCCCAATGAGATGATGCTGAGTCGTCACTGGTCTCCCACTGCTCGTTGTGGAAGCCAGGGCAGCGCACACCCACACTTCAGAACAGCGCATAGCTGAGTGCATGATGTAATGCTCATATGGGATGGTTTCCTGTTGTCCTTTTCTGTTGTAGCTCAACTTCTGACACCTAGAAGAGATTTGGATGCCTGAGGTTATGGGGTATCTTTCCAGATTTCTGTGTGTTATTTGTTTTTGGCAATAAGCTAAAACGGGTTAACAAATATTACTTGGTGTGCACTACTAAGAAATCATTGTGGTAAGAGATATGATTTGAAAAAATGTTGGTGTTTCATATGATATTTCTCTGAAATTCAGCTTTTGTAGTTTGTTGTACAGCTAGGGTTTTAAAGATATAGATACACCTTCAGCGGGTTTTTTATTTGGATGTAATATCTGTGCTCTGAGTACGCACTGATTTAGGTGCATCTCAATCAGTTATTTTGTAGTTTAGTTCAAAAACATACCGTTTTGTACACTGGCTTGCCAAGCTCGGAAAAGTCATAGTCAGCAAACCGATTGGTTGTAGTTTTGGCACTTTTAGCATTTGCAGAGTCCTGCTAGAAAATGATTTCAGCATCATCATATAGCTCCCTCACAGATGTAAGCATGAAACACCGTAAAATCTGGTGGATGGCCTTGTTGACTTTGTACTGACAAAACACAGGGGACCAATACTAGTAGATGACCTCAATTCACCTCTGACTGCGGAAACTTCAAAGTGGACTTCAAACACCTTGGGTACTGTCTGCGGCTCTCCACTTCCCCTCCAGACTTAAGGACCTTTGCCTTGAGAATTTCCACATGAAATTCAAATATTACTTTCATCTGCAAAGAGGACTTTGGACCACTGACAAATAGACCAGTTCTTATTTATTTCCTAGCCTCATATCACCATTGTGACAGTTGAAACCTTCCCTGTTGCTTGTGGACCTTTTCCTGGCACACTTTCTCCTTCCAGTCCATTTTCCCTGAATGCATTTCCATGCAGCGCTCTGTAAACAGATGGCGTTTTTAGGCAATGAACTTCTGTGGCTTCTCCTCCTTTGGGAGGGTGTCAGGGATCATCTTTCGGACAGCTTGTCAAGTCAGCAGTCTTCCACATGATTGTGGTTCCTGTTCTGAACTAGACTAAGAGACACTCAATATATCTTCTGTTTGAATAGTAATTAAAATTGAAAAGAAATATCCTGATAATTTGTGTATTTTTATCATCGAAAAATGAAACGGAAAATGATTTAAAAAATAGTTAACATGTAATGGGTCTGAAGTATATTGAGAGTCTGTATCTTATCTTGCATGTCTCCAGTTGAATGTATTTGGAACAGTCTCCCAATGTGGAACCAGATTCAGCTTAAGAGTTAAAGTGGGATTACAACAACACTTTAATTCCAAAAGCCTCTTTTAGTAGTGGACATTTAAACCTGCCGTTCCTCTCTCGTGTGTGAAATTGGCTTCATTTGACTGTTGTTGCCTATTTGAGTACGTTTTAGACCCTGTAGACCTCCTTAAGCACATCATTATTGTTATTTTGTCACTCTGCTGTGGAAGACAAAATACTTTTTTAGATTCTTACTTGAAGATTAGAGGTAGAGCTAAATCAGTCCAGAGGCAACCAAAAAGAGCACTGCTTAATATGAAAATGAGGGCAATTAACAGAGGGAGACTGGAGCACGGCCTCATTTAAACCTCCTGGTGCCTCTGTGAGCTTGTGTTTGACTATTCTGGTATGTCAGCCCTTAAAAATACACCGACTCTTGTTGATGTTCTTCCTTGATTTGTTTGTCATGTCTCTCTCCTCTGTTTGTCTCACCCTTCCCTACCTATAGGACACCACCACAGACAGAAGAGACAGGCTCATGATCACAAGAAGAACACCTGCCCCCTGCTGCTGGTTGCAGATTACCGGTTCTTTAAACACATGGGCCGCGAACAAGAGAGTGTTACTCTTAACTACCTGGTCTGTTTTTTCTTTACCAAATCCTTGTTCTGTATTACGGAAAAAAATCACCATATCCAGATTAAACACTCGTCCAGATTAGAATTAGGCCATGCTATTTTAATGCTTGCGTGCTCACAAAGTTCTTCTTTTCTTCTGTATGTAATTTTTAATTCTCGTCTACACTCTTCCCTTTTTCTTGTCTTAGATTGAGCTCATTGATCGAGTTGATGACATTTACAGAAACACAACCTGGGACGATGAATTCAAAGGATATGGAGTCCAGATCCATCAGGTGTGTTGCGTGCAGCCGGCTGGGATTACTTAGTAAAGTGGTTTAAAATCTTACTTCTGATACAATTGTGCCAATTAGATCAAACCTCAAAGCTCTCAGCTGTGTGGTAGCTTTGTTTCGAGTCAGTTTGGTCCCGGAAGTGAAGCCGTGAACAACACTTTCCCTCAGCAAGTCTGAGAGCATTTTTAGGAGGAACTGAAAGCTTTTGTGTCAGCCTCGTGGGTTAATTTAATTTGTTCCACAGGATTTGAGAATGAATGCAGACTCTGTTCGACATACTGTGAGTCCTGGGTTTTCTCACTGAGAAGATATGCATTCATTTAGCCACTCAGAGTTGTTTTCTTCATCTTCCATGTCAAGAAGACTTTCCCCCTCCATGATATTTTTGTGAACACACCGGGGTCAGAAATAGCCTTTTGAATCAAAACTCAAGAAGTTATGATCCATCCAAGCTCGCCCATGCATTAAAGCTCGAAGCGAAACATTTTGACTGAATGAAAGTGTTTGAACTGTCCTGTTTCTCAGATCATCATCAACAAGGAGCCAACAAGGCCTCCTGCCGGCCATGTCGGTTTCGGCTGGAGCCATTATAATATGGAGAACAGCCCTACAAAAGGAAGAGAGGTCTGGGATGTGAAGAGACTTCTGGAGGTAAGAAGGAGAGACACAGACAGAAAAAGATCTGTCGTCAGAGATGAATGTAAAAAAAGAAAACAGACAAACAGAAAGTGGACTTTTTGAGTCCAAATCTACAACTCCAAAATAGTACTTACATCTCCTACCAGCAGAATGTAGGAAGTTCTCACGAACCCATAAAATCGATGTCTAAATGATAAGTAACAAGAAATCCCTGAAGAACTGATATTAAACCGCCGGTTGATAACAGTTGTGCGTAATTCTTTCAGCAATTCAGCTCAGACATCGCTGATAACGCCTCAGTCGTGTGTCTGGCCCACCTGTTCACCTACCAGGATTTCGATGAGGGTACCCTGGGGCTTGCCTACGTGGCCCCCTCCAAACCTCAGGCCTTGGGCGGTCTCTGCCCAAGACGTAAGTACAAATCCTCAAGCAGTGAAATGACTTTGTTTTGTTTACAGAGTGACCTAAATATGAATGTATGAGAATCTACCCGTCATTCTAAGTGAACATATGTGTGAGGCTTAGCTCAGACTATAGGAGAAAACTTGTAGATCCTCTAACTTCTCAGACAGACAAGAATAAATACTGATTGGGAAAGTACCAAGAGTGACATGGAAGAAGGAAATAGCTTGTGCTTGTAGCTCTTGGTTGTCATAAAGTGAAACAGACACTGATATCTTTCTATGATTGTGTCTTTTGGTAGCATATTACCCATCTCAGTCTGCAAAGAAGCCGAGTTACCTCAACACGGGCCTGACCAGCACCAAGAACTACGGGAAAACCATCCTCACTAAGGTCTGTTTCACTCTGTTTTCTTCACGTCGTCTCTGACAAAACTAATCACCAGGTGCTCTCACTTTTCATCAGGATGTTACGAAACACTTCATCTAGCCAAGTCTGAGCTCTGAGCAGGGCAGGCACCCCTTTTCGTGTGGGTGTTATGATGAGTAATGACTTTGTATTTTAACACCTCATATGTCAGTTTGTGGTTTGCTCCTCTGCAGTTTAAAGGAAAGTTACAAAATAAGTGTGGAGCTGGATGACATAGATGAATGTAATCATTTGCTATTAGCTTTATAACAGGTACAGTTTAACTGTCGTCTTTGGTTGTTTCCAGATACTTTTTTTGTGGTTTTAAACAGTCCAAGTTTGTTTTTACCCTGCATGCACCAGTGGCACTCAGAGGTAGAGAGCTTAGACTTTTTGAGCTGTAGGTCAGAGGAGGTGCTGTCCCAGACAAAAGAAACCTTGAGTTCCTTAAAGTACAGAGATCAATCAAGGTGGACATTAGCTGCTTACAGGAGTCATTACAGTCTTACAGCAGTTTGTGGCGTTGTGAAGATCGACCAAAACACTGGTTGGATCGATCAGAGTGGCACTCCTCTTTACTACCATATTGACAAACTTCAGCTTTATTATTTTAGCACAGAATTATTATTATTATTATTATTATTATTATTATTATTAGATTTTAAAAAAAAAACCCTTGAACAAATACCCAGATAGCACTTCCTCGCAGTAGGGAATCCCCAGAAATATTTGAAAATGCCTCAGAATGACTTTTATTCTTGGGTCTGTGGAATTTCACATATGACACATTTTTAAACGACTCTTCATTTCTGGTTTGTGTTATTTGTTATTACCTCCGCAAAGGAGGTTATGTTTTCGGCAGCGTTGGTTTGTTTGTTTGTCTGTTAGCAACTTTACGGAGAAAGTAACAGACGGATTGACCTGAAATTTTCACCAGAGGTGTGTCTCAGCTCCAGGACGATCCCATTAAATTTTAGTGGATACTGTGATCCAGAACACACAAAAATAAGGGTGTCGTTGGAATTTTCAATGCTGAAAGATAACCAATGGGCGGCACAGTGGTGTAGTAGTTAGCACTGTCGCCTCACAGTCAGAAGGTCCTGTGTTTGAATCCCGGTCAGGGCATTTCTTGTTTTAGGAATATTATGAACAGTGAACATACCAGTTTAAACACAAATAAACGTTAATAAAAGACACGTAACAGTAAAAGTTTTGGTGTGAATCACAATATAAGGGGGGACATGAGCTGCTTGGCGGAGGTCTGCGCTCTCTGAGTGCTTTTCTAGTTTTACTATAATACAGTAGAGAAACATATTATTGTTTCAAATGAATTCCAACAGGAGGCAGATTTGGTGACTACTCATGAGCTGGGCCACAACTTTGGTGCTGAGCATGATCCCGACAACATCCCATACTGCGCTCCCAGTGATGACAATGGAGGGAAGTTTGTCATGTATCCCATCGCTGTGAGCGGAGACCACGTCAACAACAAGGTAAGAAGTGGATAAGTAGTCTGTTTGATTTATGCTGAGACGCAGGAAGAGTGACTATCTAGGGTTCGATAGTTACAGAACAGGCACAGAGTTTATGGTGTAAAGTGTGAGCTCTGTTTTTAAATGACATGTTTAATCTACAGAGTGTTGAATTAATGTGAGTCACAGTTGTTCCCGTGAAATGTGATGACAGTCAGTAAATGTACTGTACCTCCTCCGCAACTGGCTTTGTGTCACTGCTGCAGCATTGAAATGTTGAAAGTTCTCTTTTTCTATCTGTATGGACTCATTCTGAACCTGAAATGTGACACTTTGATTCATCAACTGCTTATATCTTATTTATACAACTGTTTGAATACTTTAAAGTATTTTATTCCCTCGACCTAATGTGAAACATCTACTTCCAGCTAATATCCTTGTCTTCTTCTTCTTCTTCTTCTCTCAATAAGCGTTTCTCCAACTGCAGCAAGATCTCAGTCGGAAAGACGTTACGTTTTAAGGCTCCTGCTTGCTTCAAAGAGAGGAACAGTAAAGTCTGTGGAAACTCCAGAGTGGAGGAGGGGGAGGAGTGTGACCCTGGGCTACTTCACATCAATGATGACCCCTGCTGCACTTTTGACTGTAAATTCAAATACGGTGTACAGTGCAGGTATGATTTATGAATCATATTTATATATATATTCTGTACACATGTATATAGTAAACAAGACTCGTGTACATATCCTTTAATTTCTCTTTTTGTATCTGTATCTATGCTGCTGTAATTTGAAATTTCTCCCTGTGGGACTATTATAAGAATATCTTATCTTATGACACCACAAACAGATCATCTGAAGAAAACACCCTCAAATACACCGTCAAATGCTGAATCAATTGATCTGTAGGTGGAAGAAAATCTTTGCAGTGTCAGATTGAGTCTCTTGCTCACACCTCCTCTCCCCACAGTGACAGAAACAGCCCCTGCTGCAGGGGTTGCATGTTTGAGCAGGCAGGAACACGCTGTCAGGAACCCATCAGTGCGACCTGCAAGGGTATATCATCCTGCACAGGTGAGCTCCCCCTGCTGGCGAATCAGAAAAACTGCAGCGTTTCACTTCAACAGCTGTATGCCGTGGTGATGGTTACTTTTTTACAGTGAAAAGATTTAATAAGATGACTTCCTTGCTTCCTCTTCACACATTAGGCAACAGCAGCCAATGTCCACCTCCTGAAAACGCTGCAGACAACACGGTGTGTGTCGACAATGGCCGGTGCCACAATGGCGAGTGTAACCCTTTCTGCGAGGCCATGCAGAACCTGCAGTCCTGTGCCTGCAACGGTAAAACATAGTTTGTTACAAGATCCCAGAAAAGATGATTGTTGAAGGGATTTCCTGACTTAAGTTTGGACTCACAGTACAACAAGATTCACAGATTGACAGCAAACACACAAAATCAAATACTAAGTCCAGAGCAATGAGCAATATGGAAAAATAGTTAAAAGTGGTTCTTTTACTGGTGGGTTCAAGAATATTGAGCCTGTTCTATACCATAGTAAACTCTCGGGAAAAACATACTCTTTTAAGTTGATCACATACTGTATCTGATTCATTTTACACAAACTGCTCAGAGAAGATACTGAATCGTATTTGTGTGAGTTATTGTCGTTTGGGTTTGTTTCTTCCTCTTTTTGCAGAGACGGAGCACTCGTGCAAAGTGTGCTGCAGGGGAAAAGATGGCACCTGTTCACCCTTTGTCCAGAGGGACGGCACTTATCTTTACCTTCGCAAGGGGAAACCGTGCACTGTGGGCTTCTGCGATGAGGGCGTGAGTTACTTAATGTTTCATTTCTGTCGGCTCCTCAGACTCCCAGCTTTTCCTCCGATGTTCCCAGGATATTTTTAAAGGCCTGACTGAAATACGTCCTGAAAATTATCATTGTGTCTCCTCTCTCCTGTTAAACAGGGAAAATGCATGAAGCAGGTGCAGGATGTGATTGAGAGGTTGTGGGATTTTATTGACAAGTTGGACATCAACACATTCGGTTAGTATAACATGCTGCTTTCAAATCCTCGTCAGACATGTGAGAATGTGTGGAGAGATTCCCAAAGAGGTCTAAACCTTGTCTTTCCATTTTGTTTTCTGAACCCCTGTCCTCGGCACTGTTTACTACAGGGAAGTTCCTGGCTGATAACATTGTGGGCTCTGTGGTTGTGTTTTCCCTCGTCTTCTGGATTCCTCTTAGTATCCTGGTTCACTGTGTGGTAAGAATTGACTATGTTTCCAAGTGTCTTCAGTGTGCTTTTTGTCAACAGTCTTTTTATTGAGAACAAGGCACACAGAGACAGTAACGTAAAGAGACAATATTTTTCTTTTTTTTTTCTCAGAACACAAAAACAAACACCTACTGAATTTTGTCCTCCTACAGAATCCAGTGCATCCCATTTTAAGGAGATTAAATAAGTAATTAAATAAAATAAAAAAAGGAGAAAAAAAGTGGAAGTAGGTAATTTGACGGTCAAGATCAGGAGTAAATGAGGAGGTTGTGCTTGCTGAGAAACATCATGCATCACCCTTCAGAATGTAGTACTCATGGATTCATAAGTTATCAGGGAGCGTTTGGAGTTTGTTTATGTAAAACATTATTGGTTTCCAGTCGGAGTAAAAAAGGTTTTTCAACTCTCTAAGTGTGTATTTCTCATTTTTTATTGTCCTTTTTTGTTATCTGTGGTGCTGTTTGTGAAAGCAGATCTCTCCTTAATTCCTGTCTAATGTTTTACGCAGGACAAGCGACTTGACCAGCAATATGAGGAGAACACCAAGTCTTTGTACTTCCCAAGTGTAAGTGTCTCATCTCTTAGATTGTCATTTTTCATATGATCCCTGAGCACCAGCCTTGCTAACCACACTAACCAAACTAATACTGATCGCCTTTGCTTCTTTTAAACACACTGACATCTATAACAAAAAGTGAGGAGGGCATGGAGGTCGATTGTTCAGGTTGTCTTGTGTGATCAAACTTCATGATTTGGGGTCACGGGGTGTCAAAAGTCCTGCAACTTTAGCATTGTTTTCCCTAAGAGAAAAGTTTTGCAATCAGGTAAAAACCCCAAAAAAGTGAGAAAATCAAGAACAGATACCAAAGTGTACAAAAAATCATTAAAATACATGAATGCAAGAAAAAGGTTAAAACGTGTTAAACTGAAACGTTGAATAACCTTTTTTAAAAACTCAGTTTCAGAGGGCGTCAGTGTTCTGTCCATGTAAAGAGGCATAAGTCCTCATCACAGTGATCGCTGGTTAGATTTTCAGCCACAACCCTTTGTTGCATGTCTTCCCCGATTCTCTGCTCCCCACACTTTCTGTTTTTCTTCAGCTGTCCTATCAAATAAGAGCAAAAATGCCCCAAAATACAACTCTTAAAAAAAGTAGAGTCCTTTAAGGTCAGCTGTGGACTTTGAGGGATGAAAAGCAGAACTCTTGTGGTAGTGGGGATGTTAAGTGCCCACATGCAGCAACTTAGTATCTGGCAACTGTCATTTAAAGCTGTTAAATAGGCAGCTGTCAAAGTTTTAGAGAGAATATTTGATTTGAAATCAAGTTTTTTCTTTTATTTGATATTTTATTGAATCTCTTTAACAAATAGTCTGTCCTCTTGTTACAAAACATTTGTTCTAAACCAAATTAGTATCTCTGGCACATAATCCCTCCATATAGCTTACAGTGTGCACTAGCAGTCAGGTTATTTGTCACTAAGAGCCTCTCTGTCAATGCTGGGCTGCAATGACTTGTCCATCCCTCTCTGCCTTGGCCCTCTCCGTTCTCGTTGGAACTGCAGCAGATGGTGGAGGTTTGTAGTAGAGCTCCCGCCATAGGTGAGTGAGTGAGTGTGCCATGCTTCGGTGTTGCAATGCGTTGCCATTGAGTCCATGATGGTGCATGGTCGGCGGCCCACGTTTAGGATACTCCTGCAGTCACTTCCTGCTTGATGTAATCACTGATCTGGCCGCACATACCCAGCCCTCAAAGTTCCCTCTCTGTCATCCGCATGAGATGAAGAGACAGAAACGAGGCTCCAACTTCACCGATTAATCTGACGAGTTTGTTCCTCTGCATGTGTCATCTTCGCAGAGTCACGTCTGATCAGAAATTACCTCAAGAAAGCAAGGTTGCGTTTGGGAGTATTCAAACAGAGAGAGGACTGAACAGGTTGCACCTTGTTGTCTTCTGTGAAATCTGAGGCAGTGTGTGTGTGTGTCAGCGTTTTTAAGTTTGCATTTGCTGCTGTGCAGAGCTGCAACAAGAAGAGGGTTGTGTCCTGCAGGCGATTGTTTTTATTCACCATTTTCTTTTGTCTTTTGTAATGACTGTCCGCTCTGTGTTTTAGTCTCATTGACGCTTTGATCAGGAACTTGAGGAGACTGGGGGAACATTCCTCTATAAGCTTTTCTCACAGCAGACATTAAGACTTGTCAGTATCATGAAAGCACAGGGGAGACTATTGACATCGATGACTGCTTGATTCCATTTCGGTGAGAGTTGGTCTTACAAGTGAGCTAGCATGCACAGAATCAGGTTCCTTGTACTCCTGAATGGACTGCAGCCATCGTTAATATTAGTTACATCGTGTTTTTGAATGTCTTCTGTGAGAAATGTCGATTTTACTCATTCCAACTGTTTATTATTCTCTTGAAGTAAAACAGAAACAGCTCCAGGGGTTTGATTGACGATGCTAAACGTTGCCTGCTAGTGGAAATATCAGATGGAGCAGAATGGAGTAAAAAGGGAATGGATCCCGCCTCAGTCAGAAACCGTCTTCTTGAGGTACTTTGGTCTCACATGTTTCCTTTGCTCTCCAGAATCAAGAAATGCTGAGCACCCGCGAGTCAACGTCCATGCGCATCATCAAGCCTCCTCAACCTCCCTGCTCCTCCGGCGGCCGGACCGCGCACTCCTCCCTGCTCCCCCACCAGGTTCAGCAGCTGAGCCAGGCCGCCGCCCCTCCCGCAACCAACAGCAGCAGTACCCAGGCCCCCGGTCCGAGCTACGTCCCCACCCCGGACAGCGCAGGGGGACTGCGGATGGCCACAATCCAGGAGGACACCAGCAGCGACTCTCACCTGGGAGAGGAGGGCCCGCTGGACGATTCCACAACCGCAGGAGCCTCCTTGTCGGCTACGAAATCCTCCTACGAGGATCTGACAGAACAGAGCCCATCACCAAGGGACCGACGGCGCCTCAAGAGGCAGGAGTGCATTGACACCAAAGAGACAGAGTGCTGAGTGTGATTAGCCAGCACAGACACCAGTTTTAGGGAACATGCAAATTCACGTGGCATCATATCTTTCTCTTTTTCTCTTGTTACAGATCACAGACTGTAGGTGTTTAATGGTAAAAGCATACAACTAAAAGTAGATCAAATTTGATGTTTCATAGAGCTGAAAACTAGAATTAGATGTCATTCTTTCAGCTGGATTACACCACCATACAAATCAGTCACAAGTGGTTTAAAACCCCGTTAACTGCAAATGAAATTGAGGTCATTCAACTAAATGCAGTGCCTTTTTTTTTCAAAGTAGGAGCCAGATGAAAAAATCTGACAGAGACAAATCTACTTATGACCAGATAACCCGAGCAAACTTATAGTAAATTGCCGTGTTGTCAGATGTTGTCCGTTCTTAATAAATCTGAAAAAGTTCCTTGAGATTCAAGCTGTTATAAGAAAATTATAACATAACATCAATGTAGTAGCTGTGATTATTATTGTTTCAGTGTGATACGTTAAGCACCAAACACTGACCGTTGACTTTGAATGACATGAAACTGTGTCATTACTGCACTTGAAGTATTCTTAATATCACTGGAAAAAAATGTATAAATGTTGTCACTGTGTCGTGTGTCATCAGTGGTTTGAGGAAAAAGAAAAACGGGCTTGTTTGATATTTGAAGCCTTTCTACTTGAGATGTATTGTGTTAATACTGATTCAAGGATAAATTGGTCGTCTTCATCAGTGTTACAAACTTCTTTATCCTGTATTGTCCTTTTTATGGTTGATCCCTTGTCGAAACATTGTGCCTTTTCTGATTTTGTGCCTCATTGTTCGGACTTATTTCAGCACAAAAAATGTTTAAGCTCCCACACCAAAATTTTAATCTTGACAATCCTGAATCAGTTTCATAAAGAGCTACCAGAGGTACTCAGATACTGTTTTTTTTTCACTTTGTTTTAGGCCTTTGATTTCTTTGTGCCAATTTGACCCCAGCAGCTCTTTGTCTTATTTAATGCTATCTTGCCACTGCTGCCTCCTGTGTCACATGTGAAAACTAATGGTCAAGAAAAGGAAGTAGGCTGTGTAGCGGTCTTTGGATTAACTGGATAGATGTGAACTGTTACACAATGAGCAGCTGTGTGTATGCTATTAATGTTTCTATGCTTCTTTTTTTAAACACACTTCAAAATAAAAAATCTTTATTGTGCTTTCAACATGAAAACATGCGCTTTGTTCTGTTACATGAGGATAGTGGAATACAAATCATTTTTTTTATGAATTCATAGCAGGAGTAAAGTCATTAAACAGGCTCAGTGCAACATATTAATTATTGAAGATGCGACCCTGTAGGATCTGTAGCACCTTCTTCATTGGTCACAGAGAAGGCTGCTCTCGGGGCTCTTGACGTCGACGTCTCCCCAGTATGGCAGGATGAAAGGCAGGTCAGCAACACGTGACTCTAGCAGCCCCCATAGGTGCTGAGCCACAAACTGGTTTCCCTTTTCTGAGAGGTGCAGCCCATCAGACAGGTAGACTGAATAGTCCTGAAAGACATGACAGAATATGTAAAAGGCTGCTGGAGTGTTCCATTAAGAGATAAATTTAGGTGTAGATTTTGAACATATACAGACAGAAATAAATACTTAAATCCATCTACAATTTAAGTGTCCAAAAGAGCCAAAATAAAACAAACTGGCATCTTTTTTCTTGCACATCAAGTCTATCTGCTGACCCAGAGTTAGAAATAAGACATGCTATAGGGAATATACAGGAGTGTTTTCATACTGCTTGGCTGTTATGGGTGAGTTTTCTCGAAAATAACTCAGCAAATTATTGGTAATTTTAGAAGAAATTACAGAAAAGGTCTTAATTTAAATTGTTAAAAGTATTATTGCATTACTCCTTCACCAGAAAATACATTTCTATATTTGTAATAATTCCAGCCAGATTAATGTTCCCTGGAGGTTTGGTCATACATTAGCAAATTAAATACAGTCTGAGGGGTTTAAACTGTTAGAAGAGGGTATGCAATGTGCAAAAATGGAAAAAGAGATGAGTATCTTGAAGACTGACTACATCTTACCTAGGTGTTTACTATAAAGGCCTATTATATGATCAGATACAGTTAGGCCATTTCGCCGGTTTAAGAGTAGAGAGCCGAAATCCTGTAATCTTTATCCATCAACATTTCACTGTGAGTAAAAAAAAGTGTGTTAAAAATGAGGAAGGAAGGGGTTTTCCTTTGGACTTCCTCATAGCTATTTTTTAGAACTTGTTAAAATGGAAATTCATGCAACAGTCACAAATAATAACACTTGTCAGCAAAAGAGACATGTTCCTCTTACCTGTCCATCTTTTTGCATAAGTGTCCAGAGGTCCAGGACATCTGCACCACACAGACCGGCAGCCTGGACACATGCCTGAGCATACTGCCCAACTACAGAGTTATGCCGATTGAGAGGACTTCCTGGAAAAGACAGGATATTTGTCAGCATGTAGCTGTCATCATGTACTTTTTGGCTGTAAGGACATTGAGAATTACTGTTACCTTTCAAAATGCACTCCTTCTCCCAGGCTGGCTCATGAAGAGGTGGAGGGGTGATGAAGATGACTCTGTCTGCTGACACCCCCGCTGAAGCCAGGAGCTTGGTGATCTCCTTCCGGTTCTGCGAGTACTCCTCCAAGGGGACATGCTGTTGTGGGTTTTTATCTGCGCGAAAAGAGTCAGAGTGGAGGCAAACCCGTAGAAAAAAAGCATTAGTTAAAAGAACTGAACAATGACAGACAATATTATCCCTTTAATGCCTGACACCACAATTTATGGCCAGGAAATTCACATTTTCTGGAGCTGAAATGTTTATTTCACTTAGTACTGAAAACCAAAAAAATCTAAATGTCCTTAAAATTTAACGAATATATTTATTGATCTCGTTTGATAGATTAAATGTTTTTGGAAACTAATAAACTACAAGAGGACATTTTTATCATTTATCAGACTGTATTCAGGTGTTTTTTTTAGTAATTTGTTGATTATATTGATTTGATTGAAGTATATAAAAGTATGTATACAAAAAGCATTGAAGGATTATGTTCAGCTGTGTTTTCATTTTGAGATCTTGTATCATCCACTGACAGATCTCTACCTTCCAGTGAACTGTCATTGGCTCCAAAGAAGACAGTGACAGCAGCTATGTTTCTGCAGTCTGCTGCAGAGTTTTGGCTGCTGATAAGGCGAGGAAGGACTATCTTTGCCCATCTGGAGTTGTAGCCTGACAGTCCTCTGTTGACAACATCACACTTTCTAAAGGGAGGATAAAACACAAGTTCAGATGTCGCGTATATTTGACAGTTTTCAGCACCTGAATTGATGCAAACAAAACCAAACTACTTTGATTTAGGAACCTACCTTGCTAGTTTACTGGCAATGTCTGCCCCCCAGCCATTGACTTGAAATGAAAACTGAAAGAAGCAGCAGCATTATTATTATTTTACTTTTAGCCCAACAAGGTGGCAGCTGTTGTGAGTTAAGTTCTTCGGTGACAAACGATACATTTTTAGGTCGATTTTTATCACCTGTGTGATAGAGTCCCCGAATAAAATCACTTGAGGCCAACAAATAGTTTTGAGCTTGGACATCATGGAACTGTATCGCGGAACTATTCACAATTGAAAGGGAACCGGGAAAGGGGCTGCGCACTACCGTCTTGACTTCCGGTTGGGGGTGGGCCGCTCGGCTGAGTGAATATAGAACTTCAAAATAAAATTAATCACATTTTATTTTTTCCTGCGATTTTAATTGTGAAAAATCACAATAATAAAGCAAAAGAAGTGTCAGTCTGAGAGTGTATTATTTGTATAAATCACATATTAAATAAAAAAGGTTTTTTTTAAAGTTCACAGAATATGAAACGTGGGGGAATTTTTTTTAATGGGCTCTATGCACAGCCCCACTACTTCCTGAATTTAAGGCAGCTTCTTCATTTCCTGTCTTACATTATTGGAAGAACTGATCAATCCAGGTTTGACTGATCATTGTGACTAGTGAGACACGGGCTGTGTCCCTAACCCCTATATACTGTAGGCGACTATATGGGGGTTAGCGCCATTTTGAGGGGTGTCTGAAACCTGAGTGATCAATTCCAATACTCCTATGGTCAACTTACCCCATATGCGGGGTAAGTTGACCATAGGAGACCACTTTTTTTGGCATGCTATATTATCAAGACAGTTATGTTTAAGCTCATTCTGTTGGTTTTCAGGGATGAACAACATCTTAAAATTTATGCAAATACACTAGTTAGAGACAAAACTATGATTGTCTTGATGTAGTGATCCGAAATATGAAAAATGGCTCATCTTACCCCACTCTCCCCTAATTGATATAAATATCAACTTTGGAGGTCTTGTCATGCCATTATCGGCCACTAGAGCCGCTGTGGGTAAACGAGCGTCCTCTCACAACGCCGGATACAAACTTTCTTCTTTTGCTGCTTGTAAACATGGCGGAGGTCAGCAGCAGGTTGGAAGAGGCACCTACGACTTTGGTCATGTAATTTGGGAACGAAACACCCCTTGAAGCCAGAAACTACGAGGTCAAACTACAGCAGTCACTCCGTCTCTTTCGCCTGGATTTGGAAAATATAGAAAACAGTTTGAATCTGAAAATGCTGCTGAGAAAGTGACCGGGGGAGGTCTCAGAGGAGGGTTACAAAAGGTGACACAGCAGGAGTTTGGTAATACTGGACATGAAGGATACTCAACTCCTGAAGAGATCCGGTTTCACATTATAATTTCATCTCCTTGCTGAAGTAAAATCATGTTTCGGAGGACTTTCTCCACCTTCAGGTCTTCCTCAGACCAGATCCTGTGTGGTCGTTGTCTAATACCTGCAGAGGCTGTCAGAGCTTACAGCGGTAATGGGGCCAGATCCGAGCCTCTTTATAAGACTAAAACGGGATACTATGAAATACTGGAAGTTGCACCCAGCGCCACTCATGCCCAGATCAAAACCGCCTACTATAAGCAGTCCTTCATCTACCACCCGGACAGAAACGCCGGGAGCGACGCGGCCACCGTCCGCTTCTCCGAGATCAGCGAGGCTTACACCGTCCTGGGGAACAAAGCCCTGAGGAAGAAGTACGACCGGGGTCTCCTGAGCCAGTTCGACCTCACCGCCACAGCCAGACCCTCCTCATCTACCAGGGACACCTCAGGAAGCTCCGCCAAACAGAGAACCGAGGGTCGGAGGTCTGTGATGGGCGCAGACAGCCGAGAAGGGGTCTTTGATTTCGATAAGTTTTTTAAGGAGCACTACGGCGAGCAGCTCCAGAGACAGAAGTACATTAAAATCCGCAGAGAGGAGATGAAGAAGAGGAGAGAGGAGGGCGTGGGTGATAAGTTAGGCAAGGTGACGGAGGTGGGAGTGGCGTTGATGCTGGTGGTGGCTGTGTGTTTAATGCTCAGCATAAAACGAGTTTAATATCTGATGGACGCCTAGGAATTATAATTATTTTAACACGAATACACACCAACCTCCGTAAAAAATGTACTGTTTTTAGCTTCAATGCCTCCAGTCTTTGTCAAACAGCTGATACATTGACCTCTTTCTGGACTGTTTCTCGACCTCTGACCCCATATGCGGATCCACACAAACAATGATTTTATTTTTTTTTTTATGCTTTATTCAGAGACAATAAAATTACAATTCCAAACATAGCAGAGTCAGTTCAATACAGTAATTTCAATATTGAAATAATATATCAATGGGAAAGCAACAATGCATGTTTAGACAGGGGAAAAAAACAGTAGGGCAATAAAATAAAGTAGATAGCGAAGAACAACAAGCAAACAGAAACATAAAGTAACTTAAAATAATCTATGCCAGTGGTTCTCAAGTCTAGTCCTCGAGGCACACTGTCCTGCATGGTTTGGATGTTTCCCTGCTCCAACACACCTGATTCAAATGATTAGCTCGTTATCAAGTCATCACAGAGCTTGATAACGAGCTGATCATTTGAATCAGGTGTGTTGGAGCAGGGAAACATCCAAACCATACAGGACAGTGGGCCTCGAGGACTGGACTGAAGACCCACTGATCTATGCTATGCAAAACTTTACAAGGGTTTTCTTTCTTTTTTAAAAAGCTGTTCATATCAGTGAGAAAATTCTGTAAGTTATCATATAACTTTTAACTTTTCAAACCAGTTAAACTTTTTAGAGATTTCAAATACATTTTAAATTCGTTTATGGAAACAACAAATCTGAGGGATGATCTCATGACTTTATTCTTATGGATGAAATATTTGGCAAGACATAAGATTACATTGCAACAAAGTTCTTAATTTTTATTTGGTAGTATCATTCCATACTACCACATACATATCCACATACTGTCATTTTTTAATCCAAAAAACAATCCAGTGAATGTTAACCCAGAATGTTTGTGCTATGTTACATGAGAAAAATATTGGGTCCGTTGTTTCAGTCTCATTTTCACAGAAAGTTCACATGTTGTCTTCTATATTAAATCGCTGTCTGAGTAGTTCCTTTGAAGGATTGATGTTCACTATTTTAAAGTGACAAACATTGAATTTATGGTTGGATATTGTGACCTTTAGATGATAAACTTTCCATCTCAGGGTCTCTACGTAACTGTGCAATCTGATAGTAAAACCCCCTCCGCTGAAAAACTACAGTCAAAGTTTATTGCATATGCTAGAATTACTGATTCTGCTTTATCTCAACACAGTACTGTACACTTCAACTCACCCCGTTAATTAATTGTTAGAATGGCTTTCACTGAGTGTATTTTACTTAACTATAATTAAAAAGATACACATAAGCTCCCAGATACTGTTGCGGCTCAGCAGTCAGCTTTACTGAAGTGTAGTTAATCACCCTCTGTGCCATGAGTGTTCTCTGTAGATCCTGTAATCCTGAAAACAGGAGTATTCACCGGTGGATTTACAACCTGATAACACTACAGTTTAAATCCTTTGACTTTTATAAAGTCATCTGTTCTGCAGATTTCTTTATTTTTAATGTTAAATCAAGTGTAAATAGTTCAATTGTATTGCTATTTATTTAAAATATTCATAGCAATATAAAATATCAGGGGTGTGTGGATGGCTTCAATAAAGGTATGAAGAACTGTTGTTTTAATTTCAGATCGTTAAGTATGAGATTGTGCCTTTGATCGTATTTATGTGAAAAATCACTGGTTTTACTCTTAAACAGCTAAATAAAAGGATTTATGGGCAGTGCCTGCCAAAGACCCACGACAGAAATGTTTTTGTTTTTCATTAACACCATCTTTAGTCAACACAAGAAACGTTCCTACACTAGCTTTTGAGGGAAAAAAGTAACAAGCTGGGATATCACTCAGTATATTTTCCATGTTTCCCTTTCAGTTTAAAACAGTACTTTTGTTCATGATTGAATACCACACATTCATGTGAAAGGTTTTCTTTCAGTGCACAATGAACACAAACATAAGTGCATTTTACGTCACAGTTAAAAGTTCACGTCAGTCATATCAGTGCAAATCATTCACTAACAAGTCAAACAAAAACTACAATAGACAGACATATACAACAAATTATTACTTAAAATTCAAAGTGCTTTGAATGACAAAAAAAAAATCTGTTAAAAGACAAACAAGTCTGGGGTGCTGCTGGTCTGGCAGCCCACACATACCCTCCCCATATATGGAGCTTCAAGCAGTAGGCCCAGATTTAAATCCAGACTTTGGCTTCTTTCCTGCATATTACTCCTTGCTCTTACTGTTCACTGTCCTGTCCTCCCTAAATAAAGGCGATAAAAGCCAGGACATATGACTCAAACAAAAGAAGTCCAATCTTTGCAGCTTATTTCCTCTTCTGACTGTTATTGGTTATTTAGACAGCTAGAAACTTTTTACATGGCTGGTTAAAATAGCAGAATAAAAATCTCTGTTGAACAGATTAGTTTTAAAACTTATTGGGTAACTATTAGGCATTTAAACACGAATGGACGGTAAAAAGGGTAAGAGTTAATGAGCTGCCTTCTCAACTCACACATTTTAGATGTCGTGTTTTTGTTAAGTGTGACGATTTAACTGGAGAAAGTTTGTCTCTTAGTATGTTAAAATTCATGATCGCAGTTACTTCTCCACCCTCAGACGACCGGGTTCAATGCATCATAGAGCCGATGCACCGCCAGCTCTACCATCTCTCTCAGGGAGTCGTCCTCTGTGCTTTCATCCTCGTAGCACACAGACTGACGGGGGAGAAGGAGACAGGTGGAAATGTTAAAAAGGCAACAACCCCACACTGAACATATCCCCTTTATGCTGGATTAACAGAGTGAAAAAGTCTCACCCTAGTTTGCAAGCAAATGTTAACCGTCTTCCCGTCTACAGTCAGAGAGATGTTTTTACCATCGCTGAAATCCACACACTCCTCTCCAAACATGTCCCTTAGGATAAAGGACATAGATATAAATTATATAGAAGTAAAGATCAACTGATCAACCTTTTCTAATACACTTATTCACCAGAATAATGTTAATAGAATAGACTAGAGCATGTCACTCACTGCAGCATGACTCCTAACCGGGTCTGGAAAACATCCATGTCCAGAGTGGTACTCTGGGTCTCCATTACTGTTAATAGAAAAAAATACAATTACAAAATAAGCCAATGATAAGAGAGTTCACATAGATTTAAAACTGACACAGTTTTAACAGACCTTTCTGAGCTTTTGGGTTTGACTGCACCTCCAGCACTACAGTAGTGACAGCGTCAGCATACATGTCATTGAGAGGATTGGCTATCCACTGAAACATGAGATAAAGAGAAACCATGCTAATGTACAGGACTCTATCTATGCCACACCATGACAACAGCCAACTGACACGGTCCGTCTTGCTCACCTCAAGCACCACCATGCCGACCTCATGGATCAGGGTAATGTTTTTAAAGACCTTTAACGTGTTCTTCTCGGTTCCATCCAGTTCTTCAACATCACCTGAGGAGAAAAAAAAAACATGTATATACTGTATATTTTATGGTATGCATAACAAATATAGGGATTTTGAATCTTACCTGTGAGGTTCCTCAGGTGGCAGACGAGCAGTGAGTACGGTCCAGTGAAAGGGATGGCTTGGGACTGTTTCACTGTACTCATGGCCAGCTCTGTGTACACTGCAGAACACACACATGCACACATACACACATGGTATGATGCCTCACTAGCTGGGTAAACAAAGGATCAAAAATCAGCTTACTCTACTGGGGCACACAATAGAGAAGTATAGGCTGTCCTGCATAAAGTAGAAATGGCAAAATAAAGGTAAAAGTAATGAAACTGGTCAAAAGAGACTAATGTAAGAATAAAGAGCAGGAGTTTTGTTAGCCAGTACTCAGGTTTGATATTGAAACCATCATTATGGAGGGAAAAATGGTATTGGGACATGTTTTACTTACTGGAAAGGTCAGAGGGATTGAGGATATGGTAGTTGAAGTTCTTTTTCACTAGTATGCCTGACACCCTCTGACCCTGAACGCACTTTTTGTCGGCCAGAGAGCCCATCACCTGATATGAGGAGAGACAGCCCGTCTTTAGTCCAAATTTCTGTGGTGTATTTGTGTATTTAATATCTATAAAAACAGCACAGTGTCATCTAATGTATACAGTAAACAGAACTTTACGTATTTAAGCCAAAGAGTGACTTTAGCTAATGAAAAGATGATCAAATAGAAGCTTAAATAAAAAAAGACAGTTGGGGACCTTCGCCAGTTTTTCTCCTCTGAAGTTGAGGGTGACGGCTTCAGTGTTGCGAGGGTTGTGGACTTCAATGTGAACCTGGTCATTATCCTCGTACTCCCTGATCAGTGCTGCCTTCAGACGGGCCATCTCATTCTGCTCCCCATGAACCAGGATCTAAAGAGTGGAGGATTTTAATTTTCAGGTGATGCAACTGTAAGGCACAGACAAATAAGTACTGAAACAAAAAAAATCTATAAATCAAATAAAATTTTGCTTCCATTACCACATGTGGTGGTTTGAGGGCCCTGATGAACTCGCTGGTCTGCTGATAGTCTGTGTGGGCAGAGAAGGAGATGTAGTCCACAGACATCTTCAGCTGCAGCTTCTGTCCCGACATGGTGGTAATCTCCTCCGGTTCTGACATAATATGCTGCAGTTCAAGGATCATAATTTTAGTGGAAACATCCAATCTGGGCCCAGAAAAAAAAGAAAATCTGATCCCAGCTATCACACTTCTCATTAATCCCACATAACACTTCACACACCCACATCTTTCCTGCTCGGGGCTGACCTTAGCCAGTGTTCCCTCCACACAGTATCCAGCAATGATGACTCCATTCCTCTTGTCCGTACACCAGCTCTCAAAGAGCTCTCTGGAGAGGCCGCTCTGCATCATACCCGGAGAAGCCATCACCACACTGGGACCAATGTCATCAAAGTGGTCCATGCTCTAAAAGATCAAGAAAAACAGATATTCAGATGTGTTTTTAGAAGGTAAAACAGGTGTGTGTATCTTTTGAACCTTCACCTTAAGGTTGCTGATGTGCTTGAAGACAAAAGGGTTGTTGATGTTGATGGCTTTGCGGATTTTATCGTTCATAGCGTTGACGTAGGTCTGGTACACGGCCATGCACTTCTTGGCCAGGGATGAGGCATAGTAGATGGGGATGTCATGGAGCTCTGGGTGGTTCTGCCAGTACTCATCTACATTAGAAATGCATAACACAATCCAACACAATCTTTAAGACACAAATGATCAATCATTGTAATGCAAAATGATCAATAATGTATTCATACAGCATCTTTGAGTCTGATAAGTCACAATGATATATTGTCAATCATATGGTAAAGTAAATCAGTTAAAGGCCACATTAGAAGATGGGAAATAGATTTAATTTAATTGTGTATCAATAAACTGATTTATAGAAACATAACAGGCAGACTTAATTGTGTTGGTTTTAATTGAAATTCTCTATTCAAAAATCTGATTTCTCACCCAGGATGAGCAGCAGTTCCTGGGCCCGCCCCAGCGCAAAAACAGGGATTAAACAGCGGCCTTCTCTGTTGACAATATCATGGACGGTGTTACAGAACCGAGCCTCCCGCTCCTCCCTCTTCTCATGGATGTGGGTGCCATAGGTCGACTCCTTTGAGAAACATTAACAGGATTTATGGTTGTCTGATTATCTTGTGTTTTTTGTAAGAAGTATAAGATGTAAAATAAAAAAAAAATTTAAAAAAAACAGTTGAGCTTACTATGATTAAGATATCAGGTTTGACACTGGGGATTTCAGCTGCCATCAAATGTCTGTCCTCTTGACGGGAGAAGTCTCCTGTGTACAGCAGCTTTAAAGAGGGAAACAGCGCAGCTTTAACGCGTAAGAAACACCTTCTTTTACAAAAAATACATATGAAAACTATCCATACCTTGACTCCAGCTATCTCTATCATAAACATAGCAGCCCCCAGCACATGGCCTGCATGGTAACACCAGAACTTGATTCCTGCCACTTCTTTCACCTCATGGAAGTTAATGGTCTCGATCTTGTCCATGCTCTCCTCCAGGTCATTTTCAGTATACAGCATGTCGTCTGCAGAGATGTTGCTGCAAAAATTACAGATGCATTTAAAGACAGGGACCACGTTAATTTATTTAGGGGAATGTTAAACAGCAGTGACAGCTCCAGCTCTTACCTGACTTTGACGTAGTCTGACAGTAACCAGCGGTAAATGGCCTTTGTAGCATGGGTCATGAAGGTCCTGCCTTTAAAGCTGGTCTTCTGGAGGAACCAAGGTAGAGCTCCACAGTGATCCAAGTGGAAGCTGATGAGAGGATAGAGAACATAATAAATAAAGACAAGGCAAGAATTGACATCACTATTTTCTGAGCTCTCAACAAAATTTGACCTGCCTAAATCCCACCTATTTTGTATATTTTAGGCAAGGCGTTTTATTCAGAATCAGAACCGCAAATTCCCAAGCCATCCCCCTGAAACTTTGATTGACTTATTACTGGCTCTTGATCATAAACAAAAGTGTCTAATCTCTAACATTTACAGCCTCATTAATTCTGCTATCGATGCCCCAGCTTCTGGTTCCAAGGATTCCTGGGAGCAAGAGCTTGGGACCACACTCCCTGACGATTATTGGCAACAAGTTTTACAGTTGGTTCACTCCTCCTCAATCTGTGCAAGGTATGGCCTTGGGAAAAAATGATAGAATGTAAGTCTTCTCTGTCATGTTGTACTGACATGTTGCTGTTTTTAGAATTGCTTCAAATAAAGAAAGTCAATTAAAAAAAAATTGACATGACTTCATAAGAGGTCAAATGATAATTGGAGACGGACTTACTGGCTGATGAGCAGGAGGTCTATCTCTGCTGGGTCTATCAGGTCTATGTAAGGGAGGGCATCCATTCCCTCCAAGCCAGGGTGGATACCACAGTCCAGCTTCCCAACACAAACATTAACATTAGTCATTTTGTCATTCAATCAATCAGTCTTTATTGCATAATGTATAAACTTAAAAAGAGCTCATGGAAACAGGAATGTGCGCACTGAGGAAACGTCATTTTAAAACTCAAGATAAGGAAACACTGGAGGTTTAGGTTAAAATCTAAAAACAAAGAAATAGACTGAAATTTAAAGAAATTATAAATAAAATGAAATAAAAAAACAGTAAAAGACACTAAAGTAAGAGCACCAAAATAGCTAAATAAAAGGCGATCCTGTCATTAAAACTAGAAATCTAATTAGATTTTTTATAACACCTGAAATTAGGAGTAAACACACTTCAATACCACAGCCATGTTGGAAAAGCTGTGGAGAGGTAAATGTGAACTATTCACATGTACTCTGGCTCTGTCCTAAGATCGCAAAACTTTGGGAAGATGTCCATGTGGTTATAGGTGAAATTTTGGCTTATGCTGTATCCAAGTCTCGTACATTTTTATATCTTGGTATCACTACAGGAAATGTCGTACTGAAGGAAGATAGACACATATTGAAAATTATGTTAGCAGCCTGTAAAAAGGCAATTACAAGAAAATGGTACAGGGCGGACCCACCATCACAGGAAGACTGGTTGAAAATTATGGATGAAATATACATTATGGAACGACTGACTTATAGAATAAGGACTCAAGAAGATCAGTGTTGCCGGAAATTGGAAAAATTGACCGAATACATTAGAACAACGGGACGAAGACATCTACACTGACAAAGAAAAATGATCAAACTGTAGAGGCATGGTGATCCAATGGGTTGTGTTTTTATTATTGATTTTTATTTATTTATTAATTTATTCCTTTTTCTATATGTGTACCCCTTTCATCCTCATATTGTATTATACAATGCTGAAGAACATCAATAAAAAGAAAGTATGATAAAAAACAACATAAAACCAGAAAGGGATGAAAAAACACTTCAACAAAGTTAAGGATATAAAATTTAGACCAAAAAGGTATGTTTTCAATTTGCATTTAAAATCATAAGGATTAGGTGCAGAGACTAAAATGGGTTGGTACATTATGTTCATTTACATGTATAAACTATAAACAATCATTTCATACTTCAGTCTGATATGACTTTCTGATATGTTATAATCATTTATAAAATTGCCACACAGCAGCACATACTGTACTTATATTTATTCACTTTATCATGGAGTGAAAAATAATTACATACCATTATTTTTCGTCCTTTGAACTCTAGGATGATGCAGGACCTCCCGACCTCCTGACCTGCACCCCTGTAGTTTTAGGAGAAAAAATCACATCAGCTAATCTCACATTATTGAGCTGTATTTGTAATGAATTTATTTGTTAATAAATGACAAATAAACTCACAGCGGGCGGATTAGGAGCTGGTCGCTCTCCTCTGCGGGGACAATCACCTCTACTTTACGTTTTGTGGCCATGAGGCTCATATTTTAGAGGTAAAAACCCAAAATAGTGAAGAATAAACCTCTCATTGATCTGCTGTTTTGGGGAATGAATGAGAGGGGGAGGACTCCTGTCAGACGTCACATTTTCGGTGCTGTGCCAAAATACCGTCGTCAGACAACAACAGCTTCGACGAACGTTCCCCGAGAAACATCTAAGACATTTTCTGTGTGTAATTTTAACTTATAAAATGAATGAAGGAATATATTTTTGAAGCTGTTATACACACTTAAAGAAATGCATCAGCTATTGTTTTTTTTTCAATGTCTGACGCGTGAAATACGTTTCAAGCATCGGATATTGGTCGCGTCCCCTTTAAGCGGTGTTGGGTGTAGGCTGTAAAACTGAGGGGGAAGCTAAAGAGTCAAGAGGAGGTAAACAGAAAGCTACTTTGAAGAAAATCTAAAATAAGACCGTCACCGTGCTGAAAGGTACGCTTTTTTACACCAACTCGACCAAATAGGCTGATTTTATTTTTATTAAAACCTTGAGAAAGTCTGAGGTGTTTAACCTCAGTGTGAGAATAATAAATGCGATGTGAGACATTTAAGGTGGAGTAGGTTTGAGTTCCATCTAAATATATCATTTCACTTTAAAGTGCTTCATTACAGCTTGTGAAGTTCACTGCTTGGCTCACTTTTTAAAAATAATGCCTGACTTTTTTGTAATCTGTTGATTCTGGTGTCTCTGTTGTTAATTCTTTTCATACAACAGAGGCAGTGTTACAGTTACAGGTGTAAACTTCCGGTGAAGATGATGCCCCCTATGTGACCCAAGCTTGTGTTTCAGTTTCAGCTAAGAAAATTACCCCTATTACAATTCACATATCTACAACGTTTTGTTTTCTCCCTTTTTGAGAGGTCCACTATCTGCTTGATAGAGAAGTAGAGATGTAACCATATTTATAGAAAAGGCTGAATTGTCAATTAAATGTTCTCAGTTTCAAACACTTTGTTAGAGAAATCAAGTTGACTGAAAATAAATGCACAATGTTATAGTTGCAGCCATGAAATTATTATTTGCAAAAACAATAAAGTTTATGAATTTGAACATTAAATATCTTGTCTTTGTAGTGTATTCCATTGAATATAGCTTGAAAGGGGTTTGCAAATCATTCTATTCTGTTTTTATTTACGTTTATCACAATTTTCCCAACTTTAATGGAATTGGGTTTTGTACAAATCTAGATTCAATGCGTTATACTTTACCTTTTTGTTAAAATCTGAGAGGGTGGTTCTGCCCTGCATGTAACTGTGTGATCTGTGATGTTTCAGGCTGCTGAGGCTGGTGGGCTGAATGTGGTCGTCATGGTGAACAATGTTTCGGAAAGTCAAGAAGCGCCACAGCAGCAGTAGCTCGCAAAGCAGTGAGATCAGCACCAAAAGCAAAGTACAACAGCACAAACACGTACATTAACACAGAAATAAAAGTGATCAAGTAGCTGCTTTTGTCCTGATCAAGTTTTACCAGTTTGCTTTTTTGTCTGTTTGTTTCTGACTTGCTTTAGTCTGTGGACTCCAGTTTGGGTGGGCTCTCCAGATCCAGCACTGTCGCCAGCCTCGACACTGACTCCACTAAGAGCTCAGGTCAGACTCTAATCTCTTGTCTCCATCGCTCTTCTAGTCTTCCTTCTTTATTAAACATTTGTTGGAGTCACACAGAAATAAAGGTTGGGACTGATATCAGGGGTAAAATAACTTCTAAAATGAGAAGAAACATGGGTGCTTTTTTATGTAGGCACCCCTAAAAGCACACAGTAACAGGTTTAGACAAAATAAAGGCTGTCATAAAGATTTCACAAATTATAATTAGTCCTCTTTTTAATGATTGTTTTACATAATTTCTCTTTACAGGTAATAGCACATCTGAAACATGTGCTGAGTTCAGGGTCAAATATGTGGGAGCTATTGAGAAGCTGCAGTTCAACATGAGCAGGACCCTGCAGGAGCCTTTGGACCTCATCAACTACATTGATGCTGCTCAGGTCAGAGACTAGAAAGAAACAAAAGGGAATAATCCAGTCTGCAATGATGGATTTGATGATGCTGTAATTTTTTCTCTGCTTATACAGCAAGATGGAAAGCTGCCTTTTGTGCCTGGAGAGGAAGAGATGGTTCTTGGAGTGTCAAAGTATGGAGTCAAAGTGGCCTCACTGGACCAGTGTGTGAGTAGAAAAGCACTAAAACATCAAAGCGTTAAATTAAGCATCGGTTTTTGTTCTTGATATGATTTTATTTTGCATAGCCACTGACCTGCATGTTGCTTCTACATTACCAGTCTGATCTTAGCTAATGCAGGATGAGCTGATCTGGTATACTAAGATTCAAAACCTTATCTTTCAATCTTTCACACAAACTATCAACAAAGCAGTCAAAAACGAAGTGCTGTGTTTTGCCTCTCTGGACAGGACGTACTGCATCGCCATCCTCTCTACCTGATTGTGCGCATGCTTTGCTACGATGACGGCCTGGGTGCAGGGAAGAACCTCCTTGCTCTGAAAACCACTGATGCACAACAGGAGGAGTGCAGCATCTGGGTGTATCAGTGCAGCAGCTCAGTGAGTGTGATCAAACAGTTTGAGGTTTTTCCTTCCAGTCAATAAATGCTGTTAATTTCACGATCATCTGTCCGAACAGGAGCAGGCTCAGTCCATCTGCAAGGTGCTGTCAGCTTCTTTTGACTGCGTTTTGACGTCGGACAAATCCTGAAGCCAGTAGAGTATACCGGAGCTTTAATGTTTCCAGACAGAAGGAAGAAACAACTGCAAATCAGCACACAACCATGAGAACAACATGTGCAATCATTTCCCCTTTTTTGAGCTGTGTTTCCTTTTGGAAGAGAAAGCTGCTGTTTTTTCCACCAAGCAGGAAAAAAAATCTTGATTCAAACATTTAAAAAAAAAAAAATCAGAATCTGTTCATCATGATTCTCCAGAGACACTGTGAATTTGTCTGAATCATTTTCTTTGGCTCTCTTGTTTTCATTTCATGTTTTATCTTTTACATCATTTCAGAAGCAATGAAAGGAAAAAAAGGAAAAAGGGAAATGATTGCAATTTTCTGCAACGAAATCTGTCTGAACATATTTTATTATAATGGTACTTAATGTAAAACCTCACTTTTGAACCGTGTCAGGATCCGGTCTTAAACAGGAGACAGTAGCATCAACAGGAAAAAAACAAGGTACTCACATATATCGTAATGGAGACCAACTGCAGTGTAAGTATTAACACGCTCACGTGTGTTTTGTCGTGTTTCAAACATACAGAATTGGTACAGCAGCACTCAAAACTTCGACACATCACACAAAAGTGCTTATTTTTTTCACCTGTCTGAGCAGACTTACCTTTTTCTGTTCTCTTTTATTGTACTATGTTAAAATGTCTTAGTGTTGATACTTTCTTGGTACCAAAAGCTTGAAGTTTTCTCTGATATTTTTATGTTGTTTTTGAAACAATCCATTACACTTGCTAAAACCACGTAAATGACAGTGTTCTGTTGAAAGATTTGAAGAAGAGTCATGTTTACACTCTTGGTACTAACTTGACATCACTTTGTACAAATTATTAACCATGCTCTCCTTTTTTTTTAAAAATCTCTTCTTAATATTAAGAGTGATGTGGAGATGTGTGACAAGAAAATAATCGCGTGTGATTTGGTACGTGAACTGAGTGGAGTGCCTTTTTGGGTTTTAATAAAAAATGTCGTTTCTAAACTTTGGATTGTCTAATTCATTTGTTTCTATTTTAAAATGTGTGGGTTGATAGGAAAATGTTGGTACCTTTTTATTGTAGTTCCACAGATTATAATACCATGTGTATTCCTTTAGCCCGGACCTGGTGAAATTTCACCATGAGAGGGAGCTCTTGATACATCAGACTTTTTATTTAAAGGAGTAAACCAACATTTTTTTTCCTTTTTATTTTAACCGTTTTATTTGTCATTATTAAAAGATGGTGAAACTATTAATGCTCTTAACAAACAGATGTACGCCTCGTGTTATCTCATGTTTTTTATTCCAGTTTCATTTCCCAATTTACTTGAACAATAGAGTTAAAGAGTCAATGCAGTGATCCACAGACACTGAATGAGAATGAAGTTATTTTTTTTCCCAGTTATGTGTGTGCGTGTGTTTTCAGCACACACACGCTCACACACACACACAGATCCAGCTGAGGTTGTATCTGTAGCTGCTCATCACCACAGCACATTAAAACATATTTAATGAGCGGGATGACTGTTTCTTAGCTCCTATTTTCAGCATTTAAATAAACAAAAACATAACAATGCTATTTACACAAACAGATAATTAAATCTTCCTGTTTCCAGTGAGTTCACGATGAAGAGAGCAGATCAGCTACACACACACGCGCGCTCCTCTTCTAGTCATTCACAAATCCATGGAAGGCTCTTGGTTTCAGGTTAAATGCCTTAATATCGACATTATGAACAGACAAAGTTGCTCTGCAACCAAAATGAAGTTAATTACATTTATATTTCTTTCATAACACTATTGACACACTCTTCTTTCTACAATAAAGGATCCCGTGTAGGAGATATTGAAGCCTTATGCAGGGTGTTACTTTCTCTGGCTGTCTGGTGGCAGAGAGAGTGTCAAAGACAGAGACTACATTTGTATAAAAAAAGAACAGCCTGTCACAGTCTGGGCTCTAATAGGCAAGAGGAGGAAACTAGAGTCACAGAGCGACCTCCCACCGTATGTTTTTTATATCCTCCTGTTTCATCATTCTTTTATTCTCAGCTTATTCTGTGCAGACGATACACACAACCACACGCACACAGACACACACACACACACACACACACACAGGCCTATTCCTCTAATAAGGCAGATGACAGGCGGAGACAGCCTCAGGTTTCAGACTCAGCTTGAAGGTAATTACTCGCTCCAGTCGGCTTCAATGTTTCACCTGAAGCAGCTCAGGAGGAAGAACTTGAGTATTAATGTTCTTTATGATAACCCTGTATTTCTTTTTTTTTTTTTTTTTTAATGGCAACCTGTGTTTAAAACAGGGACAGCAAAGCGCTCCCTCAATGCAGCTTCTAGTATAATGCAGAGTTCACTTAGCACCATCAAGACGACCTCCATGCAGGAGGTCTGCTACGGAGTGTAACATGGCACCTAAAAGCAGGAAGGCATTCAAGATGGCTCATGCACAGAGGTGGAATGTAAGCATGTTCACATTTACAGTAGTTAGTTAGTAACTGACATACATCACTTCTTAGTGTTGGCTGTACAATGCAGCTGAGCAGGGAAATCAACAGAAATGAATACTGTACATTAAACCTTCATTCTCATTTTGTAACAGGGATAAAGACACAAAAGTGCATTTATTGCGAGAGGTCGTTTACTGCAATCATTCTTAGTTTACTCTGAGGGTCTTTGTCAGATACAAAAACAGCAAGCATTAAACCACACACACAGCCCCATGAATCCCTGCGACCATTTCCCAGACTTCTTTAAAAAAGCTGCTCCTGCTGACACAATGACACCCACACAAGTTGGTGTTGACACAGCAGGGGACTCCTGTACAAGCTTGCTGGAGATGCCAGGGAGGATGAGGAGGATGATGTTGGCCACACACAGTGGGAGAAAAGTGAATGGTGGCAGCCAGGACGCTGGGATTCTCCCCAGAGAAGAATCCCAGAGACTGTTCAGTCTGCAATGAAGTGAACAAAAGTGACGGGGAACGCTCCTCGTCTCAATGGATCTCCTTCGATGTGGCCCAGCTGTGAGGGAGGAAGACAGAGATAAGGTCAGAATCAAATAAACATCACTGGAAAAGTTAATTGATGGACTGTTCAGCCAACTATAAAACAAACACAACACTTACACACCACTGAGGACTTTGACTTATTTTAAAAAAATCTGATTTTCTGATAGATTCATTATAGACTCGTAAAACATGTATTTCAAGAATACATGTTCATTTGAATACATAAAGACTGTGAACAATGAGAGATGAATTTAGTCAAATGTTTTGCCAATTAAAATAAAATATGATGGATGACATGACAGCTCCCCAAAAGCCAAAACAGCTGGAGCTCCCTCTGCTGACTGGCAGCATAAATGACAGCGTAAGTCATAAGCTCCGCCTCCTCCATGTAGAAAGATGGAACATATGTCAACCTTCAAAGTCATAAATAAGTTTTGGAAATTTTCTCCCAAACATGCCGTGTCTCTACTGCCGACTAATCAATTTTTTCACGTTCTGAGTGTCTGCTTCAAACTGTCATAAAATAAAGTTATGCAATCATTTGTACGAGCATGAGGGACACTGACAGTTGCACTGGTAAGGTTTATGTATCTGTCTGTTAGCAAAAGGGTTCCACATTCAGGGGTATTATGGCTTCACTTTTAACAGAAGCAGTCAGAGGCGTGTCATCCATCTTCATACACTCCAGTTTAATCCAAAAGTTATGCATGTGATAGCTCCTTATCTGAAGTATGAGCATAACAGAGTCTAATTTGTAAGTAAGAATGTAAAACTGATGTATGTTTTTAAATGGAGAATCATTTATTTCATATATTTAAGCTTATCCATACAAGTCTGTATAAACTGACACAAATCGGGACTTCTTGGATCTAAACTACAAAACCCAATTCCATTGAAGTTGGTAAATTGTGATAAACTTAAATAGAAACAGAATACAATAATTTGCAAATTCTTTTCAACCTATATTCAATTGAATAAACTACAAAAACAAGATATTTAATGTTCAAACTCATAAACTTTATTTTTTTAGCAAATAATTAACTAGTGTAAAGTCTCTGTAGTGAATTCAATTAAATATAGGTTGAAAATGATTTGCAAATTATTGTACTCTGTTTTTATTTACATTTATCACAATTTCCAAACTTCAATGGGATTGTGTTTTGTAAATCAGGAGATCAGCTTTGCTAAACATCACCTAACGGAGCTCATAGAGTAGACTATGGGAGGCTAAATCACAATAAATATCTCTGTACCATCTAAAACAACACCCCACATTATTGTTTTATTACCTTGTCAGATTAAGGAGACAGAACTTAGTCATTTTAAAGGTCGTCTACACCTGAAAGTAAAAAGCTGGGACATGTTTTGTGCTCCAGTAATGATAAGAAGAGATTAATGCTAAAACACACTAAGTATTAAACAAAGAATAATGCTGTTACAGTGGCACGGGTATATACACTTCTTCTATGAGCTACAAAACATCCATCCAAAACTTATGTTGCTTTTAAGAGAATAATTTTATCTCCAGTGATTTCAAAATGAAACATGTTGGACGGACACACCACAGGGGCAATCACTCCTCTTGACTCTGCGCTCTGTTTACATTTTGATAATTTCAGACACACAGAGAGTGATAACACTCTCTTCGAGGACATAGAGGAAGCATGGTGTGGACCTCTGGGGACTTCGGGGTCCATGCAGGGCCACAGAAACAGAGACTGACTAAATACGGTCATATCTGCAGAGGTGGCTCGCAGGAAAACAAGCTGCAGCTGGTCGAGGTTCACACAAGGGGCTCCACAGAGGAAGCAGCAGCAACAGGCGGAAAAAGAGGAGGAGGGGGAATATTGGCCGGAGTGAGATCATAGCTTTTTGCTCCTGCTACCATGGTGACAGAGTGCACTGACACCCACTTGGGAAAAATGAGGCTAAAATGGGACACTGGGATGGACTGAGGATGCTTTGTGCTTACATATGAGAACACATGCAAGCAACTAAACAACAAGAACTAATGAAAAACATGCACCAGAAAGAGAGAGAGAGAGAGAGAGAAAGAGGGGGAGATACTGACCCACCACTCTTGATCCTCCTCTCCATCCACCACGATCACCTCGCCCTCAGAGAACGTCAGCTCATCAGGGTTGTCAGCGACGCAGTTGTAGATGGCTTTTACTCGCTTTGGCCGCTGCTTCTGGGAAGGAAATCGCAAACATAGTTGAATAAAGTCAAGCCATGAAGGAAAAATATCATTTCTGACAGACACACCGACTCAACCAAGGATTATTCCTTCTAGTTGTTGAAGAAAAAGAAGAAGAAGAAGAACCTGACTGATCCTCAAAGGGAAATTCAATTGTAGGTTTTTTAGGGAAGAATGTTTTTTCTCTTCATGGGACAAGATTTTTGAGGCATTTTGCTTTGCTTTGTGACTCGGCTGGTAAAACTAAAAGCTGCAAAATTGTTCTTTAGTCGTCAAAGTGTTTCTGTTTTTCCCTTCACAACTATCATTGGTTTCCAAAACGATGATAAAGCACCAATTTTCCCATCTTCAGTGAAAACTGACAGCAACTTCATCCTGCAACTCCAACCAAACAGACAATGTAGATTCACATTAAAGGTACGGTGCATAGAAATGGGAATATGCTGAAATATCCAGCAGCCAGAATCAGAATTAAAAAGCCCCTTCGATGACGAGAAGCTCCTGTGGAAATTTAGGGAATATGTGGATGCTGGAAAAACTGAGACACCAGACAAACCTGCAGCACATTTAAGAGAATAAACAGAATAAAACGACCTGGGAAATTAGCAGCCAGTGACTAAGCATGAAAATGAATAAATAAGCATTTTCCAGTCACTAATATGTGAACGATAATAAGCGGTTGAAAGGGGGACTCACTGGATAAGCCTTCCTCGGCATGGGGGCTGGAGCCAGAGACTGACCTATGGAGTTCTGGGGGCATCCTGGCACTTCCTTAGCTGGAACAGGAAAAGGAAATTTTATCACAACGACAACAAAACTTTTCCGAAATAACACCGTGGGACAGATAGTGAAACATCCTCAAGTGTAGCTCTCTTAACACCGGACACACACAGTCGCTTATCCCTCTCTTATCCATTCACTCACTTGGTCTCTCGATAGATTGTGTCCGGGCAAGAGGTCCTCTGCTGAAGCTTTTATCATTCCTGAAAAGACACAAACTGTCTTAAAAATGTGCTCCTATCAGCAGATAGATAAAGGTCCTATTCAGAGAGAAATGTAATAGAGAACTGTCCAGACTCTCAGCAGCTCTGTTTTAGATTTATTACAGCCCTGTGGGACAGAAAAGAGACTAAAGGGCGACTGTGGAGGAGAGTCATTGTTGGTCTGGCTGATGCAGAGCTTTAGCTTGAAAAGCTAATGAAGCAGCTGAGCAGCAGCCATGTCAGCTCATCCATCTTTGGGGAAAACAACATGTACAAGACAAGCATTCAAGAAGAGCTAAATGCACAGATCTGGGGCAGTCAGAGAGGATCCTGTGTGTGGAGTGAATGATACTCCTCTATTGTTTTTCCTGTGTCACTAAAGAAGCTGCAAATCCACAAAGTAAAGACGACAGACCCTTGGTTTTAGGACTTGTTCACTCGAACTTTAAGGTTGCATGGATTGCAGCATTTCTTACCCTGCTGGGGATTTGGGGGGCACCACTCTGGAGCCCAGCGGCCCTTGGCTGGACTTGGACTGGATGCTCAATGATTCCATCTTCGCTACAGGGGCAGGACCCAGACCTACAACACACAGACACACCTGGGTTGCAAACTTTTACACAAGTTAGATCATACGTTTAATAAAACATACGAGACAGTGTAACATAAACACGCTGTGTTTAAACAGTTTACATGTATTAGGAGGGATAGTACTGTCATGTTGACCTTCAACATGTCCTTTTAGCATAAGGCTGTTTTCAGGGGGTTAAGAAGAGGTGAAGGAAGGGGTATGTTTCTTAAACTCGTGATGAAAGCCTGATGCAAAGCACAAAAGAGTTTATTTTAAAGGTCTAGCACAACAAATCCATTTCAACTGTTAAAAAAGAGAGAGCCTTGTTCTTATTTCTCACCTCAGTCCAAAGAGCAACTCAAGCTCATACTTTCTTGAGTCAAATTATCCGTCAGCCATCAGCAACTTTAAATCTAAGGCACTATATTGTATTTTTATTCCCTCTGTATAGCAGCTGTCTAGTAAAAGGCTGAGGAGTAGCTCTGTAAGGGTCCATACCTCCAGTTGAAGTTAGTCTCAGCGGGGGGACAGGAGGATGCATGTTGGGGGGATCTGAGGACGACCTCTGTCGACCCATCAGGTCTAAAGAACCAGGTTTCCAGCTGCTGGTCACTGAAGACTGAATGATCCCACCCAGACCAGATAACTGGGCTAAGAAAAAGAGAGAGAGAGACAGAGAGAGAGGGGGGCAGTTTTTAAGATGACAAAAACAGACTGAAAGAGAGTGCTGCACTCTGCCAAAACCAGAATCTACTTAAATATCTAAGGCCGTCTCCATGTGAGTGTAATTGAGAGCGACAGTTAATGAGGAGGATGGAGGAATGTGCAGAATGTCGGGGCTGGGGGTTGTGGTGAGGCGGGGTAAGTGACACAGCTGGTTGCTTCTCCTCTGCTCTGCGGCAGACCTCCAGACAAACACTCAAGTTACTGAAGAACGACTGAGGGGAGAAACATCACGTGTCGACTATACGACACAGAGTCTTAGCAGGAAAACTGAAATTCCTCAAAAAAGGTTTCACATTTTAATTCCATTTAATATTATCAGAGACTTTTCAACACAAGTTTTTCTCAAAACACTTTCAGCGTTCAGGAAAATCTGCCCTTTAGGTTTGAGATCCACAGAGATAGGAGGTCAAACGGCTTCCAGAAAAAGCTGCCCCTCCATTTGTCCTCAATGTGACTTTTCTCCACTCCAGTACCCGGATACATCTGTGGTGTTCAAGCAGGTTGAGAAATTGCCAAGATCTGTGTGGTAATTAATATAAAGCCCTCAGAAACCGCTGAAACAGGGCCAAATCCTCTGGCAAATTTTAAAATAACACTTCCCTAAGGTAGTCTATGAGGCCAGAGTCAGGTCAGAGAGGTTAATTGCCTCTCTTTGATACAGCTCTGCGCTCTTACCCAGGTTCCTTGGTGGCAGAGGCGGAGCAGAGGTGGTGGAAGGCTGAGGTGGGTTGGTGTTTAGGATGGTGCCGTACGTCTCGTTGTTGACCAGGTTGGGGATGTAGGTGCGCTGTTTGTCTTTGGCGAGGCCGACGGCGTCACGGCTGGCAGAGCTTAGACCGGACTGGAGGTGGGAGTTGCTGCCCGGGGTGTAACAGCTTACAGGGCGTTCATCTCTGCGGTGAGGGCTCGGCTACAGAAGCAGCGGGAGATTGGAGGATCAGTAGTGGACAGAAAAAAACTGAATTCCCTCTTAAAAAAAAGTACATCACAGTCAACAGCACCCTCAAGTCAATTTTCCAGGTCAAATCAAACCCCACATGCTGATAAAAATACCAGCAATTATTATTCAGGGTACCCTTCACTTTTCTTGTGCTCTAATGTCAGATATATACGCCCATTTATCAATTTAGTCTGAAAATAAAATCAGAAAAACTCCAAAAGAAAAACAGTTTTTTGTTAAATTTGGTTAATTTTTTTCCGGGAAAATCAACCACAAAGATACTCTGTGAAGAAGTGTGGGTGCTTTAAATGTCAAACTGGCTGTTCAAATGGCTTTAAAAGAAGAAGAAGAAACAGATTCAGTCGTTTGTTTGAAAGACTCTTGTCTCTGTAGGAACTAAACAGTAGCTGAGCTTTTAGGCTTCATTATCCCCTTAGAGACTCACAATTTTTATCTTCTTCAAATGTGTTCTCATTTTTTGCCTGATTGTTCCTTTTTTTCCTGTCTGTGTAACACAGCTTAAAAAAAAAAAACCTCTCTTCTCTCACTTTCTCATCCAGATCCTCGTCACTTTCATCCAAATCTTCGTGCTGCAGGCACCATTCATATTCAACGTGAACGTGGGCGTTGAATTTCCCTGCCAGCGCTTGGTTTAGCTGCAGACACAAACAAAACCCCGCTCATGCAAACAGAAATGACTGACGGCTCTTACAATCATAAAGTGATATGTTTGCAGGCAGAAGCCAAAAAGTCTAAACACTGTGCCCTCACCAGCTCCTCGCACTGGAGGTGTTTGAGCCTGCGAGCGATATCCAGCGGCGTCTCCCCGGCCTCATTAGCTGGAGCGGAAAAGAACAGAAACATATAATCACTGTTGGATCCACACCACATGAGCACAAACACACAGCCCATTTTCAGAATGACATGAGAAATGTGTAATTAGATCGTTTCCCACAGTGAACAACTCTCTAGTTTATCTCTGTCCTCCTCCAAACTCTATCTATTATCTGCCTGTTTTGTCGATGTCAGAGTGGAGCAGAAAGATTAGTGTTGTGAGAAAGAGTTGCCATGGTCTGTTGGCACAGTCTGCACCTTTGGGAACCAAACCTGCAAGACTTGAAACCAAGTAAATGGATCAGGGTGAGGGAGAGCAAAAAAATACAAGGAAGACAGAGAGGAGGTGCGCAGAGACTTACTCCATTTAAACTTACAAATTCACAACTTCTCAGTATCACAGGTTTATCATCATGGATGTATGAAAATAATTACTCTCATCTTGATAGGTTGTCAATGTAGTTTTCGAATTGTGTGGGCCTGATTCTCTAAAACCTCCCATCTGAAAGGGACATTTCTGTTAGCGATGCACCGATCCAAAATTTGATATCGGTATCAGACCTGATACTGAAGAAAATTCTAGATCAGGCATCAAGGACAATGGGCCCGATGCATAGGGGACAATCTATTCAGTCTAACTCTATGCTATGCACTGTGAGAGGCATCCACAAGTAAACACGTGGAGTGGGTGCCCACATTGTTTTCAAAACTGAGCAAGCAAAGGGGTCTGCTATCTTGAACTTTATCACACTACCTCAGCCTACAAGCTCGACAGTCACTTGTAATACCTGCGCAGTAAATGTTCAGAGGGGCGGTGATAAAACTTCAGGTTACAACAAAAGGTAATTCAGCTGTATCGGAATTCTGTATCAGAACTGGATCGGTATCGGTCAATACTAGACTGTAGATATCTGTATCGGAGGTGATCGGTGCATCCCTAATTTCTGTACATAACTGGATCTGATGTGTAAAGATGCAGTTTAAATGCAACAACCTATTTCTAACTGGGAGTCGTTCTGTAGCTACAGCTGTTGGTCTCTTAAAAAAGAAGAAGACAGAAAAATGGGAAATTTGCGACTGATTATCTGTTACTTTCTATCTGTAACTGCAGACGTGAATTAGCGCTTAACTAACTTTGGTACAATGTATCAAATGGCAACCTTCATGTTTAATATTGCACATCGACCTGTCAGCAGATAAAATTGATTAGTTATCTCAACTTACTGCCAGATAAAGGCCAACTTCTATGTAACCAACAAGGAAAAACCACAAATTTAGTCAACCGTATAGCAGAGGGACTTGTTGCTAAACAGACTTTTTTAATTGAATAGTATAAAAAGAACCTGAGACAATGTAAATCTCAGCCTTAAATGAGCTATTAGCTTCCTGTGTTTATATCAGCCCCTTTTCTGATGTTATCTCATCACACCTACTGAAACAAACAACCATTTGTTGGACTTTATACAAAGGATGTATAACAGGATACAGGAGAGGAGAAGAAAAGACAAAGTGATGGACAGTAAATGCACCACACTTGTGTCTTGAATGTTTTCTTTACCGATCTCTATGGAGGCCTTCCCCCTCAGCAGCAGCTTCAGACACTCGCTGTTGTCTGTCAGGCAGCAGTAGTGCAGCGCTGTGCTTCCTTTGACTGTCTGCTTATCAAGATTCAAGCTGCAGAGGGACACACAGAGAAGAAACTTTCAGTCTTTCTCATGTCAAGCCCTAATGTCTATTTGAATATTCTCCAACACAATCAAAGATGAACTATATTTTTACCATGAATCTGAAAATTACAATATGATAAATGAACCCTCAAAGAAAAGAGAAATGAAAGTAATGAAAAAGAGAAAATAACTGAATCTGAAATGTAACAGTTAAAGGGATATTGTTTTTGAGTGGTGCTGATGCTCTGAAGAAGCAGTATGTTTTATAGCAGTGTATTCAGTATTTAAAGCACAGTCATTTTGCATTATGCAAGTGACACGTGACTTAATTGAAGAGTAATAATAATAATAATAATAATAATAATAATAATAGTAATAATAATAATAAATTTAATTTGTAATGCACTTTACATTTACAAGAAATCTCAAAGTGCTACAGTACACAGTAAAAAAGAGCAGCAACAATAAAAAGCAATAGAATGTCAGTCACAGATTAGCATAGCAAGCATAAGAGAATAAAAATAAATAAATAAATAAATAAAGAATATAGAATTGCAACACGGTCTTCTGTTGTTTCGTTTTACCTGTTCTGAGTGAGGAAGTCGACGATGTGAAGAGATGTTCTATCCACCAGTCTGACAGCCAGATGAAGAGCTGTCTCCCCTTGTTCCTGTAATAAAGAGATGAATCATTTGCACCGCACCCGTGGGAATATAAGGCGTTTGTCTCGAATAATAGAAGAAGCAGGAAAGATGCGACAAAGCACTTTGAGTAACAAGTCATCCTCCTGTTGGAAAAGCTCCAGTTTTAGAGCCACCACTGAAGGACAGATTTTGACATATTTATTTGTGCACTGACGTGTCCGTTGGCCAGAGGTATAGGCTCCATGAGGTCAACTCCTTCTGCGTAGACCTGGATGAGGGAGAAGATGTCCCGGGCTTTTACTGCGTCACATAATGTGTGTAGTCGCGATGTTGCATCAGGACACTTCTTCCTGGCGAACCGTTTCTCTGTGTATTTGGCTGTGATGAAGTCTTTCCTCGCCTGCCTGGAGTGAGATATAAAAAGAGTTTATGAGTCAAGGCTGCATGGTTAAATTGTACAGTACATAATATATTGATTCTGTAAAAGGAGTATGGAGGATGTAAATGTATTTAGCAGTATCTGTCAGATTCCAAAGTAAAAGTCCTTTGAAATACGTCATTAGACTAAGGTGAGTGGCTGCAGCTAAGAGGACATGATGCAGCAGACCCACAACCATGAACTGGAAGGCCAGCATGAAGGTAAGTTTACCCTGTCCTTTCCTATGAATGTGCCTCTTTTTTTTTAAATTCACCTCTCAGAATAACGTGTGCTTGTTTGTTTAGCTCATAACACAAGTATTTTCTGCTGAACACCATGAAATACTACGCACTGTACCTTTAAAAATCTCTGCAGTTACATTGCTCTCTTGCAGAGTTCCTACACAGTTGGAATTTCCATACTTAGAATTATTATTATTATTATACTTTTCTATTTTAGAAAACAGTATTTTATAACTGGTAATATAGTATACTTTCTTTTCATTTAACATTTTTTTATGACCTAGAAATTGATCGAATTACTTCCAAACTTTCCATACTTGCATAGGAACCCTGTGTCTGGTAAAAAGTCACGAGAGTTTCCAAGAGAAACGTGCATCTGCAACATTTCTGTCAAAGTGAGCTGTTTTTAGTAGATCTAATATCACTTTGAATATAAAATTTAAAAGACATTTCCCCTTCATTACTGTGTGTCAAACATGAAATAAAAATGCAAAATGTATCTTCATTTAATATTGTTTTAATCCTGAAGATTGAAGAAATTGAAGAAATATTTCTGTCATAATAATTATGGTTTGTGGAAAGATAAGATTGATGATTTGACCATAACACCGTCAAATAAGTGAAGAGGAAGTATGAATCAAGGAGTTTTGGGTGAAAGGGGGTAGGGTTGACTTACATGTCACTGGCTGGATTGGGTTTCACCACGTTTTCAGCGTTTAAACAAGCCTCCATGATTTCATTAAAGCCTGCGTTCCCCACATTCTTGGCCAGCTGTTCAGCACACACACAAAGACACAGACACAAGAGCATGCGTGTAAATCAAAACTTGTTACGACCACCATTTGCTGCACGACATGCATTAATAGAAAAGTCACTATCTCACACCTCCGTTAGGATGTGGTGAAGCCCCTAAACTGTGGGCGTGTGTAAGTGTGGAGCCTTATAAACTGCACAACGCCTGATTGTGGTTAGAAAGAGCGGCGTCTGAACACCAAAATTGGATGCATCTATTCTCCAATTTCCCACAGGCGATAAATCTTTGCACTGAACAGGGAGCAGAAAAGCCCAAAAAAATCTCAGCTATCTGAGTGTGGAGAGGTCCTGGAGATGAGAGCAAGGCCTCAGATGATGCTACTCTTGATCACCACTCTTGGTTTGCTTTTCAAGGAGAGGACAGGTGGGAGCAGACGGGTTGAGTTACATCCTGTCTCGCACTCTCCCGACTGATTTACATGGAAAATCTACACAATAAGACTCAAACAGAACACGGGATAAGGACAGTGATTTACCAAGAGCTCTGAGGTACTGAGTACATCAAGCGTGAGGGACTGGATCCTGGAGTAGTGGACTCCCAGCTCCCTGTGGATCCCAGAACATTCAATACAGGTGAGGATGCCCAGGTTGGTGGACAGCCATGTTGGGTCTGAGGAAGGAAAGAAGGAAATTTTTAAGGAATGGGAAAAAAGGGCAAAATGCACTGGGTATCTAACTGTCTGTGGGTAAAACAGATGAATGTAACAGTAATTTCTGCACACAAGCCAACTTTGATGTGTCCTTTTGTGAAAATCTCTGGAAATTCAACAGCTGCCTGGAGGACTTTTTCATCTATCCACTTTCAATGTCGAATACAGTTAAGCTCATCCATTTTTCCCTCCAAGTCTGCCCTACATTCAGAGCGTACATACTGTATGTGGATTACATGTACAGAATGTGAAAATATTCATCTGTCTGCAGGGAAGAATTTTATGGGATTTCAGAAAAACCTCAGCAAGAATCCATGTGCGGTAGAAAAAAGGATTTCATATTCGTAAACACAGAGGGTCCAGTTTGTGAGTTTTTTTCTGGCTGGAGGACATACCAGTGGTTTTGCCTGCTTCAGCTCATAACTATGCATTGACATCACTGCAAATGCGCACCAAAAGCATACCACACATTTTTAGACTGATTTCGTACCTTCAAGGCAGCAAATAATTTCAGCTAATCTACTCCAGAGTCTAAAAACATGCTTTCAATCATAGCTAACATGTTGTAAGAGTTAACATTTGACACAGTCAGGAAGTGAAGATGAGGGTTCAAGGATTTTCCCTGACTTCAAAGTCAATACAACCATGTTTTCTGGCATTACAAGGATTTCTCATCTAAAAAAAAAGTGACTCTAACCGCATGGTGGTGGATATTCTGACTGAACTCATCCCTGTATTAGGAGACTTGAATAATCTCTGAAATCACAGCTGCAGAGCCATACTGCGTTAAGTGGGTACAGCATCCTACAATTTGCAACAGCTGTGTGACGGATACATGTGATGAATTAACTCCAAGGACAACATCTAAAAACAAAAGGAAACTGAGATTCAAGACAGTGAGACTAAAGATAACGCTGAAAGGACATATTTTAACAATCAAGAAATCCAATATAAATCAGTCTTCTATAGTAGTGGTCATATATCCTATTTTTTAATGATGAAGTGGCCAATAGTCTTGTTTATTGTTTGAAAAGTCTTGTGATAAATAAGGCATATTTGATTTCCCAACAGTCTTTTTGTCAAGATGACATCCTCTAACATTCAGTTGATGAAGCTAAATGAGGCCAAACCACTGATGTGATCTTTTTCTTGCCGGCTGCATTAATTCACTCAGACTGTGTGCTGTGAATCATAAACAAAGCGTCCCTCTTTGTCACTCACTTGGCGCCCCGCAGTCACAGCACACGTCGTTCCCCGTCATCCTCTTCACCTCTCCCAGGATTGCTTTTGTTAGCTCCTGCACGATGTTGTTCTCACCGACATGCTGGTCCCCCTTGAAGGCCTGATTCAGCGCCTCCTCCTTACTGTTCTGCAACACTGAGATCCAACTGGAGGAGAGGAGAAGGCATAAAAAGAGTATCGTGAGAGGGAGACGTAAAAACAAGGTGTGGTGTCTGACTGGGTGTGAGGATGGAAACTGGCATTGAAAGGGAAGAAACAGACACTTACATCTGACAGTCCTGGTCATCCTCGGCTTGAAAGTGATACGTTCTGTCGTCTGAAATAAAGAAGAAGAAAATGACTCACAAAAGGAGGGACAGACGAGTGCATCAATAAATTTCTGATGGAAAAAGTTTTATTTTTTTCCACAAAGGGCATTCAAAGTTTGCTACTGAAGGTCAAACTGAGGCTGCACTGCTTCAAAAACTGTATTTTTTAAAAATCTACCTTCAAAACATGAATCACTGACAGATAACCAAGAAGTCTGAATTTACTTTTATCTCAATCTATCTAAAATAACTTAGTTTTCAATGTCAGTTCCAGTATCTCTTATTTGTGGAGAAATGACCAAAACTTTCTTAAATCAGAGCAAAATTATTGTGGCAGAAAATTCCCTTCTTTCACTGTTTATTTCGAAATTCTATTGTGTCATCTCTGGACTATCAAGCTGATGAAAAAAAGGTTTAAATGCCCTTAACACCACTCAAGAAGTGGTTCAGTAGCATAATTTAAGAGTTTGGCAAAACAAACAACAACAAAAAAAACCTAGACTGGAATATGGATTTGAGATATTTCTTTAAATGCATTTGATGGTAAAGTCTGCAGAAGATAGAGCTTTAAAGATGCTTTTATTCACCTTAAATAAAGTGGTTTGGATGTAAAAATCATCCAAAAACTCATCGAAACAGAAAAATGTAGTAAGTTTGTTAAAATAGTAAAAATGAAAAAATGCACATAAATATCAGTCAATCCAACTCGAACTCTTTCTGCCTTTTACCAGGATTGAGACTAAATGCTGGATTGAAAATGGTTGAATGCACTATATTTATATAAAACTATGCTCTATCTTGCTGCTACTCTCTCAGTGTAAAAGCCTTTTGAAATCCACATTCCTGCAGAGCAAATAGAAGCCCGCTGAGTCTAGATGAGTGAGCTATTGAAATTGAGTACAACATGCAGCCACTGAAACAGAGAAAAAAGGCAACAAGATAGAGGGGGCGGGACTTACGGGATATGAGGTCGAAGCTTCTCTTCTCCTCGGGGTTGTGTTTCACCTGGCAGGTGAGCAAGTTGAGTTTAGCAGGTGGTCGGTTAGCCTGCCAGGGAAAGACGAGTGAGAAAGCAACAACATCAATGAAATTTGCTTGTGATCTAGACGACTTGGATCTATTGTTTAATGTGTGCTTTAATTTCTGTATTTTGCAGGTAATTTAAGTGCTGTTGTTCACTGACTGTGCCGTGTGAGATGGTGAGGTATCCGTTCTTCGCTGTGCACTTCCTCTTCTGCCACACTTTCCTCAACCTGTGCAGACAGGAGACGGTGTTAGTATGTCATGTACATAGCCGTAAAACATACACTGCTGATAAAATATTCAATGCAATTAAATTATTACAAAGAACACATGCATTTTTAATGACACAGGCTGAGCTGTGGGTTCATATGTAATTAAAATATGTATTTAAGGAGCTGAGGTATACTGTTTTCCATCAGCAACCCCTGGTTGAGAATTTGTTCAGAAAACATCACTTATACACATTATAGACAAGATCTATGCCAACATTAAAAGTACTGCTTTTGTCCACAGGAGGCGCCAAATTCTATACAAACTGAAAATGTCCTTATGGGAGCTTTTAATGATCAATTCACCAGTCAATGGTTAATGGTTCATGGTTGCTAAAATTAAAAATCTAATAACCTTACTCTGGCCTCTGAAACATTGTGACTGACTTTTACATTACTTGATCACGTTTTACATATAAAAATTGTGTACAAATGACAAAGTAATCCAAGAATTAGCTAGTAAAAAAAATCTAAATTCTTATTTTTTTTTAATCTGTTATGAAAAAATGTATTTTAATCCATTTATTTCAAGACAAGGACTTAAACAAAGATAAAAAATACCTACTTAAACTGCTGAGTGAAGTAAAAGAGGATTTTTTTCATCAACAGTTACACAACTGATTCATTAAGTCATCCTGAAAAGCTCACCCGTCGCTTTTCTTGAAAAGAAAGCCGCTGCGCTCTGTGCCGTGCTCTTTGTTACCCTGTGGTTGATGCAGACTGTAGGTGGTGCTCTGCCGCACCTGTGATTCCTGAGAGGGAAAAAAAAAACACAAAGAAAAGATTAGTGATGAAGAATCAAAGCCCTTCCACAATTAAGAGCAGGAAGGAAAAAGGTTCCCTGTTATAATGGAACTACATAGCACCATCAAGTAAGTGTTACTGAAATGAAAAATGTCTCTTGGTTTAAAACTCAATTTTTTGTATATTTATGTTATTTCCTTTCTGGAGACACAACAAGGAAGAGGGAGGAGGACTTCAGAAGGCAGGCGTTTACAGGCTTTAAACGGTTTTATTGGTGTTTGCTGTTATCAGCAGACACACACACGCTAACATGAAGCACACAGTAATCTCAGAGGAGCGGGGATGCGAGCTCTATCTGGAGCTTTTCTCATTAGAAAAAGAAAACATTTAAAGTAAAGGCAACCAGGCTGTGAAAATGGCAAAACATACATTATCTGCTGCAATGGAAAGAGAAAACAATCTATTTACTGAAACTTAAACAACACTTTAGGAATAAAATTATAACAACCACAGAAAAAAAGGTTTTTAATCAGTCTACTTACTCTCCTAGACTTGTTTCACAAAAGACGGAAGCAGTAAAGGAAAAAAAAGAGGACAATCTTCAGGTGAGTTTCATATTTTAAAGTGTATCCTGAGTGGGCTGGGGTCAATCAAAAATAACAACCACTCACTCAGGTGGTGAAGAGAGATTTATGAGAATTCATCCAAATCACTGACAGTTTCTTTTACATCAACAGCGCTCTGTTTGAGTGGTCAACCGTGTGCTTGAGTTACCTCTTTCTGCTCCACCTGTAGTGCTGTTTTTAAGACATCTCTCAACTGCGTCAGCTGTTTCCTCTCCTCATCCTGCACCTGCTTTATCTGTGATGAACAAACAGGAGCAGAATGGCAGAGAAGAAGGACATATGATGCATATATTATAGAAATGTCAGGGTCTGATGTAGGAAACTCAGTTTTAGAGCAGTAAGTTTTCTCACTGTGTGCAGATCTGTGGCCAGTTTTTCGATGGAAGGTTTCAGGTTGTCCACAGCTTTCAGACCATCCTGGAAAAAACTGAAGAAGAACAAGACGTCTTAAACTCAGCAGGAGTACACTAGCTTCACGGAAATACTACGAACCGGATCTGATCTCAAATGCAAAGTGAGTTAAATGTTTTACATGAAGTCCAAATATGATTTAACTCAACTATTAAAAACCTGTAATACATTATAAGCAACAGTCATTTTAAAAAAAAGTTTACTTTAAATTCATCAATTCACCATCTTTATCAAAGCAGTTTAACTGTGTTCATGTTGTGTCTCTTACTTGCACTGTGCGTGGAAGTACTTGATAAGGTTCTGCAGCAGGTCCACCCCCTTCTTGATTTTGATCTCATTGACTTTGAGGAGATACTGTAAACACAATGAAGTGTGATTAATTCAGGCGGGGTGAGGCTGAGTTCAGTCAGAAGTGGAGGCAACCTGAGCTCAAACACCAGCATTTCTTTCATCTCTTCAATCGTGACACTTCAAGGTAAGGGTTGACATCTTCTGAGAACAAGCCTCTTTAGTAAATTGGTTGTTCTGAGTTTGAACATCTCCTTTACCTGCTAGATTTGAATAACTTCAGTGAAAATTTGAATAAACTGTGACACGAGTATCAATCACAGGACAGTCTTACCTCACACATCTGCAGCTGGAAGAACCTCCTCTCCTTCTCCATCTCCTCAGCGATTTCAGCCCCGCTGATTTCAGTCCTGATCATCCCATGCTGCCTTGCGTGCTCCTTCTTCTCCTTCTCTATCTTGGTCCTGCCAGGAAGTGACATCACAGGGGTCAAAGAGCATGCAGCACATCCATTACAGCAGCATAAACAAACTACAAAAGTGTGGTTTTGTGTAAAATCAGCCCATTTACTGTCCTGCAGATAAAGGTGTGACCTATCTAACTGATGATAGTTAATAAAGCAGAATAAATTAGACAGGTGACATCAGCCTACATATTAAATCAGTCTGGCTTTGTAAGCTGCTACGAGTAAAGGTTTTTTTTTTCTCTTTAAAACAGATAAACAATTAAGTAAGTAGTTGAACGCTACTAGCCTTTTCAATAGTGGCGTTTTGAGAAAAAGTTCGGACCAAAAGTTATCGCAGTTACCGAATCTCAAATATAGATGTGATATCAGGACAGATCAAATGATACTGATACCTGTTTTAGAGGCACAGAAACAAAAATGAGCTCCTTAACACTTAAAATAAGATATTTTAGATATTTTGTCTGTTTTTGATTTTCAACCTGCACACAGTGCTGGTCAAGAAGATATCCCAGAACACTGTCTACAGGCCAACGTTTGACAAAATACCACCAGCAATAAAAGGCAAAATATATAAAATCCTCAGGAATCCTGAAGAAGTGTGTATTGACATGTATAACTGCCAAAGTTTGCTTCCTGTGTGATTGATTTTTATTATTTATTTTCTTACTTAGGACATTGTGTAACATTAATCTTTATGCAGGAGTCAGTGGGAGCTTTGAGGTTGAAAAAAAAAAGACTTTAATTCTGTATTTTTTTTAATCATAAGTATGGGTACTTTTTGATTCTCTCAAGCAATTGATTAAGAGTAAACCTTATTTTAGCTTTAGCAATTTCCCATCACATTGAATGATTGTACGCAGTCAGCTTTTCCGTGCTTGTATTATTAAACTGAGGTGCAACAGGTATTTTGTAATGTGTAAATAAAGTTATGTAAAATCATTGAGATTAGACGTGTTTAATGCTTCAAAAAGTCCGGGGAGATAAACCTACAAGAGCATGAACAAATGTGATCAGTGGTTCAAAGTGTGGATCAATCTTCACACGCCAACCTGCCTGACAGTCAATGTTCAGGGCTGATTTTAGACAAAGACCATCATCTCAGCATTCAGTATCTCACACAGGCAATCAGGAAAACACAACAAACACACAGGGGGGCACCAATCCATGCAACTGGGGGCATTCTTCCCCATATGCTGTTATTATCTGACAGCATATCTCTGACAAAAAGGATGCAGCACTTTGTTTCCTTAGAGGGGAGATGAGTTGATGTCAAGTAGCTGCGCACGCCTAGTTCATGTGCATCAAGACAAAATTTTACTCACTCATGTTTCTCTTAAGTCTGTTTTACCTGACGCTAGGCTCAGAGTAAGTGTATCACAGGTACTTTGGCAAACTGAGGGATACTCTTTCTTGCAATTTTTTCATTTTTTTGGATGATTGTAGCACCCTATTTAACAGCTATACATTAGTGCTAAGCTGTCGAAATTTTTTATTTAACTATTTTTGTATTTTTCAGGATAAAAATATCAAACTTTTCCATTTACATGTCCTCTCAACTGCAGTGTTTTGTATCATGAATCATTAACTTTCACCTCCTCAAGGACAACCCTTTACACTTATTGATCTTGTATTTACGTCTCTTTAATGACTTCACATTTTAAACTGCAGCTAAATCAACTGTGTCATTATTTGTCATTATCCCATCATAGTGTAATGCAGGGTAATACAGCATCTTACACAGATGGTGTTGGGCTTGATTTGGCTTTTTTGTTTTTAGGTAAAAATTACATCAACATCAGCCGTGATCTGTTGCCCATCTTGTTTGTTTTCGACCAAAGTAACAAATAAAGAGACAATAAAAAGTCTGTTCAGTGTTTGTAGTAAGCTGGCCTGTTTTCCAATGTGAATAAACCAGATCAAATGTAATTGAGAATACACTGCTGGCCTTTGTCAGCACATGAATCTTCAGCCCTGACAGTGTTACAGCTTTATCAGGACTGAGTCTAATAGAGAGACACATGTTAGCCAGGCTGTTTGGCCGACAGCCAAACTGACAGAGGTTTGTCTGACGACCGAGCAGAGGATTTATTCACTTTCACTCCTGCTAGTTCAGAAAGTCAGAAAACTTAGACAAAGACATTGTACTTTAGATTTTTTTTTTACCCAATAAACAAAGCATTTAAACGTGGAGAAGTTGTCTGATTTAATCATATTTGAGATTAAAACCTCCTGAGTTATCAGGGTTGAAAGTGAAATCAACCTAAAGACAAAAAAACATCAAATTTGGGTTTTGGATGCAGATCACTAACAAACCAGATGAAAACATCATAAAGCAATGGTTCAAATAATCAATCTCTCTGTGTCTCTCAGGCTTATCATTTAATAAAAATACAGACATCAGCGAGAACAAAAGGAGGACGAGATGTCAAAGTGTTTTGGTGGTTTTCCAATCAGGTAGAAAATGAAACTCTATTGATGGCTTCGTGTTTGCTATCAATAGAGTCAGAGACAGTCACAGAGCATCCAGCTGAAGCCTCGATGACAGTACAAAGCCCATACTGTCAGATTGAAATGGTTTGGAGAGGAGAGAATGTTACCCTTTCAGTAAAGAATGTCCTTTGCAGCTTGTAAAATATATGAAAGTGCTATAAAAAGTCATGTGTTCACACATGCAAAGTCACAATGTGGAGGTGATGGTGAGTGTGGGTTATTCACATTATCAAGGATGTGTTAACTGATAATCAAAGAGGAGAGGAGGAGGAGAGTTAGTGGAGGAAGAAGGGTTAGTGAAGACGGGCAGAAACACAAACTACACATTCAAATCAAACGTGTAAATTCACAGTTACGACTTCACATCCCTCAAAATCTGATCAAACAACTAATCACAAAGATTTAAGCAATGGATAAGCATGCCTTAATGTCGTATTCAATTAACTAACGATTAAATAAATGTCGGATTTTATTTGTGTGAAATGTTTTGATACTTTTTGAAAAGACATAACAGATGTCTTACACTTTTGTTTCGTAGTCCTTCCAGGCTTTGTCGAAGGGCTTTTTCAGATCCTGTGAAGACAAAACAAAGACACATAAATACATAACGAAATTCCTGTCAACACTGATTCATCAACTACTATGTCAAGACTGACAATGAATTTTGTCTCCCAATGATTTGAATGATCAGCCATGTTGAGCTTATTCATCGAGACAAAAATTGCGGGTTTAAGCATCGTAATCTTATTTATTTTCAGTTTTAAAATATTGTAGATTGAATTTTTTGGGGTACTTGGGTGTCCACCTCTAGCTCAGAAAAGTAGTGACTTGTTTTACATCAGCTGATATTATGGGGTTACTCTTATTCCCTTGCATAGACTTTGATGAGGAAATCTCGGGTCTATAAGTCCATCTGGAGCTGGTGTAAAGCTCTTGTGAGGAACTCTCTATTTACATGGATTTTGGCGCCCCCTATTGGCTCAAAAATGCCTCTTATCTCTTTGCTGGGTTTGTTGTGTGAACATGCCGTCTATTACATGGAGACTTAACTGTAAAAACTAAAAGTAGAGTTTGTTTTGGCAGCTGCCTACCTAACAGCGGCTAAAAACAACTATACAGAAACCATCAGTCTTATTTGCTTCTGTTTCTTGGTATTGAACTGTCAGCATTCATTTCAAACCTGTTTCAAAACTCATTTAAATTTCTCACAGGAGCTTTTAAACAGCAGATTTATTTTGCTTACTATTACGAACAGAAGTAGCTAGCCTCATTTTGCCAATAACAGCACCCTGACTGTTAAATCCTGTCTTCTTTATTAGACGTGTGCAAAACTTTCTTGTTTAAAAACTTTCAATGGTTGTTTGATGAGAGATTTTGCGATGCACCAGTGAGCTTCACAGTTGCTGTTTGGATGATTTTGGCTACATTGGATGGATCCTGTTGAGAGGTTTTTCTCCTTCTTCATGTCTCTGGGCCAACCTAAACTAACTGACTGCTGGCTGTACCTTCATGCAGTAATAACTTACCGCAAGATAAATCCTCTAACAACTACTATGACTGTGCTTGAGATGTAAATAGATCTATTAAGCAGCAAAGTACCGTAATCTAACCCGTACATCAACACAAGTCAAATCCAAGTGAGTGAAATAGAGAGAAATTGAAGATATGAGATGCGGTTACTAAGGCTGTAAAGACGAACTTTGAATGAGTCACAAAGATGTCACAATTTTAGAAATACTCCTCAAAAGTGAAGTTACTTGTGTGTGTGTTTGTTTTTTATCACGCTGCGAACCATTCAGCTGAATCATTTTCCTGACAGATGCAGAGGAGTCTTCTGTCTCAGCAGGGAGCTGAGTGGGGTTACTGTGGAGGTTTTTTTTTTGGAGAAGTAGAAGCACTTTGGGGTTGATTTTCACCTGCTAAGATGCTACTCTGATTTCTAAATGTCACCAAACTGCTTTCAACAGCTGCTTGATTAAACACTAACGCTGAGGTGATTAAACAGTGATTAAATCAATCAAAGGCTAATTTCAGAGGTTTCAATTGGATATGCCATTCCCAAAATTCTACCTGACAGTGAAGCCAAGACGTTTCAAGGATAATATCAAGAGAAGCAGGTCGTATTTGACTTTGTGACAAGAACCAAAAACCACAGTAAGCACCTGTGAAACAGAAGTTTTCAGCCAAAAAAAACCTAAACTTTTACAAAGCATTAACTTTAAGCAGCAAGCATTAATAAGCATTTTAGTCCATTATAAAATGCACATAATTCTGCTCAGCTGGGCAGAAAGTTTATGTCTACATTGTAATTTTACAGCTGCATTGAGGACAGTAATCCCAGTATTGACCTCTAACTCAGCCGCAGACTTAACCTGTCAGCCAAATGGACCACAGTCTGGTTCACTGGGCTGAGCCAAAGAGCACTCAGACATGCAGTCGACTAGTTTGAGGGCAGGAACCACCAGAGGAAAAGGGATATAAAAGACTATAAAACTACAAAAGAAGCCCAAAATCAAAGTGGAAAAATGAGCCTAAATAAGCCGATGCAAAAGGAGGAAACAAGCTGCAGGGTCAAGAGAGAGCCAGAGAGAAAAAGAGAGGGTTAGCGGAAGGAAATGTCAGAGCCAGAATGAGGAGAGAAATGGTAACAATGGCTAAAAATACCAGATACAGGCATCGCCGGGCAGGGGCAGGCAGGCCAGAATAAGCCAAAGACCGGGGCAAACACTCCCAGAGAGAGCAGCACCAGAGAGAGCAGTGCAGAGGACAGAGGAGGAATGTCATCACCTTGAAAGAGCCTCCTTTTCAAACTTACAACCACCTACTACCTGCAGCAGCACAAGCCCAGGAATGGAGCTCCCTGATTCACATTCCTCACACCTTTCTCACACCCCGGTAGTGAATACACAAGCAGGTCAGCTACAGCGAAAGAAGAGTTTGGCTGGACTCTGGTGTACATTTCTACTCCTGAGGTATGTGGCCTGTAGGTATTTTTTTTTTTTAAATGTAGTTTTCAGATGCTACTCTTTCCATAGCTCTGCATTTAGAAGAGAAAACAAAATGTTCTTCGTCGAGATTTTGTCCCTGTCATACCGGAACAGAACTTGTATCATTAAATTATGCATTTGTCATGATTTTTTCGCCAGATGGCCTATGATCGCAGAGTGTGTCACAAACATCTTTAAACTACGGGTAGAGAAATCAATACAGTAACTGTGCATTTTTTTCCTCTATTGAGCAGGCTCAGGCTGGGTAACTCATCTCTCTCTCCAGCAACACACATAAGATATACAATATACAACTTCCTGAACTTAAGGCAGCTCCTTTATTTCCTGTATTACATTATGATTAATTAAGGTGTGACTGATCATTGTGACTGCTCAGACACACCTGGATTAATCAGTTTGTCCAATAATGTAAGACAGGAAATAAAGCAGAAGCCTTAAGTTCAGGAAGAAGTGAACTGGTGCATAGAGCCCATTCCCGCTTGCTTTGGGTCTTTCCCTGAGTCTCCTCCCAGCTGAACATGCCCAGAAGAACTCCAAAGGAAGGTGCCCAAGGGGGATCTTTATCCGATGCCCCAAACCGCCTCAACTGGCTCCTTTGCAAAGTCGTGATGGCTCCACTCCAAGCCCCTGACCCTAACTCTAAGGCTGAGCCCAGACATCCTTCAGAGGAAACACATTTCAGCCGCTTGTGACTCACTGGCTTTGGTTGCTACCCAAAGCTCATGAGTATAGGTGAAGGTTGGAACATAAAATGAAAGCTTTGCCTTCAGGCTCAGCTTCCCCCTCAACACAGCTGTCCAGTACAGAAGTTTGTCAGTGTGAACCTGCAGAGTAATATCAGACCTAGGGGATGTTTCTGGTGGCTGGGCTCACCATGAGGTTGATAAGAGGCCACCTTGCAGGCTAACCTCCCTTAAGGAACAGGCACAGGGGGTGGGCGCAGTGCGGATTAGCATGGACATTCCAATCCCAGCAGAGACCGGTTGTTGGTACAGTTTATAGTGTGAAAAATTGAAATCTAGACACTGATTATTTTCAGCATGCCAACCAAAAATGGGACTGATTGTTGTAAAGATATTCATGAATGGTAGTAAATGCTTGTGAAGATTGTCTTTGTCCAACAAACTTCATTTTTCAGACCACAAACAAAAGTCCATTCACTTTGGCCATACTAAGAGTAAGGGTAAAACCAACCAAAGAAGTAATTTGCAGTCTGCTCTTATCTTAAATCTCAAACAGTGAGCATGCAAGGGCGGTTCGGCTGTTCATGACTCAATGAATCACAATGAGAGTGGGTTCAGCTGGACCACAGACCTCTCTCTGCTTCAACTCCTCACTTATAAAAACACTGACGCTTCTGCAGCCACTGTCCGGACACTGTAACAGAATAGTGATGAGCTGATATGACTCACAGGGGGGGTTAAACAAACAGACCGGTCGATAAACAGAGGATAAGAGGGTCGGCTGCAGGCATGACATCATCCAGGCGTCCACTCAGAAAGTTGCCTGTGAGCAGAACGTGTTGTTGTCTCAGCACTTTCCTTTTTCCACTGAATGGAGAGTGTCTGCTTGTTTATCTTCAGTGAAAACACTAGTGAGTCCTCTCTAGGGACCTCACCCCAGATTCTTTTTGCTTGTACTGCAGTGAGAGCAACAGAGCTGTATCCTGAGTTTAGAATATTTTAGAGGAACAGTTTGCCAGTATTTTCCCCAAACACAGATAAAATAAAACCTTCTTTCTTACTGGAAAACATGATATTACAATTTGCCTTCTTAATGGAGATGTTCAAGGAGGTATATGAGGTGGAAAATCTTCGTTTTAGGCTGAGTAACAACAGTGACAGGTTGCTAGGTTGTAGCCCTCTAATTACACAGCCATTAGCAACTGCCTCCCTTAGGGGAAGTTCATCCATATACACTCATTGCCAAAGACAGCACTGGCTGAATATTAACAATCTCTGAGAGGGAAGAACCGCAGCCAGAGAGCCATTAAGAGCCGAGTTAAATCAAACGAAATAACTGGTGGCCATTATAGCTGCCACACTGTTGCAATAATTGAAGAGCGTTTTAGGGCTTCAGATTGTGCTTTTTATGCATTGGAGGATACAAGAACCAAGTTTTATGCCTTTTAACAATGCTGGAGGAAGATCTCTCACTGCCTATTGGAGTGTAAGGTAGTCAAAAGTTCCTGGGGGGAGGTTCTAGATATGATGGAGCAAAATATCAAAACTGAGGTTTGCTTGTTTGCTGAGATTTTACCTTTATCACAAGTTCAAATTACTTGAGATAAACTTGTTTTTTTACGATCTAGGGACCCTTTGTAGCCTATGATCTACAAATGCATGATGCATTTAAAGCTCCTGTGAGGTGTTTGCTAAAACAGAGTTAAAATGATGTTGATGCTTCTTTATGATCAACACATAAAAAAGTAATATTTCTGTTACCTTAAACTACTGGCAGAGTTAGATTTCAGTTAAGTTTATAAACTGAAACGGCCTTTCTAAATTTCCCATGGCAAGAATTCAAAAGGAGCGGTGTATTATAACTGTTGGACTAATACACTAGGAAATTGGTTTGAGAAATTGACTTTCAAATGTAACAAATAAAAGGTTCAACTTTGTCCACAGAGGAGGCGGGGACTTTGAAAACCCAACTTTTCAAAGAAGCTTTAAGTGCAGATAAGAAATCTTAAATGGTTTTTATTAGGGTAGCTTCAAACTAAATGAGATTTTTCCGCTTTTTTTTGCCATATCTAACTTTAAAACCCAGAACAAACCATCAACATGTTGTCATATTTAATTCTTGTGAATGGATCAAGCTAATTAACCTGTTTGGTTTCCCAGATCCACCACTCTTCCTCTTTTCTGACATCTACATCCACCTATCATGTTATCTTACTCCCTGAAGACTGTCGTGCAGGTCTGGACTTCTTCATTCTTATTCCCTATCCTAACTAACAGGTTTTTCCCCTAGGAGAGTAGAAGCAGAATAATGACAGAGGAGGAGAAGGAGGAGGAAGAAGATGTGGGAGAGTGGGAACTGCCTAGGGCTTAGGAGGTGAGCAACAGGTCACTTGGTAGGTGTAACCATAGAAAAAGACATTTCTGGGCGACTCCTGCCCTACTTTCTTTCATCCATTCTTCATTAAGTCTTAATCTCTGACATTACAGCAGTGGTGACATTTATGTGAGTGAGAGAGTGTGTAAATGTGAGAGTGTCCAGAGGTATAAAACACCCGGCAGCTCATTAGCCCCATGTCATTCGGGTAATGAGAATCATCAGAAAGCTAATGAGCAATAAATGGGAGCATAACAGATGTGACTGGCAGAAAAAGCCAGACTGGAGAGCGAGGGGGCGAAGTGATGAGGACAGGGTGAAGGAGACAGGAGGAGGGGAGGGAAAAGGGGGAGAAACAGATAATAAAAGATAAGGAGTGGAGTTATGAGAGAGAGCAACAGAGGGAATAAAGGAGGAGAAAAGCAGGCAGGCTGAATAGAAATCACTTCACTTAGAGTGACAGAAATAAGCTTGAGGACAAACAGGTCAAAGGTTAGGACTGAGCCAAGGGGGCTGAGGGTCATGGGGACAACCAGCGTTTCAATGGCAACCAGAGCGGCCTTAATCGCATCACGCCGATGTGGAAACAGCAGCCAATCATGTGTCTGCAGGGCGAAAGGTCTTGAAGGTTCGCGGACAGTGACGAGTGCTGATTCCATTAGAGAGCTGCAGGGCCTGCTAACGAGAGTCCGTCTGGGTTTAGTCTGTTTATGTGCGACCACATGACTGGCTAGCCGACTCACTAATGGGTTGCATTAGTGTGCAGGATAGGGCTGTTTATTGAACTGTTATACCTTTTAGGTGCAAACAGAAATGTGTCTGAAGCATCAAGTATTGAAAATGATCACACACTGATGTCTGGTTTGAAACTGTTGTTTTGTTTACTTATGTAACTCAAAAGGTCCTGGTACGACTCTGATCTTAGTCTACTTTCTCTCTGTGCAGAACCTGGTAGCAAAGAAAGTTGGAAGTAAAGATGGGTGGATGACTCTGAGGCTTCCTTCTTATCGTGCCAAAAAAAGCTTCAAAGCTTCAAACATCAGTCCTCTTAATGACAGGCTGATGCACCACCAAGCTTTTCTGTATTGGTCCAATGTTTGAGAGTTCAAGTTAAAGTCAATGTGTAAGCAAGAAATCTATCTGCACATATTCATGCAGACTCATTGCATGGAAAGAAAAAAGACATTTTTGCACATAACAAACACCTTCACAAAGTCTAAAAGTCAATCCTTTTTGCAGACATGGGACTTGAATGAACCTGTTTGGCTTTTTGGACTCAATTCTTTTCCCTTTATGAGTCAATTTGTCCAGCTGCTGTTAGCTGCAATGTGAAGCAGTGATTCTGCTTACAGGTCCTTTCACACCAGGAACGTGTTTTTCGTGCGATTATTTCAGACGTCAATATTTTTCTTTGAACCCGTATCCTGTCAATACAAGCGTTCACATAAGTGACGTTTTCCCGTCCTGCGATATTGCGGCATTTATTTTTTCGTATCACGGTCGATTTTTCTAAAGTTTCGCATACTGTGTGTCCACTTCTGACCAATCAGATTTCGTGTTGTTGCGACATCAGATTCAATGGTATATCTGACATGGCTGACCGGCTGATTGTTTACGTGTCGGAGAACAGAGTGCTTTTTAATAAAAGACACAAAAATATTACAAAGATAACGAGCTGAAGGACAACTTGTGGAGGATCATAGCGTCGGATTTCTGATATGACGATGGTTTGTGTGCTTTAAGAGTTTGCTCAACGTCTTTGTTTTAACTTTTATCTGTGCTAAGTAACTTTAGCTCTTAGCTAACCTGTTCAGATACAACATACTATATGTATTTTCACTGTCTCAAACTCAATCACGTTGCTGTCACAGCACCATTAGGTCTCGGTTGTTACCTTACGTTTATGGATTATAGTTTAATGTGCTTATCAGGTACTGGCCCCGACTCAGTACATGCTATCATGACAGACAGACATCTCAACACTAGTGTCTAATCAGAACTGAAAAACACTCAGTCTGCTGTTGTGTCAGTCTTCTCGCTTCCACCCGAGACGTGTCTTTTTTCCCCCCGGAAAGTTGCAAAATCACATCGTGCTTGATGTGTATAGTCAGGCGCGTCAAAATTCGCCTCCAAATATTTTGTAATTTCGCGTCGTATATATTTGCGACATTCCCGGTGTGTAAGGACCTTAGGGCTGATATTCACTAAACTAGTTGATATTTTTGGTAAATTATTGCTCAGTATCATATACAGACGAATACTAGGGGTGGGAATCACTAGTGGCCCCACGATACGATACGATATTTTCACGACACTCGGGCCGCAATACGATATTATTGTGATTTTTAACATTTTGTGATAAAGTGAGTAGTGCCATACAATATATTGCGATTTATACATTTTTTTCCACTGTAAAGCTAATTTAGCATTGGTCTCTCCTTTATTTTTGTCTTATTTACGCTTTATTTTATTTTCATGATGCACATCTTGCAAACCTTATATATATTTGTTGCACAAACTCTCTCCTGCTCTATGATGTCAGTTGATTTAATTTTTCCATTATCATAGATTTTACTTCATTTCAAAAACTATTTGAAAAAAAATCGAATACGCATGTCTTTCTTAGTTCACAGCTATGACTCTGAGTTAATTCCCTCTCTTCTAATCAGTCACATGGTTGAGCTGTCAAACTATTTTGATGTTAAAATATGTCATCCGGCTGTTCTGTGGGTTTGAGAGGTAAAAGACACTGTCTAGCATCACCTCACAAATATTCATGTGACTGTTGTTTCAATGGTTCAATCCTACTGCCCCATTAAAACCATGGCTTTTAACTCACACTTACTCATACTCTCATAATGCGCCCTGTTGCATTATTTCACGTACACCTTATGCAATTTCTTTGTTCATGATCAGTAAAATAAAACTATTCCATTGGATAGCTTGGATTGCTCTTTCTCCAGTGATTAAGCCGAGTGCAAAACTCTTTTTATCTCCTTGCATTACATTTCCTGTTCAGTCGCAGAGTAACATGAGATCACACTGATTCGATGTCTTACCCCTTTGACTCCCTTCAGGTCTCCTTTCAGCAGGCTGTCCAGCGGAAACGTGATGATGTTGTTCATGTTTTGGAACTAGAGGAGGGTGAGGACAGAAACAGATATGAGTTGAAAGGTAACAGTGAAAGATTTGAAGCAGACCGACGCCACTGAGACATAACTCTTTTTTAGTGTTTGTGTGTGTTTTTTTTGGGTGTGTGCAGTCCACCCTGAAAAGAGTGGCACTTAAGAGTTTTCTGTAATTGTAGTGACTGGACTGAAAAAGATAAACCAGATAAACCTAGAAAAATTTTACTTTGTTTTAAGTCTCTTAAATCTGCTGGTTTTCACCTGCAACACCATATGTTCCACCTTTTAATAATGACTTTTTAGCAGATCATGTCAGTCAAATAAAGTAAAACCATCCATTATGAGGTAAGTAACTGCCCTGCTGAAGAGGCCAAGCTTGGTTTGTAATACTGTGTCTTATCCAGAGAGCTTTTGAGAGATTACATCTTCACATCCAGCTCAGAAAGCAGCTCATATTACTTTAATAAAAGGTGTTGAGATAACACTAATACGAAATCTCCAGCTACTGGTCTCGGTGTGAGTTGATACAGTGTCTAGGCACAGGGACGGACCACACAGGATGGTGTCAGATTTTTCCAATAAAGCTTTGGCCTGGTTACAAAACCTGAGCAGGATAAGCTTGAATGGGATCCTGCAGATATTTGGTGTTTCAGTGGCCCCTTTGGGCGTCTCGGTGGAAAACTAGATGTACCTCCTGAAGGCTCCTGGAGCTTAATGGACACACACAGAGACTCCAGGGGATTCAGACTATTTAGGACAGGATGAAAATTTGAGTTTGTCCTCTCTTTTTACCTCCCCTTCCTTTTGCGAACTATAAATACACACTTTTACACGCACAGTGTAGACTCACCAGGTTTTTGAAGAGCGCTGTGAGCTCCTTGGTGAAGACTGAGAACTTGAGGAAAGCTGATCCCAGATCAGGATCATCTCTGTATACACAGTTTTCTCCAAATTTCTCCAAGGCTTGAGTGTACTGCTCCTCATTCTCAACATGAGCTGCAAACACAAACACAAAACAAATACAAACACAGTTTAGCTTCGACAGGTAGAAGAAATCAAACCGAGGTCTTTCCCTCTATCATTGTTTTCAACCAAAATCGATCTCAGTTTATAAATAATAAATGACAATCTTAAGGTTAGAAAGCCAGCAGTGGGAAAGTGCTGCCCATCACGGTTCTGGATGATCTGTTTTAACTTCTTTCATTCCCCCAGCAAAGACAAACAACAAATCGATTCATCATTCACCTGCTGTGGTACATATCATTAAACGTTCAATATCTCAGGGCTTGTGGCTAAAAACAATAAAACAGCTGTTTCAGGAGGCTACCTTCAAAAACAAATCAGGAAAAATAAATCAATTTTTGCTTCCATGTTACAGAATTAATTGTTGTTTACAAATGATTACTGTTCTCCAACCTCTAAATAAAAAATGGAAGTATAGATGTGTGAGTAAAGAGGGCCTAAGAGTGTTTCTCTCTGATGTGTGAGAATAGATTGGATCAGATTAACTTTATTGATCTTGTATTGGGGAATTCACTTGTTGTAACAGCTTAAAAAGTCAGGAAATAAAGAAAATTGAGAAATAAATGGAAATATAAACAACAGTATTACTTACATGATCAACACTGATAACACTATTTGCTTTGTTTTCATCGCCATGATTTCAAATTTTGAAAACAGACACATGTTCAGTCTCTTAAACCCTCTTCTGTTTTCATTTCTTAATTGGAGAAAAATAACGTCTTAATTATCTTTAAAGGATGATCTGAACTCCAAAAGTGTGACAGACATATATTTAAAAAATCAGCTACAAAAAAAAGAAATGTTAAGTTAAGAGATTAACAGACAGAAGCAGGAACAAAAATCCCCCACATTAGCCCCTGAACTAAACGAACCCTCAGTCTGTGAGCTGTGTAAGGAGAACCCTAAACCAGCCGTGACCAAGTCTCCTTGCATGTCTCAAGACCACCTAATCTACCTCGGGGTTAGGCCTGGATGATTCCTCTTAATACACTTCATGGTAGACTGGGCAGCTGAAAACAGCTAATGCCACTGGGATGGAGCACTGGTGACTGTTGCTATGACAACACTTGCTAAGCAGAGTGATGGAGACAGAGGTGGGGTTTGGAGACTCCAGGAAAAGGAGATTGAGTGCATTAGTATGTTGCAAAAGAACACCTGCTGCCTTACTCGTCTCCGACTCATCTTCTCGCTCTCTAACACACTCGCTCATAGATGTGTCAGGTTCAAAGATGACTCTGGATAAGCTCACGTCTCTGCTGCAGAAATATTCATCATGTTATTAATGGAGGAAAGCTGAAAGCCTATGAGTCACTACCTGCTTACCTCAAATCAGAAATATCTAATTTATTTCTCCAGATATCCACTGATACTCAAGGTGAACCAGCTGATAAGACTCTGAAGTCAGCGCACAAGTGTCAAAATGAGAATGTCAAACAGTCTGCTGCAGGCGTGTAAGAAAACACTGATATACCTGACAGTCGAGACGCTTTATTTGTGATGTTGTTTGACAAAAATGTGACCCCTGCAGGGTGAGATGCAACAGATTTCCAAACTCTTGCAGTTCAACAGCTCTGTCTACTTGGAGAAGCTGATATGATAGATAGAAAATGGACATATATATCTGCCATAAATGCTTTCTGATCATGTAATGGTTTCTTTTAATCCATAAATGTTACATAACAGTGATATTCAAAGCTGATAAAGTCCTTGGATACTCAGAAACTTGCTTGTTTTAGTCCAACTAACAGTCAAAAAATGCCACAATGAACATTAAAGAAGAGGGTATTATGTATTTTTTTAAATCTTTACTCCCTTTCTGATACTCCCTTACAAGTCTAACATGACTTTCAGATCAAAAGACATTATTTCAGCCTCCATCTGAAAGTCTTGATTTTAGCAGCTGTCTCTGACAGAGCTAGAAAGATGCTGCCATCTTTGTTATGATCTGTCAAGCAACCCGTAGCTGTGTCTGCAATCAGCTGACCTCTGCAGGTCCATAAGAAGCCAGGCTGCCCTGTCTCAGCAGAGTAGTTTGAATTAATCCTTGTATTAAAATTTGTGTTGCTGACAAAGAAAAACCAGGCTTCCTTTTCTTTTACACACAGAAAATCAAACAGCAGAAAAAGATAATGTCACTCCTGTCAGTATAATCTTATCATTTCCTTTCTCTCGTTATAAAAACTCAGGTTTTGAAAATGAGAATCTGGATACTTAATGGAGCTAGGCTTGTGGCTGATACTGGGACTGACATTATCTCATGATGGATTCGACACTCTGGGGTTTTCTTTTAATTTGAAAACAATCTGAAGCCTGAAATACAGCAAACACTTTGACATCTGATGGCCCCATATCTGGAAAATTGTTTCTTAAACCAAACATAATCAGGGATTAGTTTAATGGCTGATCATTTCTTGGGGGGGATTTCAGCAGACTGAACTAGCTCCCGCCTCTCAAAAGCTTAATATTGTCTGGTTTCTGCCTTTCTTCTAAGTTAGGGAAATGTTGGGTGCGGAGGGTCGGTCAGACAAAACAAACAATCTGAACACGTCAGCGCGAGCCCTGGAAACCTCTGATTCTATTTTCTCACATTGCTGATTTAACCAGACACCAATGACAAACACAATGAGGCAGTGAAAGCAGTAAAATGTGTCATATGAAGATAAACTTCAATCGCTGGGACGTGACAGACACGAACCCTGACCGCACACCCACAGTCTACTGTTTACACATCAGCTCCAGCTGTGTGGCAGCATCTCTGCCAGGCTCACAGCAGACAGGGCGGCGGCCTGCTGATGTTTTTGAAGTGGTACATGAGAGCACCAAAAAACAGCCCAAACTCCCCCCTTTGGGCTGCACAGTGTGCACATGTGTATCTGTCGTAACATGACCAGACTACATGGCACATGCAGAGAACCGCGAAAACCCACATGACACGAAGAACCAGTTTATGAGTAACACGAGGACGGAGACATGAGGACGGAGACAGACACTTATGTAGTTTATACTGTCAACAAAACCTGCTGATTCACCGTGGACTGAACCTTTCCAACACTTTTTGTTGGTGCCGAAGGGAGAAAAATTGATGTTTTATAGTTTAGACCAGTTTGCTTCTAGTTAAAATACATCCTTTCCAAAAAAAGATCCACCTCTGAAATGTTTTACTGTCAAATGCCCTGAATAAAAGTAAAGGATAATGTTGATGAGCAGATGGTTAAAGCAGATTAAGACACTAAAAGGGTGAGCAGGACTAAAAACATTAAACCTTATCCTGCTTATGACGTGACTTCTCACTTCAAAAATCTATTTCACTCTCAACAAAGTCAAATCAAACTCCGTAAACAAACATTGTGTTATTTTTTTTTTCAAATATTGCTCAACACAATCAGTGTTGTGATTTTCAGATTTTTTCAACATGCCTCGTCTTTTAAAAAAAGTAACTAAGGGTTTGGAAAACCAAAGACATCCAGTGAAAAACTGAAAAAAAAGGTTTCTCTGGTACAAGCTGATGTTTACTTTTAGTTTTCAACTTCTCATAAATCTTTTTTATTAGTTTAGGACATTTTTGTGAGATATATTTGCAGGTACGTGGCTCCAGTGTTAACACAGAAATACTTTTACATCTTTTCCCTTATATAATACAACATCCAGATATCTACTAGAGTTTATAAGACATCCTAAAGGCTTGTGCTGCAGTGTATTCCAAACTATTTCTGAAACACACACACACACACACACATATACATACATACACACGCAGGGTTTAATCAGCAGATACCAGACCGGCCTCTGCTTCCTCTCTCTGTCTCTCCCACACTCATTCCCTCACTCACGGCTCCATCAAGCTGCTCTGTCGGCGCACCGATGCTCACTCACACAATGTGAGGCCGACCTCAGATCGATCCCACATCCCTCTATGGACTCATTGAAAACACCACAGGACTCCACAGCCAATTCACAGCATACAGCCGCAGAAGTTTGAGTAACTTTTATCCACAGGAGACAGAGACAGCAGTTTTGGTTTTTTTTTTAGAGGTGGCAAAAATACAAGCATACTATATTTTGAATGCTTTCATTTGAGTACCTGCTTAGAAATACAGTTTAGATGATGGATACTACTGTCATGTCATGCGCATTACTCAAGGACTAGGTTGTGACAAACATTGTGTTATTTTTTTTTTCAAATATTGCTCAACACAATCAGTGTTGTGATTTTCAGATTTTTTCAACATGCCTCGTCTTTTAAAAAAAGTAACTAAGGGTTTGGAAAACCAAAGACATCCAGTGAAAAACTGAAAAAAAAGGTTTCTCTGGTACAAGCTGATGTTTACTTTTAGTTTTCAACTTCTCATAAATCTTTTTTATTAGTTTAGGACATTTTTGTGAGATATATTTGCAGGTACGTGGCTCCAGTGTTAACACAGAAATACTTTTACATCTTTTCCCTTATATAATACAACATCCAGATATCTACTAGAGTTTATAAGACATCCTAAAGGCTTGTGCTGCAGTGTATTCCAAACTATTTCTGAAACACACACACACACACACATATACATACATACACACGCAGGGTTTAATCAGCAGATACCAGACCGGCCTCTGCTTCCTCTCTCTGTCTCTCCCACACTCATTCCCTCACTCACGGCTCCATCAAGCTGCTCTGTCGGCGCACCGATGCTCACTCACACAATGTGAGGCCGACCTCAGATCGATCCCACATCCCTCTATGGACTCATTGAAAACACCACAGGACTCCACAGCCAATTCACAGCATACAGCCGCAGAAGTTTGAGTAACTTTTATCCACAGGAGACAGAGACAGCAGTTTTGGTTTTTTTTTTAGAGGTGGCAAAAATACAAGCATACTATATTTTGAATGCTTTCATTTGAGTACCTGCTTAGAAATACAGTTTAGAAGATGGATACTACTGTCATGTCATGCGCATTACTCAAGGACTAGGTTAAAAAGAGCAGGGCTGTGCTGTAAAGCGACAGCGTTTGATGATGAAACATTTGGAAGTTTGCTCTCACTTTAAGAAATTTCACTGATGGATCTGAGAGTAATTCTGTTCAAACACTGATTCATCTAAAGGGAATAACACCAGAAAACTGGAGGAGGAGAATCTCTGCTGTAAAACTGTCATGAGAACTTTTTCACTTTGTTGTTTATACAGGTGCTGGTTTGCCTGGATTCAGATATAAATAGATAAATGGATTCATAACAGCATGAATACTGGAAACAAGGAGCGAACTGTGGCTACAGCTGTTCTGACTACAATATATAATTCTGCGATATCACACCTCACTCATGAATCATTGCTTCAACCCAGAATCTCTCTCTAAATCCACATGACCAGTGTGTTTCATGATACAGAGTAAGTGCAGCCAGCATGTCCTCAAAGGTTGTAGAGATTATTTTCAACCAAGAATCAGTGATCATTACAGAAGACTCCCTCTTCTCTGTTCCACACACTCTACCTATCACCTAATATAAAGGGAGTATTTCGAGAAGTGAGAGAGTATGACAAGCTGCCATGCCAGGTATTTATGTGGCAGCCAATCTGAAAAAAAAAAATCCAGGATCTAAATCTTTGAGAAAGTAGACAAAAAGCTCACTGTACAGAGAGATATGACTGTCCCTTCCCTTGCTGTGCTTTTTTCTTTTACGCTCCATTGTCCTACCTGGTCTTTTCTTTAGAGATGGGAATCGAGAACCGGTTCCAAATGGTTCAATCCATCGACATTGTTTTACATTCTATCGTAATGATTCCCTTAACGATGCCTTTCTTCCGGGTGCCTTGAAAAACGGTCTTGCTAGAGCCAGTCTATGCGAACCCCAACAGAGACTTTGAGGGAAAAAAAAATGGCAGATGGTACGAAAAACAGGCAGAGACGATCTGAAGCGAAAGATGACAACAGCGCGATGTGCGTCGTTTGTTGAGCCGTGATAACATGCAAAGGTGGAAACACCAGCAAAATGCTTCAACATTAGTCAACGGGGAAACGGCATCGAATATAAGGAATCACATGTATTTCCACGCATGCACTGTCTTTGAGAATTCAGAGTATACGTTTAACTGAGTGAGAAGCGCATGAAAACACTCTATCCGACCCAAAAAACCCTCAAAATTTTGCACGCAACTCCGCCCGGGTAGTAGTGTCCTTTTAAAGGGAATTCAGATGATGGTCACCCTCATGTATGTCCTGTGTTAACATAAGCACAATGCATGCCAGACTTAACAACGTATTTTGTACTTGACTTAATACCGACCAAAGTAAATGCTGTACAAACAGTTTGTCATTTGATTATTTTTAGACTCTCACTGAAGGAGGCATACATCTTTTTCTGTTTTCAGAGACTCAATAAAACTTTGAGTTAATGGTGAAAACCTTTACTCTACTTCTTTTTTTTTTTTTAAATCAAAGAAAGGCATCGATTACGGAATCGTTAGAGAATTGAATCAATAAGCAGAATCAATAATGGCATTGATATCGATAAAACCTTATCAATTCCCATCCCTACTGTTCTTAGGACATTCATTCAGATTAATTACATTAGAGCTTGGAGGAGTCACATTTTCCTGGAAACCACAAACAACAAAATGCACATATTCAAAAGCCACAAAATTCACCATTTTCCTGACGCAAGGCAGGCTGTGTGCTGCAGTACTTCAGCAAGCCCCCACATACAGTACAGGTACAGCAGTAAGAACACAGCATTCACACGACTGCAGTGAGGAGTTTTCTGTTCAGCAGCTCTGGCAGGCCTGCCCTCACAGCTCTGCTCCATCAGCTTCAGGTTCTTCTGAGGGAGTTTGAGATGCTGCTGCTGGTTTATTCATCAAAACCCACAAGCTGACAACCTGTCAGGTGCCTGCAGCAACACGGGGCTCGCTCTCCCTCTGCAGTTTTCTTTCTCTCTCAACTTCCACATCTTTTTCCTACCAGCTTACAATGCTTGCTCAGCCGTTTTGTCTCCCCATGGCACGTTGACACTTAAAATCTTGTTTATTCTTCTTCATCTTTGTCTATCAAACCTTCGTCTTCCTCCATCCACATCCTCATCATTACTATTCCTGAAGTCACAGCCAAAATATATCCGACAGTCAATCATAGCAGAAGTATACTCTTGAGGCAGTCAGTGTTTGGGCCCCCTGCTGTGTGTCTCATTATTCAGCCTGGTGAATCCACTTCAGATTCTGCAGCAAAACATCTTCCTTTAGTACCAGTATCTACAGCGGAGTCTTGTTTTAATCCAGAATATCAACACAGAAGTTTTCATCGCGGAGAAAAAGCTATTACTTATCTTACTTATCTTAGTAAGACAGTATTTTTTTTCTGGCCCTATAAATGAAATTTTAATCTTTTCTCTTTTTTCCAATCACATTTCTATTGAAATAATGCATAAAAGGAGAATCCTGAAGTGGTTTATGTTATAATTCTTTTACTGTCTCACTAAAACAATCTACTTTTGTGTTATGAATGCTTATTTCACTACTGTACATAGACTATTTCTACAGCCCTGCTTAAGAGAGCTTTCACATTACAAGTCACATTCACCTTTTCACGCTACATTCTCACACTGATGGCAGAGGGTGATATGTAATGTGTGGTTATATAAAGGGGTTGTTATCTGTATAAACTAATCTGATTCACTTTCCACTTTCTGTGTCACCTGGCTTTGATATACTTTATATCATCAGCATCATTTTCCTACCAGTACGTGTGTCCCTATCTAATGTTGACATCTAAGTCAAGGAGCTAAATGGAGTCATCAGGATTGTATTCAAAACAGATTAAAGTCTGGAGAAAAATTTGGGTCAAGGTGAACTTGGTTAATAAAGAGGAACTGTAAATAACTTCATTCCCAGTGGCATTTCCACAGACAAAACACTGTTTCTGTTGTAAACGTAGATAAAAATCTCAACCAGCTTCACGCCTCAGGGCAAAAAATAGTCTAGTTTTTCTTTTTTCTTTCTTTTTTTTTTTTTTTTACAATGACAGATAATCCCTCTCAGGATGAAAACACATTTCAACAGCCTGAAACACCTGCAAATCAAAAGCCCCACTGCGCCAACCACACACATTCAAATGAAGGTGATTAATCAACAACAGCGGTGCGCACTTCGGAGCTCGACATGGCAAGAATAACCCGCTCTGTGCGCACCTGAACTCACAAACTCACACACACAGTGTCAGCCTTCTGTGTAAAAAAAAAACTTGCAGTAACACAAAAGGCAGCATGTTAACTCGTACATGCACGTTTCACAGTGAGGTGAAGTGGGAACATTAGTGCTTCCATGCCTCAGCACCCACACACAAACACAGTGTGCACCCCTCCCCAGCTGTTCCTCTGGGGGTCTGGATCAGACAGCTGTCCCTGTGGTCTGAACAGAGCCCACACTGTTGGGGAAAAAAAAGGCATGCTCAGCACATTGTTTGGCGCTCTCTCTCCCCCTGTCTCTCTCTCTCTCTCGCTCTCTCTCTCTCACAGCGGGGTTCTGTCAGGCAGGCCAAACAAAAGACACTGGAAACACCCAACACCGACAACAGCCTGAATGAGCATGGTAACAACACACACACATACACACAAAGGCAAAAGAAAAAAACCTTTCTAATTCTGCCTCAATAGGAAGTGGAACACAATTAATATCTCAATGCTCGATCGACTGCATTTTTAATTAGACTAATTATCCTCTGAATAAAGCTGGAAAGGGATAAAAAAAAAACATGATATCAATTTATGAAGCTCTTCAAAGTCAGCCTGATGCCTCGTACTGCACATGGCGCTTCATTTTGTCCTGAAATAAAATGGTAGTCTCTGTCAATAAAGAAAATTTGTGTAATAAATTGTATAAAACCTTGAGTTTCATGTTTCCAATTCGAGTCAATCAAGTTTTCTTTACCCTAATTATTATCCAATCTATAGCTTGTCTCAATCCTGGTACGATTAAATACAGACATACATCAAAAAGGGATATAAGATGTACCTAAAAAATAATTTCATGATCTGTTAATTTTAAGACCATCAGGGCCAGCGGATGAGCATAAAACTGAGCACATCTAAAAGGTTTTTGATTTATGTGACTGTGAAAGCCCCAACATGAAAGACTATAAGGAGGACTCACCTAGACCGGATGTGTAGATGGCCTTCACGGACTTCTTCATCTTGTAAAGAACACTGCGATCCACATCCAGAGCCTGCACACACAAACACACGAAGAGGACGACAATGAGAAACCCCGTTACATCTTAGCAGAGATTTATTACTTTAATTAATTCCTTCAATGTTTAGGTGGGTCCATTGTGGAGATAATGAGTTGCTTAGCTCTCATGAGGTTTGTCTATTAAACAAGAGCGTGACACATTATTAAGCTGGTATGACTCCTTAAGCTGAATGTCTTCCATATATAAACATTAATGTATAAAAGTAAACAGAAAAACCACAACCTAATAAAAAGAGGCCTGTGCATCTGTCAGCTTTTATCACCACTAGGAGACATTATCCCTGCTGTTTTGACCATTAAAGTAAACTGTGGATATTTGATGCTGGCATATCAATAACCGTATCCTAAAAGTCAGGATATATGTTGTCATAATAAGATTTTGTCCAAACTTTAAATACAAAAAGCCTTTTGCCATTTTCTGATACCATTTCACATAAACGTTGGTGGCTATGATCCATGTAGGATAATAAATTCTACATTTCTGAACCTTAAAGCTATGGTCTACCATTTGGAAGCTTGGTACTTATTAATAACACTATGGTCCAATCTACTCAATATAAAGATCAAAAACAACGAAAAAAATCCATTCAGTATATCCGCTGCAAAAAAGGCATAATGATCGACCAATCAGAGTGGTCCATGAGTCCATCCAATCCCCTGTCTCGCCTGCTCCGCACCGTTCCGCCCATGGTCCCGCCTCCTCCCGCCTCCTCCCCACTACCCCCCTCACGTACATGTGATTAGCTAGCTGCACAGCTACTGGAGCGTAATGGAGCCGGAGAAGACAAACACCGAAACCAGGAGGCCGCTTCTGTTACCCTTCACATCGAAGGGAAGGAAACGTAAAAGTTTTGAGGAAAAGGCCACAGTAAGGAAGAAATATGAGCGATACAGGTGCCAACGGAGAGTCTACATTGGAGAAACGTATGACCGGTGGAAAAGGTGCAGAAGTATTTGGGACTGAAAACTGACACTGAGACAGACGAATTTCTGTTGAACAGGTACTTACTTTGTTTACTATAGTGGGAGATGTCTGCTGAATAACTCTGGTTAGTCTGTGCCTATACTGGCTAATGACTGATTGTTGTTGGTCGGAATGGGTAGGCTCTGTCAATAGATTTTAGCATAAGTTAGCCACGCATCTTTAGCATCGTAAACTGAGCTGATGAAGACATGCCGAGAAAGGAAAAGCCTCGCCCACGATCTGCCCTGCTCTGACCGGCTAGCAGTGGCGACACCAGACCCACTGCACCCCGCTAACATATGTGAATCCAACCCAGACATCCTGAGTTGCTTTCAATGTATTTCGATATTTTCTTGCTCTATCGGAGGGGGCGTGTTGTTAGGAGGCGACACGAGCTGGGGGGGGGCGGGATCTTGGAACACGGAGGGGCGGGGTGAGTGAAGTGCGTTTTTCAAATCTGTCTCAACAGCCAAACTGGTTTTGAGATTGTAGACCACTAGTAAAGAGAAACTGCTGCCATCAAACCAAATAGCAAACCTGCTGTAGTGCTGGCAGCGAATACAAAGGTGTAAAATCAGGTTAATAGTTTGTTTTATTTAAAGAAATCTCAGCGGGATGTCCATTAGGCTAAGCTGTTTTTCTAATGGTTGAGACATATTGTTTGGTATCCTGCTTTTTGCCCACACCCTGAGTGCATGCCTGCATGTGGTGGGTACAGTTTTTGTATGTGTGTATTCTGTACGTCATCTCCAGCTCTGGCTGCCAGTAATGAATTATTCAAGCAAAAGCTAAGAATAGACCTGCCTCCATCATTGGTTATTGTGTTAGTGTATTTATCAGTACAATAGCTTTTTTAACAAAGGCACTGAGCATTGGCAGTTTCTCACTTGAAGGAAACACAGGCACAGACGTACAAACCTCACTCACACTTCCACATGAGCTCTGATATCCACAGGACAAACAGTGCAAGTCCAGTAGAGACAATGCAGCTCTGTAGCAGTGATGAGTGAGGGAGTCTCTCGGGATGAGGGGGATTTGGGGGAAATGAGTTTTAGGGGCTTTATTAAGTACGTCCGCCCAACCGGGCCAAAGCCGGCGCCACTTCTCCCCACAGCTCCCGGTCTAACTGACACATATCAGATCCCCTGGACCCTCTGAAAACAAAAACACACAATGGCTCCCATTCAACTGCAACACATACACACACCCACACGCTCCTTTCTGCTACACTACTAAATGTAAGGACGAAACGTAATAAACCCATAAATCAGCATTTTCTTAAAAGACAAGTTAAGAGCACTTAAAAGTTACACAATTGAATATACGCTCAGCAACTTGTTCCTTTAAGTGTGTGTGTTAAATATGACCAAGGGGAAAACCAAAAGACAGAAGGATCGATCTGACTTTGAGAGGGAAATGACGAATAATTCAAGTGTTAGAGACATGGAAGAAGGAAAAGAAAACCCGAGAACACTGAGACTGTGATTTTCTTATCCTTTTTTAGCAGCTCCAGTCATGTAGTGGCTTATAAAGAGCACCTTTTAATTAGTGATCAGAGTTCAGAGTTAGAGTTTAGTGGTGAAAAAGCCATTACAATTCATTGTGGATCTAGGTGAAGAACAGTAGATGGTCCAAAAAATTGAGTTAAAGCCAATAACGATTACATTTGTTTATATTTATTGCTCATTAAATCATTAAAATACCAAACAATGTTATCATATAATCCTCTCATTTACATGCCGCAATAGCTATAGTGTAGACTTCAATTTTGCTTTCAGTTAGATGAACACGTTTTTATTGCTTTCAGCCTTTGTGAAAATAAGTTACTGCCGAATTCACACCAAGTTGTTTAGCTTCAGCCCAAAGGGGTCTAAAATGGATCATAAGAGTAACCACAAAATAAATATAATTAAAAAAAACAGGTTGACTCTGCATGAGTAAGGCTCTTCAATTATAGTGCTAAAACTAAAATACGATGACTTTTACAAGGGGAACAGTGTCAAATCAAAAGAAACCAACCAGAAGCAGCTTGTTCCTCTGAGTAAAAGTAAAACGCTGTGGTTTGAGTTCCTATAACTCCTGTTAAATGACTCAGCAGTAACATATGCCGTCAACCTATTAGCTTTGTCTGGTTCAGACAAGACTCCCCCAGCCGTAGTTCAGACCCCACATAGAAACAAATTTCTGCGTACTTGTAGACAGGTACTTTCAAAGCAGACAAAGAGTGAGAAAAATACAGCCGCTCCAGAAGCCCCCACAGAGTGCTATCTCCGTCTACACCACCAAAGCTGCTAACCACACAAAAATGTTACATAAAAAAACCATGCTAGCCGTGTTTTCTTAGCCCTTTATGCAGCATGTACTCCAAGCACTTAAAGCCAAGAGAGTACTGACAAAGTTTTGAAGATATCTGAGCCTCTGTAGGAAAGTGGATTTGCTCTTCAGCCAAGAGTCTAGGTTATATGGGTTCTAAATTACTGACAAATATGAAGCAAAACAGTTTCAATGCTACAGGAAATAATTTTAAAATTAGTATAAAAAGAGCATGGTTACTATCAATATTGTTTTTGGGGAGCTGTTCATGTGTTATTTTAAATTATAAATGTCTTCTTTGTATAACTTTATAATTTTGAAGCAGATTTGTGTTTGAAATTATCAAATCATTATGACATTCTCTGAATCCTCTTAACACTCTGATCACACTTCAAAGGATGCACTTCTGCAGCTACAAAAGTTAAAGCAGCATCACAAAATGACTCTAGGTTGGTTTGAAGGTTTGAAGTAAATCCTGCTTTACCCTTAGAAAATGAAGAGAAAATTCAGAAAGTGATTTTGTGAGAGGCTTCATTTTTAAATACTTCATTTTAAATACTTTAAACACTTATCGTTTGGTTGATATAACAAAGCCAATATGGGCTCAACGCTGATTATTCAGTGGTGGCTTACATGTTATACAATACACAATGCTTAGAAACATATAGTGTAGATAATTATGCAAATGGGGGGGTATCTTGCAGCTTGTCCAGCTGATCACTGTCTGTAATATGAAACAGGTGATGACGCATATGCAGAGAATTAACTACAGCTGAGTAAATCGAGGTTTGCATCAGAATAAAAATGACCGTCGATAATTTTGAATATTCTTCAACAAACCTCTTTAAGAAGACAATTTATGCATAATTCATTCCAGTGCACAATCGCTGCAGAGTTCATCATATTCAAGACCCTAAACTGGTCAAGTTATTGAGTATGTTTTGATCCTTGATGACATCAAAACCTGAGGGTTAACCGACATATAATGTTGGTAATCAGCCCCTGAATAAAGCAGACCAGCTACGGTCTTAGACATTTCCTCCAAGGATGAACTGCGGTTTGAAAAAAGTAGTTATGAAATACATAGGCTGCGAGTTAACTATGTTGAGTATTAAAAAAAAAAGACAGAAAACATGTTTTATTGTGTGATCTTCCTTTCCCTTTGCATTCATCTCTGTACCTCTCTACCTGCACCTTTATTGCACCCAGAAGCGTCCTCTGGTATAAATGAAGTCATAATTTGTCATATAACTCAAGTTTAGGAGAGGTATGATCTAGATTAACCTTCCTTTATCCTCCTCTCTCTCACTTAGCAGGTTGTAGCGTTTAAACATTCACCCTTTGAGGTTGGATTGATATAAGTGACACCCCAACAGAAGGGTGATAAATCAAACAGGAGGACAGTAACTTTCCCAACTTATTCCATACTGTGCCATACCACAATACACCAGACTGCTTGTTGGAAACACAGCTATTGACATAGACATCACCGCTCCAAATGTCCCAAGATCAACCCTCACACACACCCCCACACACACTAACACACACATACCAATCAGGCAGCGTCACGCTCCAGCAGATCCTTTCAATATACAGAGAGTGGTCTGACGGGGAAAGGGGCGAGACAAGTGGGGAACAGACAGGCGGAGTGATAAACCAATCCCAGCTGAGCACAACAAAAACGCCGCTCTAAATCATTCACACACATACAGACACACACACACGCATACACACGGGACTCTTCATTCACTTTCACACATTTCCACTCTGATGAGCACTTCAGGCTCAGACGGAGTGACTACCCGGCTAAACTACTGTATGTAAGCCCCCTTGTTTGTGTTAAAGGCTGCTCTCAAACTGGACATGTTTAACCTGACAACTATTCAGAGCAAGAGGGGGAATTCCACTAATGTAAGTGTTTGAGCAGCACAGGACCACGGCTGAACCGTCACGCTGTACAGACAGAGCCTCTGTGCCAGGAGCTGCTACTCAAGCACACTTGATATGACGTTAATGCAGAGTCAGCATTTTCATCCTCCTGATAACAGCTGACTGTAAACTAACCAGAGTGGCTTATTTCTCCCTTCCTGGCACAGACAAGAGGATCATGTAGAGGAGGAACCCATTAGAAGAAATTAATTAATCCTCTTATTAATGCATGACATCATCATCATCATCGCCCATCACTGCGATTACAATCGGGCACCATCTGCTGCCAGATGATCTACAGACTTAAACAGCACAGCAGGGTGAGGGGGGGGTCATGGCTGCATCGATCCAGTCACGTATGGCTGTGCATTTCCTGGATGATAGAGTGATGTGTGTACGATTACTGAAGGCTGTGAGCTCAGTATAGACAGATAACATCTAAAGTGTGTGCTGTGACAGATAAAGAGGGAAGGAGGATAGTGCCAACCTTATTACTGACAGTAAGGAAGCTGAGGATCCTCATATAGAGGCAAGACAGAATTTATAAACATGTCAGACGAGGGCTGGGTGATATGGGGAAAAAGTTTATCACAATAGGTTTTTTCATATCAATGAACATCGATTTATATCCCGATATAAAAAATAATATTTAACAGTGCTTATTGGTAGCATGTCTTTTGCAATATAATAAGCTACTGCATCTGTGAGGTCTTTGTGTCTCTTTGACGTCTTGTTGTAAGGCATTGCGCTAAAGAAAGCGGACTGAATGGTCAGCTGTTTCGGCTGCATGGGCGCCATGGGCTAACCTTTTACATTGCACGTGCTCTGCTGTGTGACTTTGCGAGAACATGTACTCAACATAATTTGTAGTGCACATTACTCTGCTTCATGTCCGACCTTAAAAAAACAAAATATCTCCACAACACAGATGTTTTCATGCCAGTGTTGTCGACGATACCATCATATGTTGAGCCTTCATCGTCATTTCTGCCGGGGGTAGCACTCTTTTTCTTTTTTTCTTCTCACAAACAGTGCTGTCGGCTTCACGTGTTAAAGTGCTATGGTTGCGTGTAGCTGCAGCCTGCTACTACGCAGTTGTTTGCTACTTGGTTCTAATTCAGTACATGATTGGTTCAGCCCAAAGCTGATCAGGAGCAACTCCCCTTTTCATTGGCTATTCGTATAGTCTACCTAAACATGGCAGAATGCCAACTATCCAAAAGGATATTGACCATGTTTTATATTGATATTGAGGGAAATCAATTTTCGATATATATCATTCTCGTTTTATCGCCCAGCCCTATGTCAGATGTTATACATAGGGTTTCTTTCTCATTCAGGGAGACAGAGATTATAAAATGTGAATCGTAATTAAATTACATTGCACAGGGCTACCACAAAGTTATCATAACCATCTTTACAGGAAATAACCGAAGTAAGCAGATCAGAGTCTTAAAATAGGTAACTCATTTCTGTATTAACTAGCAAGTTTGACCGTAAAGAATAAACACAAAGTTGGACTCTGAAGTCCAAAACCAAAGTGGGTGAGTCCAGGGTGCAAAGCCAAGCATGTAAGCCAAGTCTTCAAAAGTAGAAAAAAAGGTAGGGCTGTTAGCCAAACAGTGTCCTGACTGTGCAGTCATTTTTCAATTTAAGAGCTGTGCACATCAAATATTGAACAGATGTCTGATCCAGCATTGGTAGGTAGTAGGATATCCAACTCCACATGGTGTAAACAAATAGCACTGGGAAATGCTGCACCGCGATGTAAAAAACTGCACCTTATGGACTTTGTTCAAAGCCGTGGAAATTATTAGGGTGACAGTTAAAACCACCTTTCCTTTGGAAAAACTGCATCAGCATATATGAAACAGTGTCTCATGAATTGGTGTGTCTGAATTTCCAGATTTCACAATAACTGTTTGCCAGGGCAGCGGCACCATGAATTCTGGGCCCAAGAAACAAAATTAAATGAAAAGGGGAACTGTCAAGGGCCCGTGGAGTTGTCCTAAGAGGAGTAAAGGAGAAGTTTGTGTGGAGAGAAAATCGGTTTTACAGCGAGAAGACTTACCTGGGGAATTTTCTTTTTTTTTTTTTCTCAGGGATAAAAAGCATTTTCGGCACTTTAATATTTTCTTCTACGCCTTACGTAAAAAAAGGTCACTTCTGGTGAACACATGTAAGAAGCAGGGTGAAACATGAAACGCGAGTCCAGCTAACAGGCCTGTTGTATGTTACACTCTCGGCCTCTTCTTCAACTGTCTGAAGAAGAAAACATTCCTTGATGATTGTATGCTGGAGTGACTGACAGACAAGACAAAGACGCGGCCCCATTGTTCCTGCCCACTAACTATCTGCTGATGACAGCATGTCTGCCTGGAAAGACGCTGCCCTGCTTTTCTCGGAGGCCCTGTAACTGCACACACGTCCATTTTTAACAAAACACAAGCCACCGTATGTAGTAGTGCTTTTGTCATTAACACGCACTCTAACAAAGCTGACACAGACACAGGCATCTGGGAGTTTTGTCTGCGATGTCTTTATAACTCGTCTGCTAACCTCGCATAACACCCCAAATCCTCCACCCTACAACGGTCATTCGAGGAAACTGTCTGCTGCACACTGTGGAAGCCAGCCAATAAGAAAGGCAGCTGCCTGGGATCATCCTATTTAATAAGCGCATGTGCTGGTAAAATATATGTGATTGCTTTGGTGGGTTGGGTTTAATGGAGATACCAGATGTTACACAATAAAAACAAAGACGCCTAAAACATCTGAGGTGGGTGAGCAATTAAGTCACTCACAGACAAATACAGGGTCATAAATAAAAAGTCCTGGACTTAATGTAAGAATCAGCGGCGCAGCTGACATCATGGTAATTATTTTTCTCACAGCTGTTGTGTGTTCACTCTACAGTGTTATGAGAAGCGGAAAAACAGTGAAACCGGATCTGCCAGTGAGACAGATCTGGTCCATTTTCCTCTATGATCAATGCGTAGATCAATAACTGGCTCCTGGCAAAGGCACATTCACAATTTCCATCCTTTTGACACTCCAGCACAATGTTTCAGATGGGTTGTGATGTGTTAATAGGTGGAGCACGTTAACACCGCTGAGCTATAACTTTGTGACCTTAGCGTGGACTCTACAAGACCTCTGAAGGAGTGCTGCAGACATCAGTAGTAAATCCTCTTAGATCCTGACAACAAGGTGAGGGCCTCCATGGATCAAACTTGGTTGTCCATCACATCCAAGAGATGTTTGTCTGGATAGAGATCAAAGACATTTGGAGATCAGGTCAACACCTTGAACTCGTTCCTCCAGACTGCTTTATTCGTTAATCAGTAGTAGGGTGACCATACGTCCTCTTTTACCCGGCCATGTCCTCTTTTTTGGGGGCTGTCCGGCCTTGTCCTGCTTGGTGCGACTCTGTGACTCCGCCCCCGCATAGTCGTGTCCTCTTTTTGGGAAGTCAGAATATGGTCAGATCATCAATGAGCCTTATAGGTCCATAACTGGTAACTTGTATCACATATTTGACGCTTTAACTTCTTACAAAAATGAAGTAGTCTGAATCTGTATTAGCCCAGAAAAAATGGCATCAGAACATGTCTCGCTTTTTCTACCAGCCCTGTCATTTATAAACATCTGTGAGCACTTTTACTATTAAAACCTGCTCATGGTCTGACCACAACTTTGAAGGCACAGTCTATGCTGGGACAATCAGGATGTATGCCCACCCACTCCTTCCTCCTTTCTCTTCAAACTCAGCAAAACCATATACCATCAGTCTGTATGGTCACCTGAAAGCAATCTGTGGAGAATTTTGCACCTTAAATTTCGTAAGCAGTCTTGTCCCGCTACATCAAAGAATGAGCCGCGTCAGCTTTTCTGCAGGTGTGGCGTCCAAGTGGCTGCCTGACTGGTGCTGCATGGACTGTTAGCCAGCTTTCAGCCAGACACAGATCTGCTGTCTTGGGCTCTACATGTGGCACAGTCAGCGTAAACACAGGAAGGGCACTCGCTCTCTCTCTCTCTCGACTCTACCTCAACATCCACAAAGGAAAAGCTGTGACTCATTCAGAACATATGTCAAATATACAGTAAGGTTCAGCCCTGCAGGCATCACAGAGGAGGCAGATCTCTAGAGCCAGGCTTCTTCTGTTAAAATGCAAACACTCAACTCAATAATAAATCCATTCAATAGATTCAGAACTACAAATCCAGAGTAAAAAAAAAAAGAGAAACCTTTACACATCCTTTCAAGTGTTTCATTCACAACTTTTCTCCATGCTGAGTAAGTAAAGTCAATATTTAGATAGAGGTGGGTTGCATGGAGCCGGCAGCTCACAGGCCATGGTTGCAGAGTCTCTCTGTCCTCTCACACAGCTGAGATGTGTGTAGTCAAGCTGCCCCCGGGGAGGCATGGAAAACTCCAGCCTGCAAGTTCAGTAGGAGTGTGGGACAGCGAGAAATGGAGGGGGAGGGGGGCTTTTCTACTGTGTCATGAGACCATCTGACACAAGCTCAATAACACACAAACACGCAAGCTAAGGTGTACTCTACACCGCAAAGCTGGGAAAGTTTCAACTAAACTTGACCAAAACATGCTTTGAAATAGATCATGAAAACTCACTCTGCGGGGTCTCTGAACACAAACAGCATGCATTTTGTAGAGTAGGACCTTACAGTTGTGTTTCTGTGCAGGTTTTTCCGCCTGACTGAGAGTTATTCAAACGTTCCATCAACCTAAAAGCCACTCGGTTCTTTACAGCTCCTCAGTGAGCACTACAAAGACCGCTGTTGGACCAGCACCTCATCTGCCAGCTGCCAGAAATCACACGGGGATGACAGCATCCACTGAAGTACTTAGGGTGTTAGAGAAAACAAACTTTTTTTCAATGCCTGATTTGTTGTTCATGGTGTAAAACTTTTTACAAGGTGAGAGACCTGAGCTAAGCTTTTGTTTCCGTTTGGTTTTCCCAGACTGTGGCGCTGTCTCAGTCTTGATCATACTAGCCTTTTTACCTTTTTCTGTTTGTCTTCCATCCTTTATCTGGATTTTGGGGGATCAAACTTATTCCTTATTGAAATTTACACTCATGTTCACATTTTCCTTAGTTAAAGTTGAGGCCAAGGTTTTATGGGATACTCATAAAAGATATCAAGAGAGAGAAAAGCACCACAGAACACCAAAAACACAACATTTACCAGTCACAACAGAGACCTGATGGTGCCATCTTTAAAAACCTGCTAAACAGTCTCTCTGGCTTTGAGGGTAGTCTTTAATGAAGTCCATAAACTGGCAGGAGACTGATAAAACTTCAGCTGGAAGGAGGGAGTGTGAAATAAGGACCAAATGTGCTGTGATTTCAGGAGAGAAAACCCCCTCTGACTTCTTCCAGGAGTTTTTCTTGTTGGCTTTTAGACCTATGTGTCAGCCCTGTGGTGTCAAAGCGAAAGTGTCGAACAGTTCTTTTAGTGTGATGATGTCTAGGGGAAAAAGGAGGGAAAATTACCTGCTTTCTCCTGAAAAAGCTGCAGTCAACCACACAGAGACTGGACTGTGTTAGGCTGCGGGGCAAGCGTCAGGGCTTTCATTTTAAACAAGTTCTTTTAAAGCCAACAGAGGGCTAACAAAATTAAGAATTTTATTTGATTTAAACTTATTCCATCCTGTAAACCAAAGCAATAAGAAGGGTCTTGGACTTTAATATCTCCCAGAAGTTCATGTTAAAACATTTCCCTAAAAGAGAAAAGCTTTCCTTTTTTTTCCATGAGTGAAAGTGACAGCAGGACAGCACAACTGTGAGGATTCACCGCTCCCAAACCCCAAACCTGGCCCCACGTAGAGCAGAGTGCCCATGACTACAAATCAATGGTTGAGTTCATTAATGGAGAAGCAAGGTCTGTCTGCGAACAAAAAGCCATCAAAAGGAGTCGTCTCAGACAATCTGGGCCGGGACACTCTGATGGATGAGATGAGCTTTAAGTTCCCATTCTTCCCCAGTGACCCCAGTGTTTAACTCTTAACCTCTGTGCGGGACAGAGAGCAGTCAGTCCCCACTTCCACCTTCATCTACTACGCCATGTTGGACTCAAGAGTTTCAGGATAACCTTCCTAATTACATCTCTCCAAACCGAACAGACCTCCAAGAGCCAACAAAGGCCGGTCACATCTATCCAATACCCCACCTTCATTAAAGATAGAAGTTGGGCAAGAATCCTATCACATCCAAGTGGTCAAATCCCTTCAGGGAATAAGAGAGGTCATGGCTTTGAATTGATTGGGACGAGGCCCTGACCTTGGAAGACCTATGAGGGTTACTGGATCGCACACACTGCTGAGGCTAAAAAAAACGTACATATTCAGAAATTTCTTCGTGAAGTTAAGACACTCTCTGTTCATGGATGTTGGTTTCAAACCACTCTCTCTTGGCCCACTAAGTCAAAGGACAGTGGGGACAGCCAACTTCCCCTGAGGCTGAGGGGAGGAGACAGGACTGCTGTGATCCTGCCAGAAATCCCATTTCATTTACAGGAAGCATTAAGCATCTTAGGTGGTACTCTGTCTGCTGGCCACAGTGTCAGGAGGGTCACACTGCTCACTTGGGCTGATCTGCATGTAGAGACCATGTGTGCATAGGAGCTTGTAGATCCATCAGTGTGTCTATAAAGCTATTAAATAAGGATTGTCTCTACAGTGGTAATCCTTCAGTCTCGAGCCTTGTTAAAACTTTCCTCATGGCCACCTGTTGCAAGGGGGCAGCTGTTGCCCCCTGCCAAGCCACAACACCCTAGAATGGGGGGGGAGGAGTCAGGGCAGAAGGTAGCCTGGTCTTTCCATGGCCTGAGAACTGTCACAGCATCCACACAAGCTTGAAGACTGAGATGACTGAGTGACTTATGTTTACTCAGCCCTGGTTGTAAACACATGAGCTATAATAGGATGCTTCATTACCAAGCCTCAGTGGAATCTGTTTGTTTTGCTCTGCAACATTTGGGTATGCAAAGTCAGGGCTGTGTAGTCACAGTGGCAGATGGAAGTGATATAAGATCCTGGTTAATGTTAACAGAAGATAAGGGTTCATGTCAGAGTATAGCATGAACACTAACAACCGGTGGTCCACGATGGCTTAGAGGTGCTACAAAGAGATGAAGTACTTAGACGCTCACAGCAGGCGCTCCTAAACTGCTAACACTCAAGAGTTCATTGAGAATCTGCTTACTATTTTACAAGCTCCATTATCCAGCTGTACACCACATCTAGGAAAGCTACACTCTGTGAGAACAAAACTTAAGTGGCCTGCATAGCCAGTGCCAACAAGTGCTCACGGATGCTGCAAATACCATCGCCATTCCCAGAGGTACTCTCCTAATAATCTTTCAGCAAAATCAAGCAGCAAGGCAGCATGCCATATGACTGCATAACTGGCATGCCAGTGTGATGGGCCTCTGTTGGGACAAAATAATAGCCAGACTGAAGACTAATGATGCTAGCCTTTAGGAGTGGGTCACCCCCAACCATTCTGATCCCCAGTAATGGCTTCTGAAAAGCTGACTGGGCTATAAATAACCATTATTCACCGGAAAAAAATGAATTAACTGGACAAAGGGAGATGGGAGGGAGGGAGAGGCCTGGTGAGAGGGTGGTTTTCTGACACTTTAAGGGATAAATCCTGAGCATTTAACAGAAATATTTCATCTCAACGGGTTTCTGGTTTTTGATTTGATAAAAGGTATTGGAGTTATCATACAAGAACTCAAAAAATCAAATGTCATGAATGTTTTTGGGTTTTTTTTAACTGTGCTAATGCTTAGGGTATTCAAAGATATCTTCACGGTCAGGGTAATTATTTAGTTACTGACATTGTGAATCCCATTTTCTAGCAAAGTCAGCTGGGCTCCAAAATGATTGTAAAGACCTACTCAACAAAATTTCCCCTCAAAGAGATGTCCTTTTCTCTTCGAAGGATCTCAAAGGAGAAAGGGGACCCACAGCACTTCCTGAAAATTGTGGTGAGAATGAGGGGAGAGTGGGAGCCACAGCCAGGGCTAAACTGGCATTCTGGGAGTTATCCCGTTGAGCCAGTGTGCCTAGGAGCAGATAAACTGTAATACGGCTCAAATCAGAGCTCTAGGGTGAGCTGTGGAAGAGGAAGTAAGAAGAAGAGCAGCTGAAGCAGGTATGTGTGCGAGTTAAGCAGAGGTACAGAGTGAGCACGAGGCGACTAATAACAATATATTAAGTGTCGGACCAAATAGTGCATAAATCTGTGTGTATCATAATGATATTCAGCAGAGCCCTGAGACTTCAAATCATAAAGATGGAGTCTTAAAAAGACTGAATGATTACATCTGCAGCAGGTGACAAAATTACTATTACGTTTGACTTTTGATATTTCTGCTGTATTAATTAATCCAGTTAGTTTGAAAACAAAAAACTAAAGGTAAAACTGTTTATTTAATATTTTTCACTCAGTTATATTCATTTATGTTTTTTAAAAGGACTGAGTTGAATCCTTTTTGTTGTAAGAAACGGATGAAAAGTTTGCTTTAAGAAAGATTTTACAACCCATTTCATGGTATCACTGTTTTGTTAGACTATGATTGTTTGAGTTATGTGTGGGACCGTGGTGGATGCCATGCACTTGACCCCATGAAAATGAACATAGAGCACAGACAAAGAGCAAGTGCTGAACTATGGTAATAAGCAAAGAGGGCTTAAACCAGATTGAGAAAATGTGTATTTATGCAGTAAAAGGAGGGAGTAGAAAGTGAATAAGAGTCCATACAAAGCAAGCACTCTACCTGTCATGCAACGGTAAATTAAAAAGCAGCTGCAGAGTCGTGAAAAGTTACTGTGTCTCCGTCTGAGTAACTTTATGCAACTGAGAGAGTGATCAAAGGGCTGCGCCACAGACATCAGACACATGCCTTGAATGTCAAGTAGTGATGGTTGTTTTAGAGCTGCCAACACTAAATCTCAGCAAACTTCTGTGGGCTACAGTTTGAACCACGAAACTTGGGATCTGTTCAAGGAGACTTTTCTATTGATTGCAACATTTTAGGGAATCGCTGTCTCTGTCAAGTGAGAATCAGGAACTGGGGCACTAAAACTGTCCAAGTTACAAAAATAGACTTAAAACAACCGATACGTGCCAGCCAGACATCTTGCAGACATCCTCTTGAGGTTTTCTCGGTTAAGACAAAAGCAGGGCACTTTCATTCAGATCAATACTTAACACAGAAGTCAGCTCGGCCCTCAGGGCTGGCGCTGCCTTGAAATGAAATCTGAGGTTGTGTTTTGACAGACACGTCAGGACACAAGTGGCTGTTTGCTTTAGTGATTTTCCTCATCTGCACAGTTGTTGATATAAATGGTTATCTTTATGTCATTTATCAAATATGTAAAATCAAAGCTTGTGCACAAATTGAAATGGGCACAGCTTTATATGGTTTATAAGGTCCAAGCAATCAGAACCTCTCAGTTCAGAAAGTCATAAATGCAATAATATTAGGTAACATGACACACTGTCTACATATCAGAAAAAAAAGCCACATTTGATCATCCCATATAAAAGTATCTCCCATAATCATATGACATCAAGACCAGATTGTGGTATTTCTAGCGTGCTTGGGTATTTACAACGTGCCATTGAGAGTGCCAGAGTATCTGAAAAGAAAACATAAACAAACCCTAGACCACTTTTTCTAAGTCTGGGCTCGCCAGAGGAAAGTCAGAAAAGTGGTTAGCAAGAAAGTCTGTGTTTTACAAGAGCACAAAGGGGGGGCATGACACAAATCCCAACATCCTCTTACTGGATAAACAGGTTTTATTGCTGTGGTTTTACCAACACACACACAACCATGCAGGTTCACACACAAGCTCCCTGAATAGCCTCTTAATAGCAAGCAGTTTAAATCTACTAGCCTAATTAGGTTTTTTTGTCAGATGCCATTAAGTTCTGAAAGAAGTAATTATGCAACATTTGAGGAGCCAAAGTGTCTGTGTGCCTGAGTCTATCCTCCTCCTGTGAATGTGTTTAAAAGTTCACAATAAAGAACCACATTTTAAGACCAGCTTTAAAGGTCTTTCATGAAGATGAGGCTGTAGGTGCATCAGCTGTTTAGAGAAGTGCAAGCTCAAGCTACAAAACAGAGCGCTAGCTTTACTGTATTACAAACATAGAAGGTGAGACAGTCTGAAAAACAAAAATAAACTTGAATATTATAATTTGCATCACATCTTTAATCAAAAGAAGCTGTCAAATCAGACATTTTGGGCAGCAACAGAAGGCTCTAAATCCTACTGGGACAGTGTTATGAGCTCACTGGAAAAAAGACTCAGGAGCAGCTAAACTCTCGTGTAATTGAATTAGAATGGAAAACAGCACTATAGCCATCTGGAATAACACATGAATCAAGACACTTTAAACAAATTAATCTTCTCCCTTGTCAACAAGTTACACCCACATAAAAGATAACAGCTGTCATAACAGAACTAATAAGCCACACTGGAGGTATTAGTGATTTAGAGACAGCCAAATATTAGGCTTTGATTTACATCAAGGTCTGTTTACAGCCCAGAGGACGAATTACTGCAAGAGTTATACTAAGTCTTTTTTGACTCCACTGAGAGCTGAAGTCTGATCATTTTTTTTGCATGGAGTGTCTCTTGTCAAGTCTTTCACTTTAATTTGTGACTAAAAAGTTATGCATGTGCAATATTTCACTTTTGTAAAGAGTGAAATGTTTCAACTACACACAGATCCTCTTGTACTTGTGCTTTAATTTGTGCACTTTCAAAATAGACTTGACAGTGCATATTCTCTATCAAATATTTGCAATCTTTGTTTACTGATAGTTTGGCCATATACAGAGAATTCATGCACTCAAAACAACGATGGAGCAGCATGAGATTGTGTGCAAAAATCTTAACGCAAGCAAAAAAATCAGACAGCCTGTCATAAAAACTAAGAGGCGTCCACTAGCGAAACATGGCACCTCTATAAAATGATGTAGCATTAACCCAGTCAGTCTGTCCTTAGCTGTCAGGTTAAGGTTGAAACCTAAGAAGTGAGTGCTTACACAACAAACTGCTGCTGTAGAAAAAGGTCAGAACAAGCACAATGTTGGAAACATGACACAATGCTGAAAACAGCCAAGTCTGATCATGTTTGTGTTTCATTATTCTCACGGGTGAAAGATTCATCCTTGATGGTTTGTCAAATATTCAGAGATACTCTACCAGGATTTTTTTTTAACATGGTGGTGTTGTCTTTTTTAGATCTACACACTGCTTACTTTTGGATCCTCGTGTGTGTACATATGTAAATGTGTCTGTTTGCGTGTGTGTTTGAGATTCCAGGCTCGCTGGCAGACAATGAGAGGAAGTGTTCCCTGTCCACTGCCATGTTTGATTGGTCAAACAGACCAAAGCAAGTGAGGTCTTGTTGGCCCAACAATAAAGGCCTTGTGTTTCCTGAGCCTGAACGTGGGGAGGTCAATGTGAAACAACAACGCGCTACTCCACTTCCTAGTACCAACTATTCAACTGCTTGTGTCTGAAAGAAAGTGCCGAGTTTGAATCTCAAACACTGCATGCTTGCGTAAAGCTAACATTGCTTAAGCACTATCTAAAATCACTTAAATCCCCACAACAATTTCTTTCTTGTACTTAAAAGCATCTTTCAAAACCACAGATAAGTTGCACTTTTAATCCAGCAGCAGAGTTAAATGCAGCAGAGCTGAGAAAGGTGTCTGAGTCTCCAGTGAAGCACCTGTCAGCCTGGGCAGGTGCATGTCTGGCTGCCTGGCTAAATCCTCTCCAAACACAGGTTATAAATAAAGCAGGAGTAAATCTCACATAAGACACAGACCATCTATCTCAGCTCTGCACATGTTACAGACTCCGACATCTGTTTTTACAACGAAAAGGTGCAAACGTGCCCTTCACATGCCTTTTTATAGATGACTAAACATCAATTGTTATTTCTTGGAACAGCACCTAACATCTGCAAGTTTATCCAAACTTGGAGGGCAGAGACACACTAACACACATAATAAACCAAGCTGCCCATGTGGGAAATTCTATTTTTACTATCAGGCAGGGCGAGGCTCTGCCATTCAGCACACAAAGTAGGGAAACTAAAACAAGAGAGGGAGGGAGGCAGTGTGGGGCTGTCAGGGAACAAAGCGGAAGTGTCCTTCCTTCTGATGACCTGCAAAGGAAGAACACAAAGTGTTCCCTGTGCACAGACAGGAGATGCAGACCAGCCTTTCCTCTCACACATGGAAATTATCATATGGCAGAATTACTTCAAATGGCTGAGGGAGTTAAAAAAGGAAATTTGGGTATGTTATTTTCTTCTAAGTGTTCTTTCCTTTTTTATCACCCATAAAGAGGAAGGTTTACAAACATAGTGTGTCAGCTCCTGCATGAAAACCACTGTATGGTGGTACAGTATAGAGCCTGTGGTATAAGCCTTACAGAACAATGGCTGGTGTTGTTAAAAGTGAGCATTAAATAGGTGCATAAAGGTAACTTCTGATTCAAGCTTGTAAGTTTGAGAAAAGGTCTAAACACAATAAAGAGAGCTTTCATTGTAATAGTATCTCTTATTTGGCATATCCTGGTGTTTACTGGGATAATAATCCCAGTCCCAGCAGAGTTACTCACCTCCTCCAGAGCAGCCACTGTGTTTCTACAGTGGGACATCCTGGTGGTGAAGTTAGAGGCTGTGGGAGATTTATAATCTTCATTCGTCTCCGCCACAAACTCTGAAACTGTGATTTGGTCCGGCATTATTAATCCCTTGGCTGTTAAGAAAAAAGAAACACTTTATCCGTTATCCCACGTCTCGGCTGAAGCAGGGAAAAGTTCACAGCAGCAGGAACAGAAGTGTCTCCAAACGTCGCTGCGGGTAGTAGTAGTAGTAGTACACCATCTCTGAGTATGATCAAGTCATTCCCTTGTTTGCCCTCCAATACAAACCACATACAGTGGTGTCGCACGCGGGGCTGAGGAGTTGCCGTGCGCTACTACAACAAGGTGATGGGTAGGTGAAATCCTTCCTGGCTTTCAGATCAATATTCCACTTCCCATTAATATTCACAGGTCGTCCTCTGATTGGAAAAGAAAAAGAAGAAGCCTCCTCAATTTCAGTCTGTTAGTCTCCCTCGATGGTTCCCAATCTTCCGTACGAGCGGGGTGGACAACTTCTTCCTCCTCCTTGCCCGGAGAAACAACAACTAAGCGTTTCAACGGGAGCGCAAGAAATTGACAAAGGTAGAGGAGGGGATTCAATGGACACGAAGCAGCCAATCAGGAGCACCGACTGGTAATTGGGAGCCAATCGGGATTGATGGAAGGCGTGAGCTCGTGCTGCCTTCAAATACACCTCGGACATTTAACCGGTGTGTTGTATTCAAGTCTCAATCTGTTTTACAAATCAACAACCACTATTACCATCATTATTATTTTATTATGATTTTATTATCATTATTAATATCGTATTTTTAAACTTACTATCCTGTCTCCTGCTTTCTACCTCCCCTTTTTTATTACATTTCTTTTTCTTACCTATTTCATGTTTTTATTTTGGTCCTTGTGGTCTCATTTTATGTTGTAGGGTTCTTGTATTGTCTGGGTTTCTCATGACAAATGAAATTGTCCTTCAATTCAGAGGCATTGTTTGTAACTGAGCTTTTGTTTTTTATTTGTTTTTATTTCCATGTGCTGATGCTTCACGACTGTTTTTTCAAAGCACTTTTTAAACTTCTGTTGTTAAAAGTGCTACAAAAAATAAAGTTATTACTATCATAACCAACTAAGGAGTATAAAAAATATTTTCATCCCATAAAAAGTGGTTTAATGCTACAATTCTGTGGTCTAATACCAATACAAATGTGATATAGATTTACCTCTATAAATGCAGGCTAACTAAACAACACTGGCTGTGAGTTAAGGTAAATTGGCATAAACACTATTAACAGGCATTTGAATAAACATGCCAAATAAACAACACAAATAAAAGCCTGAAAACCCCTAAAGTTACTTTAATTGTTGTGTCTTTATGTTGTTAAACTTGTGCTTTACCAAACCAACAAAATGTGCACAAATTGAGGTTATACTCAAATGAATTTTGTTGTTCTCTAAAATATACTCAAAAGGCACAGACTGGTTTTTAGTTAAAGTTAGACAAGATATTCAAAATATTGTTTTAAATATCTATTTTCTCAAATGCAAGCTCAATTTTAAAGCACAACAAATAAATGACATTGACTACAAAATCTAAACAAAGTGCTGTAACCATTAATAACTCTGACACCTATTGTTTACTGAGAATTTCATTTGTTAACACTGATATTGTAATCTTTTTTACAATTCCTACTGTATGGCAGAATCGTACTTGTACTGAATTTCAAAAATCCCAATGGCAAGTGAAAGCAGCGTTTTGAGTACAGCGCCACTAGCTGTGCTTTCTTAAGGTGGAGTTGAGAGAGGAAATCAGCTGTGTACAAATAAAACAAGAAATTAATACGTGCGTGCTCTCGAGTTCTATAAAGTGCATTATGAGAATACTCTGATTGTTTTTTTTTGTATGCTACTCACAAATACAAATGTGATTAAAAAAAGAATCTCAGTAGCTCTATTGGAGAAAGTACAAAAAAAGAAAATAACAGACTTCATCAGACACTGCAGGAAACTCTCTAAGATTCTCTATCTTGCTTGAATTTTTTGTTAACAGTAGCCCCCCCTCAAAAAATCCCAGAGTGATAACATTTTTTCTCCTTGGTTTAGGGATGAAAAATCTGCTGATGTTTTCCTGCTCATTCAGCCCCAACAGGACAGCTACTGGTATAAATAGCATAACAGCGGCTGAGGCGAAAACCCTGGGCAGCCTTTAAATCACAAACTGGGCAGTGTTCACACATTCTTTCAGCTCTGCAGCGTCTCCTGGCAAGCTGCTAAATGAAGAGCTTAAGACCCAGGCTGACCCTGACCAGCTACTCAGGCCTCAACTCCCTTATGAAATAAAGACACACACACACTCCCAGTGAACATCTGCTATCCAGAGACGGAGAGGTCAGAACAACCAAACGGCACCAGCCTCCCTCTGCACCACTCTGCTTTATATTTCCAGTACCATCTGCTTACTCAGTGCATGTTTTGATTCCTTTGAATCAGGTCTAATCTAGCTCAAATATATAAACTCTCGGAGCCACAAGGTTATATTTTATGCTTTTACCCACTTGGTTGTATAAAGCATTCTATTGTAAGTACAAGCAGACACATCAATGGGATAATAAAACTCCAGCTCAAGAAAAGACTGTAAAAAGGTTCTGTGTCATGAATTTAGCCTACATAAATAACCCATACTCTACATTTATTGTATTCTATAATCATCTAAGCCTCATAAATCTTTTTTTATTTTACAACGAGCTGCTTCCCTCTGGCCCTCCTGAAAGAAAAGATATCCAAGCAGAAGCCATCAGCTGTTCATATAAAGTGAACAGAAGCCTCATTTAGCAGCAGAGCCTTCCACAACATAGACCTTGTTTGCATGCAAACAACCTGTAGCCTTTACTAACAAGTGAGTTAGAGGGATACTTGCTGGACATGCTGTGGTCACGGTTGCCGTATTTGAATGTCTTAAAGTGATTTAGCTAAAGAAAATATACATCAGTGTTGCTTACTTTTTGCTAAACCAAAGCTGATTTAGTGGTGAAAATTAAAGTAAATGCCCCCAGGTGTGTGTGACAGGATATCTGATCTATATAACAGCAGGAATTTTCATCAGACGTCAAATTTAAAAACATCTTTACCAAAGGGGTCTAAGTGTACTGTACATCTATGTGGCCAGATTCCTAGCACTAATATATGATGCATTTTATGAGGTCTTGGAAGTTGGAATTTCATAGATTTACTTCAGATAGGCTTCAGCTTCTGGAAGTCTTGTGACTCTGAACTTCAAGCTACCCTGATCTCAAAATAAAAAAAAACGGTTCTGCCCTGCATCAGCTCTAAAACAGCTGAACTTTGAATGGTTTTTATTTGCAAATTAGTTTTATTCGTATAAGCTAACCAATCACACAGACAGTATCTTGCAAGTCATTGCTGTATATATTACTTTTACACCCAAACTCTTGTGTTTTGTTGTTGTCTATATGGCTAATAACGCAAACAACAACAAGGGGCCACTTTCCAACTTTGTTTCAACTCATAACTGGAACCCAGTGAACTCAGGTGTCATTCTCAGCTCTTGCATCTAAAGTAAATGTAAATACAAAATCAGCTTTAATGTTGTTCGAACATTAGCTGTTATCTGATGGTAGCTAATGAGTCAGAAAATTTGACCAGTAAATATTACCATTTTTTTCTACAGTCTTCAACAATCCATTTTATTTACTTCCAACTTAAAACCTGAAATAGAACAATCCAAGAAAAATAAAAACAAGCTATACACCCAGAAATTGGCATCAGAGTAAAATGGCTACTACAGCAATGAATGGCCCAAGCAGATGTCTGACTGTACACAAAGACCCTCTTGCACAGGGTGTGCCAGCACACCAGCTCATTGGACAAAATGAGACAAACACATCCAGTATGCTGATTTGGCATCAGAGACAGGCAACATGCTACAGCAATAAAAGAGAGTGGGAGTTTGTGTAGGAGTCACTTTTTCCTAATTGCACTGACATTACATCATGGTTGTGTAACAGGTGGGAAAACATCACAATCCAGCCTCTCACATTAATAAGAGACATGAAGGACTGCTTTGTTCGGGGTAATTAACATATGGTGCAAACGGCTTGGCTGAAACTTTCCTACACATGTGGTTGAGTGCGAGTCCACCACTCAAGCATTCATACCCAAGAAGCTTACTTTTGTTTCTAAATGATCATACAACTCATCACAAACTACATTAAGTTAAAACTAAAACAACAGTGATGTAGCTGCACATGGGCTTGAACTGGACAAACAGTGCCAAGTGAACCTGAGAAGTAGCTGCACGCTGTGGGACTCCTAGTAGGGGAGGCATTAGGGGTGGGAGAGGGCAAAGAAACAAGAGGAGGAAGACAAGCACTGAGGAGGAGGCAGTGGACTGTAACAGGCTGGGTCTTTTCTCAGAAGCTTTCAAAGAGAAAACTCAGCCAGTCCAGCCCAACAGTTCTGGACAGAGAGCTTTTGTTGAAATGGGTGCTTGGTACACGAAAAGTCAAAGAAGTAACTTTACAGCAAATACAGAGTGGTACTATTGTATGGGTTATCTGCTTCTGAAGATAAGTGTTACGATTTATTATGTGATCTGAACACTAGTTTTGATCTGTCATCTAGGGCCCTACATTTAAATAAGAGACTAGACGTGTTTGCAGTCCAATACAGATAATGTTTCTGGGTTTCTCTGGCTCATTTGCTGCTATATGCTGACAGACTCATTCACATGTCAATTTCAATGGAAGTCTACAACCTCATATCATAATACCAAATCACACTATAAGTAGATATCTAGCTCTTAGAGCTTTTGGTCCAGCCAAAGTCATTCACATAGGCCAACTTTTTTGTTAGCTTTTTGATAATCCACCACAGATTTTTAATGGGGTGCATGTCCAAGGATTTAGCCACTCTAGGATATGGATATTGCACTCCTGCAGCCAACTCGTACTTGCCCTGGGTGTGAGGCAAGGGGCATTATCTTGCTGAAACATCCAGTTTTGACCTCGCGGCAAGAATGCCACAATATTTGGCAGAGATTAATGTGCCATCACAGACAGTGAGATGACCAACACCAGCAGCACTCATACAGCCCCAAACCACGGTACTGCCTCTGTCATGCTTGACGGAAGCTACTGTACATGTTCTCAGTTTTAAATCTAAATGGCTTCTCACGATTTGTTTAGCATTAAGGTTGACGTAAGAGTGATTCTTAAATGAACCAAAACCAAAAACTTTTTCCTGTCACTGTCTGTGTGACAATTTCCCAACAAATAAGAAGAAATTAAGTTTTGTGTTTTGTCTTCTTCTTGCCACCCCTTAAACTGAAAACACTGGAGAACAAGATTGTTTGGGCAAATGAAAGCTGCAAACACTAACATGTTCAGCTAGTCATTTAACAGCTATATTAGCAACCCAATCATTCCTCCGAAGTGATGCTAGCTAGCATTTCACTGTACATAATGATACACAATACACTATACAGCCCAATAACATCCACTTTGAGGCACTGACAAGGGAAAAACTTTGAACTCTGTAATTGCATACTGCTAAAAATCAATTATGGAAACAGGTAAATCAGTTAATGACTCACAGATTTATGAATGATCTTAAAGCTAAGTGACCACATCAATAGGGTCAAAGGTCAGGACTGGATGCAATTACAGATAGTTCAATAACAACAGAAATTACCTAAACTGACGGAGAAGTCTAGCGGACAACAATAATATATTTGGCTTGCATTGCACACAAATTCGACCATAAAATGCAATTGATAATCATTGTGGGACATTTACACAATGATTATTAAACTAACATTGGAGCTACAATTAAGATGGCTCTTAGTTTTCTATTAAAACCCTCATCTGAGTATGTCTTCTACCAGAGGACTGCACTGAATAGTGATTTCCATTCAACCTTGCCACCCTGAAGGACACCCAAGAAATATCACCCTGTGGAATAATTGCATGACATTTTTAGCCTGCCTCCTCCACCTCCACCTCCACCTCCACTGCACACATTTGAGTGATGATTGCAAAGAGCTGGGGGTTCACAGCTGCTCCACTATCATCAGTAGGGGCAAGTGGCTTTTACAGTAATTATTAGTCCTCTAAGGATTTGGCACCATAAGCTGGAGCCTATCAAGTGTTGCTGTGTTTCATTATGATCTGACAGGCAGCAGCATGTCAACCTGCACCATCCTCTCTTGGTTTCCCTGTTACCACGACTGAAGATTTCACTTTCTTTTTGCACCCTTAAAATCCTCTACAGCACGAGATAAGCACATTTTTTTCTTGCATACTGCAGCAGAAATAGTTCCACTGATGTTGCATTGTTTCTGCTATGTCTCATTTATTCAGTGTCCCTTGAGGCAGAATGGGGTAGGGAGACACCTTGAGTCTGCATTCAACATCTCTAATAATGAAATATCTGCGGCTGTGAATTCTCCCTCTGTCTGTATTTCTGTTAATGGTAGCAAGCAATGCAAACCACAGGGTATTAATTTGTTTAATTGAATGCAGCGAGAAACACATACAGAGATGTGATTATGATCTTTAAAATTTCTCTGCTTATTAGTTGCGAGTGACCTCCTCATACACAGGAAAGCAGAATTCAGTTACATTTGCTTGGACAAAATAACGAAAGTACATCTGCATAATATCCAAAATGTTGCACTGCATCCTGTACAGGTTCTGCTTCAAGTTCTCAAGGTCAGTGCAGGTATCTGATGGAGTGCTGACCATGCCTCTCCTTTATCACAGCATCATCGTTTTGATGAACACCATTAAAAATTCATCCCTCCTCTTCATTTTGCTTTGAACAAAGCGCATCTGCTCCTCTAAATCAATTTCAAGAGATTAAGAATGTAAAAAACAATTTGGAGACTGAACTCTTTTGGTCTCTTGTGAGGCTAGTCACGTATTTAAAAAACACACACTCCTGTATCCAGTAGGTTGACAAAAATGAGATCACTGCTGGGGAAAACTGTCAAACCCAAGTTGTATCCCCCAGCTTCTCCCCAATGATTCAATAAACCTAGGCTTAAGATTTAACTGTAGCCCCACTGCAGCAAATATAAATCCAAATCAGCTTCATTTACAGTCCTAGAGTGACTACTGTCATGGTGCAATTCCTCAAGCTGTGTTGCATCTGTTTCTGACACCACAACAGACACGTTCAAAGACTCTCTCAGACATTTGAAGTCGCTGTGTTAAAGCTGCAGACTGACGGGATCACGGTGAAGATAGAGGATGAAAGTGTGCCTCAAGGGTGTTTTCAGTCGGCTTTGTATTGCCTCAATTATCTGATTAACTTTATAATCTTGTTTGGCTGTTTTCATATCACTTAAAAGTCCAGTTGGTTCAAAGGGATGGCAAAATTGGTGCTCCAGTATGAAGAAATAAATGTGTCGAGTGAATCTGCTGGTGTCCTCTTGGGAGAAGGCTAATGGAGGGGCAGGGAGTTCACTCTATGTAAGTCAATGATTGTGTCCGCTCCTCCCACAGTGGACACTTCAGACAGACTGTACACTGAGTGGAGCCTCCACATCCATCTCGTTCATCCATCTTCCTGTCCAGGGAGAATTTTAGCCATATGGAAAAGCTAATCATGGAACATCAGTCCTGCAGTGCACATCATAAAACAAAAAAAGGGAGTGTTGCAGGAATAGCTGGTGGAAATAGAGGCTTGTTATCTTTCCTTTATGTGGTCAATATGCAGGCCACTGGAGACATTTAATACAACATAATATGATTATTAATGAAACACTGCTATGATGGATCACTTAATTTATCCTGCAGGGTCAGCTAAAGGATTAAGCTGCATGATTTACATTAGTTGAATCGCTTTTATAAGCTCAAGCATCATTGAGATATCAATTTTATTAGGCACCTGACAGCCACAGTGAGCTGAGCTAATTACTTATTATTTAATTAAATAATTAGTTCATTTAATCACAACATCATCACAAGTCTCTGTTTTAATAATTTGACATGATGGAAGTTATATTTCTCTAAAATTCTTTTTTTTTTCTTTTAATATACTCGTCAGCTGAGTCAGGCTTTTGGGTTGCCAGGCCTCCATACTAAGTTAACTATTGAACTAGTTAGTACAGGAACTGTTTCCTCACTGCACAGTATAGCACAAACACTTTGATCATCTATGTTAGCAGTCCTCTCAATGAATTTGATAAACTCTACAGGCCTCCTTAAATCATAGCTCACTCCCTCCAGTTTACACTCCCATTCTCTCCCTCCCCTGCAGCCTCTATTGTGTTTCCACTGTGCATGCGGCATTGGTTTGTGCAGAACTGTTGAACTCTCATTTACTAGTGGCAATGTAGTGGTTATCACTTGTTCAATTTTTTTTATTTTGTGCTTTAATCATTGAAACTGCATAAAGGACAAATGTATGTGGAATATCTGGCTGACATTGAGCTTTCAGACCATGTTAGGACAGCTCTCAGAAACCTGTTTGGTAATGTACACCTGATACCTTTTCAGTCTTTACACCTATTTTTATATAAAGAGCACATATAAGGTTAAAATATGTATTTTTTCTTTAAATAGAGAGATAAGCAAACCAAATAAGGTCAAAACACTAAAATAGAGGACAAGTAAGACATTAGGGCAAATAAGGTCATGCATAAGTAAAGGAAAATGAATGGCTGCCCCGCCTTTCAGCAAACTGTGGACAGAAAATCAAACAATGAGCTGCGGGGGTTCATGTTTCTGACTCTGAGATTGATGGTGATAACAGATTCAATTCCACACCTTTAAAATACCTTGTTAATATGAGAGAAGGGAGTGTATTTTTGCGCTAGTCTAGCATGAAACTATAGTCTAATAAAAGGTTTTAGAGCTGTGACGCTCCTCTTTCTCTTTCTCTTTCTCTTTCGATCTTTCAGCTGATAAATAAGCAAGCCACTAGCTCGCGATGATTTCAAGGGCTCTGCACTACCTTATGCATAATTTATCTAGAGGAAACAAGTGTATTTTATATTTTTTGAGTGATACTGTATGAACTCAATCACAAGGTGCTTTAACATTTAGAATGTCTTTGTGCCTCAGCATCCCAAAGCAGGAAACTGTCAGTGAGCATGAGTATATTGAGCAAGCAAGGCAGCTTATTGATTGAAAAATATGGCCTCGGTCTTAAGCAACAGCTCAGTGATTCCTGTCTCACTGTTTTGAGTGATGATGATAATGCACTCGAGGAAAAATCCCACCGGGACTCATGGAATCATTCAACCAGTTGACACTCTGCAGGTTATGTGAGTCTTTCCGGCTTTGCTACAACGAGACAAAGGGGAGGAAAAAGGGTGATCCTCAGGCTGGCTACACTGTTGTGGTAAATAAACTGTACACGTCTATCTCTGTGGGCTTCTATTTCAAGAGGCCTAGTCCAGTGGGGGAACTCTGGCTTGACCCCTGAACACAAAGACGCTTCCTGTCTCATTTGTAAGAAAAAAGCTGCACATCCCCGAAGGACCAAGCTGAGAGCAAAACATGAACTATTGACTATATAAGGAGCTTATGGAGTGCACACTACAATACAGATGAGCTAACAGCTTTGGCTGTGAATAAATATAGCAAATATAATGTTTGCTTGGGAGTGGGGAATTACCAACATTATCTGATAACTGTTTTCGACTGACATGTTGCTGATGAAAATCAGCTGTTGCATTAATAAGATTAAAAACCTGGAATAAAGTGTATGTTTGACCTTTTAACCCTATTTGAGCTTCCAGTCCAGAGATTTGAAGAAAACAGCAGTTGTGTGAATATGCACCTCTTCTAGATCATTCACCACAAATGTGCGGCTTCATCCTTTCAAATAGATTTATAGATGCTTTGTCCGGCCTTGCTCTTCCTCGCCTCTCTGCCAGTGGAGTGTCAGCCTGCAAAAGAGATGGCGAGGAATAAGGATGAGGCTGTCAAGGCTGTGCCAAGTTACAGAACTATGTCTGTCTATGTGATTGTGGGACAACATCAAAGAATATTAAAACCGCAATTGAGCAGAGTGCCATAAATGTAATGAATCTGTCTAGCTGTCTTCCTGTCTAAATGTATTACTCTTTTTTTGTTTTGTGAGTTTATGAATGATTAATGGTGATTATGTAAGCGCTGAAGTACATGGAGTGCATGCTGAGTTTTACAGAGGGCAGACTAATATGGAGGAGAGATGGGACCCCCAGAGGTATTTTGCATGAATATATAATCTACATGATACAGGTACTTATCAATTCATTATTCCACAGAGTTAAAAAAAAAAAAGTCATTATTCATATCATGTGGTTTTTGCACTGCCAGCTTTACTCTACTATGTTATGGAATCCCTTTGCAGCAAATATGATGTGCACTCTCCAAAATTGCACCAGCAATTTATAAATAATCTAATAAGTGTATCCCTCGTAGGCAGACACACACACTTTTACACTCAAAAAGTGCTGAGTCATCCCTGCATGAACAGCCTGTGCACTTAGAAATACTGCTTTTCAGCAAATATGGTCAAGATTCATACAGAGAACTGATATACAGTCATTCTGGGTCCCATCATCATACACAACATAACCCTGCAAACTTTCTTTGTCTTTTAAAATCTCTAAATTACTACAGATTTTTGTCACTCCTTGACTTTTAGGGATCATTAAGGCACCTTTTTGGCATAAAAATGAATTACACACCCCAAGTACAAATGTTAAAAGAAAATAAAAATTCTGTTGCAATAAAAAAATAATCTAGTGGTTGGAATAATGGTTTGCTGAAGGAATTAAGAATAGTCATTTATTGTATTTTTTCTTCTCCTTCTTTGCTCTGTTACTGTTCTCTCCCTGCACACTCCCTGCTCTGTTGCTGTTCTCTCCCTAGTCCTCTGAATAGAGGTGGTTAATTATTCAAATAGCTCATCTCATTTGTTATGAGGTCAAAGTCCACTTCCCTTTCTTACTCTTGTTCGGGCATGCCATTGAGGATCTTAGACGTTTTTTTTTTCTTCTGTTACCTCTACTCTTTTATCTTCTAGCATTAACTAAAGTTTGTGTACTGTTCATATATTTTACATAATAGGTTAAAATGTGGTGTTTGGGACACTTTTTTTTCCTAAGTTCATTATAGTAAAGTTGAAAAAACCACATTTAACAGTTTTTACAGTGCATTTTCATCACTTGTTGCTTTACAATAATGAATAATGATGAGAAGAGAAATCAGTCACAGTTTAATATGTAGTTTTCTGCTGTATTTTGAGTAAAAGGTGAGAAATATGTAGCTTTACCTTTGTCTTGAACCGTACCATTCAGAACATCACATTTAATTTAGATTGATCTCCTTTGTGATTGTGAAACCCTGAGTCCACCGAGCTTAATGATAAAAATCTTAAACTAATTGACTGCATATGATAACCTTCCCAAAATTCTAATGTTGCATGAAATTTGAGCCAGACATGTGAAGTAAGATGTTGCAAATGTGGGTAACTTTTATTGGTATGTTAGAGCTGCCCTCTATTGGTTGTTGTGTCTTATTACAAATCTTGCAAAGAAAAAAAAAACACCTGTTCTCACAAAATATTACAATCTCAGAGAAAAAAATTGTGCTCAAATGTGTAAGAAAGATTAAAATGCATTAGTCTAAGGCAGAATATTGTTCTAACACTTTTTTAACCTACCTGGTATGCGTTCCCAAATTGAATATAAACTGTGTTTTGGGATAAAATACTCTTTACCACTAGGTGGTGCTGATAGACAGATACTGCTGACTACTAGAAGCCATTGCATAACAATTTGGGCGATCAATAGCCTACAGTTATTCAAAACAGTAAAAGTTTATACCCACCCAAAAGTTATATTCGTTTCAATTCTGTATTACCATGGATTGTGATCAAAATTGTTGGAGGCTAGGGTAAAATCTCCTCGTAAATTAATCTTATCTGATCTCTCCGTTGCAAGGAGCACAATATCAATTAAAAATATCATAAATATAATATTGTTACATATTAAAATATAGATTTATGCTACCTAGAGCATTGGGAACAAGTTACATTAATGTCCCATTGTCTACCAAAAACACATCAAGTCAACATTTTGTGCATAAGAAATCGTAAATGTGATGACCATCTTAAGGGGGGTGAGTATCTGTGCGACAAAATACAACTTTAAAACAAAACTGCAACTTCTGGTCCTTTTGCGTTCACTTTCTCTTGCCAACTCCAACCTGCCCCAAATGCTCACCTTACGTCACACTTTTCTTCTCCATGCGTGAAATGCTCGAAATGTGGGAGGGGTGGGACCGCATGCAACATTGTTCAGTTCAAATTCAATTTGCCTTGAGCACTGTATATCAAGACCCCCCTCTTTTGTGTACAAAGTGGGATTGGCTGTTAGATTTCCGTTTCTCCATACGATAGGTCAATATAGACAGTCATTACGGAGGGCCGGGCTGCCATCTCTCCACCCACATTATCACCATTTTTATTGAGATCAAAGATACATCTCTGTCAAGATAGTTCACCTGCGATTCTGTCGTTTTCATAGCCCAACTTCCTCTGTGGGAAGCATTTGTAAGAAACAAAAACTAATGAGTGGACGCCGCGCAGAGATAGGAAGAAAAAGTATAAAGATATATTATAAATAATCTCTATATTTACAAAATTACTCATATTTTTCTTCACCACCGCTAGAAATCATTTGTTTTGGTTATCAGCGGTCCCACTGCGCATGCTCATAACAGAGGCATCTATTAACTTCTTTTGACACGACTGAAAACGAGAAAATCTGTCTTTAAACGTTTTGTAGGTAGAAAAAGCTATCAAAATTAGGAAGAAAAGCTAAAAAGAAGTTAACAAAGAGCGATAAAATGCCAAATTAAGACGCTCAATTCGTCGTCTCCTGTTTCCCTAACGGTAGCTAGGCGAAAGAGAAAGTGATACTGCAGTGAAAATCTTGTCGTCGGTTCGTACTCTTTGGTGGATGTATGCTGTGGATGACAAGCGTCCAGCCCGTCGCAACAACAGCAGCAGCGGCGGCGGCGGCAGTTGGCAGAGTATTTCTCATCGTAGGCAGCGGTCGAGGGGAGTGAAGTGAACCGGAGGTAGGAGCAAGTAAGGATTTACGGACACGGACCAAGCATGGCTACCCAAACGACAGCATCATGCACTGGATCCACTCTGTTGCAGCCCATCAGCGAAATCATCAATCTCCCTCTTGACCAGGTATAATTTTAGATGGAGAAAATATCGACACACGAACCGCCCCAGCTGATTTAAAATAGCATGTATTTTTTAATCGTAGAGAGCTAGTGCTGTGAGTGTAACATTAGCAGAGGTTGATGTTCCTCAGATGTTAGCTTAGCTTTTATACAACGCGGGTTTAACAGAAATTAGAGCACAAAATCACAGTTTCTTGTTTTACTTGAAGCTACTGCACATTGCAGCTAATACCTTTTGTCTGCTTCCTTTGATACACACTCTAATCCAGTGGTTACCAAACTACAGAGATCCTTTGATCTGCCACCAGTTGGATGGCCAGTAAAATCTGGATTTAGTAGTAAAATTTCACCTAACATTCATGAAGTTCGCCCAAGAATAGTGTGTGGAGGCCGCAATTTTCTATTTCCCATCCTGTCATTTGGACTTCCTAATGTAGTTGAAACAAATATGCAATGATTTCTGATAATGGATTAGGTTCCTGATGTAGTTTGATATGAGTGGTCTGACATCATATTTCAAATATTGTTTTGTAGTGCAGTTTCTTGCAGTTTTATCCAATATGAAGGAACAGTTACAGTATTACAGTATGTGTTGGATCAACAGTGGCACAAATGCAAACCTAAAACCAGATTACAAGTGTCATGCACATAGTTGTCATAGAGTGTCATAGAGTGACAGATTCCTTTGCAGCTCATCTGTGAAAAGTCAGGGCACCACACCATCCCAAAGCATCTGCAAAAATGGGATGGGCAGTGGGAGTAGTAGTGGTTAGTAGGATAACATTAACTGTAGTGATAGTTTGGTGAAGCGGGATTCATTGCAGCATATGTGCAAATGTTTGCTTTGTAAACACTTTCACATTTACAAGCACCACACCAAAGCGCTTGCTGTGACAGATAATCGCCAAGCTCACCAGAGAGCACCCATGGTGTTGTGGAAATGTCCAGTTATGTCAGCGTGCATCATTAGCACAGTGCTTGTTAGAGAGGCTTCTGCAGGAAAATTTCCTCTCTTGTCTGCCATCATCTCCAGTTTGGATCATACTGTGATTTGTGGGTTTACTGAGGGAACTCAAAAACAGCCCATGCTAACTACATCGGTTTCCTCTGACTACACATGCGGGCACACCAGGGGATCCACTGTCATGCCTCTTTATATTCTACAACCAGTATGGCTACACTTGCTTGTACAAAGCAACACTATTTTGCCACAAATGAACCCCTAGACAGTCTTTTTTTTTCCTCTGGAGTTAGCTTTGCATATCTTTTCATATGATATCAGCTGCAAAGTGACTGGCTCTAATCTTTTCTTATGAGGCTGGGTTTACACATAAATGAGCCTATTCCCCCTGGCTGCTAAGCAGTTTTACATGCAAGCCTCAGGCTCATGACTCACGCTTCCTCTTCCCACTGGACAGAGGAAAGCCTTCGTGAATGCACCTGAGATTAAACAGAGTGATTATATTCTCAGCTATGTTCTAGTTAACATTTCATTAATTTTTAAAAATCTAATTTAAAATTAGTATTAGGCTCGTAAGTCTGCTACCAGTTGTAGAAATGTGATTCTCCAAACCACAAGACCTCTTGCCCTTAACTCCTTCCTCTGTCATACTGTGCCTCAAACAACCAACCTTTATGAACATCCTTTCATCCTCTGTACTTGCATGTGTAGACTGGAATGTCTCATTTATCTTGCACCACCCTGAACACCCAAGCCTCTGTTAGGAATGTTGCGGGGCAGGATCTCACTTTTCCTTTTTTAATCTTTTTTAAAGGATTGGTTTTACATCATAAAACTGTCTAAACTTTTACCATGCCTCTCATGAGGGGAACAGTCAGTGCTCTCTGGTGAAACCCCACAGAGCACTCTAGTTATTTGGGTATAATGATTAATATTCACAGTAGGAAAGGGATATTTGGTCATTTGTAGCTGCTGCAAACACACCCCCATTAAAAGCACCACATTAAGAAGTCATAAATCAAAACTTAGTCAAGATTAAACTAGTGGTTTGTTTTGGGTTATTCTCAAACTAGAATGTGTGCCCCATATAAGCCTCAGATACCGGAAAATATGGATTATATGGCATAGGGGGATACTAATATCTGTGTCAGCCTCAGAATATGCTTTAAATAGGGTATGGGGGATACTGGTGCCTGTGTCAGCCTCTCATACTGCCTTGGTTGTAGGAGGGGTATGGGTAAGGGGGTCTACTTAAGTCCCTATCTGTTTTTGATATTCTTGGGGTATGAGGTACAGGGCATTGAGTATCAATAACTGTAATTCATTATTCCCTGAGTTATCAACATATTAATGAAAGTTATTATGTATAGCTAGAACACAGTATTGGGGAGAGTGTTACACAACGTTAACAGGATGATAGTGATCATTGTTCCTCCAATATTTAGTAATGTATTTTTTTCTGCTGGTATGAAAATGTGATACTGGCAAATACTCATGTCAGATATTGTGAAAAAATAACTTTGTTTTAATCTTAACTTTGCACCTCTTCTGGTTTCACATGGCAGCTGTGACAGCGGCAGGTTTTCCCCTAAAATGAGCACGAGTCTACTTCACAGATCGTGCATTTGTTGATTGAAATATTCATGTTGACATTAAGAGTTATATGCGCATGAATTCGCTCAGTCTCTTTTTGAATGTAGTAGTTGAGAAAGAGCGGATGGCATTGTGCAAGTGTGACATATAATCACAACCCACACTACTTTGTTGGACAGGTGTCACCCTTGTGCACATTGTGGTTTGTTCGCTTCCTGCCAACTGGGTGCTCTGTGCAGTGCCAGAGCTGCTGTTAACACCACAGAAATCAATACAGACACTCAGATGCAGTATGATCAGAGTGGCCCACAGACATTGACACTCATTTTGATGAACCCGCTATACTGTGGCACCCCACTGTATGTCGTTAAGATTGTATGTATCCCATGGGAGAACCATGCCTCTGCACTGGCCTCAGTCAGAGCTATAATGAGAGCTGTGAAACCTGAACTGCTCCTCTCTGCTTCTCTTTCTTTTAGCCCTATCTCAGACAGACAGATCCTTTACAGTTACATGGTCTTACCACTAAAATGTAGCGCGCCTGTATTTTTATGGACCCCTTAAAATGAAGTTTGTGATTTATGGCCTCAAGTTACTCCTCCTGATAGTCTTAACTTTTTATTGTGACTGATACGGCTCCAGCTGAAACATACGTATGTAAGCTATCAAGATGAAACTTTTATATCCAGGACTGATCAATCCAAATCTTCTCAGGACCAAGCATTGTGTTTCATAATACATAACACAATTCAGATCAACAAGCATATTCAAGAGGCAGGCTGTAACTGGATCTAAGCTGGAGTCATTGTCCATGATAATGTGTATGTAAATGTTGTACAAATTTCCCTGTCAGGATGAAAATACTGGTGAGGTGTCTCAAGGTTTGAGCTGTTTTTCTATTTCCACAGTAATACTCCTCAAAGGCAGTGAGGGCATAACTCACAATGTTGAGTTCAAGTGTGAAGTTTGGAGAGTCGTGACCAGGGTTTGAGAACCATGCTTTCATTTGATTAAATATCAGGTGGTTCCAAATAGTGCTTGACAGATATCAATCTGCCAATATCAGTCTGATTGAATTGGTCAATTCTAGAGTATATGTTTTCTGATTTGTATCAATCTTATTGTGGATTAAGAAGTGGTGCTATCATACTCCCAACAACATTTATCAGAGATATTGGTGTAAAAAATCAAATACTGGTCCAGCTTTGAACTGCAGCTGGTCTGAAATCTTCACACTCCATGCCAGAAACCACCCAGGTTTAATAATTTGCTCCGAATAACAATTGAAGACATTTTTTAAAAAGAGGTTCCCAATCCTTTTTAAAGCAAATGATTTGAGTTATTCATTCATAATTAATGTTTGAAGCCTCATTTGCTCAAAGAGAGGTTTTCTTGTTGGTTGGAGCATTCGGGTCTTTCACAGCTGCAGTTGTTTAAATAGGCAGCAGCTGGGCTCCTGATGAATCCCTCAACAAGCTTTTCACACATGGACAATGAACCCGATCAACTCTGCTGTATTGTTTGTGCAGCTCTTCATTGTCTCACGTTTCCTAAATAACTTGTACCTCATCACCTCACAACACAAACAGGCCACACTTCATTTGTTTGGGAGTCTACACCTAATAATAAATGGACATGAATGGTGGTTTTGAAATAAAGTGTATGGTTTCTTTAGTTGTGCAGGTTTTTTTTTATTTTGACGCTATAATGTAAAAAAATTAATGTTAACACTCAGCATTTGGATCAGTTTAGACTTCAGGTGATGTAATGTTTGTGATGTATCAGCAGTGACCTTATAAATCTTGCGGATCTTGTCAGCTTATGATTGTTGTTAGGACTGTAGCTGTTCAAGACAAGTATATATTTTTGATTTTGGAGCTTGAACACACAGTCACTTACATACTTCTTTTATATCTTCACATTCATTTTATGCTTGTATTCTACACGGGATGCTGCTGTGTGTCCCATGCTCACAAAAGGGCTTGCTTGCCCAGCTGTACAATCACTCTTCTGTTTATGTGACATATTGGATTTCTGTTTATCGCAGTCCGAGGACAGCCATGTCTTTTATCACGATAACGAGCCTTCTTCTATTGTTGCTACTGCATTTTCCACCACGCCATTGTACTGTAGGCTTCTGAGCCCACACAGTGCTGAGGGCTTGACTTCGAGCGGTGCTTCTATCCACTGACATTTCCTCTAACAAGTGACACGAATAAATAGGTCAAAATGAGCTTCACAGAAATTGAAAAGGGGACTTGTTAGTTTCATGTAAAAATTATAATACTCACTATTTCTCAGATATATTTTGAGAATGAGTTTAACGTTTTTGAAGCACTTTTTTCATTCAGTGGTTCATCTTCTGAGTATTTTTAAGAAGCTTTTCCTGAAATAGTCCCAAATTATCTGCTCTGTTCAGTCCTATACCCAGACTGAGTCCCCAAAACCCCTGGCTTGGGACCACTGGCTTTACTATCAAACCCTTGGGTCTTGTCAGAGTCTCTCTACCTCCCCATGGTCTTTAATTGGCTGGCCTCTTGGGAGTCTTATCCCTCCAATTGATTTCTTTCCCCCTCGGCTCTCCCTAATGGAGTGCTGCTGGCTGCTGCCATTATTATGGTGCACAGTCAACACAAGCGTGTGTGAGTCCTTCGGGGGGGAACATGGAAAGACTTGGCAGCGCTGTTAGCATTATCAGTAGACAACAGGTGACACAGTAATGGGTAGAAACAGGTGATTTCTTTAGAGGGTAGCTTAGATTTCCTGATCATGTGTTTAATGAGGCTTGTCTGTTACAATCCTGGTGTTTAATATATAGAAGCAGTGATCATGATAAAAAGACCACTCGTTTGCTCGGAGTATCAAGTATTATGTAATGCTTTATTCTGGTCAAAGATGAATAGCATTGCATTGACTGATGTAAGAGTTATTATCTAACATAAGAGTGCAGGAGTTTACTCCAGTTTGGACTGATAAGTAGACCACGAGTGCCCCATTAAAGGTGCTTATCTTTTTTTTAAGTGTTAAACTACAAGTGTCATTCACAATTTCGCCCTTTTTTCCTCAATGACTTTACTTTAAGTCTTCATCACCTGCATTTTTGATTAGTCTTTGAGGAAAAAGAAGGAAAGGATTTAACGCTGATTTGCCTCCACAATAAACAGGCAAGGGGTAGCGCTGTCCATGCAGCTCCTCATGCACAATATGTGGACAGAATTAAGTGCCGTAAGGATGAGAGTGCAAAGGGCAGCCCTGTGCAGCCATTTACAATAAGTAAATGACAGCAACTTTATTGACTGATTTAATCTGATAAAATTATGTCATTAGTTAATGAATATTCCTGCTACTGGCTCACAGTATATATACCATGCATCTCTTCAGTTTAATGCATTTTGAGATACACATATATCTTGTAGATTTCAATTGTGATTTGGTTGCGTTTGTAACATCAAGTCTCCACTTTCTCTGCGGCTCTTTGTTTAAAGTCCTTGTCCTGTATTCCCAGGGTTAATGCATGTAAATGACTGCCGTGGGTGTGGGTTCATTTCCTCCCCGCAGTAAGCCTGGTCATGCAAAACACAAGCAGGCTGTCTTACTGTAGAGTAGCTCGGGAGGGAAATCTGTGCATCTGTCATTCCTCTTCTCTCTGAAGTACTTGGCATAGCCACAAAAGTGGATGTCCACATGACTCAGCTTACTAACTCATTAGTTCTGTTGGTAATGGTGTGCTGTTATGCGGGTGGATTGAGTTTCTTTCTCTACTAAAACACTGCATTTAACAGCATCAAATTGCCGACTAAGACATATCTGATGCTGAAAATTGCAGATGAAAGCACACAAGTTGGGCAGCCTTTTAGACTGGCCTCTAGTTATGATCATTCTTCCAACTCTTACTTTGATAGATGTAAGCCTGTTTGGAAGGTATTTTCAGTCTGAAGTTTGTTAGCTTTTATGTCCCACTTGAGGCTTTTAGAGTCAACATGAATGTCGGAGTGGAGCCTTTCATTTCTCCACAAAACTCTGAAGCTCGGTGCAACGGCTGTTCCCTTCTGGTTCATCCTCCGTGTGAGGCCAGGAGTCCAACAGGATGAAGGAGATGCATCCAATATAAATGAGCAGGCATGAATATTTATAAGTGCGACTTTGCACTGTCACTTGTAATTCAGCTGAGGTATACTAAGAGGGCATTCAGCTGATTCACCTTCACAAGAACAGATAGACTCCGTTGCCTTACTTTTTAACATCTCTACACTCTAATAAATAGTCAATCTAAGTATTGATCATCACTAAGAACAAGCTGCACTGTCATCTAAAAAGTTTGGCCACTTTGCTCCTTGGGACCTTCTGCCATTGATTCCCTTGAATCTGATCATCTGTGCTATAAATCAATGCTTAGAGGGCTGTAACATGAAATTGGATGTTGGCTTCTCTTTGTAGTTAAGCTGATAAAAACCAGGGGGGACAGTATACAGTACAGTATATTTATTAGAGGCTGTGTACAAAAGCGAAGGAATCCCCATTAAAGCCTATGTTATAATGGAATGAGCTGCAGACCTTAACCAAAAATGGTTTAGGCCTGTAGCTCATTCCTCTGTTTGTTGCAACTATAGGGGGAAGGGGAAGGTTAGGGGACGTCACAACTCACTTGGCCTGAATTTCAGCATGGGATTGTGGGTACCCCGCATGCAATATTCAGTCCCTGCAAGCCTGTAACTCATAATGTGGATACATTATACTTAATATGACACAACAATTTGAACTGATGTGTAGGGGAAGGTCCTGCCCTCCTTGGCCTCTGATTGGCTAGAAGTAGTGGGCTCTGATTGGTTATTCCTAATGGCTGTGAAACGTCATCGTCTGTCGAGTTAGGGTTAGGAGGTTCAGAAGAGTGATAATGTTCTGTAATGTTCTGTTCGGTGTACAGAGCCAACAGCCCGTGTTTGGCTTGAGCATGTGATGACGTTTCCAGCTTTTCTAGCCAATCAGAGGCGAAGGAGGCGGGACTTGCCCCTACCGTCCTACAAAAATATATATTGCGTATGGGACACATGTCACATGTCATCAGTCCACCTCCTCAGCAGCTTACCAACAAATTGAACTAGCTTGCGTGGGCTTGAGCTAATGTTTTCATGCTACTGAGCCAGTGATGGTGCAGGCTAACTTTAGCGTAACATAACATAAACAAATAGCTTGATTAGTTTTTATAAGTTAATTACTTGCAATTGCTAACATTAGCCAAACAAAACATTGACTGTTGATCTTCAGTGTCAGGTGCTGCCAGTTTAGTAAGGTGGTTGTTTACTGTGAGCGTTCGGTTTTATTCTAAAAGCACAAACAGGCTGAAGGAGAGGTGTGACTTATTTGTGTTTAAGTAGTCTAGTGCCAGCCGTTAGCCACGTCCTAACCTCACAGAGAGCTGGGAAGGGTGCGCTAGATTAATTGTTCCCAGTCTTCCTTGTTTGTTGAACAGATATTTTATATGTCATTTTCATTAGGATACAGTATGAACTTTTTTGACTGAATTACTGTTTTTGTAAAAGAAAATAGTTGCTGTGAGTGCAAAAGAATGCCTTTAGTGGACACAGGCCCTAAGCCATATCATGAGGCATGGCTGACTTGACTGACAGGTGTAGGCTGTTTTCTAGGTAGCAAGGCTCTAGATTAGCAAGAGGTTAGTTGGAGTCAGAATTACCAAGCTGCCTCTAAACCAATGAGTGACATAACTGAGACTACACTGAACTTTATTACAGCTTGTATTGACTATATTCTGCTTGTATTTAAACACACTTGACATTTCAAAGATGTCCCTCCAGTCAATTTTGCTTCAACCCTTGCATCCTGCTCCATTGTTCTATTTTCAAAGTTGAAAATGAGAATGAGAGAACTGTTTCGATTACTCTGTTTCAGTTTCTCTCCTTTTTCACAGTCGCGGTTTGTCTTTCATATGAGGTTTGACATAGCAAGAGACATCAAACACAAACTGCACATGCATGTTGGGCCCCCAAAAAAGAAACTGCGTCTTGCAATGATTTGCTTCCTTGTGTCATTAACTCCTCTAGCTGTAAATCCAGCTCATAAAATTGACACAGCTTTGGACAAAATATCTCCCAGTGGCAGTTGATGTTGTCAGTCAGACACATCCGTGCAGCAGAACAACAGCTGAACATTCACCCGTCCAGAAAATGTCAGTTACTTAACACACTTATGTAACAATTACTAAGCATTTACTGACTTTGATAACATTATGGACAGACTTTGCGTTTGTGATGTGTTTGAAGTCTTCAGGCTATTTGAGGAGTTTTTGTTAGTTTGAGAGCTTGTTATCTGTTATGAATTTCAGAGTTTTTACAATGCCTGCTGTAGAGATAAACACCTACAACTAAAGATCTGATGCTTGACCGCAGAGTCTTCTATGAGGGCCTTGAGGAGTTTGTAAAGATGTGATGTTGAAAGGTTCTCTCTTCACTTTCAGTCACCACTGACACCATTGAAGACTTTTGCATATATGGTTCTGTATCATAGCAACTGAGCCGTTTCTTTTTTCATCTATGTAGTGCTTGCCAATGCTAAGAATATTGTCTGCTCTTCAAATAAAACCATGTCTACCTTTCCCTTTCATGCATACCTACAGTAGGGGCTGGACCTCTGCTTGTACAGAGTATTGCCAACAATATCACAGAAATTCAGCCCACTAACTTTAGTCTGAGAAAATATTTCTAACTGTGAGTTCGACTCTATTTGGAGCTGAAATGTTTCACAGTCTGGCCATGGATGGCAGTGCACCCATGTACCCTCTGTGTTTGTTGTATGGGCCATGTTGCTGGGCTACAGCTGTGGCAGCGTGAGGGTGGTGATTAAAGTTTGGTCAGAGGCTACCTCTGTTACCGGCTCCTCATGAGTTGAAGACTTTCCCCGATTTGAAGCACATAAAACTTTACATTGTTACAAGACATTACAAGACGACATCAGCATCACTTTCTTCCTTTCTTTTTTTTATAATGATTTTAGTAACTTTATTTTGATACACATTTACAGTGGTCCCACATACAAAGAAACCCACTCCTTTAACACTCTGTAGTAGGGCTGCACACGCCTGAATTTGTTGTAATAAATAATATAAATCTTTAAGATTTATTCATACAGCTGGAGACATAAACTCCTACAATTTAAGATTCTTCACAGAATATATTCTACTGAACAAAAAATATCTTTGTTTCATATGTTATAGTTGTGTTGTAGACTTTAGCCCCAGTCTAACCCCCTCTTTACATCCCTGTCTTTTTGGGGACTTTTGTAATTGTGCTTTTATTGCTGCTAAAAAGTGTATTGCAGGAAATTGGAAGGATCCCTCTCTGCCAACTTTGTCTCAGTGGAGGGCAGGGCTGATTACCTGTATTGTAAAATACATGACAAAATATGGCCACCTTATGTTGTCTCTGTGGAGGTCAACAAATGAATATTCAGAGGTTATATACTATTATGTTAAAAATTCACCCAGAGAAGGGCAAAAGTCTAAGGGCATCCCACACATAGACCTGTCTCTTTCTGTCCACATGTCTCTTTCTCTTTATTATGAAAAAATAAGATTACAGAAAAAAAATCAGTCACTGAAAGGCATGGCTTATTCATTTAGCATGTGTATCTTGTAGATGGAAGCTAGGATATGATACTAACGTGTTCACGTTATTTTGTGAAGCTGCTTTCTGGATTTATTTTAAATTTAGAAAAACATGTTGGGGGTGGCAGTGGCTTAGAAGGAAGAGCAGTCGTCCAACAACTGAAAGGTTTGCGATTCCATTCCCCCCTGATCCCTAGTCTGTCTATTGTGTCATTGGGCAAGACACTTAACCTCCTTGCTTCCAGTGTACAGTGTATGTCCTCCACTGGTGTGTGATTCGTATGTTCGTCACTTTGGATAAAAGCGTTTGCTAAATGACATTGTAATTTGTAACTTGTAACTTGTTGCAAACAGTGTGAAACATACAGAACAGTTGTTATAGTTGTTACTATAACAGTGAACCATCGTTTCACACTTCTTTTACCTCGCAGGCCTGGTGAGCATGAGAAATCTTTGACAACTAAGCAAATAGGAAGTGTTTACCACCATGTGCAAAAGCCTCAAAAGCCCGTCATGCATCGCAACTAGTCACATTTATTGTATCTCTATCTCTTCATGGAGAAAGTGACATCCCTTCTCTCTTTGCTGTTCTTCTTGTTGGATTTTAAAAGAGGGGTTGTATGAGACTTTTGTTTACAGTCAGCTCAGCCCCATTGTTGGGAAACCAGGTGGAGAGCCGGCATGGAAGCAAGGTGACCAACTGCGGCAGACGAGATCAATTAACCCAACTTAAAAAAAACTATCCCTTTGGCTACGTCTCATTTAGGATACTTAAAAAAACGAGTGATTGTTTTTTTGCTGGATTAAACATCCACACTGACAGATAGTACGTAGTGAGAGAAAATGCAGTATATTTGGTGATCTGAGCACAATCCAGGATACTACCACGCACAGTCTAAGACTTCCCTCTGCATTTCTATCAAGGACTCAGAAAGCCTCTCCCTCTCTGTGTCTTTGTAGTAAATCATATTATAAATCAAACGCCCGCACTGCTGGCAGTTGTTTGCCATCAGTTATGTGCATATCAAAGAAGCTGTCAAACAATGCTTCCTACTCTTATTATTATGCATTAACATTACTCAGCACTGCAGAAGAGACTTGCATCCACAGGCAGCATGAATAACTCTAATAGATGACATAATCAGTCAGAAGTGATCTCATCAGCGTATTAGTTTATCCAGTGCAAATGACTTTCTGAATCAAGGAGACACGGTGCAGACTCCTTCCTCAAAATATTTGTTTACATCTCTGTGTTTGTCTGCCTCTACCTCTTTGTAATGATGCCAGTAAATCTCTTGTACAGTATATGGCTGGCAGTTGTTTGCAGTGAGTTGCACTTATAGAAGAGGGTAAGTGGTGTCAAGTGAAGCTCGTTCAGAAACGTAAAGAGATGATAGAAGGAGTAGGAGAGTACATATGTCTGCAGTCAGAGGGCTTTTTCCTGCAGACATGTGGCTAATTATGTGTATATTGAGCTCTGTATCTCTGTCCTCTGTACTTCTGTTCCTTTTGAGTGTACTTTTGCTCAGACATGGTAACGCTGTATGTTAGAGCCTGAGCGCATTGGACCAAGGTCACTCATTACGGTGAAAATGTACCCTGTGGTGATGACATTATTTCATCGTTACACCGTCCCCACTGGCACCAGGATGCCTGATCAGAACAGCGATGACATTTCTGACCAAAGGCAGCCGTCTAGTCTTTGCTAAGGCTGATTCATACGGTCCAAGAAAGAGACTACACACACACACACACACACATGCATATTGTGTGCATGGTTCTGGCCGGTGCTGCTTGCTGCCTTGTGGGGAAGGGTTGATTGTTATGCTATTAATAGCCTGGCTGACCGTAGAGCCTGACTGGGGTCTGTGTGGATCAGCTCAGAGAGGCGGGCGCCACTCCCCAGGCTTTTACACCGCGTGTTCGTGTCAGTGTGCATGTTTCTGATCAAGATGCATGATTCCTAACATGAACAAAACTACACTGTCACTTTATTTTGTCCGTAGAAAATCTACAGCTGCTGGCGTGTGAACACACAAAATCCAAACAACCGATCATTTGATTTGCCAAACAATTTAAGCTTTATAAGCATCCCTTTTTTACTCAGACTTGTGACTTGACATGAGGTGAGGATCTTCCCAAAGAGGGAGACCAGTTTATTTTGAATTTCTGTTTGTGTATTTGTGTGTGGTAATGTGTGTATTTGAGCAGGCACAAGGAGCACTGTGAGTGGCAAGTTTGTATTGATGCTAAGAACAAGACGGCTGTTGTTCTCGTACTGTCAGCATGATTTAGTTCCCTTCGGAGAACACTCAAAAACAGAGAAAAGTCAGTGTGTCTCTTGGAGCAATGTGCCACATTCACTGGCACTGACTACAGTAGTCATGACATCACCTGCTCCTCTGGGTGTGTGTTGAACTCCAGAAAGTATGTGTGATTGCTAGTGTTTGTTTGCTAGTTTACTGGCATGGGGGAGATCTCTGGCAAACAGTTGAATGATTTCATTTCTACTATGCCAAAGAATGGGGTTGAAGGGCACAATCTGATTCGGATGGCAGGACTTTGGTATCAAGTCATTACATACATGATAAAATCAGTAAAGATGGTTTTGTCCTCGTGTGCCACCAAATTCCACAACCTCAATGTCCCACACAGGAGCTTTAAATTAACTCAATAAATTGCTGTCTCAATCTGCACCTCATCTGTCTCCCACTTAGACTTACTTGTATGCTACTGTGACATCAAGCCTCTGAATATGAGGTGATTTCATGTATGGAGTACAGCGTCTTGTTGTCCATGGGTCATCTCTTAAAATGACAGGCACCTTAAAGCACCTGTGAGATACTTTCAGTTTGTATTAATTACTTATTCTTCTACTTCTACGTATTAAATATGTGCCTTCTGAAAAAGAAAAACACATCCTGCTATGATAGAATATCTTATGTAGAAATGTAAAAACAAGGCTGTGTTGTCAGCTACCAACTACCCTACTCTGACTGGTTTCAGGCATAAAAAAATAACTATAAAGATTGACAGTCTTGTCACAAATGACCCTTATTGATTTATTAAACCATTACAAGTCTTTGGTATAATTTCCAGTCTATTTCACTGACATCATAAAACTCCTCACAGGAGCTTTAACTGGCAGAATATTTGAATTCACTTGAATTGAATTACTTGGCTGTAACTTGCTGATGTTTGGACCCTGCTGATGTGCTTCAGTTTTGTTACCTTTTGATATGCTGTTATGCCTTCTCCACTCCTTAAAACATGAACTTTGCAGCTGCTGTGCGATGTCAAGGAAGTTTTTATGTTATAAGCGTGAAATACAACCTAACATCTTAACTGTGTTGTTGGCGTCCTCCATCCATCCCCCACAAAGTGCATAAGCCTACCAACAGACTGATAACACATGATGTAGTGCGTACATGCCAAAGTCGTAAACGCAGAATATGAGAGAGCTGAGCTGCACAGATGGGCCCATTGCCAGTGATACCTCATTTAGCTATTCAGGTCAGTATTTCAATATCAGGAATCTTTAATATCTATTCTTTTGTTGTATCACATCACAAATTAAGAAAAAACTTAAGATAGACCCTGAGAGATAATCCGAACTCGCCATAAATCTCAAAACCACATTTTTTTAACCTCTTTTTGCTCGCTGCTCCTTTCACACCATTTATTACACTCGCCAGCACTGTTATGATAAGCTATCCCTAATCCTCTGTGAGAATTACACACGAGTGCTCTCCCCACATCTCACCTAACATGAAAAATGCTGACAACATGGATTTTCCCTGGTGCTCTCTAAGAAGGATCAGGACAGTATACAGTATGTTTATTACTCCACAGTCTCTTTGAATAGAGAATACAGTCTGACAGCAGTGGAGAGTAATTTTAAAGCTTTTTGAACCCCCTCCTCTACTCGTACTGTGGATCTGCATGAGTCACTGTAGAGCTGACAGAAATGAAATGAAATGAGACCATGCAGAACAGGACTAGTTGGACTGTGTTGGTGAGGGTGGGGGTGGATACTGACTTAATGACACGGAAAAAAAGGGTTTTATGCTAATGACAGTCTAAATTTATCCCCCACTTTGTGTATAAACACACAAACAGATCACACACACACGCACACATGTATTAAAACCCACTGGTGGCTGTGAGTGAGTCTCAGATGGAGAAGCATTTGCAAATGAACTATTTTCGGAGCCTGCAGAAGTAGGGAGGAGTGGAGTACTATTTATGAAAGGAGATAGTACCTCCACAGTGTGTGTGTGTGTGTGTATGTGAGGGAGTGGATGTGGGTGTGTGAGTGTGAATGTGGTGCATCTTGGGCTCATTGAAGCAGTGAAAGTCATTCGCCAAGCAAAGCATTCCCTCATGGGAGAGGTGTCCTCCACCCTCAGGAGAGCAGGTCAGACTCAACAGGCCAGTTTGGTTCAGGTGGTTATCTGTTTCAGTCTGCCTTCATGGGAACCACCCTGTGCACAGCATCTTCCTGACTTTCACTTTTTCCACAGCAAATCTGATGTGAAATTTGCTGTACTCTAAAGTCTTAGAAAAGGAGTGTTTTAGGTAGTAGACTCAAAGTGGACTGGGTGGAAGGAACTGAGGCGGTTTAACATTGAACAGGGCTGTAAAAATTGATTAAACCCATTCATTGCCTTTCTGTTTTTTTTTAAAGATTTACAAAAATGACAATTCAGATTTTCTCCATAACTTCTTGTAAATTTCATGCAGTCGTGGATTTTTGTCATCTCCATGCTGCATGAACAAAATTTGGCCAATACGACTGTCAGACTTCTGTGGTTAAGGGGAAACCCAATAGACTATAATTTTTTGAATTGTTCATCATCTTTCTTTTCCCTTTTCCTCGTGACCAGAGTTCACCATTTTTTGCTGAGACAGCAAGCAGACTGCAAAGGACAAAGGTCTCTGTGGCTCTTTTTAAGAATGTAAGCATCAGTTAAAGAGAATCTTTTGAGGAAGAGTTTTAATCGTACTCTTACTTTGTTTGATGATCCAAACCAGAAAAACGAATTGCTTTCCTGTATTTTCTAAGTATCCTTTCTGTTAATGACTACTAAACTAATTTAGGTGTACTTTAACCGCCCACACTTGGATTGTGATCATGGTAAACATTGTGCCTGCCAAACATCAACTTGTTAGTGATAGCATGTAGCTCGAAGTACAGTTTTTTGTGTGTGTAATTACACATCGTCACAGATTTTTTTAAAGAAAAGCTATGCCCTGAGGATAAGTGACTCACCCCCTGTCTTTCCCTTCCTGCACCATCCCTTTTTCCCTCCTCTAGAAACTCACTGCCATGCTGCAGCTCCTTCCTGACGTGACATTTCCAGCTGATATGTTCGACTCAAACATAAGTTCAAAGTGCCCTTTAAACTTTGTTGTAATCCTGGAACTAGAAGCGTTTTTTTTCTTTTTCTAAGGCTATTTCAGGACAAAAAGATAGGAGGAAGACTGCAGGTGAATGACAAAAAGGAAAAGTGGAAAGCAGTGCTCAAGCCTTTATGTTTCCTCTCCTGCACACGTACACAGAGAGACAGACAAACACTCTATTTAACTCCACAATGAGCTTCAGGAAGCTGGCTTATCTCTGTCTTCCACTGCATCCACAATGACTTCCTCCCTCTTTTTAGCTCCTTTCCCTCTGCCAGTCTGTGTCAGTCTGTAATGTAGCTGCTCAAAGCTGAGCTGAGCCTTGTGCCACAGCTGCCAGGAGGAACTGCCTCACAGTTTCGCCGCCCTTAACAATAATGGCTCACTGGCGCCTGTGGCCCATCGGAACATCTTCAGTCTGTTTGTCTGCAAGGACCTGTGGACACTGTCATGCCATGCAACTGGGTGCATTACTAAAAAACTAAACTAAAAAAAGGAATGTTAGACAGGTATGTGGAGCTGACAGCCAAAGTTCTCTGACACAAAGCTGGATTACTTTCCTCTGTTCACCAGGATGAAGTTCTGATCAAAGTTGAGGCCATCTTTTCCCTACTTCTTGGTGCAGAGGATGCTCTCTGTGAGGGATGGAGTGTTTGTGCTCGACTTAAGCAATACTCCTGTCCAAACTGTCTGAGAATAGAGCTGCCTGATTATGAAAAATTCATTATTATGATTAATATCGTAATATTGATTATTCAGTATATTTACCTAGTGATTTAACATCTGTATCCCATTCTTTTGGTTTATGCTAAATAACCTATTTCTTGTGAAATAACAATTATTATTATTATTATTATTATTATTATTATTATTTTAAACATATTTTTTACATTTTTTTTGTATTTCAAAATGTGTAGTCCACGGACTCCGGTGGGAAGGAAATAAACTATTAGAAATCTGTCCTTCCCTGGGAAAATTTAGGTCAATCAGACTGTGAATGTGTGCAGGTACTGTTCCTAGAACATCGTTTGCTTGCATAATCCCTAGGCTTCTACTTTGGAAAAAGTCAGTTCATGAAGTGATGCAAATTGAGGAATTTTCTCATTAACTGCTTTAGTTTTCGGGTTTTCACTAGGAAACTTTCTGCAGTTCTCAATTTCCATTTTTTCAGCTGACATTCAAAGATTCACTTTGTTAAAACTTTGGAACCTTTTTTCTCCTCTCTGGAAACTCGTGGCACATGAACATAGATTGAATAGATTGTGTTATCCTTCTCTTAAACTGTTAAAAAAACAACACAACCATGATGGTGTTTTTTTACTTTTTTAGCAGCTTGTTGCATCTGCTTTTATACCGTGTTTCTATGTACAGTATTTCTGTGGATGATATCTGAAAACAAACAGATCATCCCTCTAGTTTAGAGACAGTGTCTGATCTTGATGTAATTTCAGCTGTGCTGTTAAAACCCCCCCAGATATTTAGGCAAATTGTCACAGCCAAAGGGTGTGTTCTTACCAAACATTGTGAGAGGTGGTTTATTTTTGTGTGTTTGGGGCAAGAATTGTGTAAATATGGTGTGCTAACACAAGTGACAAGTAAGACAATAAAGGAGCGCTTGTCTTCACACACTGCCAGGTAAACACTGATAGACTGAGAGGCGTGACAGAGGTAGTTTTCAAAACTTACATGTGTCCGACTTTGTGTAAAAGCCCTGCTTTGCCTGTATTTGCATAGTTTCATGCTCTGCACCACAGTCACACCTCCAGTTCATTCACTGTTTAGGTCTTTCTACTTGCCCTCAGTGTACTCTCTGGTCTTCTTTTGTCCCCTTGACCATGTTTCAGAGGGTTTGCTGCAGTGCATTTATCCAAAATAGTGGCTTTGTGTTTTTCTGTAGCTCCCTTTGAATCTCCCACAAACAATCCTGCAGCACAGATATTCTGCCCCATATTTTGAAACAATGAGAGCGGCATACCCCAGGGGTAAGCTTGACTTCAGAGGGAATCAATAATGGAAGAGAGGATCAATGTATTATGAATGAAGAAACATCGCACCCTGGCACAAAAGCTTGTCTATGGCAAAATGTTTGTTCAGTAAACCACTATCCTAACACATTTAGCCTTGTCTTTTAACAAATCCTGAGAATATCAACAAGGATTTGGCTTCTTTAGGCTCTCAGATCTTATTGTTTTTGTCATGCAGTGCATTATCAAACATCCTCCTGCTAGCATTACTTAACTGCAATTTTCACTGTGCAGAAGGCAAGACACAGTGGTGGCTGCATATCTAACAGTTCTGTGTATATTCACTGTTTGTGTAAAGGCATCTTTAGCAAAGAGGATGCTTTGTGTTATCAGTTCTCAATATGAAATCACACCTGTACTTGAAATACAGCGAGTCTACGAGCATGTGGTCACGTCATATAACAGCTGCTCAGTCGATTGCTCATCTGTTGCATTAATTTCTAATATCAGTGTATGATAGCTCAACATTTGTGTTTTCAATTAGGGGTGTCCTGATACAACTTTTTTACTTCCAATACGATACCGATATTGTAGCCTTCAATATTGGCTGATACCGATATTGATCCGATATTTGCACAAAATTGTGCATGACAAGTTTTGCACTCAGCTGCAATGTCTTTTTCGTACTTAAACAAAAATACCGCCAAAAGGCTGACATCACTCCTACTCCTCGCTACTTTGTTAGTACCTTAGTACTAGGGGTGGGAATCACTAGTGGCCCCATGAAACAATATTATCACGATACTTGGGCCATGATACAATAATATTATGATTTTTGATGTTTTGCAATACAGTGAGTATTGTAATACAATATATTGCAATTTATACAATTTTTTCAACTGTTTGGCTAATTTGTCTTTAATTTACGTTTGTCTTATTTACACTGTATTTTATTTTCATGTTGCACAGCTTGCAAAACTTATATATATTTGTTGTACTAACTTTCTCCTGCTCTATGATGTCTCCTCTGCTAACCTCACTGGACAAAAAATTTATTTTATTTTCCATTATCATAGATCTGACTTTATATTAGCAATTAATTTGAAAAATCGATAATTGGTAAATGAGACGATACAATATATCACCAGACAAAATATGGTGATACTATGCTGTATAGATTTTTTTCTCGCACCCATACATAGTACACACTGTTGTCGCGATAACGTGGGCTCTGCATGCTGGATCTGGGTGCTGCTAGATAGGGGGCACCAGAACGGAGTCTGGAGTGGACTGCTTGTATCGGTGTGCTAGTATCAGAGATTATAGATGCAGGTCGATATAATCCAATATTCGTTTTGTTTGCTAATATCGGACCAATATCAATAACGTATCAGGACACCGTATTTTCAATAGTAACTTAGCTGTATTACATGAGATGACTCAGAGTTAACGTGTTGTTTCAAATTTGACCTTTTTGCTTGCAACTTCGAAAAGTAGGGACCTGTAGCCTCCGTCTCACAGGTTTTACAGTGATCACAACACACTGTGCCGTTTTCTGAAGCCACTTTAAGTCTTTCAGTCACTCTGTGAAAACTGTGGTGCCTATTCTTCCACCACGTTACCATTTCCATCTCCATAGTCAAAGGTGAAATCAAAGGTATTAACCACCATTTAATTCAGGTTCAGGACCAGTTTTCAGGAAGTACGTTGGTGAATGAAAAACACAGAGTAAAAGCAGTTCAGTGGAGAGCTGACACCCGCAGGTTTGTCAGAAATCCACCTGTAGCTTTCATGTAATGATTCAGATTCTGTTTTATTCCCTGCCATGGTAACCATTCATGTTTCATGAGTAACCCTCATGCTGTCACCATAAAACCATCAGCTACAGCATAGTCTGTTTCTCCATTTGATGTGAAAACCTTAATGATTCAACACAGTCAGCTTTCAAGTAGTCACCCACAGCTAGGCTTTGCTGCAGCCTTGAACAATACAGTTCCTCTGTCACACCCTTCCAGGCTCCCACATGAAATTCCTTCCTTACAAAGCAATGTGTTGATATCCAGGGAGGGGCTGATCTCGCACCCTCCTGTTCTCAGGCGAGTGCAAAGACAGAGGCTATTACTCAAGTTCAACTTTGAGTTCATTTGTGTGTCAGGAAAGACTCACTTCATTTCATTCCTTATAAGAGCTTCCTTTTGGTTTTGATAAATTTGTATGAATGAAGAACACCAGCTGGGATCAAGCTCTTGCTGTTTCACAGACTCAGATATTTTTGACTTAGTGGGCTGCGTTTATAAATCAGTGAGTATGATAAGTGTCAGATGCCTGCTGGCCTGCAAATGAGCCGGTCAGTCACTCCGTGTGCGAGTTGGCGTCTCATTTAACTAACAACTAACAATGTCCTTTACTTAAAAATGAGAGCAGCTTGAAGTAATCTAAGCGTGAAATGACATCCAGAGCGGAGGATTTGGTAAATAAGGCTCGAGGAGGAGGAGGAGGAGGAGGAGGAGGAGGAGGAGAAGGCCTGTATGAGAAGTGGGGGACCAGTGGAGGTCTGTTTGATATAACATGCCGTCATTACCAGGGCGTCATGTCTTATTTTTAGATTAGGGGGGAGGGCAGAAGTTGAACCTTGCTCTAACTTTTCCTGATTTGCTCCACCAGAGATATCCCATACTGAAACAGTGCAAGGCTTGGTTATTCTCATGAGGAGGACAAAAACTAAGCCTACTGTATTATTCATCGTTGAACGATGGAAATAGCTCCCAGTCTGAATAAACAGGTTTATTTGCACAAAAGGGGAAGGCTTGTTTGCTTTTTATCCTCAACAGCCCTGTGGGTTATGGATAGTTTGCTTCTAGATAGCTTCTAGACCTTATCGGCGGCTATAATGACACACCTTAATAGCAAACAAATGGCCAACAGCATAACTTAAATAACCGCTATTTTTTTCAGTGAGCTTTTCTTTTAACTTAAAGTTTTGCAACAGAGACTGTGAGGTTATATGACAAGGACAGTCCTGTGACGGTTTGTGTTTTGCTGGCTCTTGGATATTACAGTATGAGCACAAAACAACCTAGAGGACAAATAATGCAACAAATCTTTATCATATCTGTCACCTATTTTGCAAAATCGAAATCTATGCAGAGCTAATTCAGATCCAAGGTCCCTGAAAGGCTGAATGAGAGCACTCATTGAGCAGACCGCCTCTTGCTGGTTAACAGGAAATGAAACTAAACCAAGCCTTTAGTTAGTCGCTTTGTCATCAAGCCTTGACCCTGAAAAGCTGGTCTCAGTGAAGCAGCTGACATCCACTGAGAGTAACAGCCAGTTCATTCCTGTGTGGGGGTTTGATTCAAGGTCCAAATGTCCATATACCGAGTTGTCCTTGAGTAAGACACCTGACCAAACCCGCCCCCTCTAGCTGCACCCAGTGATGTGGGACTTGGATTCGTTAAAAACTAACGGGCTCTATGTATAGCAGCCTCTGCCATCAGTGTGTGAATGTGGCGTGAATGGGTGAATGTGACGTGTAATATTAAAGAGTTTTGAGTTTTGGTAAGAAGACTAGAGAAAGCGCGATATAGATAGTCCATTTTCCATAGTCCATATATATTTGTTTATGTCAGCCTGGCCCCCCTTAAGCTCCTTCATGCAGACAGCAGATGAGCAGGAGAAAAGTAGCAGCAGCATGAAAATGTCGTAAATCTCAGCACAGTGGTTTGAAATTAGGCAAGTACTTCAGTACAAATACTAACCTACTGACTGACTAATAGCCTCCAAAGTTTGCTTGACAATCAAAAAATCTTAGAATAGTTTTCGTAGGTCCTGGTACAATATTTTACAAAGTAAATCCTGAACGCCTCATGAACGGTTTACTAGAGATGCACCGATCCATTTTTTTCTGATCCAATCAGATACTGATACCTAGGCTGAGCATATCGGCCGATATCTGATACCGATCCAATACTACTGTTGAGTGAATGAACTGTATACCTCGCCCTGTGAGTGAAGGCATTAGGTTTGACATTAGCCATGTTAAAGAAAAAAAAAGTTAACAAATTAACACAGATATAAATTTTTTAAATATTATTTATTACCGAATGAAAAATTGCACATGAACACAGCAAAAAGAAGTAAGACCAATATGTATTAAAAGAAAAATTGATCAAAAGAAAAAAAAAAAACTGGATCGGCATCATTCATCCGAAATCCGATCCTGTTAATTTGTGAATATCGGAGCCAATATCCGATCCAAATATCGGATCGGTGCATCCCTACGTTGAACTCATGATGATCTAATTTTTTTGACTTGAATGACTCTGTTTTAAGTTAGAAATAAAAACTGTTTCTAGGGGCACTGTTGGCCTAGCAATATAAGAATCGTTCTCTAGAAGAATTTTACATACCCTTTCTTGTTTTTTTACATTTTGGGTGGGATGAATCATTGGATCAAGTTGGATTTTTCTAGTCTATATTTCCACAAAACCAGCTATGAAATAAGAGGTTGCTTCTGGTGGGTTGGCTTGGCGCGTTGCGTGTGTGAAACCCCCCCCTATCTGCCACAAAGTGCAATCTGATATGATCCACTTGTGCTAATGCCTCACGTCATTTGTTGCTACATCTGTCAGCCATGCAGACTGAATGAAACTTAAGGCTATATCCGTAGCTCTCACTGTCTTTCATTAATCATGCAGGATGCATAGATAATGGATGGTGCCCTCAGTGTCACTGTGGCCTTTCACTGCTTACTAGCCAGACAGATCCGTTGACATGACCTATATACACTCGTAGGCCATTGTCCCTCCAGACATGCATCATTGAATGCGACATCAAACAAACATGAAGGTTTCTTCATGGATCAGTGTTTGTTTCACCTTTACAGTAATTAGTGTAGTGATATATTGTACCCCAGTCCATTTCCTACCTCTGCTTCTCACATGCTTGTGAGAAAAATTCCGTCACTAACTGTGTATGAATAAAATATGACGTGATGTTCATGCACTGTGATAATTTACTTAACAAAGGGTCAAGTGTGTGTGCAAGTGTGCAGTTTAAATATGAAAACAACAATTTTTTCCAGTTATACAGGACACACGCTCAACAGTATAACATATCAAAATATCATCCCTGAGTCATCACTAGTACCGGCTGAGAAAACATATGAAGACAAGCTGTGTATACACAAACACAACGCTGTCTTTAACCCCAGAGGAAATTTCAGGGACTGATGATTAAAGCAGTTTTTATGTTGACGGTTAAACCGCAAAGTCTGAAATAAATCTAACTGAGGGTTCAGTCAGATTAAAAGGATAATGTGCGCGTAATATACATCCCTTTGTTTTTCTTTTGTACGCGTTACGGTTCAGGATGAAATGAGATCAAGTGTGAGTAATCAAACAGAGAGCTTTCCATTGTCTTCCCCTCAAAGGATCCAGTCAGTCTTACTATCGTCTGGATTAAAGTCTCTCTGCTGGACCATTTAAAGACATTAATGGATGAAATTAGGACTTAAACAGCAGCTTTAACTCAGCTCCCTGCCAGACATTATATTTGCTCTTAAAAAGGTATAAACCAATAAAATAGAGAGTGAATGTCAAAGCAGATATATACTATCGAAGTAAAGAGAGAGACTACAGTCTGTGCATGTTGGAGACTGTTTACTACAAAAGTGTTACGTAGGAAAACAAACAACATAAAGATGAACCATTACTTAGACTGTGGTACAGCTACAATACAGCTGGACTTATCCTGACAGTTTTCTATTGTTTTAGGAATAATTTACCTCCAATGGTCAAGAAAAAGTCGATTCACATAAGTATTAAATCGATTTTTATGTTCAAAATTTTTTTTTTCTTTTCAAATTTAAGAATAGATCTTAAAAACTGACTTACATGTGATGTGCATTTTTTGGGGAAATTTAGTTCCTGGAATAATCAGTGGACAATCATAACTATTCAATAATTTCACTGGTGTTAAAAATGCAGACTATAAATCGAGAAAGTCGACAATATCGCAGACTCGCAATTTAAATCGAATCGGCATCCAAAAAAAATCGTTGAGGGATCGTCCCAGCCCTACTAAGCATTATTGATAATAAGTCAGTTTGTATCAATAAAGATGGCTACAATGCAGCTACTGCATCCTACTGGCATGTACATAACATAGTGAATATTTTGGTGCCCCGTGCGGACAAAGCAGCTTTCGTGTATCTTGTCCTCTACATGCTCAGTTACTGAAATCTAACAAAAAATCCCACCCTGCTGACTTTTTCTGATGTGAATATTTAATGTAGGAAATTTTAACATAGGGCTGTTTCTGTAGCTGCTTTGTTGACACTTTTCAGGCCTTGAAACAACATCATAAAAACCATTTGTCTTATGGACTTGACATTAGTATGGATTTCAGTCTGTTTCACAAACATAAAAAGACTCCTCACAGGAACTTTAAAGAGGGGGATTAAAATATTTCTGCTCTGTGTATACCACTGACATCTTGGATTTACTTTGTTGTGTGTTCACAGTTGTTGACTTGTGCCAGTTTGCTCTGTTCTTTTGTTTTCTCAACACTCTAGTTCAGCTAACCTTTTTTAGTTCTTTGGTTTTTCACACCTTTTATTTATTTCCTCAACTCGCTGACCTTTGCACAGGCCCAACTCTAGCTACGAGTTTGTGTTACAGTGTGATTTCCTCCAGCTGTTCTTTTTTGTAACGCGGTTTGTGGCTGTTTTTTCTGTGCAGGTTAACTTTGTGGCATGCCAGCTGTTCGCCCTGCTCATGGCTGTGTGGTTTCGGATCTACCTCCACCCCAGTAAGACCAGTCCTTTTATCAGACATGTGGTGGCCACTCTGCTGGGTTTCTACTTGGCTCTCTTCTGCTTTGGCTGGTGAGTCACTGCACTAGTTGTTACCCTGCAGCTCTTTTCTTGTCACGGCTGTCATTTCATATACTCTTTCTTTCTTGCCTCAGAATATATTCCTACAGAATTACTCAGTGATACCCTTTTCCTGACAACTGTGGCTGTGACCCAATTTCAGACTAATGTACACACATATCTACTGTAAAACTGACTGCAATGTTTATAAGGATGTTGTTAAACTCCTGCTGCAGTGATTGGTTTATGAAACGTTATATAATAACATGTAATGAAATGTAATGTTATGTAACGTAGCTTCACATGGGCCCCAATCAATTATGTTCCACATTTCCAAAAAGGGTCCTGAATAACATGATCAAATCATACGCTGATTGAAAATTCGCTGCAAACCATTTGAGTTATGAGTGACCCTGTACAGCTTGTTGGACAGCGGTGCCAAACATTTGCTCTTGTGGTCCTGTAAATTATATTTAACTGAAAATCAGTGCAAACTTTCAAAACTGAATCGAATTAAAATCGTGCCCCGGTCGATTGTTTTCATAACTGTCATATGAATGTGTATTTTTCTCAAATGCAATGAAAGACCCCCCTGTTTTAATGAAGCTGTTCTCACCCAAACAAGGCCATAATTATATCCACCTTAACCCAGTCTGTTTCATAACTTGCTAAAACTCCTTGCAGGAGCTTGGACTTGAAACAGTTGGCAATTCTCCTCCTCAGTTTAAAGTGCATCTTATCATTCTAACTTTAAAGTGCATTCTCTTTGCAGGTTGACCTTCATATTGTTAGTGATTGTAGCTTTGTGATCAATAATAAGCGTTTGTTTGTTTGTTTGTATAACTGCGTTTCATCTCCTGTCTCTCTTCTCTTACATACTTGTCCTTGTTTGCTACTTCTCTCCCTCCCCTACCCCTCCTCTTCCTCCCTCACCCCGTCCTCATCTCTTCATCCTTGCCAAAGCAAATGGGTCGATGGGGTTGCAACTGATATCCAATTAGAAAGCTATTGCCCTGTAATAGACAACCCACTGTACCTCTGGCAGAGCGCCTCTCAGAGTGCTGTTTTGTGTGTCTGCATGTGTGTGTGCTTGTGTGTGTTCGACGAAAATCCCAGATATCTTAAAGCAGACATTTAAGAAGAGGAAAAACGCTAACTAGGTGAGGCGTTACCTGCTTATCAGGTTGTTAAATTTGATCACCTCGCAGACGGCCGGTTCTCGTTTATGATGCAGCTGATGGCGAGCTGCAGCGGGGATCAGGTTGTTTGTTGTGGCTGAGGGAGATGATGTTGAATTATTCATGTGTGAATCAAAAGCAAGACCAGCTAGACCACGGCATTACGGCGTTACACAACTTGACTCGTGTTGTCTGATATGGATCATAAATAATTCAGAGATTTTATTGTTTGAAATGAGTATGCATTCAAAAGGATTTGATATCTCAAACTGGTGTGTTATGCTGGAGTGTGTTTGAAGTGAGAATAAGCATGTTATTTTTATTTCTCAGGGCGATTAGGTCTGTAACATTTAACACATGTAGCAATTGTTGATGTCCCAAATTGCAAGGATTTCAAACCAATGGAAAAAACAGTATTTTTGAGATAGTAGTAAAACTGTTACTACATCAGTTTTGGGAAGTTCACCTCATTGTTGTGTTTTGAAAGCAGTGATGACAGTATTGCAAAATCCTGACTGTTTAATGTGATACTGGCAACACTACTGAGACACTGCCCCTCCCAAAGATGCGTGTTCCCTCTCTATGAGGAAGCACTCAGCCTTTTTTTTTTTTCTTCTGAATGTCACAGGAGAAAACATCTGCACACTCTTGAACACTTGAACTATTTCTTCAGTCACAGGAAGCTGAGTTCATCTGAGCTTTTTCTAGACTAGAGAGCAGATCGAGTTTGTTTCACACATCTCAGACTAATGGATCTAAGAGTGTGGATGTCTTTTGCCTTTTTAGATTTTACTTTCTTTCTTTGAATCCAGCCAGCTTGTCCTCTTCTTGTTCCCTTCCTTCGGACCCCTGCTGCCATCTTTGCCATCTTTGTCGACTCACGGCTAACACATTGTGGCGTCTCCTCTCACCTGAAGGGCTTGACGTCGCAAGCATCCCACACTGTGCCCTTCAAAGACCCATCTGGTGGCTGCTGCCGTCGCCAAACTGTGTGTCAGTGCCTGCGTGTGTGCGTGAAAGTCCACTGTGATAATGCAGTACAGAGAATTTTGCATCTGGCTGGCATTGAAATCAGAAAAGATGATAATGTGATGGCAAAAGTCTCTCTCTCTTTCACCCTGTGACTCAAGATGACACATTAGTGGTGAAAAGGTCTGGCTCACATGGTTGATAGTGTGACTTTGGTTTCGTAATGTGGTAATTTCCACTTCCTAATAACTGTACACATGAGAAAGCAGGATTTGGAAAGTAATACTGTAGATTGCCTCATTGAGAACATTGAGACATGTTTTCCAGTAAATGACAAAAATAACAGCCCATTTGGGGTCTGTCTCTTCACAGGTACTCCCTTCACTTCCTGGTCCAGAGCGGTCTGTCCTACAGTGTAATCATCTTCGCTGGCTTGGAGAACATGCACAAGTAAGAGAGCTTGAAGGAAATGTTTGAAATGACTAAAACGTGTGCAATGTTGATGAAGATATTAGCATAATTGCTAATATGATCTAAAACAAGCACAACTGCAAAATGCTTCATCATCCCCATCTTGAATTCACCTAAAAAGGCGAGGCGACAATTTCAAAACCAGTTGAGCAAACTCATCCGAAAATTCAGATTAGTGGATAAGATATGAAAATGCTTCACAACGGTTGAGTGTGGATTGATCTTTCCGTTTGCATCTTCACCCTTTTGTCTGTGTTTTTGAAGCTTGCAAGTCAGGGTCATGATGATGATTCTGCCCTGAGGCTTCCATCTGTGACCATGGCTCATCACCAAGATTCACACACGCTTGCACACACACAAACAGAAACACATTAACACATTGTCTTTGATGATATTTTTACCAGTTTTCAAGGTTATAAGAGAGGGTGTAAACAGAAGATGTTTCGCCCCGAGGAGAGCGCTTAAAATAGATACGAACAAAGCATTAATCACAATAGCAACAACCCAGAAAGAAAGGTCTTAAAGCCAGACAACAGGGTGGCAGCAGCATGAAATGTAGGTCATGTTTATCCACAGCGTTATGTAGTATTTCATCATGGAGCAGCGTCTTACATCAAGGAGTCATTTCAAGTTTATTCCTAGAGTATTAACCCTCTGCAAACAGCATTGGTTTGCTTTTAGCCTGGCGGTCTGTGGTAGATAAGCAGTGCCAGCTTACCGTCACTGCTGCACTTACGAAACCAAAAACTCTGGCTGTGTCACTCAAGCTAAACCAACACACCCCTAAACCGCTTCATACAGAGATAAAGTTCAGCCAGTCCCCCCTGGATGATCGTGCAGCTCAGGAGCAGAGAGGAGGAGAACTGCTCGGGCTGAGTGCCCTGACATGTACATGTTTGCAGAGGGCGTTGAACCCACCACCTCAGGATAACAAATGATTATCGAAGGCAGCAACCGCTTAGGATTGAACCGGGGCTCTGTGCCTCTGGCTTCTGGCCAATGTTTAAGCCATTGTCTTGCTCTTTGGTACGCTTTAACCGGTTGCATAGGCAGTCGAAGCTTTCAGATGTGTCAATGCACTGTACGTGTGCATTTCTGTAATGTAGCTGAATATACTGTTGCATTCAACGCCTGACAATGCTAAACAGGCCATAGTTATATATTCAAGATAACTTTGATTTTGTGCCTTTTCTTAAAATTTTGTTAATCTCTTTTAGTCCCTTCTTTTTCTTCTTTGTGTTTTGCTTTATCATCTTTACCTTTAATCATCACCTTCTCTGTTCCTCAGACATTTTTATAATTTTTCTTTCACCTTAGTTATTCCTTATTTTCTTCCTTCCCTATCTCCTTTCCTCCTTTTTCATCTTTGTCTTCTTGTTTTCTCCCTTTTCTTCTACTCCATCTCCTCTCCTCACCTGTTTTCTTTTCCTTCCTTCATGTCCTTTCCTCCTTTCCTTTTCTCCTTCTCTATCCCCTGTCCCTCTGTTCTTTTCTCCTTCTTTATGTCCTACTTCAGCTGTTGTCTCTTTCTCTTCCTTTTTTTCATCCTTGTCTTTTTCATCTCCTTACTGTCTTCATCTTGGATTTCATCTCTTAAAATATTTTCATTCAAGTTTCTTTTTTTTTCTCGGTAGAATAATCATAATTATATTTAAATGAGTCAATAATCATCAGGATATGAGAACTGTTCTATCAATGTGGATTTTCACATCTACATAAAGGGTGGGTTTCCTTCCACAGGGGCTGTTATCTTGCACTGCCACTATTCCACTGTTACACTGATTGGACAAAAGCCATACGCATTTTCTGTACTTAGGGAGTGTTGCCTGAAAAGCACCCATTAGAAGAAGAAGGAAAAGAATAGGGTATTTGTTGTTACGCCCAAAAGAATTTGTACTGATGGACATTTTTGATAATCAAAGCTCAACGAATGGAGCTTCAAACTTGGCACGCACTGAAATAGCTTCTTGCACTTGTAGAGGGGTGAGCACGGAAGCATTTAAATCAAGATTCAAACTGCTAGATATCACTGAAATGTTCATCATTATTGTACACTTTACCCAAAGGGTATTAAGTTGTACTTTCTTTGCTTTTCACTTAAACTTTGTTTCCTCTCTTTGTCCTTGACCCTCCTCATCATGATCTGACTGTAACACGTAACATCCCATAACCTTAACCAATGATAACACCGCCTAGTTAAGATAAAATCTGTCGGTTAAACTGTAAATATTCTCTCTTATATTGCAGTAAAACCTTTAGCTTTAAGGCTTGCCTTTAGCAGTGATAGCAGTTTGTACTAAAAGGATTCACTCCCAAGAGCAGTGCACCCTGGTAGAACAACAAACAGCAAACACATTCTTCCACTCAAATACACTACCTTTGGGGGAGTGCATACACAGAGTGCCGTTTGACAGCTTATGAAGTTGCAAAAAGCTCTTCTCTTTTTTTTATCCTCTCCTTGACTGTGGGAATGGCTGTGAATGTGAGCTCTGCTGAACGTGAGGCCGGAGATGCTCCGTTCACAGTGAGGCATCAGATTTCAGACTATTCACTGTGTGGTTTAGCTCTGGACCTCTCACTCTCACTCTCTCGCTTTACCTCACTGAGAGTTCACCTGTTTGGCGAGGTGAAAGGACAGAGAACGTTCCAGACGCTTTTTCAACAAGTGGACAACAGCTCTGCCTGCTGGTTGAACGCCTGCAAAGGCAAACAGAGACATAGGAAGTTGTCAGATATGTTTGAATAAAGGGAGAAGGCTAAGAGCATAATGCAAGTACTCTGTTTTATTGACTGCATTGACATGGCAGCCATTTTTCTGCAATGCCCATGCCAAGGGTTGGAAACTTAAAAGCTGTTATGGTGGTTTACTGCTATGTACCAAGGTTTAAGTCAGGTCAGTGTCTGAAAAATCATTGTTGTTGCACTGGTTTTGCATTGATTAACAACTGAAAAAAACTTAGTAGTGAAAATATGGGCTAAAATCAGGCTATATTGCAAGTTAAACCACATATTTTCTAACATTACTATTTGTTTGTGTTTAAAGGAGACTGAAAAAAAAGGAACGTTTTAGCTAATAGTGATTTTTTGCCAGTTCGGGGTTCTGTGCTAAGACAATCTTTCCCCTGACAGTAGCTACTGTATGATAAAATTATCTATCACCCTTAAATATTGCCTTTTTTTCCTTGAGATTCTTCACACTTGTAGTTTGGGAATTGTTCGATTGCAACAACTGTCAGATTCCCTAGCAGCTAGCAGACCTTGAACAAAAGGGTGCTACACATAGACTGTATATACTATGGACAACTTGGTTCCGCCTTCCGCCAGTATACAGATTTGAAGCCGAAAAGCTCTTGATATTTCTGCGATTTTTGAAACCAACATTGCGCAGTAGCGTTGTATGCATTCGGCAGGAGAGTCGCTGTGATGACGCCCGGCTCAAACAGCGTATCCCCCGGTGAGCTACGCAATCTCAGTACGCACATGAGCTGTATAAAGTGTCAATCATAGAAAACATGAACCCCCTAATAACTTCTAAAAACTGAGCTGTACAGAAAAAAAGAGGACTTGAGCACAAACTAGTCTTACTGTAACTACGTCAACATCGCATCAGGGGGGAGAAAAATGTATATTCTGTGTATATTCCCAGCGAGGAGGCAGACGCTGTCCATTCCATATACAGTCTATGCTTTATACCTGTAGTTTGGGAATTGTTCCATTGCCACAAACGTCAGATTCCCTGAAAGCAGCTTGCAAACCTTGAACAAAAGGGTGCTACATTATAACAGCTCCCCACCTGAGAGCTGAAATGTCAAGTTATGAATACGCTTCAATAGTTCATTTTCTGCTGCGATGGAGGGGACCACTGGGTAGAAACGTTTAAACATGCTGATGAAGTTTCCCCTTCTTCTCGCTCTTTAATTAAAAACCAGCAGCTAATGAGCACAAAGGCAGGGATGATTCTTCTCAACAGGACATAGAACTTGAACTCTCCAAAATGGCCCACCAATATTTAAAAAAATCCTAACCTATATCTTCCACTCAATAAATCCACATAATTTCATCATGGGTAACACAACTACAGTGAACCAAATTAAATCATGCTCATACAGCAAAACTAATACAAATTCAGAGTGTGCAAATTACTTCCTCACCGCTGCATGCTGAACAGATGGAAATTTCCTCTGGATCTGAGTAAGCATGAAGTGTTCCTCGAGGCGTTTACTTTGTGTGTACAACCTCAGAGAGAGGTCCTGGAGCGTTGGGATTTATTTATAGTCTGTTATTCGTTTTCATCACACCATGTCCAGTGTTTATCCATACCCGCGGCTCCTGTGTGGCTGCTTGTCTATGCCTTAACCTGTCTACCTCCGTCCCTCAGAGGGACAGGGGCCCGCTTTAGTCTCAGACTCCTTCTGATGCTGTGAGTGGAAACATAACACCCCCCTCAGAGCCGTGAATTCCACAAACACAAATCAGATGAGGATATAGACTGGATCCCTGTTGAGCCCACTGCAAACATAGCTGCTGCAGCACATTGATAAATGTCGCTGTGGGTTTCTGTTAGAGAAGTTCATCCTGAAGGAACCAGGACTGAAAGTGAAAGCATAGTTAACGGGTAAACTTTTGCATGGATAAAATACCATACATTTTCAGCATTCTGTTTCCCAAAGCTAGTCTTCTATGGTCTACTGGTTTAAATTCAAACACCTTACTTTATTTTTTTAGTTTTTTAAATTTTTTTGGGACTTCATCAAACTAAAAAATGATCCAATTACTTTCACAAAGAGCATAATTCAAAACATTGTTGGAAATCTAAAATTAAAGCATTGTAGCAAGTTTGGATTGAGGTGTGAGGAAACCTTTTGGGGACACAAAAATTGCTTTTTTGTATTTTCTGTTGAGGTCACCCAGGCCTTTTTTTTAATTTGGTGCAACACCCTGTATAGAAAGCTCCAGGTTTATTCATAGACAATGCTGGAACACCCCTTATTTTCATCTCCGTACCCCTCAAAAATATGAGAAGGGCTATGTGCCCAACCAGATTTTAACTGTAATTCTTATTTTTAGATAAATTATGGAAAATCAACCATTTTTAGTCAGATATTATCCTCTACAAACATCATGGATCATACTGAAAAAAAGGCATCCCCATATCTCTGCAGGTCAAACCAGTGTGAACACAAGGAAATGACAGGGAGCAATGAGTAGTTGAAGTTTTCGAGGGAGTAACAAGCCATTAAAATGTGAAAATGTAATTAAATATTACAAGTCATTCACACCTCCCTACCAGCTTAAGATATTAGCCTTCTCCTATTCCCTCCTTTGGCCCTCTCGCTTGCTGTCTAACATTAGTCAGACCTTGTTCATGTAGCATCCTATTACATGTTGAAAAGCAGGGCTTAAAGAATCATAGGGTATGAATCTAACAACATTATTTTGTTAATAGTGTGAATAAAAAAACTTGCATGTTGCATTTTACTTGACGCCTATCTCTGTAATGCATTATCAATATATGTATAATGGATTATAATCACGTAATTGCATTGTATAACTATAGTTATAAACGCTCATAAATGATCATAATGCTTTATAGCAATAATTATAACACATTATAAAGCATTTTATCATGACTTACAAGGTCAGGTATTATAATGTGTTATGCTTATTGTTATAAAGCCTTATGATAATTAATGAATGTTTATAATGATAGTTATACATGTTTATAAGCTAATTATAACATAACATGAATACATGTATAATGCATTATCTATGTGTGCATTATCAGTGAGGTGTTAACAGCTATAACAGAGCTAGGCGTCAGCTATAGTGTTACCAAATATTTCTTCTTGTCCAGTGAAATTGGTAGTTTAGTGGTTGGATTGAATACTTGTGAGGAGCTCTTCATATAACAGTCTCTGTAGGGGCTGATTACCCCTTAAGGTCTGATCACCAGCTTATTTAATTGCTTCTTGTAACTTCACAACTCTAAATCAAGATGGTAGACAATGAGAGTGAACAGCGTTGTCTTAATACGGGAGTGGAAGAGCTTTTTGGCTCGTCATGCCCGCCCCCTCTTCCTGTCTGTCAAATAATGATCTGCACATTTTGATCAGCCTTGTTGCTTTAGGGCTGTTCTGGGAATATAGAGGCCTTTGTAGTGAGCCATGTAGCTGCCACTGAAAAATACTGTGTGCACTGCAAAACAAACCAAGTGTAGGTTGAATACAAACACAGAATATAACATTATTATGTTTTAGATACCTCCTCTTCACTCAGCGCCGTCTCTACCTTTACTGGGTGTAATGTGATTAATTTTAGTGTGCGAATTTTTAGAGAGAAGGATCATAAAAAAGGCTGGAAAATAAAATCACATGAGCCATGCAAAACTGGTTTTATTGTGTTATGAATGCTCGGCAGTAGAGATCAGAGGATGTCCTGGCAGTGTCCTGGATTGCAGTTACAGTCGGCTCTCAGAATCAAGAGACCCTGTTGTGTCTTATCAGCAGCGCAGCATCATTCTAGCCTGTGTGTTGTATTCCTTCTCAGAGCACAAGCCTCTCATTGTTGGCAGCAGAGGAATGCTAGCGAGTTAGCCTTGACTTGGGTTGACTCTGCAGCAGCTTTGTACAACAGGCTTAAGTGATGCTTTGTCTTTGGTCTTCTGTTGAAAGGTTGCCTTGTCTTCTGTGTCCAAGTACTGTCGCTGGCACATTACCGGAGCCTCCTCTGCCTCTTCTGTCCAATTTTCAACCCCCTCTAATTTCCCTTTAGCAGAGGTCTCTGCCTTTTGCACTGTACATCAATAAAGTCATTGTTTTTTTACAGATTTGAGGGCAAAGGGTTTATTTTCACATCTGAATTTGAGCATAAATCAATCACCTTCCCTGAAAATATAACAACATTGTACTTGAACTAATCAACTCTCATCTTTTTTTGTTGCATTTAAACAACATTTTGAAAGGTCTCTTTTTCTTTGTGTCCCCCTGTAGGTACTGCTTCATTGTGACGCTTGGCTACCTGATATTGTGCCAGATCACACGGGTCTACGTCTTTGACTATGGCATGTACTCTGCAGATTTTACTGGGTAAGCTGATGTACACAAAGACCACAGAGCACTTTATGATACTTTTAGGAGCTCAGTTGAAAACTTAAGCCCTCCACTGGTCTGAATTTTGAGAGCTCATTCAAAAAAAGGCTTCAAAGAGGAATCATCAGTAATAGTCAGGGAAATGGTCAGAGTCTGAACTAGTCTGAGACATACAGAAATGAGAGTGTGTCACACCGCTGTGTCTGTAGGAGGACCTCCATAGCGATAATAGTTCCTTCTGGTTAGTTCCCTTTTTCTCCAGACTGTCTGACAGTTCAGGCAGACAGCCTGTACTCCCAGCAGGGTGGGTGGGGGTGGCCTGTTGCTTGGCAACACAATGCAAACCCATACTGCCTCTGAGAGGGAAGAGATTTCCCTATTTTCAACTGCCTAGACTTCTCCTCCATTTCTCTGGAAAATGTCAGATTCCTGTTTTTTTAAAACTGTATTGTTTGCTTTTGTTGCCAGATATGCGTTGTTTTACTTAACTACAATTACTTAGAGTTTATTTTAAATATGCTTTCTTAGTACTTCAGAGCAGATGTGCAAATGTTCTTTTGTAGGCAATGGCATCAGTAAGTCAAAAGAAAGGGTGGAGTAGCACAGGACTAGATTGGGTCTGAATTGATAATGAAGCAGACAAAGAATAACTACAGGAAGTTTAAAAACAGTCTGAAATGATCTTGCAGGGAATTCCCAAATGTGTAAATACCACTGCTGCTTATACTTTTTATTATTAGTGCATGAAATGGAACCGAAGATCAGCTAGGGCACGAATCCCCATTTTATTTAAAAGTACAGCAAACCTAGATGACTAAATATGGAGAACTTCTTCTAAACTTCTTCTCAAAAGATCTGCTTTCAAAACTTCAATACTTGAGTAAAAAACAAATACCACAGTGAGCTAGTATTGTGTGTTGTTGTACATATTCAGTATATTAACTTGCCATGTTTTGTGTTTCAGGCCTATGATGGTTATAACACAGAAGATTACCAGCTTGGCATTTGAAATACATGACGGTAAGACACGCATCAAGTGATTTCACAGTGTGTTCATACATATATGTGTGTGTGCCCATCTGTGTGCACGGACGAAAAGAAGTGGCAGATGTGACAGAAGTGAAAATGGTTCAATTCTCTTTGGAGTTTAAAAACAGATCACATGGCAGCTTTTCCGAGGCCAGTAGTCAGTTCTGCCAATGGACTAGTGAACCAGAAAGAGAGCATGAACACTGTTATGTAATGAGCCAGTGACCAAGTATGCACGCTCACTCTCTTGCCCTCTCTCTGTAGCAGTGTAGTGGCAAACCGAAGACTGTATATCATTATGTTGGAGGGCTTCAAACGTTTATCACCCAGTTTTCTGCCAAATACTGAAACAACACACATGCTAATGAGCCAAAAATAAAGATGGAGACAACACAAAAATAAACAAACGCAATGAAGCTCAAAAGAGGCTTAAAGATTTAGAAGAAAATGATGGGTTTTTTTCCTCCTTCACTTGAGTCTTAAATCACTTTGGGATACTCTAGACTGAACACAATCAGCAGTGAGTGTGTGGCAGTGTGTACGTGCAGTGAGGGGCTTGGTTTTAAATTCTGTTCATGTCACTGATTTGTCTTGCAACTGTGAGTCTAATGAGAAACTAAGGCTGTAATTCCCAACTTAAGAAAACTGTCACAGCCTGACATCCACCTGCTGTTTTTAGGCACACAAGTGAACACACACACATGCGCACTCACTGACACACTGGTAGGATTTTGCTGTCTCTTAACCCGGGATAAACTCATGACATGAGAAGTGTTTCAAATAAGTGGATGCTTTTGATGGGAATGTTACTGCCCCAGAAGGGTGAGAAAATATATAGTGAACATGTGGTTACGAAAGCTCGAGCACCAATGGGATGTGCAGAAACCCGATGTCATGCTTGAGAGTCTTGCTTAGCCAATGATTTTATCAGTGTCAACAAGCAGAGGTGAAATATGCCAGATTCTTTTCTGAAGGGTGATCTGATATAGGGGTGGGAGAAAAAAAATCGATGAAGCATAGTATCGCAATATTTTGTCTGGTGATATATCGTATCGTCTCATTTACCAAGTATCGATTTTTTAAATTAATTGCTAGTAAGACGTCAAATCTACGATAATGGAAAAATAAAATCAACTGATTGTCTAGTGAGGTGACATCATAGAGCAGGAGAAACTTGGTACAACAAATATGTAAAAGGTTTGCAAGACGTGCTACATGGAAATAAAATACAGACAAACATAAAGGAAAGCCAAATGCTAAATCGCAATATATTGTATTGCAATACTCGCTGTTTTGCAAGATGTTAAAAATGGCAATAATATCGTATCGTGGCCCAAGTATCGTGATAATATTGTATCGTGGCCCAAGTATCGTGATAATATCGTATTGTGGCCCAAGTATCGTGATAATATCGTATTGTGGGGCCACTGGTGATTCCCACCTCTAATCTGATACAACGTTTGTGATCATGTTGTCTCTGGTAATGCTTTTACAGCTGAGATATAAACGCTCTTGTTAGGGTGTAAAGTAAATAATTGTTTGTATTTTGAATGTGAGAGTCTTTAAATTTCCCTGAGAATGAATAGATGTCTTCAATCTTGATCAAAATTAGAGGTTAAATTGCAGCTGGAGGAGCGGCATGATTTTACTAAACATAGCCTTGAAATGGAGGTATTATACTTGACCTTACATGGGCCCTGTGTTGCAAATACTACTAGCCATGACTCTCCATGAGCTGAGGTCTTCATACAGCAAAAACAACTGATCAGGAGTGACCTTTACTTACCCCTGTACAAGAAGAGTATATTTCAGGGTATATTTCGTCTTCCTGAAATAACTCCCAGTAACAAGCCAACAAAACAGGTTTAAGCAGAGCAGGAAAAGAGGCTGTGTTTGACAGTGGGTTATATTTAACAGCTTGGGCCATTCACTCACTGTCTCTTTACCAGCTCGGCAGAAGGAAATTGGCGTTGGTTCACCGTTACTTTGTGACCTTCATGGTCTCCTAACATATGTGCTGGAATGACGGATGCCTTTGACTCTCAGATGGTGGTTGTAATACCTGCAGACCCTGAGAGTCAGCACTTTTTGAAGCTGTTAACTCAAGTGCTTCATGAGCACATGTAATGCACTTCTTTCCATTTAACTGTGAGGAGTTATAGCTGGTAATAAATAGAATATAATGAAGACTGGTGCCTTATGTGGCCGACCAAAGCATGTAAGGTAACCAGTCACAAGGTTAATCATTTTTGTATATTTTTAGCACTTGAAACCTTGTTATGGGGGGTAGTTGTCCCCCAGCAAAGTGCATACAATACGTTTTGCACCGCAGAGATTCAGTAGGTAGACTATTGACTACTAAAGAATAAGGCAGAGAGATTTAAGGTAAAGCTTTGGTTGCAGGGGACGTCAAATCATCATCAACTCTAAACTTGATTTCAGGACTTTAATTTGGGATGTGCAAACACTGTAAAAGGATTATTTGTGTGTGTGTCAAGTATCTGTTTTGGTTCTTCTATAGGTTTGACCAAGCGAGATGCACAGCTGACACCCAGTCAGAAATACCTAGCTATCAGGTATGTGACTCAGGTATGTTTTTACTGCTGTAGATGTTGAATTCATTTAATCAAGCTGAGTATTTCAACAGAAAGCAGAAATGAAATGATTTACTCTAATTTTGACAAAGGCTTCATATTCTTCTGCAGAGGAAACCACCACACACAGCCCCCCTCCCCTTTTCCGCTCTCCCTGTTGTCGTCAAGCAGTTGTTAAGCTCTCAGTATCCAGGATACCACACATTCACACTACTCTGGTGTGACCTGTATTGCAGGAATACCCTTCCTTTTGTCTATCCTGCAGTGCAAATAGATTCCTTCCCTTCACAAGTATTATGAAGATGATGGCGCAGAAACAATGAGAAAAGCAGGATTCGAGTGAAGACGTTAGTTGTTGCGTACAGCTCTTGTGAAAAGTTTTCAGCTGTTTATAGAACAGATTGAAATTAATATTGATGCCTCTACATGACCTACAAAAACTAACAAGAGCATGAGTATTAAAACTGGCCTTTTTGGTGGATTTATTTTTAATGCCGTAGCCACAGTTGGAGGGTGGGTGTCCGGAGAGGAAATTGCTGCTCAGACAGCCTGTGACATTATTAATGGCACAGATACATTTGACTGTAAGAGTTACACGTATAAAATTTATTTTGTCCAAAAGTGCTATTTTTCATGTAGAGGACCAGTCGTATATATATGTGTGTGATGCCCACATAAACTGCTTTGCCCATAGGGGGTGTAAAAATTAACACTATCCAAAGCTCGTCACTGAAGCTTAAAGGCTTAAACAAGATTTAGTATATCAAAATACATTATCAGAGATAAGAAAAAGACTTGTAGTTCTGCTGCACTGCATGAAAACGTCTTCTTTTTCCCCATATTCATGTTAATATTCCTGCTTATGTCCCATAAGGCGGATGCCCAGTCTGCTTGAGTACCTGAGCTACAACTGTAACTTCATGGGCATCTTAGCAGGCCCCACCTGCTCTTACAACGACTACAAGGCATTCATCGAAGGTACAGGCTACCAGCCACGCCACCAGGAGAACGCCAACGGCAAAGAGAACGGGAAATACAAGCAGAATGAACCCTCACCCAAGGTACTGGACAGATTTTATCTCTCCAAAAAATGTACGTCAGCATGTGAAAGCTTGTCCAACCTGTCATGTTTTGGACCTACATTTTTTGTTACAGTGTGAAAAAATCTCCAATGCTTGAACCCTCAAAGAACTCAAAAGTTATGTTACAAGATGAGAAGTGAAGTAGAACAACTCTGTTGAAAAATGTCCTGAAGGGGTTAGTGGGTGCTGTGAAAATGTGATGCATTTTTTTTGTTTTTTTAAAAAGTAGCATGAGACATTATTGAGTATTCAATGATGCAAATGTCTAAACCTCAAGGTTATTTGTGTTGTTATACTTCATAATGAATTAATAATATAAACACTCACTTGAGTTAATCTCAAATCAAGAGTTTTGGAGTACCAGTATAACTTCTTATACCAGGTTTCTTTCTCATCCTGAATATAATGTAGTTATTTTCGCTGTTTCATTGCATCTCACTGACTTTTCTCTTCTCCATTAAGAACGACGTCATCTCCAAGTTGTGCACATGTGCCATCTCTCTGGCCATCTATCTGTCGCTGTGCAAGGTGATCCCTGTGGAGCACGCCATAGATGACAAGTTTGTCAGCTCCACACCCTTCTACCTGCAGGTCATCTACCTGTACCTGGCCATGCTGGCACTGAGGCCAAAGTACTACTTTGTCTGGACACTTGGTGAGTGTGTGACAACTTAGTAAATTTCACTTTTTGACGCTTTAAGGACCACATATTTGATTATTTGTGAAAAGTAGAGACTTTAATGAGTAAAAACTGTGAGAAGTTTTTGCGTGTGTCGTTGCCGGGGTTGCATAAGTAGTTTAAACTCACTGAACCATTCTTCATCTAAAGAATCTGATCATTCTTAAAATTTTCTCCCTCTGACTCTTATTTAACAGCCTTTTTCCTAATGCAACAGTGCCATCTAGTGCTACTATGAGAACTGCACCTTTTACTGTCACAGATGACAAACGCATGTGATGCTCTATCTCCATCTGTTTCTGTCGTTGCTGCAAAACCTTAATGTATTCTCAGGATGTGGGGCTGCTGTCATTCTTGACTGTTGCCGCTTTTGTGTTTGTTCCTTTCTCCTGCAGCTGATGCTATCAACAATGCTGCAGGATTCGGCTTCAACGGATACAACAAAGATGGCTCCCCACGGTGGGACTTGATATCTAATCTCAGAATACTAGACATAGAGGTAAGATTTTTTATTCTATTTTATTCAACTTTTTTTTATTCAGATGAATGACTTTTTCAACTTAAGCTTTGAAGTGTTTCTTTTGGTTCAACTCTAGTTTGCAACAAGTTTCAAGAGTTTCCTAGACAACTGGAATATCCAGACAGCACTTTGGCTCAAAAGGTAAAACATCAAGATTGTACTCTGCTAAAAAAAAACTGCTTTTAGGCTACATACATAACTCTTTATCTTAAGTTTAGCATTTTAATTCAAACCGACCTGATCAAAAACTTCATTTTGAATGGTTTAATAGCGTATAATGGTTTAGCTAATGTTACAAACTCCACGGTAAATTTATTTTAAATGACTTATTATCATATTTTTCTCCCCAGGGTTTGCTACGAGCGCTGCTCTATCAACCCCACAGCTGCCACCTTCCTGCTGTCAGCCATGTGGCATGGGGTGTATCCCGGCTACTACCTGACCTTCCTCACTGGCATCGCCATGACCATGGCTGCACGAGCAGTGAGTACCCACACCTTCTCTCTCTTTATAAAGAACATATAGATCCAGATACAGCCGAATAGGTGCAGTTTATTAAAACAGATGTTATATATTACTTTACTGTTGAAAAATTATCCTGTAGCTAAGAGTCAGTTCCACAGAGCTGATTAAAAATGCTGTTTACATGTTGCACCGCTACTTATTTAACCCTCAAACAAACAGATTCCCTGTTTGAAAACTAAGGGATATTAATCCCACTTATACACCATGTTGAAATGTTCCCTAACCCTAACCACTAATCTCTTCTAAGCCAAACCTCCTCACTCCAGTCTTATGACAGAAGGATATTCTTCAGAGACAGTGGAGTGATGAGACATAAAAACTTCACACTGTAATTCTAGATAATCTACTTGGAAAGGCTTGACATTGCAAGCACAGTGCTGGGACTTTTCCTCTTCTTAAACTGAAGGAGGACAAGGAGATCACTGGCCCATTTATCTCTTCTGTCCACCGTTACACTGACAAGTTCAGAGATAGATTCCTCTGAGGAGTAATAATGTGGGAAAAGACATCCAGAGAGGGTAAAAGGAGAGGGTTGAGCAGATTTGAAGTTTCAAAGCCTGCTGCTGTTAAGGATTTTGGAAAGTGGGTCAAGTAGTTGAGTTCAAGTCTAGTTCACTGTAGAGTAGAAAGATTCATATATGTTCTCTCAAAAAGTACTCACAAGTGTTTTTTAATTTTTCTTCTCCCAGATAAGGCACAACATCAGACCGTACTTCCTGGAGTGTGACTCCTACAAGAAGATCTATGATGTCATCACGTGGGCATGGACTCAGATTGCCATCAGCTACACTGTGGTACCTTTTGTACTACTAGCTGTAGGACCATCACTCAAATTCTACAGGTATAAAACAAAAACACTGACTTTAGCCTCTGCTTGTCTGTGACACAAGTAGTGATATTGGTACGCTGCTGCTGTAACAGTGAGACTGTAAATGCATGTCAATGAATATGCTAACCGCAGTGAAGGAATTAACACTTTTTCATTAGCCTGGTTCCCTCTTGTCAGGCTGTATAAGTTAATGAGACAGCTAAACGAGCACAGCATGGTGGAGGATTGATGAAGTGGAAATTAAATGAGCGGCCTTAATATTGCTCTGCCACTGCCGTGAAATAAAGGCTGAACAATGGACACTGTCATGCAGATGAGGACTGCTGGTACACCAGCACGTGGCAGTTTAACATGGGCATTAAACAGAGTCATTAAAAGGCAGGGTTATGGGGAAAGAGGAAGGGAGCATTAAAAACATGCACATTTACATCATATGGGACAGTTGCGTAATCATCATATGACTGATGAGTCTGAGAGGTGGATTTTTGGGGTTAGAAACTAATAGAGGGCTGATTGTGACAAATCCTTTTAAGTTTGTATTTCTAGACCTTTTTTGGGTTCTCTTTCGCTCATCTGTAACTCTAAATTATTTATCATTGATGTGGATAATAGACATGCCATCAATTACTGGTAGCTTATAAAGCTTACAAGTTACAGCTGTTAGTTGGAGCATAATAAGACTGAGAATCCACAGCCAGTCTAGCAGCTTTGTGAGGCTCCCTTTTTAGAGTGCAGGGTTTATTATAATGCCAGTGTGCTAAGTCTGGCTGCTAAAGTGCAGGAAACCCCATTAGGTTTAATGTGACAGTGCACATTTTTACAGCACAAACTGACATGTTAACAGCCTGGTTCAAAATAGGGTTTAGGCATTTAGCTCATTTATGTATGTATTATGTGAAATCTGTTCTATTTTATGTCTGTGAAGTTGATAAAATGACAAAGAGGTTCAGATTTGCATTGTTTTTTGTAATTTTTTACTGACATGCAGACTTAGACATTCACAATGTATACATCATGTATGCATACTTCTTGCATCCGTTGTCTGCTCTAAATGCCAAAATAAAATTTTAGTTTGTATCTAAATAATGTGAAGAAAAACCAACAACCATAACAACTCAACTCAACTTTATTTGTAAAGCACTTTAAAACAACCACAGCTGAACAAAGTGCTGTACATAAATGGACAAAAACAAAGCAGACATAATTAAAAAATCTTAAAACAATGGATAAAATAAAAGCAGATATTAAAAAGTAAAATATAGTTTCAATGTTTTTAAAAACTAATTTAAAAACATGGAAACAAATAACTAAAAACAAACCATAAAACACTAAAACAGGAGTCTCATGCAGGGTTAAAAGCCAATGAATAAAAATGGGTTTTAAGATGAGTTTTAAAAATGGACAACAACTTCATTAAATAAAAAAAAAAACTATGTATCAGTAGGGAGCGATCTTTTTCATTAAATTTGCATTGTTAAGGGTATAGCTAAGCTGACTAACAGGTGGGTGCACTGTAGCTGCTTGTTGAGGGGCCAAAAGCCCAACTCAGGTCCACCTCTTTGCTTGTGTCTGGCTTCATATCAAGTTATTATGACCTCTTATGTGACACACACTGTGTCTACACAACTGTTAATGGTTATTAATACAAAAATAATAGTTTAGATGTCTCAACGTGGTTGAAGCCACATCTTGGTTTAAAAGATTACTTAAAATTTTTAGCTCTGCTTGTTTGGTTTACGAACAGCTATCACAAACAAACTGTGTTGCCAAATGTATCATTCACTACTTTCACCGTGTCTCTGCAGGTCCTGGTACTTCGGTTTACACCTCCTCTGTCTTGTTGTGGTCTTGGGCCTGCCTGTAAAATCCAGACGCCGGCAGGCCGAAGAGCAGAAGGACAACCTGCTTAAAGACAGCGCGCAGGACAACCAGACAGAGCACAACAGCACAGACAACAACTGCAACCAGAAAGATAAAGCCACATGAGGCCTCAGGACAGCAGCAGCAGCAGCAGAAACACTGAGACCAACTAGAAACCGCTGAGAGCTGGAGTGTGGCGAGTCTGTTTACCTGACAAAAGAACCAAATATCGGACGCTCTGAAAATCCTTACAGACAGAAAACACAACTCACTGTTCTGTCAGAAACTTCTCGTAGCAAGGACGACAGCAATCTGACTTCTGACACGGATAAGAGACCAGGATGTAAAAAAAAAAAAGAATGGTAGTGGTTACTTTACATTACATTAGTGGGAATGAAGACTTCCAAGCTGCCTTAAACCCTCTATGTACTTGTCTGGTGAGGTAACAGTTGGATGGCACACTGCAAGAATCCTAGTGCAGTCCAACCATTGGGATGTTTGGTTAAAGAAACAGGGGAAGAGCAGTATGTGGAGGGTTTTTGTCATTGTCTGGATACAAGCCTCTGTTAGGTGGAAACAGAAAATGTGTTCATGTAAAAGAAACATAACCTTTATCATCAGCTGCCAATTTCAAACAGGCCTTAGGATTCTCCAAACAATGTTTGATTTCTATGTCTTTTTTAAAAATCCTTATCCAAGAGGAATTCACATTGTACGTGTGTGTTTTGTATGTAGATGTTTGTGACAACACTATTTGAAATCTGGTCTCAAAGATTTTTTTTCTTTCAGGATGAATTTGACTTTGCCTGAAATACAGACTCCAAAAGTGGGATTCAGGTCATGACCATCTCTAGCAGTGGAAAGTCTAAAAGAGGAGCTCAAGTGTTACTAAATAGAGTTGTTTCTTTTTTATATTACTCATATCTGCTGCTTTTTTTTTCACAAACATGACTCATCAGAAAAATGCATTTTTCAAAGGGAGTTTATTTAATCTGTTGTGATTTTGATATTTCCTCCTTAAAATTTTCAGAACTTTGGGATCAGGGGTGTGTTTTTGTTCTTCTTGGTTTTCATATTTTTCACACAGATGTCTTGCCTCTGAAGCAAGAGGTTCAAAACTATAATAGAAGTTAATGATACAAAGGTAGACTTGAGGAAACAGTGGATTGTTAACATGGTTAATGTACAGTTGTAGTGTTATTGAGTTAATTGTCTGAATTCCCACAAATGTCACAGAAATCCAATCGAATAACTACATTCACTAAAAGTTTGAATATTTGTTCAAAGGTTCTGTAGCCATAACGATTACAAATCAGTTGAATGTAAAGTGTTCCGATTAAATGCACAGTGCATTAAAGCACAAATCATATTTATTCAGGCCAAACAGCTTTTAAGAGTGCAATTTGCATTTGTCCATGGGGAAATTTACCATCATTTATGTATGTGACATCATTTTTTTGTGCAAACTTCAAAGACAGACCATATGTTGTGGTAATTTGTTTTTATTTTCATGTGTGTGCACTTAGGTAGAAATTGTTTCAGGGTGAATCTACTGCAGGGTGTAAGAGACACTGGTTCTGTAAGTAATGTTGATCCACAGCTCACCTTAAAGCCTTTCCAACATACAATCTACTCTTTAAAACATGCAAGAGTTCCTATAGCCACCCAGTGATTTCTGTTTCATTAGACATTTTGAAGATTTAGTCTCAAAACACGGGAGTTAGTGTACAAAAAGGCAGTGGAAAAAGGAAGTTACAAAGGACAAAAAAGGTCCACATTGTCAGAAAAGCTGGGAGACACATTTTATGGATCTCTTTAAGAAGGAAATAATCTGGTATTTCTTGGCCGAAATATACAAAAACTCTGAAGTTTTCCTTTTTTTAAATTGTCAGTTAATTTTGTGCATTTATGTTGTGTAAAAGTAACAAAGCTGCAGAGGTAAGCTTTGAAGAATGGACCTCTTTCATGTCTTTTTAAAAAAAAAAAGTTTCTAACATTTGCATATTCCTGCCATAACTGTGCGTGTGTACCAGTGTTCATGTGATCCGTACACGTCGATGTGGTCTCATGTAAACTATATGTGTAGCCTGGGCCCAGTGTAGGCAAGTGTGGCCCACTTAAGGGAAAAGGGGATGTCATTCTACAAAAACAAAGCGATTCTTGCACTGCATGGCCACCCAAACCAGCAGATCAATGCAAACTGCTCCATATGTCCAAAGTGCCAAATCAAGAATGGCGCATTTTTGTTCTTGTGTGGATGAGAGCATGCGTGCCTGCAGGGGGTGTTTGTGTGTGTGCATGTGTCCATGTAGTATGTGTGTGTGCGCCTGTGTAACATAATGGTTATTTTTGTGTCAGAAGGAACTTTATTGAAAGATTTGTATAACAGTACATTAAAATTCTGATTTATGTGGCGAAATAAAGAGAAATTATTTTTAAACACTAAAGTACTGTTTGCATGTCTTTTTGTGGAGTTGTAAAGAATAGTTCAACTGTTCCTTTTTTTTTACTTCTTTTTCCATTGGTGGTTATTATCACCAACACACTGTTTTATAATTTCAGAATCTGACTCATCTTGAGTGAAGTCAGCCCACCACCCCATGGTTCTGCCTTGACTTGGTGAGATTATAATTTAACGTACTTTATCCTGGTAGACAGATTGACACCTCTTTACAGGTATGGCCCAGATAAAAGAAATACATTAAATAATGGCTTATGTCAAGTAACAAAGTCAATCAATCAACCAATCAGTCTATATTTTATATAGCACTTTCCATACACAACCATGAGGTACAAAGTGCTTTACACAGAAAAAGGGGAAAAAAAGAAACAAAGAATACCCAAATCTACCCCAACCCAAGATTAAAAGAATACCCAAATCTAACTCAGCCCAAGATTAAAAGAATACCCAAATCTACCCCAGTCCAACCCCTCATTCCCACCCCACGATCTAAATGCATCAGTATTAAAATGTATAAACTTAAAAAGGGCTTGATTTTGTGGAAACAGAAGTGTGCGCACTGAGGAAATGTCATTTTAAAACTCAAGATAAGGAAACACTGGAGGTTTAGGTCAAAATCTAAAAACAAAGTAGCATAGAATGAAATTCAAGAAATATTGAATAAAATGAAATAAAAACGACAGTAAAAGATACTAAAATAAGAGCACCAAAATAGCTCAATAAAAGACGATCCTGTCATTAAAACTAGAAGAGATAAATGCTAAAACATTTAAACAAAGTTAATGATGTAAAATTTAGTTAAAAGCAAGACTAAAAAGGTATGTTTTCAGTTTGCTCTTAAAATCATTAAGATGAGGTGCAGTCATCAGGTCTTCAGGTAAGCTGTTTCATAGACAGGGGCCATAGTAATAAAAAGATGCCTCACCATATGTCTTGGTTTTAACTTTGGGTAATGTTAACAGAGAACTTCCTGAAGACCTGAGGTCAATGTAGGTCATGACAGCTTACAAATGCATATAAACACAGCGTGGAAAAAACCACCTGCTGTGGAAATCAACCTATGAGCTTTATAAACTCTGACTGCATGGGAGCAAACTATTTTATTCTTGTAGGCCTAATAAAACAAAGTAGGCTGTCAATATTACCTAAGATCTGTAGATATGTTCACAGTCATGTATAAGGAGGAGAAAAAAATGGATAAGGCCAGTAGTTTTATTTAGATAATAAAAAATATTTTAGGATATTTTTTTCAGAAATATCAGTTGTATTTTTATACGTGGGAACATATTAAGTTGTCTAACACGTCTTCACTGCTTATAACACCTGTCATTAGTCAGACGGCGTCCTTATGTAAGAAAAAAAGAAATAAAAAAAGACTGACAGCAGTGGAGGAGGGTCCTGACCCGCTGCTGTGACACATGTGAACCTCTGTACGCAGCAGTTGTAGAAGGCGGAGCCACAGAGCAGGTTAGCGCTGCACGGAAAAAAAAACTTCAGCCACACTTAACTATGACGTGAAAAACGATGTTTCTGACCATTCCCCGGGGATTATAAACACCAAACAGACGTCTGCAGAGTTATTAAAACCCATGTAAGTGGAATTCAGGTTTTGTTCTGTCATGTATTTTTTCTTTGAGGTCTTATAAAAGTGTCAGGACCTGTTGAAGGGCTAGCATACTAGCTACTGTGAGCTAACGTTAGCCATTAGCCGCGAGTGTTTGGCAGTTGTTTCCTAGTGACGGGGCTAAAGACGGAAAGTCAGTCCGGATGCAAAGTACGTGTATAAACTCTCTTATTAGTTAAAAGGAGCACCGAACTGTATTATTGCGTTTCTTTTATTTTATTTAGGGCCAGATAAGTAATACATGTGTGTGTGTCATCATCCAGATGTTTACTTTTTGACAACTCAAGACTCGCAGATAGAGAGGCTAATACATGTTGTTGTTGTTGCAGAAATAGCAAAAGCAGACAAGCAAAATGTATCATATATCCATAGTATGATTATCACCACTGTATTTAAGCATTGTGGCTGTATCAACCAGTTGCGTATTGATTTCAGCATGAAACACAACAGACGGATTTCACAGTCAGTCTCCTCATATCTTTTGTAAACAAGCTTATCTATATCCCACATCTCTAGCCGTCTTTTCAGCTGATTTTGTAGGAGCTGCAAAAAAATCAAAGTTTACTTTTTACAAGGTAAATCCCAGTTAAAAAAAAGCATAAACAAATGTTTGCTGAGAAAATATTAGAACACACGTGAAATCAGATAAGTGGCAAGAGCCCCTGTAGTAATGCCTGTATCACCAGCAGGCCCTGGATTTCAGTGAAGTTATTTGTTTTTGTGACACAACAGTGGATTTTTTTAGTAATAATCAGATTTTATTTTCTTTTCAGGATTTACATCGAACCATACATCATTTTAATTCAAATAAGGTAGAAATGACAAAAAAAGTATAAAACATAAGAGAAACAAAAGAAAGCAAAACAAAAAAAAGGGGAAACAAAGAAAAACCACAGCAGCAACAACACAACAGTGTGTCATCAGTTAAAGAAATATGTGTCCTTGTATTTATACAAAAAACATTTTTTATTATTAGCTCAGTCTGGGACCCCCTAAACTACCATTTCCCCTCTGTATAGTTTCACGTAGACCTTTAGGCAAGTAATCCATAAGGGGCTGCCATGTGCCCATATAGATATCATCATTCCCCTTTAAACAGTGGACATTTTTATCTTGTGTGTACATCATGCCATCAGGTAATGGCTCCAGTCCTTATGCTGTTTTTGGCTTTTTAATGATCAATTTTTGTGTCTTTTGTTCATATTATCAGGGTACAAAGTATAGAATCTTACATAAGGTTGATGCTTCAAATCTGCTTATTTTTCTCTAGAAATCTAGACATATTTTGCAATTCCCAGGTTCTCCTTTTAAGTTACCGTAGTATGTGTCAACCCTTATTATGGAGCAGACTGGTATGTTTCCGGGAACTGACTCCTCAGCGGTTTCATACCCACATGACAGGCCGTGAGAAGCTGACTGGTTAAATTTAGAGATCCTATCAAGTGTTGCCTCCTTCTGAGTTCAAGTCAGTGTGTGTTCAGACACTTGCACAGCTGACAGGGAGTTTATTTGAATTTTCATGATGATATCAAATTTGTGTTTTGCATAAACACTAGACCAGCTCTGACATGAATGCAGATCAGGGTGTGTAATAATGAGTCAGGTAAGATATAATTTAGGATTTTGGTTTCCCTTGCATGTGTGTTTTGGTGCTTCACACAGTAATATGATGAATGCACCTGTTTTCCCACCCTATCCAGTCTCCTACTGACTTGTTCCTCCTTTTTTAACTTGTCTTTTTTGTCTTGACATTATTATTGTTTTATAAAAGCACTGAAGACTCTTCATGTGGCTTAAATTGTCACTCAATCCATTAGTCAGTGATTAAAAATTGATTCCAATGGCATCTGTTTAATAATTTAATATTTTGGGGCTGTCATATGCCTCAAAATCTAGTAAACTTAAAAGCTTTAGTCTAGGTTTTATTATGTTTACACAGTGTCAAAGTAATAATAAAGAAATTAGTAACAACAATATTCCTAAATATTAACATTTAATCTCTAATCTAGACTACATTTTTACTTATATGATCTTCTATGTGCTACACCACTTCAGCATTAGTTTTTATTTGTGTCTTTATTGGCGTGAAATTGAGTAATTCAAACACACTAAGAAGATTTACAACCTTATAGTGACAGCCCCCACTGATATCGCTCAAATGGTTTCTTTTATTGCATTATTCAAAGAGCTAGATTAGACAAATTAGGCCAACATCTTTATTGTCTCTCCCCTTTTATCTGTAGTTGGTGCCGAGCCAGTGCATGTAATGACTGAAAATGTGGTCGCGTGTGTGTCCATTGTGTTGGGAAGAGATGGGCGTAGGCCAGCCCCCTCATCTAATATTCAGCCTTGAGTAAAGGGGGGATGCTGAGCGTGATCCCAGCAGTGCTTGTTGATACTGTGTGCGAGTGAGAGGGAGATCAAGATAAGTGTTAAATATCTGAACAAAAAGAAGCTTCACCTTACACCAAGGTAAGGGGTTCTCCTTTCTGCTGATTGGTGTTTACTTTTCTCTACCTTTTCCTCTTTTAGCATCTTTTTTATCGTGTATTTTGCTGGTTGTATTGTTGGTTTTGTGTCAGCTGGTTTTTACAGCGGCTTTTTTTTTCTCTCAAGGATGTGTTTGAGATCCCATCTGATCATTGTCCAAAGAGAGAGGGAGCTAAATGTGTACTGATTGGCTCTTGTGTTGTGTTATCGTCCACCCATTGTGCTGAGAGACAGGGAGCTGTGGAGGGTGTGTCAACAGGCTCTTACAGCCTGCCTCCGTTAACAAAGGATTTATCTCATTAATGTGTGACACTGGCTGATCAGGAAGAACACTTGACAGGTGATTCCTGACTAGACAACAATGCCCCACTTGTAGAAAAAATGAGAGAATGAACAACATTGATAAATCTCTCTGAATTTGACTGTCTTGGGCCTCTTTCCAGGTCAGCGTCCATGTGACATTTAAGCTTTTATTGACACGAACCTGAGCTGCTTTCTTTACAGATTATGTTGAAATCATGAACAAAGTGTTCACTAACCTCTACGCGAAACTCATTGCCAAGGCAACTTACAAGCAGTGAATGTAAGCAGATTAATGTTGAGCTACTGTGGCAGGAAGTGAGTCTGGCCGTGATGGAAGAGCCCAACTTTGATGAATCATTAATGAGTTTTTCATTGATTGGCTGAGCCCTGCGTACAACAAAACACCCATTTTTGTGGGGCTTTCTTTTGTCATGCAGTGTTAAGGATGATAAGACATTTAACTGTGTATTATTTTTTTATTATTTGTGAATACTGCTTCGTTTAAAAAAAAAAAAAAGCTGTGTAACAGGAATGGTCTGCTCTTAGTCAAGGTTTAAAATAACTCTTTATAATGGTGGAGCCTCATTATAGAAAATCTCGCCAAAGTGGGCTGTCTCCATTGATCTGTCTGATGCAATCTGTCTGAACTGCGTTCCACTGCTCATTTCCCATCAATGCAAAACAATTCTAGTGAAATGGCCTGCTACTGTGCTCCTATTTTATTTTCAGACCCTTTAATAAACAGTGCTTTTCATGTTTAACGTACGCAAGCTTCACCGAGTCCAGTTTAAAGCAGTGTGGGTGGGTAGAAGTGAGGTAGGTCTTGCTATAATTGAAGCACACAGCGAAGCGCACCAATTATCCAAGTCGTCTCTCTTTTCAAAGGAGCAAAGTTGAACAACCATTGTTTGTCTTCAGTGATATGTAATGACTTGTTGAACTTTGTGAGCCCAGCATTGTAACTCCCATGCCTTCATTATACTGAGCAGACAAATTTCACTTCATGTTTTCTGCATGACTACACAGAATACAGTCAGCTGAACTGACCCGAGCAGCCCTGTTCGCTCTTGTTTTGTAATGAGTGTCTAATAGGCACGCGCCGCTCATTGTCCTATTTTGATCAAACTTTTACAACTTGAAAAGGAAAAATACTCTTTCCTGAGGGATGAGGATCTTATTGTGGCAGTGAAGGCAGATAAGTTATTTCACTTTGGTGGGAAATAAACACAAACACTTCTATGCAAACAAATCAAGCATGTATGCAAATATGCAAATAAATAAACACACCCTATGCAGCTCTTAAAAGTCCTGCAAATGCTTTTAACATCTGTTTGCAGAAGATGTGTAATGAAAATCATGCAGCCTCTGTTTTATTGTTTTCAAGGATGGGTTTCTGTGCGTGAGTAAGGTTCGAGCAGCACTCTTTTATTTACAGCATCACTTCAAAGAAACACCACACCCTCTTCCCCAGCTTCAACTGAGTGCTTGCTTCCGTCTCAGTAATGTTTCACATTTAACTGCAAAGAGCAGGTAGCTGCGATCGGTGTCTCTAACTTTTTGTATTTTTGATCTAATCTCCTCTCTGCCTGTTCCACAGTGGTGTAAAGGGCGCTAGCATTCAGCCATGGATACCACCACCTCTCTGAAGATGACCTCTCTGGCTGTACAGAGTCTGTTCAGCTATGTAGAGGAGGAGAACCTGGCTGCTATCAAAGCTCATTTGGACAAGTTCAGAGATGTGGACAGCAGGAGTGATGTAAGTCAGAGTCTTGATTAAATATCTGTCAAGAAACTCACATGGAAAAGTACAAGCTGAAACATTTATTTAAAGGTTTAAAGGGCTGGATGAAAAGAAAGGACTACCTCCTGCTAATCTGTTCTGCAGTTGATGTGTTGTCAAGTCTTTTACTTGCACATAAATTGAACACATTGAACCACCTTTATCAAAGTTAAGGGGTCAGGGGTAAACTGGAAGTGTCAATTGTGAAGTAAAATCTTAAAATAGAGTTGTTTGATCGTTTTAATTTCCCTCCATGTTTCTGTGTGTTTGTTGAAAACACCCCGCTATTATACTCAGGGATCTATTCCCTCATTTCCATGTAATGTCATGTAAACTCTAGTTTATTCTGATGACACATAAACAGTGCTGTTCAAAATACTGTGTAGTGAATTAAGATGGAGAGTATTTGCCAGAAAGTGTATCTTTCACACCAGAACAAAAACAGTTTTCTGTAGAAATAGAGGGATTTTTCAAAAAATTGAATCATTTAACTTTTTCAGATGACAATCCCCGTTCAAGGTAAGTTGGGTCACAGTTGTTGAATTCAGAGTTTTATGTGAATAAAAACTGATTTTAATGGTTTGCAAATCATGAAAAGTCTAACTAAGAACAGAATAGAGTAACTTATGTTGAAAGTAAAAATAGTTCTTGTTTTATGAAAAAATAATGTTCATTTTACATAAGAGCCAGCTATGCATTTCAAAAGAGTGGGGACAGAAATCTGCTCTGTAGTGGAATCATTGCATGGGCTCAATATCACTTCAGAATATCACAGTCTGCAAACACAGTCTAAAAGAGGTGTAAACTATTGGTATTGTTAATCAAGATTTGTCATTTATGTTTTAAATCATGGTTGCTGCATCTTCTTTAAAAGGAGAGACCACCTGGCTTGTTAGCAGCACACAGATCAAAAGCCAGCATCTGTCATGTTGCAGGAATGCGTAGGCAACCCAAGGCAAGGATAGCTGACACATTATATGAACTTTATATGCTGCCATCCAGAAGATACCTTATCTTAGAAGACTGCTAAACAAGCCTGTCAGCTGTCCCAACTTGTCACCAATTGTGGCATATCGCGCACTGAAAAGTACTACAGCAGATACTTCAAAAACTGTTGAGCAGCAAAGATTTTACTTGCTTTTCAAAACTCCAGGAACTAGTCTCCACAACAAAATCTTTGTCCTAACACCAAAGCTCCGAATCAGTGGAGATCAATTGTTAAATTAAAGTGCAATATAAGGTGCAGAAACTTGAAAAAGTTTTATCGATGCCTCAAATTTGAAACTTGAAGAACTGACATCAATTTGTACTTTGTAATCTCTGTATGTTCAGTCATATTTGTCTGTCTTTTAGGTTTAGTAGTCTATACCTTTTTCATTGTAATCTGTGTAACCATTTTTATTAGTACGGGACTATTAATAAACTACAGCCTCATGTGTTGCATGAAAGGACAGATTGTCAAGTTATCCTTCGATAAATAATTAGAGTTTGATCATCATGTTATCCCTGCCTGCCCTTTTTCTCTCTTTTAATTCTCTGACTGGTTAAACAATAAACAATACAGTTAATTGGCTTGATGCTGTATTCAAATTTGTATCAAAGTCTCAGTCACTATTTCCCTTTTTCTCTGTTTCAGAACGGACAGACACCCCTAATGGTGGCGTCAGAGCAGGGCAGCCTGGAGATAGTACAAGAGCTCATTAGGAGAGGAGCCAATGTTAACTTGGATGATGTTGTAAGCTTGCACACGCACACACTCACACATAAAACCTCTCATAGAGCCCAACACAAATACACTCGCACACACAGATAGGCGTGGTGCTACAGAGCGCTGTGCAGGTGAAAAACAGTGCGGTTGTTTAAATACATCACCCACCTTACATCGAAGGCGGAGCTGAAATACTGGCCTTGATGTTCAGCCTTGCTGAACTCACCTCACTCAGGCTTAGTCCACAGCTATTATGAGCAATCATGAAGTATAATGACAACCTATTACACACTTTTACCTTTATTCCTTCAACTAAATGACAGGATCCAGTCGTCGGCCAACACCCATGGGTCTCTAGAAGCTGGCCCCTCCACACGCTTGCACTCAAGCGTTCATTTACCCTTCCACTTAGGCGCACGCACGCATGCCCGCACACTACACCTCTCATTAACATCTCACGTACGTGCAACCTGTAATTACACTCAAACTTTTGCTCACTCTCGCACCAAAGCATCAGAAGCAAAGAGAAGCATTACACACTGCGGTCAACCTCGTCTGTCACATTTCACCCTCTTGACACTCCTATCTGCCCATGCGACACCCTATTCCCATGAGCACCTGGTATGACCAGCTGGTAGGTAAAGTGCTTTGACCAAACCAGGGGCGTCCCACGTCTAGCTCGGACTTACTTTTTTGACCTGTGTTTGGAGTATTATGGGAGTCCTGAAGATAATAAGTTGTCTGTATGCACAGGACTGCTGGACGGCGTTGATTTCGGCAGCCAAGGAGGGTCACATCGAGGTGGTGAGGGAACTGCTGGAGAACAATGCTAACCTGGAACATAGAGACATGGTGAGAGCATTGAAAGTTAACCGTAATACACATGAACAATCTGTGTGTAGTATGCTGTGATTAAAAACAGTTACTGCACAGTTAGTATGAAATTATGTTCTCTTGATGATAAGTTAGTGTTATTGAGGAAAGATTGTGGCATAAGACCGTCTGGGAGGAATAGTAGATGAGATGTGTGCAAGGACATCAGCTCATACTGACTTTTATTCCCAGGGTTTTTTTAGCATGTCATCATCATAATGCTATTTTATGATTTGACAAAAGACATAAAATTGCAAAGGAAAACATCTAAAGAAACAGGTGTTGGATAGGACATAACCTCTGTTTAGTCATATGTCCTTAGTGCAGGAACGTTTTGTCAATTTTTTAATAGAGTGATAAGATGTGATCGCTCATCAACAGTCTAAAATTCAGACACAGTGACAGACATAAAAAAGGTAATATATACACTGAAAGTTTTCATAGAGGATTGTGCCATCCTCACAGGTTTCCCACTGATACCAACCCTCTTCCTCAACATCATACTGCCTATTATACAGCTACTTACTTAAGAAATTTGCATTTTTGTACCAAGTGTTGAAGTGTGATAATTTTCTTGATTTAAAATGATTCTGTCAATGAAAATCATCGGTTACACTCACAGTTTAGGTTACAGCAACAGTTTGCTCTGTACTCTTCCTTAAGTAAGCTACGAAGCTGTAATTACTTACATCAAAATGACCATTTTCAGAGACGGCGAAGTAAAACAAGATGAACAGGACACAGGAATCAGCCTGGTTTCTGATTGAGATTGTTCTGTTCTGTTGTGACCTCCATTTTTGTCTCTGCTCTCCGTCTTTGTCTGCACTGTTCCCGTCTCTGCTCTCTAAACCAATGTCAAATTAAGTGGATGTCTTTCAGTGGGTTGATATGATTACAGTCAGTCCTCTGGAGCCAGTGATTAGTGGCTATGCAGCGGCATACTGTCAAGAAATTATAAACTGTTGCTATGAAGTTCTGACCTATCAGAATCCATTGTCTAGCAAAGCTGCACAGTGAATATACATAATACATAACGTTAATCTTCTTAAACCATTCTGACTGTTAATCTAATCCTAAAAAGGTCGATGCCATGTTTCAAAAATATAACAAAGTTAAAATGTCTCTATCATGCATGCATTCCTGGTCTTTAGAAATGTAATATCTCTGTTGCTGGTTTAAGAGGATGATCAGCTCACCCTGAAATGGATATAAAATGAAATCAGTTTTATGTGTGATGGCTTTTCTCTACTAGTAATCCATTTATTCAGCTCTGGTTGTCTTTTGTATGCGGCGGTTATATGATTCATTCTGGGTATCCGGACTTGTGGGAGGCAGACTGTCTGCAGGCTTGTTGTCGCAGCTTTACTGCATATTCATGACCAGACCATTGACAACATGCAGATGAGTTTGAAATTTTTATTACCCCCACTGAAAGCGATTAGTATTTCAAGACTTTCGAGCAGGCAGAAATGCTCAAAATGTAATCAAATCAACAATGACCATTAGTAAATGATGTACATGATGCTTTTTCATCCCTTCGCTTGCCCTCAAAGATTAGACTTTTTTTTTTTTATCCCCCCCGTTCTATTTTTTGTGTAATATTTGACATTTAGAGTTCATTTCAAATCCTCAAAGCCTCTGCTACTTTATGGAAAATACTCTGGACATCAGCTGACTCAGTGGCGTGCCGGTGTGTCTAAGCTGCACAGGACAGATCACAGCCAGTCATCACAGTGGGATTATAATAAACCACTCTGTGTGATACTGTCCACTCACTAGATGGTGTGTCACCCCAGCTGGAAATAGCTCATTTTCCTGCAACAGAGTCTGCTTGGATTTCACCTATTCTGTGAAGCTTAAAATTAATGCTTTGGTTGACCTTAAAGCTTATTCTGATGAAATAATGCACGCTAATTGTAGACACAGAACAGAACGTGTACTATGTCCTACATATAGACCTCTTTTTGTTTCCATGAGCAAATCTTTCCCTTTTTTCATTAACCTCTGCTTTGTTTTTTCTTTGTGTTAATCTTCAGGGTGGTTGGACTGCCCTCATGTGGGCAGCATATAAAGGTCGTACAGATGTGGCGAAGCTGTTACTGGAAAAAGAAGCAAATCCCAACATCACTGGTCAGGTAGCGAAAGTGGACAGATTTTATTTCTTCTTGGTTCCCCCGTAATTAGACCATTATGATACGAATATATCACTGTTTAAATGCTTGTGGTAAAGACATTGCACAATTCTTAAAAATAAAAATATTTTGTGAAAAGCAGCTTAGAGAGCCATTTTGCAAATACAGGCATTTTTTAAGACATGAAGAAAAGCGTATACACAGAAACTGTGAGCTATAGCTTGTATGCACTATTTAATATTCATGTTTTAAATGCACATCATATCATTACTGCAGTATTGCACATTATATTTACCCATGAAACATTATTGAGCAGACATGATGTTTTTTTTTTTTTTTTTAACATTTCTGTGGATCAACACAAACATTTATTATCTCGCTCCTTACTTACGCTGGGCTGTGCCTCCATGATAATCATTTTCTGTGTCAGTCATGTGACCAGGCTGATAGCGTTAGTACGACCACAGGCCCTAAACTCATCATTAGTTACTGTCAGCATGACTTCACCCCTCTCCTCTGCTCCAACAGTACAGCGTCTACCCCATTATCTGGGCGGCAGGTCGAGGCCACGCTGAGATTGTCCATCTCCTGCTGCAGCATGGAGCCAAGGTCAACTGCTCAGACAAGGTAACTACAGACTGACAGATGTTCATCATTTACTCACTTTTTAATCTAACTGAATATGTAGTAAGTGGTGTAAGCTCAAGAAGTCCCTGGATGTTTCACACGATCATATCTCCTAATTTTCCACACAGTATGGTACCACTCCTTTAATCTGGGCTGCCAGGAAGGGCCACTATGACAGTGTGATGCACCTTCTGGCTAATGGAGCTGATGTGGACCAAGAGGGAGCGGTGAGAAGATTGTAGATTTCCATTGAATGGTTGTATATGAATTTAGCGGAGATCCAGTACTGCTGTGCTTTATTTGAATTTGACTGGTCCATTTTATACAATTAGTTTTCTCATGGTCCTTTGTTAATTAAATGATTTGTATCCACTATTAAGATACATTTTGTGAATGTGTTTTATATTAGTAGAGTGGACAAAAGAAACATCAATCTGTTCATCATTTAAAAATAGAAAATGAAATGTACTAATGTTGGCTGTGAAATTTGATCAGCATGAAAAAATAAAGATCATAGTTACTTTTATTAAGAAGGATTTTGGATATCTGGGGAGAGTTTGAACAGTGTGCTAATTTTTATTACACATATTACAATTTCTTCTATTTGTCTTTAGACTTAAATAAGTTGACATGGCTCAATACTTGCAGGTGTTAATATTTGACTTGGTATTCCAAACAGGTAGTACCAGCACATCTGCTTACTCTCTTTTTAGGGTTCATCGTGCTATGACATGCATGATGTTCTCGCTCGGGCTGTTTTCACTAAATGAAGATTTAATGCCACCATACAGAAAAGCCATTAGTAAACTGCAATATTAGATAATTGATTGCGCCAGTGATGTGGTGCATCTGTGTTGCTTTGAGTCATGTTGCATCTGTGCTAGTACAAGCTGAATGATGAGAGAGTTTGAAATATGGCATCAATAATCCGACGGAAATAAATGATCAAATGTTGCAGAGCAGATTGAGACAGTCCACTGACTGGAAAAATACATGTTGTTTTGCTTATTTAATAATAAATGACTCGTCAGTGGGTCTGTCCCCACTAGCTGCGGAAAAGAGTAGATCAGATGTGAAAAACATGTAGTACTTGATAAACATTTCCCTAACATAACACTGGAAAAAATACAGAAAAAAATCTATAGTCTTAAAGCACAACTATGAGAAAGACTCAGTTTAGATCATTTGTTTCTATGTCTTCTCAGAACTCAATGACGGCCCTGATTGTGGCAGTAAAAGGTGGCTATAATGAGGTTGTGAAGGAGCTACTGAAAAGAAACCCAAATGTCAACATGACGGACAAGGATGGCAACACAGCTCTCGCCATTGCTGCCAAAGAGGGACACACAGAGATTGTGCAGGACCTGCTGGATGCCGGCACCTACGTCAATATCCCAGACAGGGTGAGGACATTTTATATTACATCAGTACTACAAGTTTGAATACATAGTGGAGAGGCTGATATGGAACGAAAATTAAATTTACATCTCTGTCTGTTTTTTTCCACCATCTCTTTCAGAGCGGGGAAACAATGTTGATAGGAGCAGTGCGAGGAGGTCATGTGGAGATAGTCCGAGCGCTGTTGAACAAATACGCTGATATTGACGTCAGGGGGCAGGTAGAAACGCTCTCCTCTGCTATCTTTGCTCCCTAATTTATTTGCAAAGGCAGGCAGGAGGCCTTCTTGTGTTCCCTATGTGAAATATCACACTGCTACTCAATACTGTTACTGTCGCTCTGTTGTTTCTCGCTAAAGTAAACTTGAATCCACAGGTTAGGGAAACACAAGCATGCTCAAGTGTTATTTCTATATCAACAAGCATTCCTGGAATACTTTTACATAATAATAACCTTGAAACATTTATCATTCAAACAGTCTGAAAGTCTTTTGTGAATCTGCCAATGTCTATTTTTCCAGGATTAACAAACATTTGTCTTTTCCTCCTTACATCAGGATGGAAAGACTGCCCTCTACTGGGCAGTGGAGAAAGGGAACGCCACAATGGTGAGAGACATCCTGCAGTGTAACCCCGACACTGAGAGCTGCACTAAGGTAAGTCACACTCAGTAGTAAGAGTGAAAATGCACTTTCTCTTACTTATGCAAACCTTGTACTATTTCTTTCTACTCCTTATATCGTACACATGACTTTTGACATTTAAAGGATTATAATATTTCAACCCAATTGTATCAAAAAGAAAAATTTCATCAAAATTCTGTTGTTCCCCCTAAAACACGCAGTTATAAAACGTAGTTGACTGCTTTTCAAAGGCTCTGTCCTTAGCCAGCTTACTGAAATACTGCTTTGTGAAGGCAGTGGTGATGTTTTACTTTGTTGGGTTGATTATTCTAAATTAAAAGGCCCAGTGTGTATCTTGTTTTCTCCTAATTAAGCTGTAGCCCAACGTCTAACACGTTGTATCTTTGTGTTTTAGGAAGGAGAGACTCCACTTATCAAAGCCACCAAAATGAGGAACATTGAGATAGTGGAACTGCTGCTGGATAAGGGAGCCAAAGTGTCTGCAATGGACAAGGTGCTTTTAAAAAACAGACATGAAGATAATATAACAAATGAAAGCAAATTTCCTTTTAGTGTTCTGTGAGGTTCTTTCATAGTTATTTTGAGAATTATATCAGTAAATGTGATTTGCCAATTCCGTGTATTCTGCCGGCCAGAAAGGAGACACGCCCCTCCACATCGCCATCCGAGGGCGAAGCCGAAAGTTAGCTGAGCTACTGCTGAGGAACCCCAAAGATGGCCGCTTGCTTTACCGTCCCAACAAAGCTGGAGAAACACCCTACAACATTGACTGTACCCACCAGAAAAGCATCCTTACACAGATATTTGGAGCCAGTATGACATGATTTCTCTCAGACTTTTAATTCGTGACACAAAAAATTATAGTCTTGGTTTGTCAGAAACTTTGTCAGTTTTTTTGCACTCTTCCTAATTTTCTCTCTCTTTTTGTTCCTCTCTCAGAGCACCTCTCTCCATCTGAGTCAGATGGAGACATGTTGGGTTATGATCTGTATAGCAGTGCTCTTGCAGACATCCTCAGTGAGCCTACCATGCAGCCCCCCATCTGCGTTGGACTGTATGCTCAATGGGGCAGCGGCAAGTCTTTCCTCCTTAAGAAACTTGAGGGTAAGGAAATCTACAATATCAAAAAATTTAAAAAATGAAAAGTAAAGAATTGCAATGCATACTTTTTCTTTTTTCTTTTTTTTTTGTCTCTGTCAGATGAGATGAAGACCTTTGCAGGCCAGCAGATAGAGCCATTGTTCCAGTTTTCCTGGCTGGTTGTATTTCTCACCCTGCTTCTCTGTGGCTCAGTGGCTCTTGTTCTGGGCTTCACTGTTGACCCCAGGCTTGCGATTGCTGTCTCCCTAAGCCTCCTCGCCCTGCTCTACATCTTTTTTGGTAAGGAAAAAGAAAAACGTCAAGTTCCATTTCATTTATGGAGAATTTCTTACTCATGAATCAATACAAAGTTGTAAGCAGTCATACAGAAATTTAAAAAATGTACAGATCAAAGACAAAATAGATTTAGAGTAAATTTCTTACTTTTCTTTTTCAATTATACCTTTGTGAAAAATAAGACAAAAAAGAGATGACTTGAGTTTCTTGCTGACATTTTTCACTCTCTTGGTTGACTCCAGTGTTAGTGTACTTTGGGAGTCGTCGTGAGAGAGAGAGTTGGAACTGGGCTTGGGTCATCAGCACCCGTCTGGCTCGCCAGGTCGGTTACCTTGAGCTGCTGCTTAAGCTGATGTTTGTCAACCCGCCTGAACTTCCCGAACAGACAACCCGTGCCCTGCCTGTCAGGTGAGCTAAACTGGCTTACACTCAAACCCAACTGAGTTATGTCAGTCATCATCATCTGAGACAAAAACAGAAACAGCATTCACCGAATCATCAGTAGCAGCATAATCATCATCTTAATTAATCCTTGGTATTGGCATCATCCATGTCATAGCTTTCAACATCACCTATACAGAGTTACTCACAGAGAGATGGGTCTGAAACCAAAACCTCATATGAGTCTCATCTGCAGTTTCCTGTCCAACTAAGCAACCAAAGTATCATTTGTCTTTCTGACGTGTCACACAGGTTCTTGTTCACGGATTACAACCGCCTGTCCAGTGTTGGAGGGGAGACCTCAATGGCTGAGATGATAGCCACGCTCTCAGACGCCTGTGAGAGGGAGTTTGGCTTTATGGCCACCAGGCTGTTCAGGGTTTTTAAGAATGATGAAATCCAAGGTATGCTGGAGGTTAACATCTTATTTTTTTATGTGATGACGTTTACTGGGCTCTCAAAGAAATAATAAAACTTTTTTTTTTTTTGATTAAATGGAATCTTACATTTTTAGTTGCTGTAAGTGGCTGAAAAAATAAAATAATACTCATGCTCATATTTCAGGTAAGAAGTGGAAGAAAACATGTTGCGTTCCCTCCTTTGTGCTGTTCGCCTTCACTCTGGGATGCCTGATCACTCTTATGGCCCTGTTGGCCATCTTTAAAGTGAGTTGTAGCCACAAGTCAGTGTGCCCTGCTTAACCTCCTCAAATATGTGTTTTAACCACTACATCGACCTGACACCCCAGTGATCAGTTTCGCTGTTCTTGACCCCAGGTTGACCCTGCAAACTTGACAGTAAATGCAGTCCTGATAGCCATGGCCAGTGTGGTGGGACTCGCTTTACTGCTCAATTGTAGGACGTGGTGGCAGGTGGCTGACTCCGTCCTCAACTCCCAAAGAAAACGTCTCCACAGTGCGGCCAATAATCTGCATAAACTTAAGAGTGAAGGATTTATGAAGGTAATAAAGTCACTCCTTGACAGTCATATCTCCTCTAAGGTAAATCCTTTGACAGCTTGTTGTCATGGATTAAAGGGGTTTCTCGTTCGGAATTATGACTGAATCCATTTAGATGTCTTTCTTTCAGTAACATTGTAGTTTCAGCTAAGTCGAGTGATTGTTTTTTTTCTCCTGTTTTACTCCAGGTTCTGAAGACTGAAGTGGAGCTGATGTCAAAGATGGCCAAAACCATCGATGGCTTCACTCAGAACCAGACACGCATGGCCGTCATCATTGACGGTCTGGATTCCTGTGAGCAGGACAAAGTGCTGCAGATGCTCGACACAGTGAGTCTTTGCACATGTTTCTGAGCGTGGGTGAAAACATGATGAATACAGCTTGACTGATAACAAGATCAGATGCAGGAAAGACTTTTTCCAACATCCGTCACTCAAGCAAATTTATAACCGTGAGACTGACTGTTCTAGAGCAGCTGATGTTTAGCCTTCACTTTCAGTGGGACTTTCACCTGCCCACACAGCTCCATTAGTGCGCAGCCACCCTGGTGCTCCCAGCTGCTTCTGCTCCCCTCCAAGTTTAGTCTTCCTCCCAGCTGCTGTAATCGAATTTCCTTTCACCAAATGTTATTATTTGGTGAAGTAATCCCAGGGAAGATGGCAACCTCCTGTGTGTTGATTTAATTTCCGTTTCTTGGGCACCACCCAGTCTCTCCAATACCATCTTCTGTCCGAATAGATTCAGAATCAGCACCTTGGAATCCACTCTTTATAGGTTACACAAATGACCAAATTTTCCCCTCAGTTAAGTTACCATTTTTGATAATAGATTAGATTAGATGGATCCTTTTGGGAAGGGTCCCTCAGGGAAATTCGAAAAGCAAATTAAAACTGCAGCCATCATGTGATGGCAGCTGTTGTAGGTACTGAAGTTCATCATTCTGTGGAGTGAACCTGAGAGTGCTGGCCAAGGGGTTAACAAACCATACATGCATGTTGCACAAATCAGTGTCCTGTGACACTTGGACAGTGTCCCTCGGTTAGAGGAGTGGAAATCCCCAACACCATGTGCCGCAGACAGCCTGCTCTCACAGGGCTCATTAAGTACTACAGTGTGTTGTCTTTAGCTGCTGTCTTGCTTATGAATAACAATTCTCTGTAAATCACCCATTTTGACGTCACACTCTGCAGACAGATCAGCTCTTAAAAATATTTAGTCAAAATACCATAGCATATTTTATTGACCGAACTTTTGCTCATGTCTATTCCAGGTGAGGGTGCTCTTCTCCAAAGGCCCTTTCATTTCCATCTTTGCCAGTGACCCCCATATTATCATCAAAGCTATCAACCAAAACCTCAATAGTGTGCTGAGGGACTCGAACATCAATGGCCACGACTACATGAGGAACATTGTTCACCTGCCTGTGTTCCTCAACAGCAGAGGCCTCAGTTTGGCTAAAAAGCTCTGTACTGTAACCCCCTCCAACGGAGAGACACAGCCTGCTGAGGGTAAGGACAACATCTTGTCTTATATACGCACAGTTTTGTACCATCTTGAGATCTCCTCTGATTGATATGTGCGTGGTCTGATGCAGTGGTCAACTATATTCTTTCTGTCTCCTCTTCTTTTTCTCCAGGGTGGCATGAAGACATGGACAGAAAGATGTCTCAGACCAGCCTCGGTCAAGACCAGGCCAAGTTTGGCAGCAAGAACGCCCTCAACCGCAGGGTAACTGCTACTTAGTCGCCAATGTTACTTTTGACAGTGATTTGTGGAGGTTTGTTTCTACATCTGTGGTTCCTGGCCCAACCTAAGGTCTCTGATTTGGGAAATTTAGCAAGAACAATGGCATGTAAGCAAATCAGATAGTTGGAGTTGCAACATCAGTTGATCTGAGGAGAATGGAAGTATTAATAGACAGACAATAATAACAATACAAAACCATAATAAGGGTTTGAGTATTTCTAAATTACATACTGTGAGAGCAATACATTAAATGCTGTAGATTTTACTTGTCAATGTAGATCGACAGTTCACTCCACACCCTGACTAAAAACAATCAAATCAAAAACAACCTCAACAAATTGCAGAGGAGCTTTCCATACATCAATAAAACAGAGATAGATGTTTGTTTATACATTGTTTACTTAATGAGGTCTAATTAATTAGTTTTCCCTGGAAGTATTGGAAATGACGGCTTGATGTCTCAAAATTAATAAAACTGAATTAAAATGTTAGTTGACCACGGCTTGAACGGAAAGCATTGGATAAGAGTTTGAGACGCTGCTTTAGTAACCTCCCTGTTTTTGGCCTTCTCCCTAAACGGGGGGTGGGTCCAGTTCAGGCGTGGCGTTGGCAGGCAGTGTGGAGGCCAGAGGACAGAAGGAGACACACCGAGACGAAAAAGAGAGAGGTGCTGGGTGTGCGGCCAAGGTTCCTGGTGTAATTGATGTAATGACTGTTTATCCTTCCTGCTGCGTTGCCACAGCCTAATGACAAGGCCTAGCAGCAGTGGGTCCCTGTGACAAAACACTGGCACCAGGTCTGCTGGCAGGAGGCTAAGTGACTCTGCTGCTGTCGCTGATGCCTCCTTCTACCCCTTGCGAGACCCCCAACCCCTCCTTCTTTTCCCCTCCCATGCTTGTTTGTTTGTTTGTTTGACATTTGTTTGTACCTCGGGTTTATCTAGTACCCTCAATTATTAGAGTTGGCCCCTTTATTATGGGGAGGCATGCTCCTTTTATTTGTCCTCTGCCACAAGCTCGTTCTTGGCAGGAGAGCCCTCTCTCTACAAGTGGAGATTAAAATGAGGGCAAGGGGGGGAAGTGAATTAGTGGCTCTCCATTTTCATGTGGCTTCTCAAGTTGTGGATGACATAAGGAGTATCTCTGCCATCTTCTCCCTGTTTATTGGATTGAAATGAATTCCCTGCATATAAAAAAACCTTTAAACAAGAAGAAAAAAAACACAATGGAGGTGTGGATATAAAAATAAAACATAACTTAAATGAAGCAGTACTACTGTTGAGTGCAGTAAAAGCTGAGAAATCCTTTAAGGCCAGGGACACTGTGCTGTCCGTGTGACAGACCTTTTCAGCTCTGACTGAGTGGTGGCCATATGTTTCATCTCTCAGAGAAAGAGGTCATGAGACCAGCGTTACGACTTCAAAGTCGACCAAAAGCCTTGCCTTGGCTCATGACCGAGGCAGCTGTCTGATATCATCACAGATGTTCCCCGGTAGATCTGTGTCAATAGCTCGCCTGTGTGTCATGAGTGCTCAGCCTTGGACAGTGGCTCTTTGATTTTATTTGCAGTTACGGGGGGGGTTTCTCCATGAAAGTGAAATAGGAATGGAAAATCAGCAGAAGCCGGTCACTTAAGGGACAAAAAGGAAAAAAAAGGTTTTGTGCACATTCCATTCACAGGGTTAAATTCCATCATTTGCCAGCTGATCTAGTTATACGTTTCAAGGAATATGAGCCCTATTCAACAAATTACTAATACCCCTCAGTCCTCTTTAGCTAAGGGTTTGACAACGACTAGTCTAGAGAACCCACAGAGACCATATAATGCCTGTTTGCTTGTCTCATGATGTACAGCTTGGGGCACCAATATTGTAGAAAAAAACCTTCAATCAATACCTCTGTATGGGTCATGAGTTTCGCATGCTTTCGTTCCACCTCTGGTTGAAATTTGTCATGAGAAATATAAATTGTTTTTAGACTTCAGCGCACAACTGTGACACAAAGCAACCAAATATGTACAATTTTCCAATTTGTGTCTTAAGGATACATACCGACGTCGACACATGCAAAGGACCATCACCAGACAGATGTCCTTTGACCTGACCAAGCTGTTGGTGATGGAGGACTGGTTCAGTGACATCAGCCCACAGACCATGAGGAGGCTGCTCAATATTGTATCAATCACAGGTAAAGAAACCCTGATCTCATCATACCAACAAGTTACATTTCAAACAATAATACTCAAAAGTGCATTTGTTAGTTTTATTACTGCCCAAACCCCCCCATAATTGGAGGATTGAATAGTTAACTTTGATCAGTCCTGTGTAGGTGTTATTTAAATGAAGGAAAAAGCAGCATTGACAGCGTGGGCTCTAACTCTTGAGCAAGTTTGGACAGTCGTTTACAGTCAGTTTATTAATAACAGAATATAAAAGGGAAATAGAGAAGCAGCAGTTTTAAAAAATTGACTTCACAATAGGCCTGCACGATATATCGTTTGACTATCGTCATCGCGATGTACGTGTGTGCGATAGTCACATCGCAGAGCCTGCGATATTGGAGGTGAATGAACTCATTTAATTTCAAGGGTAACTGACTGAGATACACTGCATGTGACTCTGCATGTGCTTTGCAGCGATCCACCAATCACATTCGTCCTTAACTCAGTTGCCAATCAGACTCACTTCTCAGTTGCCAATCAGACTACCCTGCCAGCGGTCAATCAAAATCAGAGAGGAGGAAACCCACCCCTGCACATGTTCTGCACATGGAGGGAGACGTGTGTCCGCTGAGAATTACTATCGGAACTTTACTCATGACTGTTTAGCCCAACAAATAAGAACTGTATGGGTTTTAAATTGTACATTTCAGTGGACCACTCTACTATAAGCAGTGCGCGTTTTGCGAGATGCATGCAATTCTCGGAGGACATGCGTTTCTCGGCACAACACCGCTAACAATAACAACAACGATCGCAAAATGAGCAACGAACAAGCGAAAACCACCGAAAATGAAGATTTGTTGCCCAAAAGAAAAGGAAAGTCAGTTATCTGGAATTATTTCGGTTAAAAGAAGGACCAAAACACGTGTTCTGTGTTAATCTGTTGCCACAATAATGTCCCAGCACAATAAAAGCTAAAAATATCTCTGAGACAGAAGCCATTCTAACATTCACAAAAAGAGGTAAGATCAGTGCAGGGTAACTGTCCTCAAGATTTCAGCAGTGCAGCATAACATTAAATGCTATTCAGGTCATCTGGTGAAAATTCCTGTATTTTTAATATCGCAATATATATCGCAGGGTTGAAAAAATCGCAATATTATTTTTTTCCAATATCGTGCAGCCTTACTTCACAAGACAGATTGGGTTGAACTTTGACCAGCCTTTGTGTAAAAGTTTAAACATTGAGCCAGTGACAGAAGTCAAGTATTGTGCATTGAATTCTTGCAGGAAACTAAAGCTATGCAACTGAATTGTGCATAAATGCTTCTCAATGTAGAGTTTACTTTTGTGAGCAAGTTGTGGACCGTTGACTTTTAAGTCATCAACCCTCTGCATCATTTCTGACAGGCCGTCTGTTACGAGCCAATCAGATCATCTTTAACTGGGACCGGCTGGCATCTTGGATCAACTTGACAGAGGAGTGGCCGTACAGGACATCATGGATCATCTTGTTTTTGGAAGAGACGGAGGGAGTGTCTGAACAGGTCGCCCTCAAGACCATCTACGAGAGGTACAAACACATAGACAGTCTGCAAAGGCTTCTTTAAAATCCATGTATTGCTTCTGTTTTTCCGTCTTTCTGTTTTGTTTTGTTTTTGTTAAATCACAATGTAAAAAAAATCTAAATAACACAATTGGATTTAAGAGAAATAGTCAATATGGAGTTATATTTCTTTATGATTTCTCTAACTGAAATCCTGATACGTCTAACTTTGACCAGCAGGTGGCAGTAGAGGATTTTGTTTTCTGTGTGGACAATGTTAAGTCCACAAATCCTGCGAATGGCTCAGAGTGCTGCACTAATTGGCCACTGATGGACAGAATCTTTAATTCAGCTTAATGCATGAGGAAAATAACGACTTCTACAGACTCGGGAAATGGCATATTTCCTTAAAAACTGAACAACAGATCTTTGATGCTCAGACATCTTTTGTTATAGAAGTGATGCTTAACTCTTGTTTCTGCCTGTGTGTGTATTAAGCATATGACTGATCATGCCTTTGTGTGTATGTGTGTGCGTGTGGTCACTGATGCTTTGAGGCGTGCTCACAGCAAAGATGAGGGGGAGGCCTGGGCAGGGCTGAGTCGCAGGGTTTGGGTGCTGTTGTGCATCAGTCGCTGGCCTTTAAAGGTTGCACTCTGTCACACTACACTAGTGCCTACGACTCCTGCGGCAGCAAAGTGTCACAGACAGTTACTGTCAGCCAGTCAGCCAGCGAGATTCGGCAGACAACCCTCCCTCCTGTCTCTGAGGCAAACCACTGCCTCATTAAAAACATTTTTGCTATTGGTTTGCGAGAGGACATTAGGCATTAGGCATTTTTGAAACAGCAGAAAGTGTTTGGTGAGATGTGTTCAGCATAAGAGGAGCACACAGGGCTGAACAGTCAGAAGGCTGTGACTCATGTCATTCAAGAGTTAAAGTGAACACACTAGAGGATGGATCCATAGTTTTATTGTAAATATTATTCAAGTTAAACCAGGGAAGATATATAAACTTACATTCAGTTGTGTTTCTACATCCAACCAGAGGCCCAGTTTCAGGAGCTTCTACCACTGCATGCAATTTTGCTTACACTGTTCATTAGACTTAATAAAGCCCTCATCCTGCCTCTGACCAGCGGTCCTGTCTGTCTTTATCTTCCTCCTCACTGGTCGTCTTTCCAAATGGCTGCTCTGTTCCACAGTGGCCGTCGGAGAAGCGGCCTTAATGATGATGACAGGAAGCCTCAAACAGGCTAAACACAACGCCTTGCCTTCAGGCCTTATCTCTCACACTAATCTTCTGCTGATAAGACTCGGGGCCTCTGTCTGTGTATCTTTTTCTGTCTCAGCTCTTTTCTTCCTCTTTCTCACCATCTGAGGGCTCTTAAAGTGGCGTTTTTTTTGTCCTGGATGGGCTGTTCTGTCTTTTCATTCAGTGAGGGACGGGCACTTGACGAACCTCTAAGAACCTTAGGCCTCTTCTCAGACCGTCTGTCTGCAGGAGAAACAGATCGCTACCTCTGTTTGCTTTCCTCCTCTGCAGTGTATATGAATCCGCACATGAACTAACACGTGCACACACTCGCATACTCTCGCACATTACATCTTGTGATTTGACCATTTCACCACTTCCTGTATCTATTTATTTAGTATGTTGTTGGTCTAATCACTTAACCAAAATGGCTCTGACCTTGTTGTCTGTATTTTGTTTTAGAGTGTATAGACAAGATATTGTGCTCTTCCATTTTTTGCACAGTGAAACTGCACATCCCCTGAGCGTTACTAAGTGAATATATTAGTGGTGAAGTGAACGTGGGGGTGAGTCAGCCCCTTATAGGTCAACTGTCGCCCTGCATCTCAGTCACAAGGCTGTTTGCTTCCTTCCCCTCCTCTATGAAGGGCTTGTAAGCCATAGTATACATAGTCTTAAGAATACAAAGTGTAGATAAACCATACAACTATGGTTTGACTAGAATTTTTTTCAGTTTCACTCTCCATCTGTCTGTCGACAAAAATAAAATTCAAGTTTCATCCTTGCCAGAGGTCCTTTTTAAAAATCTGGCTCAGCATCATCATTTTAACTTTCTGCCCCAACAAGCCTTCAAATTGAGAGAAAATGAGCCCATACTCCTGTAAACCACGGTGAAATGTTGCACAAGTAACATGAGTGCCTCTTAGTGGTGAAGGTGACAGCTACTCTCTATGGCATGTACCTGAACTCCTAGGAAAGAGAGAAAAAATAGAACCACACGCCCACCTTCCCTCATATCTCACACAAACACACACGCTTTCAAAAACGGCTGAGAGCTGTTTTTAGGAACTTGTCTGGCAACAACAATCGTCCATGAGGGGCTGTGAAGTGTCATTGTAGGACACGGCGCGAGGAGAAAATAAGTAGAGCTAATTCCTGCAGCTGGAGTGGGCCAGTACAACTTTCCCTAATCTGATGGAGAATGTGTAATCGCTTAATAACCTTAGCGATTTTTCTATGATTAACGGTAAGACTGGGGGGCTGCCCAGGCTGAAGCAAGGTGGAAGCGGGTAACAAAGATCTGTTTGAGAGTTTGACTCAAGATATCAAGCTTTCACAAACACTTGTATGTTTAAATGAGTCTTTGACTAGTTCTCAAGAGGAAACTACGCATTTCACCTCAAGCAGAGAACCAGAGTCATGGCCTCCTGAAGTGGAGCACAAAACAAAACAAGAAGTGTTTTCAGACCTACCCATATATTTGTGGCTGTCAATTCACCAAGCCCCAATCGGTGTTTTCAATGCTGTTTGATCACTGGCAAATTGAATTTGGAGCCTGCAGCCTTGTGACTGTCATTCTCAGGTTCATCATTTCTTTCTCCTCACTATCAGGAGTCAGTTGTTCCTTGTTTTAGCAGCTATTAGTCTTAATGGCTCCTGCTAACCGAGCTCACTCCTGCTTCATGGTTATTGCTTTAAAGCAGCTCCGCCATTTTCGAAGACTGTTAATGAGTTTTAGTATTTTTTATTTTCTTGATGTTGTTGAGAGCCATTACATTACATTGAGCCATTTAGCGCAAGACTTTTAGTGGAGTAGAGCGAGTGCAGTTTCTGGAGGTTCTTCAAGGACACTGTTGTCGGACACACAGCTGTTGTTTTGACTTCTGTGTTATTGGTAATCCACTCACCTTTATTATTTCTGTTCTCTTTGTGGACCCCTGTAAACTTCTTTTGTTAAGTGGTTGGTAGTCTCCTTGGTGATCTGTGTGATTGTGTGCCCATTTGTCTGTGTGCATATGTCAAGTGAATTGACTGGCAAACCCGGTTTCATATTACATTTCTGTCATCCTCTTTTTACATGATAACTTTGATGCACATCAAAGTTATATATTTTGTGAAGAAATGGAAAAAAATCAGGCATTTCACTTAGCCATCTCAGTGTATTCATCAGTTCATCAAAAATACATTCAATACATTTACCACTGAAGTTATTTTTTTAAACTTAAGTTTGAAAGTCCACAAAGTTTATAGTTTTATGATTCATATGTCATACATTGAACTAGGAATCTTTAGGTTTGGGGCTGTTGACCAGGTGGAAGCACAGTTTTAAAAAGGTCTGCTTGATTCTTTGAAAATGGAAGTGAACATTAGGTGATTATCACAGCACAGAATATCTATGTTGTAGAAACAGATGACTGAGATTTTTGACTGCAGAGTGCTATTATTGATCCTCAATATATAAAGGGCTGCAAACTTCCATGGAAAAATAAGTCAATCCAAACCTGTGCACACACTCTTATTGCTTCTGTATCTCTAAACGCACCAACAAGGACTTTTGAAGGACTGTCATTTAGTTTCCGCAATATTTAATTTTTTCATTTTTGGCTGATTGATTTGTTTGTAAAATGACACAGTTATGTATTTTTGGTTGTTGGGGTTAATATATTTGATCCTAATGGTGTGCATAGGCGGACCCCTATGAGGGTTTATTCCTGGACGCCCAGATCCTGTTTTCAGGTTGAGTAAAAAAAGTGTCACCGGTCCACTGAGCAGGTTCCTGCCCTGTTCTGACATCTGGTGCCCTGTCTGTGCCAGGATGCCCCCGCCGCACTCAGGAGTGTGTTTTTGGCCCCGCACCTGAAGCCTCTGTTCATTACACCCACACTCAGATACACACAAAATATTGCACGCCGTAACCTTTAAAACACTCTTAACACAAGCATGGAAAAACTGTGGTTAAATACATGTGCGATATTATTGAAACAACAGCATGAACAAACACTTTATCACCTTAACAAGCAATTGTGGTCGAACCTGCATGCGCACATTTCAAACTACATGTAACAGGGGCAGGTTCAACACACACATACACACCTTCACACACATACCCAGCTCTCACACCAGGGCAAGAGCATATGTCACCCACTACTCCTCTGAGAATCAGTGTAATTAATCAGGCCCTGGGATGCAGGCTGCGTTCAATAAACACACGTTTTCACACACACATGCACACAAAACTAAATTCTCTTGTGTGTGTGTTTGTGTGCCCTCCTTGTTGTCAGGTAAAACTGCATTCTTATCATTGATATGATTTTGAAGTATCGATATACAAATAACTCTTCAAATCTTGACACGCTGGTTTTACATCAGTATGTAAGTCAACGTTCCCCTTCTCATCCCCTCTGTTTTATCTGCCTGGCCCTGCATTCATCCATCAGACAATCCCCCTTTTTGGAGACGTGACTGGAATCAGGCACTTCTCGGACACTCCAAAACTTTTTTTTCCCCCTTCAGTAATCGCACTCTGAATGAATATGTAGCCAGGCAATTCAGTCTTAATTAAAGAGACTCTTATCCCAAGTACTGAAACATTAAGATGACGCTCTCTTCATTCAGGATTACTTTAATTGGCACAATTATTGTAATTTGGTTGCAATTATGTGCAGGGATAAAAGTGCTGTTCCAAAGCTCATGCGGGTGATTCTCTTTATGTGGAATCCTTTAATAAGCTCCTAAATATCTGGCTGCAAAATGGCCTATTATATATCCTAGATCCTATTCTTTCCTTGTGATGTATACTTTTGAACCTTTCCTGCCCCCAAATGAAAAGACTTTTTTCTTTATTCTTTTGTTCGGTCCAATTCCCGCCGCGTGCCGTGACACCCTCTATAATCTTGATACACTACAAAAGCTCAAAAATAGTTTTTCCCTGTTCTCTCTTCTATGGAAGCCCATTGTCACTGTGTTAATCCCTCCAGGAGGCGTTTCAGTGAAAGATGGAGTGAAACTGGTAAGGCCATTGTTTTTCGTCAGGAGGCCTGAGGATGTGTGTGTGTGTGTGAATTTGTTAAGGCTGGTGTGAATTCACCGATGTCTCTATAGAGCTCTGTCTCCATCTTTGATAGGACACCAGCAGTGATTATACACACCAGTGTGCTGAGAGACCACCTGACTCAGGAGCAGATAAAGGAAGACGGGGACAAAAAAAGAAAGTATGGTGGGTGTTAGATAAAGATGGAAAAAAGGAATAGAAGGTTGGCGTTAGATAAGGAAAGGGAATAAAAAAAGAGTGAGAAGAAAAAGGAGTCCAGTCTCAGGAGGTAAAACGAGGCGAAGGAACCAAAGGCTGTGAATACTGCAGAGGATAAGACCAGACACTGGCAGGATCACTGCGACACAAGTTTGCTCTTGGTGCAGATTGAAAGCCTCAGGTGATGCTCCTGCTCTAAGTGAGATAGCCCATGCAGTAGACACACACTGATTCACACACCATTTTGCACTGTTGTTGTTGTTGTTGCTGGAAGAATTTCAGCTCTCCTCTTGACCGAAAAGGCAGAACACAGAAACAGACTTATCAGCTGAAGAAGTTTCAATTGATACTAATGATGCAAGGGTTTCAGACGGGCCTCGCTGATTGGCTGAGAGAATGAGGGAGTCAGGGGTGCGCAACTTGTGACTGACTTGATCCTGGAAGCTGGGCAACAGACAACACACAAGGAAACAATGAGTCAAACACAAGAATGAGCCGGTTGGCCTTTAACATTTGGAAGACTGAATGATGTAGCGTTCAGCGGCTGAATGAGTGGGATGATGGGAAATAGGTGAGGTGGTGATTGGTTAGGCTGGTAGATGTTGAAGTAATATGATCTAACATTGTTTTTGAGAAAAGCCATCAAGGTCTTTTTATTTCTACCTACATTTTAGCAGCCATGAAAGCCTTTAGCACACTTCGTACTGACCTCTGCTATTTCGTCATAGAGTCGTCCATCAATGGGTCAGATTGATATTTTACATGACACTGAGATGGAAGTAAAGGAAGCAGAGGGCTAAGGAGCGCACATCATCCTGATCCTGTTGTATTTCCATGGTGTTGCGCATTAGCGTTCTCTCCCTCTCCTGCTCTGCTGTGTCTCTGTGCTGGAAACTGCTGGAAGGTGGGGGGCTGATTATAAATAGCAGCGCAGGGTTGCAAGAGGGTCAGCGCTGACCTTTAAGTGGACGAGATTTTCCTTCCAGGCACTGCAGGAACCACCAGCCTACTTGATTACTGCCCACCACATACATATGTAGGTATACGTACACAATCAGTCAGGAGTCAGTCAGGTCCCTATAAGGGGGTGTAAAAACCTCGCTGAAATTACGAAGAACGGCTACGGGAGTAAGAAAGCCCAAAGAAGGCGAATTGGAGATCAAGCCCATCCAGCCTATATTGAGAGGGATCAAGAGTGTCCCATTCTCCCCCATCCTTGCTGTTTTAGCAGCTTTTCATTTGGCACGTGGCTCCAGCCATTGTCTAGCTCAAGGATTTGGTTATCAGATTCGTCTGCTGGGATTGCTTGAGAAATGTGCTCCAGGTTCTAAGTTTGGGTTTGCCTCACTGCTGCTGCTGCTGACTCAGACTCAAACTGGAGCAGAGGCTCATCTGTGAACTCACTCTTACCAGGCAAACATGCTCCTTTTGTCGAGCTCTGTCTTTCCTCGCTCGCTGATATTCTTCTATCCCTCTCTCATCTTATTTTCGATGCACACATCCCACTCTGCAAAGTTAATCTGAGGATTACTGATTCAGCTGCAGAATCCCAGGCCTTATTTGTCACATTCATCACTCGCTGTATGGATTTTAGCTCCTTAACAGACTTTTTCCAGATGTATTATCTGCCGTAAAAGAGCACATTTGTGTTCACTTAAGCAACCCACCCCACTTAACTCTGCATCATATGGCCAATCAACTACCCATTACAGCTAGCTAACGACCACATACGCTGATATTTACTGGTGCAATTAGTGTCACAATGGACGAACCCTGCCATGGCCTAAGGATGCTCCAAACTCTCCTCTGGAAGATAAATCACCAAATTGAGGTTAAGTGTTTTTCACTTTTTGTCAAGAATGGAGCCTATGTTGCTCTGAGCAGAGAGTTCAGCTAAGGTTTTTGGGGTCTGGAACAAGGAGGCTCCATTTCAGCGCTACATATGAGTTTAATCAACATTTCGGGGAACCACTGAAAGTCCTGAGCGTGTCTCAAAAAGAGGCTGCTTACTCCGAAGCAACTCAGTTTTTATCAGCCCAGTGTGTTTCCCATTACTCTGTCTCTCTCTGTGGTTTGCTTCGGGATGCACAGGTCCAGCTCACTACAAGAGAGTTTCAATTATTGGACTAAACTTCGCCACGAATGTGTATAGAAAACAGAAGTTGCCACAAGTCTGTCAGTTGGCAATGCCAAGACAAGGAGACAAATAGAGAGAGATATTTACAGACAGAGGGTGTCCACAATGCGCAAAGCATTTGACTCAAATCAAGAAAATGCATCTGGGTTCTAAGGAGACAAAGAACATGGCGTCATGTAAAGTGAAAACATATTTTTGCTCTCCCCCTCTGCCTTTGGGGTTGTGAGGCTTTGGCAGCTCTCGCTGAAACAATAACCTCTCTCAGCATTGATGCTGCGAGTCCACGCGCCAGCTTGCTGGTCCGCCCGCCTGTCCACTGTTTTCCCAGAGAGGGCCTCGCTGGGTTCATCCACACGCTTGGCAGACAGTGTGCCAACGACTGACAATCCTCTGACCGGGAGAGGAATGTGCCGGACTCGGGCCTGGATAACTTCTTCACCCACACATAGTTTTTTACTGCTCCCAGCATATGACACTGAAACTCTTGAGCGTCTTAAACACAATGTGTCTGTTCTGCAGGCATCCCTCTCTGTCTTTGGGCCCCTTTATGGAAATGTTTGGCAGTAAGACCACCTCTTTGTGGTGTGTGTGTGCGCATGTCATTTGTAAGCACAGAGGGCAGCTGTAAAATAAAGTCAAGTGGCACATTCATACTCTCAGTGCCCAGATAGCGGACGGATGGGATAGAGGGATGAATTCTGCTCGCTCCTGTCAGCTGCAGTGAGTGGGAGGTTGAGAGGAGAAGAAAGGCTATGCTCCAGTCAGCTTTGGGACCTATTAGCATTTGGATAAGCTCAGAAAGCTCCCAGTGGCCTTGCCACACAGAAAGTGGTCTGGCCTAAGCGCCTGTACTGCTGCGGCTATAAGCCGGGTCCTGTCAATGGACCCATTGTGCAGGAACGGCCGCCGGGATGCCTGACGGCCTTTATCTCCCTGGTCCTCGGCCTGCTTGAAAGTCGCACGCCGGCTTCCTTGGCACTCCAACCAGAGCGTCCATCTTGTCATTTGGCAACTGATTGCTGATAAGAATGGCTTTGTTCATTTTGTCTGTTTCGTCTGTTCACTGTGAGGATGACTAACTCTGGAGTGATTTGTGTCAGGTCCCTAATGCCAAGGCCAACAACTCATCATTAGTGAAGTGCAAAGCATGTCATTTGAAGTGGTCAAACCTCATTGACAAACTGCTGTTGTCATTTAATAGATACTCCTCGTTCCATAATACCACCCAGTCCAACATGTCAGCCAGGATTACTTTTATGGCTTAATGTTAGTTATCAGTTTATCAGAATTACAGCAATTCTTTTGTGTCTTTCCTTTTAGCTTTTCTGAACTTCTCTCTTTGAAGAACTAATTGTTCCCTCTGATCTCTACCAAACATCTTTTGAGGCCCATGTCGCAGTGTGGTGAACTTTCTGTCCAGCCAGCCGCTCCTGCAGTCAGCTGGGAACGTCAAGAACAGGCCTCTGACTCCCTCACTCACTCCTTTTTCTCTTTCCAACTGTTTGGGTGGAACTCAGTGATGAATGTCCTTGATCTGTTCTTCTCACCAGCTCCTCGTTGTCTTTGGAAGATAGAGCTGTTTGTGCTGCTGCAACTGATACCTCACACTGTAGGTCTGCAGGCCAGAGTAAACTCCCAGGTCAGAGATATGGACGCTATTGTAGCTGGCTTCTTGAGTGCCAATGTTGTTGGGCGACGGACATGAGGATTTACTTGTATGTAGCTCTTCTCTCAGAGTCGAACAGCAATTTACTGTAATAATAAAGCCAGATGGATGAGTTCTTGCACTTTTTTATTTGATTACTTACCCTTTTAGCTATTTTGGCTACACTAAAAGTAGGAAAGAAAGAATCTGCAGTGAAGTTTCTGGTAACAGTACGTCTAGAAAAAAAACAGAAATTGAGGGTCATTTTTTAAACCTTTGCACGGTTTTGGCTCTAAACTTCGTGTTTACGCCATTACGCCGCCCGAGATGTTTCCTTAAAAAGACTCAAGATTCCTTAGAAAGTCTTTGGAGGGGTCGGTCTCTAACGCAAAAGGAAGGTCCCTGTGTGTGTTTGTGTGAGGGAGTGTGTGTGTGTGTGTGTGTGAGTCACTGGCTCCTGTTGGTCTGTGTCTGCAGACCCACAAATAAACAGCACTAAGCCAGCTGGAAATGGGGAAAAGCACAGGCTTCTCTGAGTCTGTACACGGGTTAATACAGTTCATGGGAAAAGGAACCAAACACCCACACATACTGTACATGTACTATCACATGCACATGGAAACACACACCCCACTCTTCATCTCTGCCTTTGAATTTCCTCATCCTCATCGCCCAGGTGTTCATGATGGATGTCACACTTTTTTTTTTTTTCTCCTGATGTTTGAATCAGCACCAGATTATGTGTGTGTGCATGCAGGTAAAACATCTGTGCCTCCAGACTCCCACCCATCCTCGCATGCAGGGGTCACATGAACCGGGTTCATCTGTGCCAACACCAAGAGCTTCCTTGACCTTTCGGGTCTTGTTAAAGGTTCTAGTGGAGGAAACACTGAGAGGGCTTTGTCCACTGGAGCCCAGCTGTGCCTGTGTGTCCTCACTGCTCACAGCCTATTCTCTCTTCTGTCAGTCTCTGTGTGTCTGTACTGGCAGGCGGGTTAAGACAGTGGGGTGACCCACCTGGGCTGGTATGCTGAGAAACTCTGCTTTGGAACAAAGCAGAATTGGGTAGGGGATTGAGTGAAACGAGGATACAAAAATAGGTCAGTCTCAGTTGTTAGATTTCTCTTCCTGAAGTTGAATAAAACCTGTAAATTCACAGGTTATTTGAGAGGAGGTTTAGCAAAAGGCAAATGAGGCACAGCATTTTAATGAAACTCTAATTTGAATCCCTCACTTTTACTTTGCCTCTCTAGGACACCTACCATCCCTGTATTTCTTGCCAGACTTGTAACCACAAGGTCACAGGTTTCAGCCCTGCAACAGCAGATGTGTCCATCACCAGCCATCTGTCCTGTCAAAATGTCCTTGAACAGAAGACTGGACCCCTACCTGTTTGTTAACTGTAAGCAGAAGGGGAAGGAACATCAGCTGAAAATGCTGGGAATGAAGCCGTGTGCCTTCTAAAGTCATCTTTTTATCCAACCATCATGACGAAACTCATTTAATTTGGCTGATCTGGAACATTTTGCACAATTTGCCAACTGGATTAGATGAGTTGATAGTTTAGATTATTAGCTAACAGTACGCTCCGTTGAACCCTTGCCAAATGCTGACCTCACGCTGACTTAGCTAGCGTGCTACGGCGATAGGACTAATCATCCAATCAAGTCACAGAAAGGCCAGCCTGTGCTCACTCTCACAAACAGATCAGGCTCAGGGGAAAAACCCAGCTCATCACCAGCGCATGTTCTCAACATACCAGGACATAGATCGAGTGATGAAGGGGGGGAGGAGGGCGAGACGGGGTAGAAGCGGGCAGAGGGAAGGTTGCGAGAGAAAAGCATCCACTGAGGAAAAAGATGAAGGGGTTTGGATGAAAAATGGAAGCAGAGATGTGAAAAAATGTCTGCGCCCTGCTGGAGTCTCCTCATTCATCTGATAAGAGCAGCACACTCTGGTGATGAATGGCCGGTGTCAAAAGTCACTTTGAGTTCCATATTTTCATGAATGATGGGATTAACTGGATGTGCTGATTGCTCTGGGTGGTTGGTGTTTGCTTCTCTTGTCGCCTCTGCCACATGTTAAACCGAATTTGATTAAACCAATGTCCTTTTTGAAACCTTGTGTAGCTGAAGTTCGATATCAAGCCTCACTTCCTCGGTGATTCTCTGAATTCATCGTTTCGTACATGATTTTCCACCTCTAACCAACTGAGTTAAGCATCTGCTCATATCCTGTCTCGCTTGTGTTTGATCAGTTGAGTTTTTGATGAATTTAAACCAAATACAGCGTCCATAAATTGTTTATGACAATCTTAAAATAGTAAAGTAATAAATTTTCTGCAGCAAAGACAGGAAAAGCTTATCTCAAAGTAATGGAACAATCTTTAAACAGGGTGTTTACTTAGCTCCAGCAACAACAAACATCATGTTAACTGTGGCAGCGCATCATGACGTGCTTCCGTCTGTTGCTTGCTAAATTACCCTGATTGTCATCTTCTCAGGTTTCCTCCTCTGCTGAGAAAAGATAACATCCCTCTTTCTGTCTGTCCTCAAACATCCCCCCTTTCACTATCTCGCCTTCTCTAAATCCAGTTATCTCTCTGCTCTCATGATGATGATGACCGTTGCATATCTCTTCAATCTAAACAGTGCTGCTTGCTATTTCCTCTTTTCTTTTTTTATCAGAATGTGATGCGTTGAGTTTTTTCTCTCTGGAAATAGCACATGAAAATTCTTGTCTGACTTGTTGACATATTTGTGTCAAATGCCAATCAGACTTCGTTGTTGTTTTATTCCAGCATTTAGTTTTCATCTGTAAAGACCTGTAAAATTCTGTAAACCACTTTCTTTTGTCATTTTAAATTTAGATCTAAAGTTTCACTAAACCTAAAAATCTTGTTCTTAAAGATCAATATCTGTGAATCATATTTACATTTAGTGGATCCAGCTGGGTGGGTGCAAGTAGACATTGACCGCCTTTTTCTTTGTCCCTCTGAAGACTCTCCAAGAGCATCCCCACCACCAAAGATGTTGAACCGCTGCTGGAGATCGATGGAGACATCCGCAGCTTTGAGGTCTTCCTCTCCTCCAGGACGCCCGTCCTCACCGCCAGAGATGTGGAGATGTTCCTACCGTGCACTGTCAACCTCGACCCCAAACTCAGGGAAATCATTGCAGGTTCATGTGCACTCTTTGTATGAACAGTTATAAAATGCATGATTCTGATAGTTCTGGAGAAGTTACTGTGAACCTTGATACAGATTTTTTGAGTCTGTGAGGCAGGGGCGTCACACAGGAGAAAAAAAGTTTGGTTCTAGTGGGGCCCAGTTTGCTATTTCCCCTGGTTGCAGGGATTAACATGTTCCAGAGAGATATTTCCTCAGTGGGTGCATTAAATCATGGTATTGGAGAGGTCAAGCTAACATATAAAAATTTAATGTGGATTTAATCTTATAAAATGTCTGATAGAGGGAAAACAGGCCTTCTTATTTGTCTGTTTGAACAGGATATCTCTGGAACATCTAAAGGGAATTTCGTTCACTGACACTTAAACTCAAGGATGATCTGATTAGATCTCTGTTACGAGGCTTTTTTTGCCATAACCTTTAAAATAATCCATTAATTATTAAAAGCGAATCAAAGAAATGTTAGAAAGGATAAATACATGTGGTCTTGAAATCTTATTGTATTGAACTTCTTGGCTACCAGGTTATAGAAGAAACAGGTCATCTGTGAATCTCTGTCCATGATCACGGCTATGACCTCATGTTCTATTTCCATCCATCCATCCATTTTCTATACCGCTTATCCCTTTTGAGGTCGCGGGTGGGCTGGAGCCTATCCCAGCTGTCATCGAGAGACGTCGCGAGAGGCAGGGTACACCCGGAATCGGTCAGGGCCGCATAGAGAGACAGACAACTAGTCACGCTTGCACTCATACCTAAGGACAATTTAGAGTCACCAATTAACCTAATGAGCATGTTTTTGGTCTGTGGGAGGAAGCCGAAGAGAACCCACGCATGCATGCATGGGAAGAACATGCAAACTTCACACAGAGAGGCCCTGCCCGACCCGGGAATCAAACCGGGGACCTTCTTGCTGTGAAGCACGTGCGCTTCCCGCTGCTCCTTTTGCCGTCCTTCATGTTCTATTTAAAAACCCTACAGCACATAAAAACAGTCACTTTAGATTATTTTTATATCCATAAATCACCAATACTAAAATTGCCAAACTGTTTTTTTTTTTCCTCTATCTTCTCAAGCTCACAATGGTACTGCTCCTAGGTTTTTTATTAGAGACAACAATGTGGAGTGTGTGCATAAATGTGAGTTTGTTTGTGTCTGAGGGACAGAGAGGTTAATTATACAGTTTTGTGTAAAGAATATAAAAGGGTTTAGTATACAATAGCCGAGAGAAACAAAGAACTTTCCTCTATGTGCCGTGTTGCATTCACTGCCAGCTCATTTGGCAGTGACATTACTCATAACATTGCAGCCGGGTCTGCTCTAAAATCACCCGCTGCAGGGGCTCTCAGAAACCCACGGCTCACTTCTCATTTCCAAACAATCAAATGTCGAGCAGGTTTCCACCACAGCGCTGTGAGATCAGGACAATATTTTCACTTGTGTCACCAATCTGCCTCCAGTGCTTCACTGAATTTTTCACAGTTTGTAGTGACAGTGATGTCATAGTGCATCAATATTAAACTGAAATCCAGAGCCGCGCTGTACTTTTGCTACTGTGCGTCAGCGTCCATTCAGCTTATACAGGAGTGTCAATGACGCCTGGTGCAAAGCTGTTACTTCATAGTGTTATGAGACCACAGAAATCGCACACAAACTCACACACTCACAAAGTCTGTTCCATTGTGCCAAGGTTGAGTCATGGAGGGCGCAGCTGACCGAGCTCTATGACCAGACGTCCTGTCGTTAAGTGAAAGAGCAGGACTCTTGTGCTCCAAGTGTGCACATTCATCCACCAAAACATGCATTTGTTTTCGAAGGCGTGTGGGTGCTTTCACTTTCACACGTGTCCCAAGGTGACCAAAGCTCCCACCCAGTCATCCCGCTCCTTCCACTCTCTCTCTCGGCGGCCGGTCAGTGCTCGGTGCCTGGTGTCCTGTGGCCAGCCAGTGGGCAGTGCTGTCAGTGATACCCGCCCATGAGCCTGACTCACATCATAAGGCCCCCATTGTGTTCACAGGCTGGATTTGGTCTCACTCAGCGTGTCATTCAGCAGCCACTTGTATAACCAGGAGACATTCTGGTGCCTGCTTCTGTTTCTGGTGCTAACTTTCTTGCCAGCCACACAGAGCCACTCTGTTCTGTCTCCCGGCTTATTCCGCTTTGATTTGGGGAGTTTTACCAAAGTTCCCCTCCTCCCTTCCTCCTTGATCAGAAGTCATTTTGATTTATGTGAAAACAGTTGCGGCGAAATACTTAAGTGATTTGACGTGATCTGCTTTTGTTTGTTTACACGAGTGTGACTCTATTTGTGAGGGATAGCAAGGGGCCCCATGTGCTAAAGTCATCATGTGGCTGGTTGAACATTTGGGAAAAAGACAGTATATCAGCACGCCTGCTGGTTTGTGAGTAAACTGAGTAATAGAAATCAAAGTGAGAATGGGATTCACAGTCGAAGATCGTTGTAATCGTAACATCTGCGCCCTTTTCTTTCCAGCATTAGTTGTTCAACTGTTTTCTCGTTTTATGTACAAGAACAACATTGTTGTTTTATTCCCTGCTGTGCTTCAAAAATCAAGTAATTTTGATCTTGTGTACATCGATTGTTTGATATTTGTTTTGCTCTGTGGATTCACCACTGTCTAAACTCTCTAGAGATGTAAAAAAAAAAAAAGCTGATTTATTGATGCGTGGGTGGATCTGAAGGGTCTTTATAGTCACAGCCAAGACATGATTGTCAGCAGTGCAGATAAAGCACTTCCCTCTCTCTTCATCTCTTCTTCTCTCTCCCCCTTGGGCTCTGTCCTGTCTTAGATGTGCGTGCGGCCAGAGAGCAGATGCACATAGGGGGAGTTACCTATCCTACGCTGCCCCTTCAGGATGTAGTGCCCCGTCCACAGTCGGGTTACAGCCAGCACTCTGCCAACTGCTCCCCATCGGGTTCCTTTGCTGGGTCCCTGCCTCCTCAGCCTCACAGCGCATACTTCAGCGGGATGACCGGCCCTCAGCATCCCTTCTACAACCGGGTGAGACAACAAAAAAGGATTTGTGTTCATATAATCAGTTACCCCCGATAAATCAGTCCATCAAGTGTCAGTGTCTTGATAAGCTGAAAATCAAACAATTATGTGTGTGTTTTTTTCATCTCTTTTCAAAATTATAAAACACAGAGGGCCTTATTCACCAACATCCTCTTAAGATTTTCTTTCGTTTGTTCTTGAAAAAGTTCCTAAAAAAGTCTTGGGCAGATTTATGAACTAGATGTTTGCACCTGTGTTCTTAAATGAATACCATGTCTTCTTAAGTTTGAAGCATGTGCCAGTTTTTCCTATTTGCTTAGGAAAATGCTCCTCCAATGCCCAAATATGGGCACGAGACAGCAGGGCTGTCTGCACACACTAAAATCACACAGGATAGAAAAGAGAAGTAGAGAGACATCCGGTTGCGTAAATTTATTTCTAAACCAACCGTGCATTGAACTTCTAGTAAGAAAATCTCTCAGTAGATCTGCTTAAGTGACACAAAAAAACAGGCCAATATGTTGAAAATATATTGATATTTTTTGTAGCACTAGTAACATTGAATAAACAAATAATGTTGGATATGTACTGCAGTCTTGATTATTGTCTTTTATACAACAGTTTAATGTGTGTGGAGTGTGTCGAGTGCTGAATTTTCTTACCTTAGGCTACATTTGTGGGTTTTAATAGGTCTTCTGAAGAACGACAGGTGAATGAGGCCCAGTGTCTCCAGAAAAAAATCTATTTTTTTTTGTCAATTTTAGCTGCTCAGTCCTCCGCATTACATTAGTATGTGAAATTGCACCAACTGAGAAAGAGTTAACATGCACCAACAAATAATAGACACATCTATCCCTGCTTTATTTTTATTTTCTGTTTTGACCACCCTCATATAATTTTCTTTTTATTTTCACCTAACCCCCCCCACCCCCCTTTGCTCTCCCCTCATAGCCTTATTTCCCCCATCATGTGTATCAACTTCCTCGGCATTACACCCACCATGCCCCCCCATCCTTGCGCCCCTCCATTAAACCATCCGGTCAGCCTAAGGACAACACCAATGGACTTGTAAGTAATGAAGCAGGAGACAGTTGCAGCTGCAGATAAACGAGTGAAACGTTCATGATGTTGTGCAACAATGATGAGAACTTGATCACCTCTTTCCACCTCCCTTTTTTCTTTCTAACATTTCCTCCCATTTCACCGTCTTACCCTGATTTGATTGTGGCTAACTCCACTTCTTAATGAACTTTTATTAGCCTTTCTTTTCTATACAAGCCTTGTTTCCATTCTGTGCCCATGTCAGGATGTTATTGCAGAGGACACCAGAGAAGCCCTCCCCTCCTCCCCCTCTGAGCCTAACATGGTAAAATGTCGTTACAGCTGCAAATATGCTAATATGCAGTTTGTGTCATTTCTCGTGCTGCATGTGTAAAACGCACGCCCGTTTGTGAGACAGACTACTTATTTAACTGCTGTGGTTTACAAAAGCAGACACATCTAGAGGCCATAACTCTGACAAATTCTCACAAGAAAAACATTAACTGCATCCGGTGTGAAAATGACTTCCCCTTAACCAAGACGTGTATTTAGTCAAAAACTTCAGCGTTCGTAAATGTCGCATGCCGGTGAAGATCATGTCGGCACAGCAGCAGTTCTCGTTCCATAACAAATGGATATGAAAGTGCTTTTTACCCACTTAAACTGTGCATGGAGTTCTACTGACAAGAGCTGAAACTCTCCAACCCAGATATTCACACGTTTTAAGAGAAAGCTGCCACTATTAGAACAATTTGAAGATAACGCTCCTCAGGAGATTTCTGCTCCACAAAGCCACTTATCAGACACTGCCAGCACGCATTTCAAGGAGCTGGATGAAAGATTTAAATATAGATTACCAAGAAATGTTCCTCCCTTTCTCAGTCGGTATTTTTATGTCTCTAAATTCTTGCTTCAATCTTCCCCCCCTTTTTTTTTTAAAAGCCTTATTTCTGTCCTCAAATTCCACCCTGATTCTTTCCTCATATCTCCCCTAATGTTTTTGTTCCTTCTCCTCCTAAGCATACATTTCCTCGGTTTCATCCCTTTCTGGCCTCCCAGTGTACACTAGCCCATCTTATCCCATTTTTGCTTCACACTTGATCTCTTTGTGTTGCGTTCACGTGTATTTTCTCAAATCGTTCGAATGTGGATGTGTGTGCACGCCGGCTCATTTGTGTGAGCCTTTGAATATGTAAGCGGGCATAGCCTAGTGTAATTGCTTAGCTGATATAAGTGCGAGTATGGATTCCTCAGGCTGCCGGGATTATCATCAGAGCAACTGTTGGGGCTGGCAACACACACACACATTCACTTCAACACACACATACACACACTCTGACAATGAGCCCAGCGCTGGTACAGCTTATCTCCTTACCAAGACGCTTCCTCCCTCACAGAGCTCTGTTTCCCCTTCTCCATCCTCCTGCCCAGCCCTGAGCTCAGCCCAGCTGTAATTACACTCTTATCAAACACACACACTGGGAGGGTTCACACAAAAAAACACACACACACACACACGCTCACACTCCCAGACATTTATGCGCCCGCTCATGTTCTTAGAATACCCGCTCACAGTCTGAATCGAGCAGTCGCACATACTCAAGGCCTTTCCCTCGATTGAAACTTCTCCTTTTTTTTTTCTGTGCAGAGTGAGAGATGTCTGGTTCTCTTTCTGGGTCTTTCTCTCTGTCTCAGTCTCTGTCTCGGCTGCAATCCTCTCTCGCTGAAACCATGATGACTATAAAAGCCTGCTGACTCCAGTGAAAACAAAAAGTCTCCTTGTGTAATGATTCTCCTTCCTACAGCCTTCTCTATTACAGCTGGACATCTCCTCTCCTGCTGTGAGACAGATAACTGTCCTTCTCGACACGTGTGCTTTTCTGCTTGTCAGTCTGTTTCTTCCCTCTGTCTGAATTTGTTCCCCACTCTCCTTTTTTCACAGGTACATCCACAGCTTTATCTGCTCGTGTGCAGTTTTGTCTGACTTTTTGTCCGTCTGCTTCTTTTTGTCTCCTGTTCAAGCATTTAAAGTCGCTGCCATACAAATTAAAGCAGGTACCCCTTTGGTTTCTGATCATCCATCTCCATCCTTCATGTATCTCTACCTCACTCCTAACACACTGGTTCAGTACTACTAAGCATGCTGTAGAAAGAGAGAACATAGATTCACATAGAAATACGACCCTAATTCCAGAAAGTTGGTATACTGTGTAAAATGTTGATAAAAACAGAACTTGATGGTTTTGCAAACTTTTTAAACGGTTCATTCCTGGATGTGTAAACTACTACCATGATTTCCAAAACAAATGTCAGATTTCAAATCGCAGACCGTGCGACCGTTTGCATACTCCAACAGTCCCTCTTCAAGTTGCATAGCTGCAAACTGTGCTCCCAGCCCATGGGGTTTTTGGAGATGATTTGGAACCCATGCAGTGATTTCCACTACAGAGCCATGCCTGTTTTAATGCAGTGCTACCCAAAAGCGTGAATCTTGTACTGGTGGCTTTTTACAAAGACTTCTCTGACTCTTATGATGATATTATCTCCAGATATTTTGATTGTTTTAACTGAGTAACATTTCTCTGAAGTTGTTGAGCTAATCACTCACACAGTCTCTCACAGAGGGTTGAATCTTCATTTATCTGAACTCTAGAGAGACTCGTTCTCTCTGTATTGCCTTTTTATTTGCCCTGGCATTTTACTAATCTGTTGCAAATGACTCTGTTTAGTTGGGAGTTGAACTTTTGTTCTTCTTGTCCCCATTCTAACTATTTTAAATCATGTTTCTTGCTTGATAATTACATCGAGCACATATTATTCAATCACATTTTCAATTTTGACATTTGGTATAAATTATGAAAATATAAGGCTAAAATATTTTGCAAATCTGTCTTTATTTGCATTTCATATAGTGTCCCAACAGTTCTGGAATTTGGGTCGTCGATGAACAACACAACCTCTTGTCTTGCAGTGGTATATAGTAGATTCACTAACATAGTGTCATCATAGAGGAAATCCATCATGAAAAGTATCCTAAAGTCCCTGAGTGCCAGTCTTCATCCTCTTGCCCGCCGCTACAGAGAGCTGGCACCTACTGTTGTGTACTGTATTATGTGAGCTGCTTATTTTCTTCTGTCTAACAACCACTCACAGTCCGATTAAGCTCTGCTCTCCTCTCCCTCGAAACCAGAAACAAAGCTGGGGGGGATTAGACTGAAGCCACGTCTTAATGGTGCTAATAGCAGAGAGAGAAAGCAGGGATGACGGAGGAGGAGGGAGAGGGGGGGAAGTGATGGAAAGAAGAGTAGGAGGTTAGCGCAGAAGGCTTAGAGGGAAGGAATGTGAGGAAGGAAGGGAGGGAAGGAAGGAAGGAAGGAAGGGAAGCAGAGGGAGAGGAGGGAAGTGAGAGGAAGGGTAAGCGGGTCGAGGAGGTTGGATGAGGTTTGTTTTGTTTCTGTGCCAGCGGGCGGCATGTTGGCCATGTGTGAGGCCTTACGCAGCATCAACAGACCGCTGGTTTGAATCACATCAGGCCGCTTTAGTGCAAATCACAGACTTAGAGACTCCATCTCCTTAAGTGTTGTGCACACACTCTTAACATGCTTGTTTATACAGAGAGAGAAAGAGAGAATCCGAGCAGGTAACAGTGTATTTGGATATGTTGGCAGCTTTGTTTACTTTGACACTTACACAGTGTGACTGATAGAGAGAATTACAGCGCAGGATTGCATTCTTTTTGCACCTCTGTGTGCCTCACAGTAACAGACCTGCACGTCTCTTTGCCAGGAATCGTTTCTCCTTTTGCCCTAATGAAGGTGTTGGTAGTGATGAGTTGAGCTAACAGCGTGTGCTAACAATGCAGGTGTTTCCCCAGGTGAACTAAACTGGAGAAGAAATAACACGGTCTAGCTTTCTTTATTCTAATAAACATGTGTGTCTTTGTAGGTCTCTCCTGCTGTCCTGCTCAGCTCTTTGAACACAGACGCAGTGTGTGAGCGTCTCAAACAGATGGATGGAATTGATCCCAGCATGGTGCCTCAGTACATCTCCACCGTTAAGAAGGTGTGTCCACCTGAAACGTTTAACATACGTTTATTTTTTTACTACTTTGGAATAAAGGGCAGACCTTTTTTTTTTCCAACTGCATAGAAACTAGTGCTGAGATTATATGTTTAAGGATTTTTGATGAGTGCAAATGAAGTTTTCACTTTTTACTTCTTTTGATTTTATTTTTGACCTGTTGCTACGTTCCACATTTGAACAACCCATCATTCCTGTCCCTGTCCACTGCAGGCAAATATTAATGGCCGAGTGTTATCTCAGTGCAACGTCGATGAGCTGAAGAAAGAGATGGAGATGAACTTTGGTGACTGGCAGCTCTTCAGGGGAATGGTGAGGCTGGACCTTTCCTCACAGTTTGGTTTCTTATAACTGTACTCATACTTTATAGATTCATAAACAAGAGCAAATGAGATTTTGTTTGATGAAAACAATCAACAGAGGTTGACATTTAACAAAGCCTCAATAAAAACAAAAAGTATTTAGTAAATCTTCTGTAAAAGCCTTTAATTTATTCACAAACAAATGTTTTGCATATCCGTCTCTACAGAGTCTCAGCCCTGTCACAGCCCTCTGTTGACCTCTGTGATCTCTTGTTCAGCCCAAAACCAAGCCAGACAGCATTTCATAATACAACATCTTGTGCTCCGCTGAGATTTTAGGAAAGACGATTTTATAATCCGTATTATGAGAAGGCCGCTAGTCACTCAGCCAGGAGTCCAGTCGGCTAAAATCACGAACACATGTAGCCGGCTCTCCTTCATCAGACGTCAGCCTGTGCTCCTAATTCCAAACCAGAGGCCCGGATTGGTCGTGTTTTACAGGAGATCTGATGTAGCCCTCGCTTAGCAGCAGCTGGCCATACAGCTCCGGCACTAACCAGTGTTGTGTTGCCAGGACGCAGCCAGCGTGGACATCTGGTTCAAGATGGCTGCCTGATATCTGGATGAAGGGGGGATATTGTTGGGGAGATGTGGACAGATGAACGGCTCTACTTAGTGAACAGCTCCCTCTCAAAAACACATGTTTAGTTGATTCTTGTTTCATGTGTCACACGCTGTCTAAAATGTCCTAATTCTCAAACATAAAATGACTTGTGGTGTTTCATTCCCAGCTGATGGAGCTACGTCACTCTGAAAGCCAAGCTCTCCTGCAGGACGAGTCCCGAGCTGCGAGCGAGCAGGGCAGCAGCGTGCACCACGGGGAGACCAGCAGACGGTCCGGGGGGGCTCCCAGCGAAGCCGCTGCCTTTAGCCTCAACCTCAGCTTTGAGGAGCTCAGCGGGGCTGGGCTGGAGGAACCTCAAAGACACAACAACAACAACTCTCATTGGCCGGTCAGTGTTTGTCTTTGGATTCACACACACACACACACCACTACAGCAGGTATAGAACAGTCGGTGTGCTCTTAAAATCGCTGCTCTAAGCATGTTTATAGGCGCACACACGCCGACCGCCACACAAGCTAGTGTGTCGGTGACCTCAGTGGTTTCAAGTTAATGTGGTTTAAGAGCAAAACAGAGGAAGCTTATGGTGTTTTTTTAACACTGCAGGGTGAAAAATACACAATGCAGCACACGAAAGGTGTCAAGGGGCCGCGTTTGTTATTTTCACCTTCTCTGTTTTGAGTTTGCAAAAAATGTTTCAACACTCAGACAGCTGGCCCGACTTCTGTTTTATGATCCCATGTATTCATCTTGTTCTGATTTTAAATGATCATTTTGCTTTTCTAATGCGATCGTAGCATTTTCAAGATGACTGTTTCAGCCTCTATCATCCCAAAAACACTTGATGTAAATATCTTCCTGTCAGAGTCACATGGACACATTCACGCTAACCCGACTTTCTCTCTCAGGTGGCGAATCTCCGCACCTCCAGCATGTCTAGCCTCAACTCTCAGGAATCCTCCAATGACATCTGCAAGCTGACAGACAAGCAGCAGGCCGAGTACCGTGACGCCTACAGGGAGTACATCGCTCAGATGGCCCAGCTGGAGATGTCCGGCAGCGGGGGGGAGCGGCCCGTGCAGCCCCACCCCGGACAGTTCCTGCAGGCTGCCGGCTCAGAGGACAAAGGGGTGGGTGGACAGTCACAAGAACACTGTTTGTGTTTGTCATGGCATCACTGACAGCAGGAATAGATCAGTCACATCCCTGTAGCACAGATGGTAGAAAAAAAAACTTGTGGTGGCTTCTGTCAGTACCTTGTTTGTGAGCCTGTATGTTTTGTCTTTCTGGGGCTTGTGGTGTTAAATGCTATATTTTTATGGCCTGTGCTATGGCTGAAGTCTCCTTCTGAGCTGGGAAAGGGCAGATTGCATCTCCTTGTATTTCTTAAATATTGGCTTAAACTTTTTGTTGCTCTTGGCACATAGACGAGGGACAAGAATCCCCTCTTCAGGAGACTGTATATTTTCATGTTCTCCTCACTGGATCCTCTTCTCTCTCCTCAGGCCAAGGAAGGGGCCGACCAAGACAGCCGCAAGTCCTTCACCAAGAGAGGCTCCAAGACAAGTGATGCCACAGATTTCCCCTCAGGGACCGATGCCCAGACCCTTGACCCCATCAGTGAGGAGGATGAAAAGCTGGACCACAGCACTTCCTCCAAGACTCCAGGTTCCAGAAAGAAGGGTGCGGGGGCTTTGTACCACAAGCTGCCCAGCGATGAAGACTCCAGCCCAGAAGAATCTGACAACACCACACCTCTCCTCCACAGAGAGCCCGGTGCTTCATCCGCCCACAGAGGCTCCCCACCCTCGGGGCTGCTCGCCAAGCCTGGCTTCCTCTCTGAAATCCTCCTGGACAAAAAGGACTCGTCTGACTCAGGGATGCGCTCCAGCGACAGCTCCCTGGAGGAGGCTGAAGGAGACAGAGATGGAGGAGCACAGAAGACCAGCCTGATCGAGCTGGAGCTGGAGGGTCTGGTGAAGAAGAGAGGCCTCCTCCCGAGCAGCCTTAGCGGCCTACAGGATGCTACAGTGGCCCGCATGTCCATCTGCTCCGAGGCTCCATCTGAGGCCAGCCTGATGGCCAGCAGCCCGGACGAAGGGTGGCCGTCCAGCGGGGTCAGCAACCTCAACCGCTCCGACAGCAACACCACCCTCAACAACAACACAAACAGCCCAGATGACACCAACACTAACACCAACAACAGCCATCAGCAGCAGCTGGCTAACATCACAGGCACCTCCTCCTCTAGCCCCGTGTCCCCAGCCGCCATCATCATCACCCCCGGCAGCAGCAGCAGCAGCAGCACCGCCAACACCACCGCAGTCACCATCCACAACCAGAACCTGCGCACCATCAACCTGGGAGATGAGAGGGAGAGTGTCCTCTGAGGAGGGGGAGAGTGTTACTCTTCGTAGGGTCATATAGACGGTAGTTGTTAATGACGTGGTTGTGATGTATTGTTGCTGTTGTGCTACGAAGAGTTAGAGCAGATCTGTGTTCTACAGTTAGGAAAGACGTGTGACGTGTTACAGTAAAAAGCTTCAGTTACATTAACAGGACAAAAAAAAAACTTTAACTGAGAATGTTACAGACGAAAAGACACACTGATGGTGACATTTTAATGATACCAAAACCACACTATGTGAAAACACGAGTATTTAACTTGTTTTTATGTTACAAAGAATTTCACTGCTCTGCTTTTTTGAATCATCGTAGGTGTTTCTCATGTGAATGTGATCTTATTAGAAAAGTGTTTTAGCTACAGATATGTTACAAATGAAAATAAAGAAAAAGCGGGTCTTGTTCCTTTCCTTTCAGTAAATAAAGCCATGACTGAAAAGCATGGCCCACTGCGGACTGAAGTCTCTTGAATGTTGGTGTGTAGCTGTGTTTGGTAGTCGGGGTTTACTTGAATAGATAGAGTTAGTAAGGCAGTGCTGTGGTGTGTCTTTGTCAGTTCCTGGTGTTGTTACAAAAGCATGAACTAGTCAAAAAGGTGTTGATCTTTTCCAAAGATCCACCTAAGATGTTTGTGAATCAATAAAAATGTGCTTTCTGGACCCTTAAAATCTCGTGTTCTTTTTCTGTGCTTTCACATCAGCAGAGTGAAGCCTCAGTAGACTCTAATACAACTTATAAATAAACATACAACAAACTAAAAGTCAGAGTTGATTCTTGAACGATTTTGATGAAGAGAGGACGTTCTGACAGTGTTTATTTTGACCGATAGATGGCGCACTTTCCATACAAACGTGCCGCAGGCTGCTGTCTCGGACACTGCCTGTCAGAAATGGAAACTGCTCGGGACTACTATCTTTTTTCACGGGGGTTGTAGGAAGCCTGCACGGCTCCTCTTAGAGAAGAGCACTTTAATGTTATCTTGAACAAACTAGTTTATAATTGTTCAGTCAACGAATTATCTCACAGTTTAAAGATTCAAAGCGAGAAGGAGGCACCGGGGGCAACCACTTCATGCAAGTCCAGTTTGGTTTGCAGGTAGGCCTGTGGAGTATTCACATACTAAACATCACATTTACGGTACTGTGCGTAATTGTTAAAAATTGGAACCATGACAATGTTGTGTATTGTGAATGTGAAATCAGCATATCCCACTAACTTGGTTCTGCCTTCATTGAACTGTCATTTTTCATTGGTATCAAACAGCAGCGTTTACTGTCACCACGTGCTTCACTTCCTCTGGCTGATGTTGTCAAACAATGACAACAGTTGTTTTTAGGCCGTCATATCATATGACAGGAGAGGTCACCAGCTTTGAGTAATGAATAGGCCGAAAAAGCCCCCAAATTAAGAGCAAATCCAAAAGGGATTATCGCTGCCAGTTGAAATAAAAAAGCAAAACACTACTTTGGAATCCAAGGCATCACAAACCTCTTTTGCCTCAACTTAAATCGCCATAACTGCCTTCTGCTGTGTTAAAACAACAGCCCATGGCTCAGGCTGTCATGCTAAAGCCATTTAATCCTATTTACTTTACATAGCATGAGAAAAAGTGTAAGTGCAGCTAGTGCGCACTGATTAAGCTTTTTTGCGCAGCTGTGCGTCAGGTCGTGTGCGCCTACGGGCCAGTGTTGACGCCGTTTCAAATACTTATGCAGGCAACAGCGCAGGTCTGGTAAGGACACTTTGTTGTGAGATCTGTTCCTCAAGCGTGTCAGCTGTTCACTGTACATTAAAACTAAAGTCATACCCAAAGATTTCTGTGGAAAGTCAGCTGGACGCACAGCTGAGAAGGTATTTTACGCGCTGGTTTGATGTTTTCTGACACCAACATACAACTCTCACTTTCCAACCCCCCAAAATGAAACATGTTCAAGTTGTGTTTTTGATTTATTTTTGTATAAAAAAGGTACAATTTACATTACTTTTATAAAAAGTTTCAGCATAATTAAGTACAACATTACACTTTTGCAGAAGTTTCAAATTTCTGCAACTATACAAGATAAACTCCCGACAAGAGTTCACAGGGTTTCATTCTCTCATTTTAACTTTTTTTTTTTTTTTTTTTTTTTTAAACAACGTCCAGTCCTTCATGTGCCAACAATTCTGACAAGACAAGACTAAACTTTTTACAGTAACTAACCAAGTTGTCTTTCTATTCACGTTCCCACCTCCGCAAAAAAAGCGAAGATTTCAACAAGGAGAGGGGTCAAGGGGGTGAGGATGAGGGGGTGGAAATAATCCTTGTGACAATAATCTCGTTTTTCCTCCCACTTTCGGGAATATAACGCGCCTTCCATTTTCCAGAAAGGACCCACAAATAAAAAATAAGTCTTAAGTTAAATAATGAAGTGTCCAAACAGAAAACACATCACATAAGATTGTCCCATAATAAGCAAAAGTCTCTTGATTTCAGCGTCAGAAAAAAAAAGAAAAAAATCCAGGCCTGGAGGACAGAGATTGAATTTTGGGGGGGAGGTGATGAAGGAGGGAGGAAGGGGAGGAAAGTCCTGCTCCCCAGGTCCTGTGTGTGTTTTTGCGTCTTGACCAAACACCTGCAAAAGATTGAGAAAGAGAGAGGCGTGTTTAGAAAATGCAAACAGGGCAGAGATCCGGACAGACTGGCGCCAGGGAGGAAGCCGCAGTTTTTAACATTTAACCAAACACTCCCAATACTAAGCAAACCCTGCGCTCCAGATGTACACACACACACACTACACAGGAGCGAGAGAGGGGAGGGAGGCGCGCACACACACTCTTCGCACAACTTCAGCCTACAATCTGGGGAAGAATCAGCGTAATTGCCGCTCAGCTGGCGCCTACCCACTTCTTGTACCAATTATGTGCAGACATCGTAGTAGCAGTAATCCAAACAGCCATTATTTTCCTGTTGCAGATGCTCTTCATTATAGACACAAGAGGCTATAATACAACCCTGAATACTGCCAACTTATATACAGAAACCCAAGCAGCCCGGGGCGTAAATCTTCCTTTTTCCCTAACCAAACTCTATGCAAAGAAATGTAAAATGTCCTATTAATCCGGGTCTAATTACTAATACGCTTGAAGAGCACATGTTTGGATTTTTTTTGTTTGAGCTCCAGCTACGAGCGACAAATCGGGCGCTTCAAACCATTTAAAGACACACAATATTTTGAGTTAAGCCCGCAGTGTTCTCACGTAAGGAAACATATTGGAGTATTAGGGCAACGTGAGACGACGTGCCACATTAGCAGCGAACAAACGGATTGGTAAATGGTAATTCTAGCTCGTGCATTCTGCTCCAGCAGACTGGGAGACAGGCTGTAGAGGAGCCCTGGACAGAATGCAGCAGCAGCAGAAGCAGACATGAGGACAGCCTACTTACCGCTTTAACGATGCAGAGTCCGGCTGTCATCTGTCATCAGCTCTGATGGCAACTCCGGGGACTGAAAACAAACAAACAAACAGACCAAATGTTAATTTTCTCCACGCAGCACCGGATCGAGAGGTATCGGCGTTGTAGCAGTGTTTACACAGGTCGAATTTTCTCCTTATTTCGTTCCGTGCAAAAAAAAAGGAAAAAGAAAAAAACATGCCATTTTCTTTTTCCAATAAGCCATTTTGTGCGAGTTACGCATAGGCTACAAAGGCGCACAAGCTATGCGCACCAGCACAAAGCCGCTGAATATCTTCCACAACAAACCAGGCTTTCTACGGCGTAATTACCTGTAATGACAAGATGCTGATGTCTGTGTTGAGGGTGGTCAGAGGGGTCCTGGATGGAGCCTGCCCCGGCCGCGCTGGCTGGTGATGCAGGCTGGTGAGTGCGACACTGGAGTCCAGCGCGATCTGCAGGTCCAGGATGTAGTCGATGACATGCTGCAGGATTTCCATCTTGCTGACGTTCTTATTCTGGGGGATGCTGGGCACGAGCTCCTTCAGCTTGGAGTAGCAGTCGTTCATGTTGTACAGCAGGCTGAGCGGATCGTCCACCGGGGTCTTGCTCCGAGAGATTCCCAAGGAGTGTTCCGTTAAATTCGCGTTGTTTTTCCGGAAGGACCGCACGGGGCTTATTGCTTTCATTTTCAAAGTGTTTAAGTTGAGCGCGAGGGAGGTTGTGTGCGAGTAGGTTTTGCTTGCTTCTTTCTAAGTCCTGTTTCTGTCAGACGACCAGCGATCAGACTGGATTACCAAGCTGTCAGTGTGGTTTTTATAGGCAGCAGGCTGGGCATGCGACACAGGCGGGTCAAACGCGCTGATTGGTGAATGACGAGACGCCACTCAACGGCGTTCACCTCTGCTATTCGCTCCCCGGGCACGAATCCCTCCCCTTCTCCATCGTGTTACCAGTGGCAACGCATGTTGGAGGCGGAACCCGGAGAGGGCGCTTCAGCAGCTCCGGTGGGCAATTTAGAAAATTAAGCCCTTACCTGTTTCTGATCAAGAAAATTAAAGATGCGCGAGGCTCTCAATTGACTTTGTCGAGGTGTGAGCACGCTCTAACCACTCCAATGACATCATCTAGTTTGACCATGAAGTTTACGCATAAAACGTGTTGGAAACATATTCAAATATCAAATGAGTTCACACTGAGATAAAACTTAACAGATCAAACATGTGCTATAATATGTTTTTGTGATTGTGTTATTTTAAAAGGAGTTTTTTTTATCGGTCATATTTCTTATTTCGGTTTATGTCCAGTTGGTTGACAGGTGCGGGTGTGGAGCGGTGATGATGGGGACCACAACAGGCGCGTCTGATCATTCTTAATTCCCTCCAGCCTGGACCGGTGTGGAGGCAAGTTTCTGTCACTGAAAACACAGAAATGTTTGTGCCGAGACTGAAACAGCTGTAAACAACAGAGTGGTCCAAGCAAAATCAGACCAATTCATGTTTAAGTATTTTTACGCATGAGAAAATGAAACTTAGGGGACTATTAGAGCTCGAGATAGGATGGTTCTTTAATTTTACGCATGTGGGGATTCGGTTCTCAGAAGAGCCTGTTGTGTTTGTCAAGAATAAACAGGTAGGGAAAAGACTCATGTTTTTCCCTTGCTGATTTGTTTTAAAACTAATTTAGCATTTAAATGCGTCTAAGCGTATTTACGCACCAAGCTTCTTTCAGAAAAGTGACATTTTTACCTAAAAAGCCATGTGCCCCTGCCCTTTTATACTCACTAAATACATCAGTTAAGGTCTGAACAGTTCAATGTTAATCGCTACCTGAGTATGTTGCATGTCAAAGTTCATTTGGTCACGCTCAAATGTGCCTTTCATATCTGGGCACGTGAAGACTTGATTAACCGCTATTGACATTTTAATGTTTTCTGAATGAGTCGTTTGTTTGTAGGAATTACACGCTTCATTCTTCAGCTGGAGGAGGTTGGTTTGGTGGAGAGGGGGGCTTCTTTGATGCTGCCACTAACTAATTGCCCCCAGGGGCTGTTATGGATTGTTGTGATTTGTTAGATGTCTCTTTTTCTGTATGGATAACATAATAGCACTGTTTAAAAGAGGAGAAGCGCTGGTCGTTGGTATAACACAGAATGGAGGGAGAATTTAAAGAGGGGAAAGATTATAGAAGTGGTGTTTTTTGGTTTATTTTAAAGGCAACTCGGCTGAAAGAGAAAAACAAAGAAATCCTAAAAGCAGAATTAATCCTAATGGACAAAAAATACGCACTTTGGATTGCTTAGTCTGAAGCACAAACATGTTGGATTATAGCGAACATCGAGGGAGAAGGAAAGTTGCCTCAAATATTCAATATAATCGAGATTTCGCGTCAGGATCTTAACAAAATCCTGCAAAACACTCTTCATGTTTCTCCTTTTACAAGCAGCTCTCCTCAGCACGCGGACACCCTCTACCTCAGCTGTCTGACGCTCCTGATTTTTATGCATTTCTAATATAATCTGCTCCTCCTGCAGTCTGTGTCCACATCTGCTGCAATCGGATTTTTCCATCTTCTCCTCGTCTTCCCCTCGCTGCCGCAGCTGTGTACATTTCTCTGGACGCGCACTGACTGATGCCTGACAGGCAGGTGATGAATTGGCGCAAGAGCACGTCGGTGCAGGGCTGCGCGAGCCTCCACCGGCTGCAGCCTCAGCCTTACCCCTGCCTCTCTCTCTCTTCCCTTCTCTCTCTCTCGCTCTCTCTCTGGAGCAGACTTTCTGGCGCCGGAGCCGTGACGTCACCTCATTCACAGCAGCCCTCGAGCCAGCCCTCGCGGCGCCGCTGAGACGGTTTCCATAGAGACAGGGTTTCAGGGGTTGTCAATCAGAGGTTGTTCTCAGCTGATCAAACCCCGGGGCCGGACCGGGGAGGTTTTTAAAGTCGGGGCGGGATTTGGGTCAGTGTGGGGTTTCTTCGGTGGTGGCGCAAAATCCACTCAAGTGTGGACCTATACTGCACTCCAACTTTTCAGTCTCACTCTGTAGAGTATTTTTCAGTTTGTCTAAATTAAAGTTTAGATAGAGTATACGTTTTTTGGGGCTATTTTTCCACAATTCCTATTCATTTAAAACATTGGGAATTAGCTTTTTTGTAAGAAGTAAATGGTTTACATAGAAATGCATTTAGGCCCACTTCCCCTCAGGATCTGAAATAGCCTAATTATGGACCTGTGAAAAACGCTACTTGATCTAGATTATGTATTTCAACCTTGCAGTTAAAACAGGAAACTTTACCTCAAATTTATATTTCCAAAGAGCGGCTTTTACTACTTACTCACTAGTACTTTTTGTTTGCAGAAGCCTGTATCTTATTCAGTTGCATGATCTTAACTTTGTGTTATCTTATTCGCCCATATTGTTTGAAAATAAGTTTTATAGACCCCCATATGTCCATCTCTGGGAATGTGAATTTATGTGGTGCAAGGGTAGTGGATTTGGGCTTTAAAACTCCTCAACTTGTTCAGTAAGTCAGTGCTCCACATGCTGTGAGACATGTTATGTATCTAATTTCCCACAGACAGAAGAAGTGTTTCACAGGCTACTTGTTTCCAGATGTTAAAGCATGGAGACCAACCTCAGCTAAAAGTGTCCAGTTATACTTTGCAAACGTCATGGATAAAAATATGAAAACATTATTGACCATACAGCCAAAATTTTCCTGCTCCTTAAGATGTTTGGAAGTTCCTCTAAAGTTTTTTTCTTTTTTTGTCACTCCAGGACAAAAAGACATTCCTCAGTATCAGCGAGGAAATTAAACCCTCCATATCCCCTCCTCTCTCCCACCTATCATTTGTGGTTCAGGGGATAAAGTTAGGGGATGAAAGCGTCGCTGTCCGTGCGCAGCAGGGCTCCCTGCAGCCCGGCGTCTGACTGTGTGCGCCCCGGTCTACTTGTTGATCCTCCGCCTCTCGCAGCCGCACTATTTTCTCTCAGCGATTTAGGAGAGTTAGATTGAAATGATTTGCTCGCTTGATCCTCTGATCGCTATAATTCATACCAAATCAGATTTACATGAAATTAAACACGCTGATAATTCCTCTAGAATGATTTTTTTTGTGGTATAATCGACTTAAAATGAGGCAGACTTACGTTTAAAACTTAAAGACGAGCAATATCACACGGCTTTGATTTGAGCGGACAACTAGCGATAGTGAAACCCTTACAAGAACGAATCAACTCCTAAGGAGCCAATGCAGACACATCACAGTCCCTAAAACTATCAAACAATGACCGACGAGTTGTTTTTCCGTGTACTTTCTGCTCCCTACACTGTCTCTGCGTCTTTTCCACAAAATACTTGAAATTCCACTTGTTGCATTGGCGAAGTCCTTCAAAATAACAGCGCCCATGTAGTCTAACACCAAAGTATTCCTGCCATAATGTCCCAGAGGTTTGGAGGGTCTCGTTCTGTACCAGCCACAGCTGGACTGCCACGTGCCAGTCGCGTGGAGCAGTGTACACAACGAGTAGTGGTGCAGGGTCTCTTGTAGCTACAACATCGACCCCCCACCCCCACCCAAAGGGGCGTGGTTTGTTCTTATACACCCTTAAACAGCACGAATGTGGTGTCACAAGGAGTAGAGGGCAAAAGCCCAGGATGAACTGTGATCCTCAGAGGGTGCACAAGCAGCTCAAATACCTGAGATGAGACTAAACCAAGCTTGTACAGTGTGTGTGTGTGTGGTATCATGAAATATAAGGTAAATGTAAGTGATATATCAAAAATAATGGAAAAAAAAAAAAACTAAACTGAATTTTAACCCTAGAACACTAACGCCACCAAACATGTTTACGTGATTTTCATTATGTTGCCTTTGTCTGAGTATCATTGGTCCCTGGGTAGCTTCAGCATTGCCTTTGACATCTTTGAAGGCATATTTGTTTCCCTGATCCTAAACCGGCTTTTACCTACAGGCACATGTTCGGGTGATTTTTATCAAGCAATAGTGATAGAGGATAAAGTAGGTTTGGGTGGATTTGAAAGCTGCGTGTAGGTAATAAGGTCAGTAAGAGTGGTCCTGGAATTTGCATGCTATCTTTATATAGTGCAGTGGTTATGAATAACCATCACAAAGTAGTGATTTTCAAGGGAATTCATATGATGATAAGAAATATTTTAGTCAGCTGGTCATTTTTACTCACTCAAAACATGCAATATTTTGGTTCTCTCTCCTGCAGCTGTTGTTGTTCCAAGGGAAGACTCACATGCCCCAGAAATGGGTGGAAAAGAAACTAAGTTTACAGTTCATATGTATATGAATTTTATGTTCATGAATTCTTAATTTCAGTTATTTTGTTGCATTTTTATATGGTCTCCTCATGACACTTTTTTCCCCTCCCTTTGGATACTGCACAGTTAAAAATAAAAGAGAACTACTTTAATTTGTCATGTATTTTAATATATATTTTGATGACGAGTACTTTCTCTTGGGTATAGTATTTCTGGTAAAAATCACCCGGCGAAAGTGATGGTGTTACTAATTTTAGAGATAGTGTTTTAGGGTAAAATAAGTCAATATTCATACATTTTGTAATCTGCCATAATGCTGTTCATGCAATTTCCAGTATGCTAAGAATTATTGGGCCCACTTTGAATAGTTTCCAGTAAAAATGCCAACTTCTGGATTGTTGTACAGTGTAGTAGATGAAACCAGAGTTTGATCTGACTGAAATAAATCTGCCCATTTTTTTTTCTGCATCTCCACAGATACCCTCTAAGCTAACGCCATCGAGGTCCGAATTTGATTTAAGGTGAGAGGCTGCAGAGGGCACACAGGCAGGCAGGAAGCTCTGGGAGAGAAGGATGAATGGATAGGAAAGATGGGTGTCCAGATCAGACCAGGGGACAAAGGCACCCTGGCTCCACGAGTGCTTTTCCGGCTGGTCGTGAAGTGGCCACTTTAACCCTCCTGAGGTCAGCTCTCCTCTGCTTCTGCTCCAGCTGGCTGCCAAATAGGAAACAGCAGGTACAGGTGGATGGATGTATATTTTATGATTTTTTTTCTGTGCAACTACAGTATAGACAACTTAAGCAAGTAGTCATACAAAGTTGTTAAAAATCCACTTATTTTCTGTTTGAGCTGAACCACTCAGATCTTTTGGCCAGCATGACAACCACGAACCAGTTGGCAGTGTGGAAAAGTTGGCTGCAGTTTAACTTTTGGGCAATATTGCCCGTTGGCATACAATCACACATTAACATTGCTGTGTCGCCCACCTATCACTGCGGCACAGCTGTCACTGCAGCAAGCAGTCTGTACCCCCGTAATCAGATATCTGCATATCTCCTCTTTCACACTCTGAGTATGACAGTGTGGTTTCAAGTCCAACTAACTGTTAGAAGATGATTGTTGAAATCTGATTTTTGTGTGTGTGTGTGTGTGTGTGTGTGTGTGTGTGTGTGTGTGTGTGTGTGTGTGTGTATGTGTGTGTGTGTGTGTGTATGCGTATGTGTATGTGTGTGCAACAGGGAGAAACAAAGACAGGCGGTGTCTGTGACTGAAGAAAAAGTAGCCAAAAGTTAGGGAATCATAGCTGTTCCAAAGAAATGTTGAACACATTTGTCAAGTTAAAATTTGATGTTAATAGGAGGACATTACAGCTGGTATGCGACAGGTACTTGAACCATATAATGCCGTGTCACATAGCTGTTGCTCTAGATTTCTAACAAAAGCTTCTGTGAGCAAATTGATGAAGTTTGTGCCGTTTCAATCCCAGGTTCCTCTATTCCAGGGGGAATTGAGAGTGTACATGAGACCTGAAAGAAGGTTGTGATACCACCTTGGCCTAGGACTGCTTGGATTCTGTGGTAGCATGGTTTTGAACGTGTCTCAGAGAGAGGGTGTGTGTCAAGAAGTCTGTGTTGAGATTGCAAGCCATTTCAGGGAACACTTCCCTTGTGTGTGTTGTCGATCCCCACCCTTTCACAGTTCTTTATTTTTGCAGTTCAGGGAAAAAGGAAGATTGACTAAATGAGTATAGGTAGTAATATTCTGTTGAACCCGGTTTTGTTATATATTTTTTTACTAATGTTGGGGCATTAGTGAAAATATCTATCTATCCAAAATATCTTACCAGAAGGTTATAATTTGATAGTTGTAAGGGAGTTTCCAATCATATTTAGCAAAAAGCTGAAGCTCAAGAACCAGATTGACATTTTTTTAACATAGATGAGAAGTAGCCCCGTGAAAAGCTGGTGACCCACCCATCAAGTTAGCCGCCTCTTGTCGGGTGACAGCTGGTATTGACTCCTGCCCCCTCTCTCTCCTCTCTGTGATCTCAAATTAAGTTAATGGTTAAAAATAAAGGAAAGGTGGATGAATGAGAATTTGTTAACATTTTTACCTTGATGATTCTTTTTTTTTCTGCAGAAAAAGTGATTATAAAATCTCAAGAAAAGTTACACAGTTTGATGAGAGTGGTATATCAACCACCATGAATTTAACTGCAATACTTTTTGTGCTGAAAGTTCATGTCAGGCCACCTAATCATTTATTATTTTTATGCAATACAGTTCCCTGGGGTACTGAGCAGGGAAGGCATAAGCAACAATAAGATAGATCCAGACTATAACGAGGAGCTGTAGTAAAAGCAGGTTGCAAAGTGGTTTGCAGTAAGGGTAGGTAGGCTGTAGCAGTTTGAAAAAGACGCCCAATTTGATATTTGTCAGTTGAACGTGGATCAGATGATGTACTGTGGGCTGAGCCGGACTTTTTAGCCGGCCTAAGTTAATGCTGTGCTTTTTTCTCTAAACATAAGTTTTAAAATATCCTTTACTTGCTGACTTCCTGTAAAGTGTTGAACAGTCCTATGACTTTACTGCTGCAGGAAAAAAAAACCTCTAAATCTCACCAACAACAAGCCAGTTTCTCACAATGCCCTGGCTAGTAA